CTAAAAGGACAAGAAGACGTGAAGGACTGCACAGCCTCTGTCAGGGCTACCTGCATTTTGAGCAACACGCTAGGATTAAAATCCAGATGTGCTTACAACGATAAATCTGATGTTTGCATGGTTGCTTCTTCACTTATCTAGCAGTCACATAATGCAGACGGTAATATATTGGTTTTTGAAGGTCTTATTTACAGTAGCTCTGAGGCTGTGTCACTGTGGGTATAATATTTACTGAACGGTTAGAAAAAGCCCTTCTTTGCACCTGAGCTAATATTTCCAGGTTAATGTCAGGACGCTCAGGACCTTAAATTTTCTAAAGCTCCTTTTCACATTTGTACCTCACAGCGAAGGAGCCTCCTGAGATGGTGACTGTTTCTTTGTCAGTATTACTATAAACCATCGTCATGCTTCCTCTTTACTATAGGGCTTTGTAGTGAGAAGTTTGTACTGGATCCACATGATGAAATTTCAGTGCATGTGTGGAAAAGGGCTGATGAGATAAGATTGAGGTGGTATGTTGGAAATGATATTGTCTCTATCACAGTTCAGGTTCTGCAGTTATCAAACTAAACTAGTATTGCTTGCAAGTACATAAATTGAGCTTTACTGCATCAAAGTCCCTTTACATCTTTATACATAGACAGAAAACAAGCGATTACCATTTTACTGAGAACGTCTTTCCTTGTGAAAATACAGACTATTTAAATAGCAGCAGAACATGTGCAAAATGTTTTAAACTTCATCATTCAGCTGTCTTTTTTCTCTTACAGCATTGCTTTTGTGGAGTTTACAGTTTGATTGGATTGGATTGAATATAAAAAACCACAAGAGCAAATTGAGCATGCTTCCATAAAGATGTTATGGAAGTGTTGGCATGACTAACAAATCGAATAATGTGCCACTTTAGACTGACTCCAAAAGCTATGGAAACCAAAGCAGCAACCTTAAATCCACCTCTTTGCTCTAAGTCGACCCAGAGGTACGCTGAATTAGAACTGTATTGATCTGTATCCATTTTGACTGTAAAAAGGTAAAAAATTATGGGTAAATAGGGGGTGGCTGTTCCTCTAACTAGCAGTTAGTTGGAATCAGTGTTTTCAATACAGACACTATCAAATCTGGGCTTCAATACTCCAGAGTCCAGGTTTCACTGGATGATGCCATTGTCCATGTTGTATGCAGTCTATGGGAAAAACTTTCAAAGCTGTTTAGAGGACTAACGGAACAATTGATTATAAAGTTATCAAGACCTGAACCATCAAAGTGAGACACTCATATCAAGTCGTCCTAGGTAGAATTATGTCAGACTTTACAATCTGAACAGTGGAAAAATACTATGACCATATATATATATATATATATATATATATATATGGTCATAGTATTTATATATATATATATATATATATATATATATATATATATATATATATATATATATATATATATATAGTGTATAGTGTATATGTAGTGGTGTACAGTGTTTGTTTGATCAGTAGGACAGTCAAGTTTATCCGAATCACCTGTACCCTTTATATTTAAGGGTGATGTGGCTGTCTTAATATGATGTGTCCTAGATAGAATTTCACTCCTACACTCAAACTAAGCTTTATAAACAAATCTTGATTGATAGTGTGACCACAGCCTTCTCTGTGTTGCCACTCGGTTGACTGTACCTGCTGCAGACTCAAAATATTGACCTGCTCAGAAATCAATCTGAGGGTGAGTGTTCGTCAGGGTCAGAGGAGACACTAATAAACCAGGCAGATGTGGATTTATGGCTGCACATGGTTTTCTTTTCCTCTTGTTTTCCGTGTCTTTTACGCATTTTGTTGTCACTTCTCTCTTCTTTTCTAACAGTTTGAGTGCAGAGCTATCTCATTTGGTTTTCTGATAGCTCCGTTGCTTTTACAGGGGAAATATGGATCTTGTATTTCATTCATTCATTCTTTTGTCCCTTTCAGTCACCGTCGTTTTCTGCATGGTGTCCCCTTTTCTGCTTCAGATCCCTACAGCCCATTCATGCCTTCCCCCTTCAGTCTTTCTCTTCTTCTTTATAGCTCCTCTTTCTCTTGATTCATTCATCCCTTCTTCTCTCATACTCATCTACAGTCCATCCACACACACACTGCCTTAGTCTCGTCAGAGCTGCCTGGAATTATTTACTGCTTAATGGCCTACAGCAGCTCACACCAGCCCAGCGGTGCTTTGCTTTATTTATTGATTTTCATTCCTTTTGTCTCAGTGTGTATGCGTGAGTGTGTGCGTGTGTGTTTTTGTGTAGGTGGGAGTGGTAGTGTGCAGGAGAAGCGAATACTAAAAGACATAAAGCCCAAGGGCATCCTGCACGTTGGAGCTGCCAGTGAAATGACCTGTGGATTGAGAGATTGATTGATTTGATGTTTGAAGGCTAATCGGCTGTTACTGGGTGATTCTTTGGCTGCCTGCAGTGCCACTCGTTCATATGTGACGTGCGCATGAGCCACTGTGTGACTATGTGTGTGGATACCACAGCGACCAACACTCATCGTACTGATCAATCGTGTCTAAGCAGTTTGACTGAACTGATTTTCTTAACCACTGGGACTTTTGTCAACATTGATTTCTTTGACCCAAAGAGAAGCTGTGCAGGAGAGAATTAAATCAATAAAACTTAATATGATGTTTGGATGTGGTGTTAGTTTGTAGTGATGACTGAATTGAATTACGATAAAAGGGGGTCAATTATGTGCTGTGCTTCTGTCCCACACGTTTTCCCTACAGACTCATTTCTGATCGTGAAATTACTCTGAAAGGAGAAAGCTAACATACAAAGAGTGCACTATTCAGGGTTTAATTATATTACATATCAAGGTAGCAGACAGCAAACATTTTTTTTTATCAAGGTTTGATGGGAGATGAAATTAACAAGGAAATATTTGAATTTTGTCAGGATGAACCTTGTTTAACTAGTTATTTTATATGTGTTATTCCAACACATATACTGCTATCAATATTAGCAGCACAGAACATGAGTGTGTGACTTCATTGAGATGTTTACCTTATTGTTTCATCTGCAGATGTGTGGATGTGAATTTCTCTTTTTTTTTTTTTGATGAACATGCTCATGCACATTAAACCAATAAGTCAGTATGATAGAGTCATGGAATTTAACTCTGATTTAAATCTCATGTTTGTCATGGGTGCACTTGCTGCACAGTTTTCTTCTCCAAGATTTTGCTACTTGAGTTTCATCATTTATATAATTGTGTTGTAATTATTCTGTGTAGACTGTGGGTTTTTTTATTTTTATTTGGTTGAATAAAATTAAGTTTTGGGGAAAAAAATGGCGCTGGGAGCTGGGGGTCCACCCAGGAGCCAATCGCGGAACAGGCACTGGGAGCTGGGGATCTGCCCAAGTAGCAGGCACTAGGTGCTAGGGGTTCACCCCAGGAACCAGCACCAGAAGCTTGAGGTCTGCCTCAGGAGTAGATTGAGGAGCGGGCACTGGAGGTTAGGGGTCCGCCCAAGGAGCCGATCAAGGAGCAGGCACCGAGATGGGGGTCTGCCCCAGTAGCAGGCACTGGGTACTAGGGGGCTACCCCAGGAACAGGCACAAGGAGCTAGGGGTCTACTCAAGGGGCCAATTGAGGAGCAGGCACTGGGAGCTGGGGATCTGCCCCAGGAGCCGATCGAGGTCTGCCCCAGGAGCTGACAGAGGAAATCTATTGCCTTGTAGTACTTTTGTTACTAAATCCTGCTCATAGTAGCAGTAGCACTCTACTAAACAGAAGGCTCAGTTTGCTGACTTTTTTGCCACATAATTAAGCTGACTAAGACATCTTCCCCAAGAGACTGAGGAGCTCCAGAAGACTCATCTGACCAGCAGAGATCCATTTCAAGCTGAGCTCCACCAAATACTCCAAACACTGTAAACATACACAGTTTTATTGCTTAATTAGCCTACAGTGCGGTCCTTTGGCCAATCTGTAATGTTAACATTCTTACTATATTTTAGTACTGCAACTCAGCAGCCAAAATTCCCTGTAAATGTACTCTATTGTGGTACCCACTCCACTACTTTAGCCTAGATCATCACTCTTTTGGATTGGGTCATTGCAACTCCTGAAACCACCAAATACATGGGAAAGAAAATACAAGGTGGGGGCTTTGTGAGTCACTGAGGCATTATATCCCCGGGTTTGCTTTAATTCTCCCCTACAGATAGTGTGAGAGCTGCCCTTCATCATTTGCAAGTCTTCATCACCGCTTTAAATTCTGATAACATTCAAAGTACCAGTGGATCCAGAGAAACACTCAGCAGAAAAAAGAAAACCACAATAATCCAAAGCTATTGTTATCCTGCTGCTGTTTGAAGTGATGCTCAGAGCTCTGCAGAGCCACACTGCTCCCCCTGTCCTTGGCTGGGGATGAGAGCTGCTCCATACGTGTGAGGGGGGACCCTTCCACCGAGATGACCAATTACATAACAAGACGTGATGGATAAATAAAAATACCCAAATATCAGAGCGAAAAATGGAAGGTGGCTTCATGTGTCCCTCAGGCAGAATTTCCATGATGCCCTCCCCTTTGTGATGATGATGATGATGTTGATGATGATGATGATGATGATGATATCACCAGGCTTACCATCCTCCCATCAATGGGAGAGGGAAAGAGACAGTGAGGGTGAGTATGGGAGAAAGTGAGAGTATGTGAGTGAGAGAGGTCTGTGTATTTTCAGCCACACAGTGACAGCTGTGCAGCTACCCCACGTACGTGCTCACACAGTAAGAGAGAGAGAGAGGGAGAGAGAGGGAGCCTGGCGTCCCCTCTCCTTTTTGCATCTTTCCTCTGCAGACGCGTGCGTGACATATCAGCTCCCGGGTTTCCCTTCAACTTTTTTTCTCCTTTACATTTTTATTTTTTTGATTGAACAGTTTTTTTTTATCGTCACAGTCCTCCGTCCCACGAGTCTTTGGAATGAACTGTTTCCCTGCCTGCGTCGTTTCCATGTCAGCATGGGAACTGCCGTGTCCAAAAGGAAGAATTTAAGAAACGATGCGATATCTTCTGTGGCAGCAAAAGTTAGGTAAGTGACATCCAGACTCTTCTGCCTTTTTTCAACCATTTTCGTCATGTGTGGCAGCCTTAGGAGGACTTGACAGGTGTTTCAGCCTCCAGGTGCGGAGTTACCGTGTGTGACACTTGTGTGTGATGAATTACCACTGCGCTACCCCAAATCTCTTTGCAATGCGCAAGAGATGCTCTTTGCGCTTTCGCACGTCTGTCCCGTCTAGCCTGGGGCGTGCGTCTGGAATGTGTGCGTAAATGACCCTTTCTTCTCTCCAAACTGCCCCTGTAACGTCAAAATGCAGAGTATTTCAGGGAGGCTGCCCCCATCTTCCTCGCAGACTGAGTTTTGTTTGGACTAAATTAGCTGGGAGAGGATTTTTTGCCCGCTGGCGCGTCGCAGCCTTTTACGGATGTTATGAATGAAGCATCATTGTGTAATGAAAGTCATGCAGAGGCAGAGCGAGGGTTGCTCTGACTCACAGTCACCATGCTTCCTCGCATCTGTACTACCAAATCCACACCATCACCGGCTGTAGAAATGAAATAATCTGCAAAGTTACGTTTTAACCCCAATTTCTGCAAAAACGGTTTCCTGTCTGGCCGCATCGACCCGAGCCGGACAGCGCGTCCAACGACAAGGCTGCTGCCTTCACGTCCCGCCAGCCAAATGATCCATTCGTCAATTGATCAATCACAAAAATCGACTGGGTCGTTAGCAGGGATCAACAATCACGGTCAGATATTGGAGTGGTCACTGAGTGCAGCCTGTTAATTTATTCAGACTGTTTGGAAGGAGACCAACACGTTAAAAGCTGTGAACAACTCACTCCGGAGAGACGTTCAGTGTATATTTATGGGCTGTATGGATTTCTTTTAATGGCCACGTCCACATCCATCTGTTTAAGCACCACGCAGTCAAAGTCACCCCCATCCTGCGTGTAAGGGCTCGCTGTGGATGGAGCTGCAGCTGTGCCGAAAACCACGTGTGACTGTGTTCATGCGTCCACACATGTTGTGCAGAGACGCTGAGCGGGGATCAGGAGTGAGATCAGGATACAGATTCAGCGGATTTGGTCTTGTGCTTCGGCGGCAGGCCCTGATGTGTGGTTGTAACTCAGTCAGTGAATGACCTTGACTTGTGCATCCTCAAACAGACACAGATGTGGGATGATGTGCTATTACGTCATTCAGTCGGCGGCGTGTGTGAGGCAGCCTTACGTTACATAGTCTGTATGTCAGACCTGTTCTGTATGCGTTGCCGTGTGTGAGCGTGTGAGAGAGGGACACCTTCAAAGGAGGATGGGTATGTGATGCACATAAACAATGGCAGGGGGCAGAGAGGAGTGTGTGTGTGTGTGTGTGTGTGTGTGTGTGTGTGTGTGTGTGTGTGTGTGTGTGTGTGTGTGTGTGTGTGTGTGTGTGTTCAGTGAAACAGGCTTTCCCCCCCAACACACTTGAATTTATGCACATATTAACCCACTGATTTCTTGGTGTAAAAGAGGTCTAATAGACATCTTAATGTAGCCTAGACAACTGGTCTAAAATCAGGTCTAAAAATGAAAGTTTTTTAGACGTCTAAATTTAGACCAATTTAAGACTAAATCTAAATCTGGGCTATATCTATACTTCACTGTATGTTGCTCAATGGCTATCATAATTGTTTTGGTTCAGTACTTGGAGATCAGTTATGCAACTCACAGTTGCTTTTTGAAATAAATAGTTATCGAATAACGAGTTTAAGTGTAATGTCTAAATCCCGTCTATAAATATACAGAATCTGGATGGTTGAAATTAGGTCTAAAACAAAAAATTGACGTCTAATAGCCGTCTGTTGCTCAGTGGGAAGTTAGCTCTGTGATTCTCGGCTGTCCTCCTCCTTCATACACACCCCTGCACACACACACTCATTTACTTTCATGTTCAGAGTGAACCTTACCTCCCATGCATGGGAGTCACAGCTGAATCAGATCCATTACTGACCAGGAACTAACTGTGACGTGACCTCTGTGACTGTGGAAACAATTGAACGTAGTTTTGAAGCACACTTCAGTCTCATAACTAACTCACAGGTCTATGTGTGCAGCCAAGCATGTGTGCACAAACACACACAGTGCTGCCTTTATTTTATCCTGGTATACAGTGAGGTCTGTCTGACAGATCTCAAGCAGACCTCTGTGCAGTGTAACATAAGGCTTTTCCAGCATAGTCATTTATGCAGCAATGTGCAATCATCTTTTTTTATTTTAAGTTTGACATACAATTTATTTTTCAATTATTGTTTCAAGGTTCCTTTTTGCAAAACTGTGCATTCAGTACATTTTATGCTGAGCTTGCTTCGTGTAAGCATGAACACCTTTCATGAAAAGGAAAAAATAAGAAGCTCAGTGACCTCTGGTGAAACATGTAGAACAACTGAAATTACCTTTTTGTTTTTGTAGCTACAATGCCACCAGCTATTACTTTATTCTCATATTAGCTGGGTGTGTTCAATTCTCTTTGCTGCTGTTTTGGAAACTCAAGAGGAAAATGCACTCTACTTTTCAATGTCGTATGCATTATAGCAGATCAGGAATGTGAATATAAGCGGATTCGGTACCTGCAGTTTCAGGATACTGGGATGTCCATGATGACTGAGGCTGGGGGCACATACACCACCACCTACACACACGCTGAGTTTGGTCATAGCAGAGTTTTGACTCATCAATTTCTCATCAGCTACTCAAGTTAGTGTCCAGTAAGCAACATGATACAGAGTCTCTGTGGTCTTCACATCGAATCAGAGGACATGTATTATAAAACACTGCTGTCAAGAACCTTCGGTAAAGTAAGACACACACAAACGCACACATACAGTATTGCTTGTTTGCTCAACCTCCTGATGACGCACTTTGTCTCACCTTTTCTCAATTTTCTTCACTTTCCGTCTGCGTTTAATATGCTGACAAAGACACACAGGAACACACAGACTCTTTTCAGTGCATTAAGTATCTCACAGGTAATTGACAGCAGGTGTATGTGTCTGTAAGTCTGAGTCATCGTTTGCACATCCACAAATAACTACACGTACAAAGGCTTTTTGTCCTGCAGCCAAAAAAGAAAAAACCCAAAGCAGTGACTATTTGGCGTCATAAATACACCCACACGCCAACAAACACTTTAATTTTAATGACATCCCGTAATCCACCTCCTAGTTTTTCCTAAATCCCTTAGAGACCTAACTTTGGCTTGTAACCGAAAAGCTCCAAATGTGATCAGACTCACATGAAATCATCACATGAAGTCACTGGTCATTCCCCACAACATGAGGAACCTTTCCCTTGCATAGAGATGACTCTTAGAGATGTACATGAAATATTTATCGAGCTTGCTAGCCTGTGGTGGGGGTCATCGCATCAACTGAGCTTTTATCGCTTCGGTAATTTGAAAGAGTGATGAATCTGACTAGTGCTCTGTATGCTGGAAACACCTGACCAGTTTGATCAAGAAATGTTTAAATACAAAACATAACTAGCATGAAGTTTTTATCTTTTGTGGTGCTTTTGAAAGACTGGTTAAAACCAAATCAAGAAAAAAGTGTCATATTTCAACACACAGGAATGGCTGAAATACTTTGAAGAAATGACTTTGAGACCCAAGTCTTCAAACTTCCAAAACTTAAAAGCTCTGTATTTTATTCTTAGTCGACCACAATCACTCCACTCTTGGCGGTGGCACCGGGGAAAACCAAAAGCCATTAAGGCCTGCCAACTGGGAGTAGCCATTCAGAAGAAATCTTATTAGATCCGTGCTTTGTCTAAGCTTGAAAGTTTTTTTCTTTTCTCAATAAAAGGAGGCTTTGTTGTCCAAAACCTCAAAGTATTGATCAGTGCAACATAAACCCAGGTCATTTTAAAACTTGTAAATTGACCAAACAACTTTTTCACAACGAGAAATATATAGATATTTCCATTTTGCTTCTGAATTCTATGACTACTGCATCACAGTAACATCAGGTTTGTGAAAAATGTATTATGTTGATCACTTCGTCTTACACCCACCCCACAGTGGCATTCTCTGACATTAGCTTTTAGGATCTGGATTTTGTAGGTCACAGAGAGGCATTACTTTTAATTTAAGTCTGTCCTTTCACCAGGGAACAAGTCCTCACAGTTGAAAGTATTCCAACTTTTGTAACACCATGCTCCTCAATGTCACCTATCCTTAACTGACTAATCAAAATCAAGAAGAAGTGAGACTTTTGGTATAAACTTTGTCAACAGCTATATCAGTATTTTCAAAGCTTCCTGGTCTATTCTAGAACACCATTACTCTACATTGTTTTCAAAGTGTTAAGAATGTGTCAGAATAAAAAACATATCAAGAATACTGAATATACAATTATTTGATATTAGGTACTTAATATTATTACATAACCAACCTGTTATATAGTGACCTATGTATATATTTTCCATTACTCAACATTCCTATGCAATCCTCACCATAGCACTACAGCCACATACAGTCTTTTATATGCAAGTTAAATTTCTTGTACATATTTGTGTTATACTTCATGTTAAACGTTTGTACATGGAGAGCAAACTCTACCCAAGTCACATACATGGCCTTTACTACCAAGGGAGGTGAAAATGCAGTGAGAGATCCTTCATCACCTGGCAACAGTAATGGACACAGGCCTTAATACAACTTCACCATCATATAAATGACTAAACTTACCTCTGGAAAAACGCAGGCATTAACTTACTGTAGGCAGCAGGGTCCAGTGAGTCATTCACAAAGGTCAGTAGGTTTTATCTCTTTAACACGTGCAGAACGTGTGGTATTGCCTTGCTGAAAGGGAAGTCCCTGAAAGAGACATGGCTCTGATAGCAGTGTACTCATGTTGCTCCTAAACCTGTATGTACCTTTAAGCATTTATGGAGCCTTCACAGATGTGACAGTTAGACATAGACACGGACACACCTCCAGACCCTCACAGATGTTGGCTTTCAAATCTGAGAACAGTCTGGATGGTCCTTTTCACACCACGTCCATGATTGTCCAGAACTATCTGAAACGTGGACACGTCAGACCGCAGTAGGCTTTTCCACTTTGGGTCAGTCCATCTCAGACGAGCTCGGGTCCAGAGAACCTGGTGGTGTTTCTTGGTGTTGTTGATATCTGTCTTTGTCTTTGCATGGTAGAGTTTGAACATGTAGATGTGAAGACGAACTGTGTCCTTTGACAAAGGTTTTCCTCCTGAGTCCTCCTGAGCCCACATGGGATGGTGTTGGTTTTTAATGCAGTGCTGAATCTTTGATGATCTCTGAATCTTTTGATGAGTTTATGGACTGTAGATGATCATATCTCTAGATTCCTGCAGGTGTACATTGAGAAACGTCCTTAAACTATTGAACTATTTGCCCATGCAGTTGTTGACCAAGTGGACCTCATAATCTGGCCCCATTTTAGCTTGTAAAGGACTGAGCCTTTTAGGGATGCTCCTTTTATACCCAATCATGACTCTTACCTGTTTCTAGTGAACCTGTTCACCTGTGGAATGATCCAAACTGGTGTTTTTGGAGCAGTCCTCAATTTTCCCAGAATTTTGTGGACCCTGAATTGTGAACGTGTTGTGTTGCAGCATTAAATTCAAGATGAGTTAATATTTGCAAAAACAATGAAGTTTATCAGTTTGAACATTTAATAACTTGTCTTTGTAGTGAAGTTGATTGATAATAGGTTGTAAAAGGATTTGCAAATCTTTGTATTCTGTTTTTACTCGTTTTACACAATGTCCCAACTTCATTGGAACTGGGGTTTATAATCTGATAAATGCCAAGATATTTTCATCTCAATCAAAGCGTTTGACATCCCAAAATTATTAGCCTAACTGCATGGAAGCTGATATGAAATTAGTTTTTTGCTGTTTATTTGGCCTAAGCACTGACAGATGTTTGGGAATTGTTATATGCCATGAGGAAACCCTAAAGATATACCGGTTTCTTGGACCGGGCGTTGGTCTGTGCCATCTCCTGCATGTTTATGGGTTGCTGGTTATGAAACAAGTCACACACTCCCCTCCAGCAGCTCCTATGAGAGCGACAGGGAGCATGCAAGGAGGAGAATGAGAGAGGGAGCGAGAAGGAGATTACCTCCAATTCACACACCAGAATTCTGCGATGTTGAGTGAGAAAGCAAAGGCTTTGATCTTCAATCTGCCAGAGAGGAGGAGAGGGGGGCTGTGCAGCGGTTCGGCTCAAGGGCATCGGACAGCAGCATCCGTGGAGCTGTGGTGGAGAGAAAGATGGAAGAGATGCAAGATGAAAGCAAATGAAATGCTAATGCTAATGGAATAATGAAACAATGCATATGTGTCCTGGACAGGTGCGCCTGTCTTTGTAGCAGATGTGCAGTCACTGGGTACATGAGGTTGAGGGCAGTTATGTAACTGCTTTTTGAGTTATTCAGATTCATTCGAGTTAAACAAAGAGGATGTTTTTTCTTTTAATCTTGTTTTTATATTTTTGTTTTAAGTGGTTTGGCTCCGTACTGCAGCAGCTTTTAAGCAAAGCAAATATTTGTCTATCACATCGACCTCCTTCCCCGTCTCTCACCATGTAATACCGTCGCAATTATTATGCTGAGGGAGGCAGATTGTATTGATTGCAGTCTGAAGATGATTGGAGCTCCCGCAGTGTTATATGATTGTTTGTCTGTGTTTGCCTCTTTACGCGCACATTTACTCTGTTTCTTCTTTTATTCTTTAACAAAATAATGTCAACTCAGTTATCCTCTGTTTTCACAGAGCGTTAGAGGCCTGGCTCTCCGAGATCAGATATGACTAAGCAAGTCTAAATTTATAAAGGGGACTTTGTTGATATTGGTAAAAGCTTTTGTTCATCTCCCTACTGTTACAGCACAGTCTTTTTCAAAGAAGTTGTGTATGAAAACAACAAGTAAGAAATATTCAGTCAATGATGTTAAGGACCCTCCAAGAATCTATTCTCCCAGATAGTCCTGAGTGATCTTCAGTGTCATCAGTAAGTTAAATGCAAGTTATGGTTAGAGGTAGATACAGCCTACTTCACCGGAGGAGCAAATATGATGTTATAGTATAAATGAGTGGCAGGGATCTGATGGATGATGGAAGGAGTAACAGACTTGGAAAATGGGTGAGGAAAGAAGGGATAATGATGGTGGAGGCATGTGTTGACAGATGATGAAAAGGGTGTTGACGGCTGAAAAGATGAGAGCATGAAGGGTGGGTGGAGCTTGGAGTCATTATCGGATCGACCGAGGAGAGAGATGATGGACCGCTGTCAGCTTGTGTTGGCGGAATCAAAGGGGTTGAGACTCGGGGCAGGAAAGCAGTATTTTCAGTGCAAAAGAGCTCCTCTGGTGTGTGTGTGTGTGTGTGTGTGTGCACTTTCCTACCTATCTAAAAGGGGAACTTGGCGTCGTAAAACTTCCACCAAGAGGGGACTGCATAGCCAACAGGGGACATTTTTTAGGTCCCCTCTTGGCCACTCTGGTGAAGTTTTTTTTTTTAATTTTAGCCAAGTAGGGGACCTGAAGGTGTGTGAGTGTTAAAGTCCATGCGAGGCTATCCCCCGAAGGCTGGGGCTGGAATTACAACGACCCTTAAACACACGTCGTTTTACACACACTCCCTGAAGGTGTGAATGGTTTGCACTGAAGGCAGCCTTTCAGACTGCAGAGGGGCTGTTTAACGGGTTACTGGGTGCAGAACATGTCTCTTTAAAGATGGTTTCTCTTTGTTTTAAAAAAAAAAATTTAAGCAATTGCTTAAAAAACACACATTTTAGACTTTGACAAGACTCCTGAAGTTTTTCATTCCCAAGATACTCACTTAACCAGTTTCACAAGCATTGGATTTCTATTAATTTTTCAATATATTTCAAGTATCAGTCTACACTTCTGAGAATGCAATTTTCTTTACCATGCACATTACAGAAAAAAGGGACTTCCACTTTTTGAAATGACAAAGGTTCCCTGTTGGTTGGTAAACAGTGACAGGAGTTCCCACTTAAATAGTACGCAGCGACTTCACACACCGCCATGGATGAAAATAGAAAATAAGTAAAATTAATAAGTAATAAGTGTGTGTGTGTGTGTGTCGTGGGGAAGAGGTATGGTTGGCTACCTGCAGCGTTAATCAAGCTAAACAAGTCTTCCCGAGTCTTGTATGGGCCTTGCTGATAAGTTTTGCTAAAGATCAGACAGAGACATAAAGAAACTGGAGGAAGGGGAAGGTCATGGCTCTGCTGAGAGAGGAGAAACGCTGGTGTCAGGGGTGGATTCAGGGTATAGACAGGGGGTGACCCAGCCCAGTCCCAGGGGTGCAATTTGATTATTTTGTCATTTCTTGACACAGTGAGAAACTTGACTTGGACTTGCCTCTGCACTCACAGACATAAGACTTGATTTGGACTTGCAAAAAGTGACTTGTCCCCATCTCTGTCAGCTTTTGCAAGCAGCTGGCCAACTATTCCCCACTCTGACGTACCATCTGGTGTTCGCATGTCTTTCCTAAAGATAGTTGAACTAAAAGACACAGCTCCACCCTGGATGAAATCACAACACTGAGGAGAATCCAAGTCATGCTTCAGTATGATTAACATTGGTGCAGATGTATTCTAGCATAAGTCAGATATTTGACACATTATACTTTCAAATATGTGTAGGCTACAGTAGAAACAGAAGGGGGCTGTGTGTAAGTGTGTGTGAAGCAGTTGCATCACTTCGCACTGTTTGTGGTTCGAGTGGTTGTGGTGAGTCACTGACATTTTAATCAGCTCCTCGATCAGGTGCTTCGTTCCCACGTGTCCCGTAATGCACCACACTTTCAAGACTGCAATTAACATCCACAGATCCCCCTGGTCCTCAGCGTGCGCAACAAGCCTCTCAACAGGTTCTGGACACCCCAGCTGTGCCTTCATGTGTGTGTGTGTGTGTGTTCCTCCATGTGTGTTAGTAGGGAACCCAATTCAATTAGACCATCTGAGAGGGGGATTCGATTACGAAGCATTAAGAGTGAGGAATCTCTGAGCCTGGCAGCCCATTGTTTACAGTGAAGGGACGCCCAGGGAGACATCAGCTCTGATGATATTGAGACCAACAGGAACTCTGCCAGGGGGGAGTGATGGCCTAGTTTTAGCCTCAAGCCTCTTACCTCGTTTAGATATATGGTCACAGTGGTTAACGGCATCAGAATCCACAGGGGGAAGGCATGAGATGATTAGAAATAGGTCAATATGGCACAAAATACTGTGTGTGAGGGCAACAGTGTGTGTCCCTCCATGAGTCAGTTCTTTAATCTCAGAGCGATCTGTTAGTCTACAGAGACCATTTCTTTTACTTAGGAGATAATTAATCTCTTAAAACCAAAGTGTAGCTATAATAGGTAAAACATTTAGTTTTTAACCACAGACTATTTTGTCCTCTGTGACTTTTTGACAGGGGCACATTGAGGGGCTGCTCAGTAATGGCAAAAATCAAAGTCAAACTTCTGGATCACACGAGTTCACATGACTTAAAACCTCTTTTAAACTTAAAACTCGCAATTCTTAAAAAAAAAAACAATGTACCACCTACCTTTTTGTCTACTGAACCATGTCTTCCTGCTCTTCTCTCTCCACCTGTCTTCTTGAACTGAGGTAGGATTGTTCTTTTCTATTGCGTTCAAGGAAGTCAGTCACTTTTACGACTGTTTCTGCTTCCCGATTTAAAGTACATTTGTCCCCTTAGGTAAATCTTTTTTTTTTTTTTTTGGAGGACTTTTTTTCCAGTATGGATTTCAACATTTGCCATAACAAAGTTTATTTTTTTTTATCTTGAACAGCAGGCCCATATCTCACTTTAGACTTATACTGTATAAAGAGTGGGCTGAAATGTCTAACCCTGTTCTAAAGGTCTCCTTTTGTAGCCGCTCCGTTGAAATCAGGTTGTATTTTACATCTAATTGCATTGACTTTACACTTACCTTAATATTTCTCCACTTGGAGTAGGACAAAGAAAGGTTTAGTTGGCTAGTGCTCATCACATAAAATGTGGGTGGACAATTTACACCTGCAATAGCAAGCCCGACCGGCGGACTGTTTGATTGATGAGAAGTGAAAATGTAGGCGCTTAAGCACCCGGAAATGACAATTGAAAAAGAAACCCAACAAAAAGAGGATAAAGCGACGCAGGAATAATGTTGTACCACCTGGAATGCAATAGTGTGCACAAACTTGAAGAGAGTGAACAGAAAGGAGCTTGTTTACAGACTCGTTAATGTCCCATCTGTCAGGTTGCTGGTTGCGCATTGTTCCGTCTGAATCTATTCAAAGAGACGAGGAGCTGAGGTGTGTCTTCCTGTGGTTGAGGATCGTTTTGTGCATGTGGGGGTGGTTTGAAGAGTTGGTGGCAGAATTGGTTGTGGAAAGATTGGGTCGTGTGTAACTGTGTCTGACTCATCATGCTTGTGAAATGCAAAGTACACCTAAGAACCCGCTGAACCGTCGACTCTGGCAAAGGTGAAGCCTTCTTGTCTCCACTTTCACTCCCTCACCGGGCGGATACAAAGCCGATGACAAGAAAATAGACAACAGGTGCAGGTTTCAAGTTCTCTTCAGTTATTTATAAAACCAAATTGAAGCTACCCTTGAGTTCAGTTTTTTGATGGCAATGGAGATTTCAGTATCCTTGCTTCATGAGTGTTAGAAACTGTTCTCCAAAACAGACTGCTGCATCACTCCGGACAAATCAGACATACAGTATGAAGTCGTTACCTGACTGTCTTCTTTCAGCTGCAGCATTTCATCGCTGCTACTGTTTTAAAAGCATTTCTGGTGTGACTAGTATCATCAACTACAGATTTAGCAGACTTTGGTTTTAAAGACAGCAGCCTGTTAAGCTGGAGGATTATGTGCTGCATACTCCAGCATCTTTTTTACAACAGTTCACATAAATGAATGAAGTTGACACACAAGTCAAAATGATTTAAAGCTGACATAGAGGCGGTAGATGACTGTTCAACATGAGTCTGGTCCTGCTCTGAGCTTCTGCCTGTTAAGATCTTTTTTCTTGCCACTATAACTTGCCAAATGAGAGGATAGAGAATGAGAATGAGAGGATAGAATCTTGTACAAATCAAGATTGACTGATGAGGCAAGAAACAGCCTATTTGGAGATTGAAAGAGATGGGACATAATCCACTGTTAAGCAGTTCCGGAGCTTATCAAGGTTCGTCTAATGACAGTGTAGCTTCTTAATGACTTTAAACAGATCTCTGCATGCAAGTGAAACTATCTTTTGCTTTCTGCTGACTCGACCAGCAGTCTTCTTCCTCTCAGACCATCTTGAGTGGCAAAAGCACCGCCAGGCAATGAATTGCTAATATTTCTTGGGCTCATGTCAATCATATTCCTCTTGAACTGCCCTGATTTGCCTCACACATACTTTGCCCCTGCAGATGGGTCACTGTGAATCAGTGGTGCTGTATGAAGACACCGTGTCCTCCTTAAGAAAAGTTACACAAAACTCAGAAGATGTGCCCGTGTCCAACTTTGAAGTTATATTGAAAGAGCAAAGATGATTTTTACCTGATCTGAACCAAGTATTGTCTTCCTTTTAAAGAAGGAGGAAAAAAACAACCTCTGACATAATTTATTCGTCCATTTTTGAAGGACACAGACAAAATATGTCATTCAGCAGTCTTGGTTTTTACATGAGTAACTGCTTCTATGCACCTCTGTAGAGGACACTTTTGGATAAGGTCAATTAATTTGGAGAAGTGTTGAGTGGTTAAGAGGAGGAACTGTTTCCAAAACTCACATTTGTAGTGTCCTAGGACGCTGGGACATCTAACTTGGCAGACAGATAGTTCTGCATTCACGTGTGACATTGTGAGGAATCTATCCTTCACTTTGAAAAACAAGGACATTGTGAAATGGATTGTAAATTTGATCGTTTCCTGTCCATAAGTCGATCAGTAAGTGAAATTTTATGCCTCAATGTAAAGTTACATGATATATGTGCAGGAAATTGAGGTCAACACCCTGTCGTAAAAACACGACTTAGACATGGTATAGTGGGGGTGTAAAAACCCAAGCTTTGGTTGCCAATAAGTCTGCGAGTGTGCCGTCACAGTAATAACAGCACTTTAGTATCTGCAGCAGAATTAACTTCATTTATAAGGGAATGGCATTGGAACCAATGGCTTAAGTATTGGAAATTAATCTAAAACGGGTGGAAACTTTGAGTTTTTAATGTATGTACATTGGAGCATTTTTTAACTAAGTTTTAATTTAAGAATTATTCTACTTCACAGAATTTTTATTCCAAACAAACAGGTTTACTTTGTCTTCTGATGAGGGTCATCTGATACGACCAGAAAGTTTTTTTAAACAGCACATATCAGAATCTGCGTTTTTTAACTTATATGAGAATTTAAAATGGCAGCCTTTGAATCCAACACATGAACTATATGGAGAAATCTATAATTCTGTTGTAGTTTAACAAACTCTGTCTGCAGAGGGACAACAGGATGGCTTTTTCCTCCTTTCATACTTTCTCTATTTAAAGTTTTATGATTCAGTCTCTTTAAAAGCTGTGTCATTGTTGTGACATCTCGTGTGATCTGATTTGGCCCAGGACAGACTTGAACCTTCACCATATGAAACCCTTTGCTTTAAAAACAGATCATAGTTTAGTATTTAGCAGGTCTGGAGACGCCCATCATGAGATTAAAAGCCCTTAGAAAAGCCTTTAAGCGACACAAAGGATTTAGGGTTTGACTTGGATTTCAAATATGCATTTTGTCTTGCAGATGAAAGTCTGCTGTGTTTCATCCTCGTTGTCCTGACGGAGCACTCCTTACCTCGCTTCTTTCCCTTAAATTTACTCCACCTTTTCATTTTTAATATGCCCTGGTTTTCTCTCTCTACACTCCACTTCCTCTTGGCAATAATCCCTCCTCTACACTCAAACTCCCCTCCCCGGCTGGTTTCTCTCCCCAAACCCTCGTCACATGTCTGAGAGCATGCGGGACGAATTTCATATCCGCCTGTCAGCCTCCCTCCTCTTCTTCAATTTCACCATATTCTCTCTTTTCTTCTTTTCTCACCTGTCCACAGAGTATCTTCCAAATGTGTTCCTAATGTTTTATGCCCTCATGTGTAGTGAGTCCAATACTGTAACATGAGAGAACTCAGGGAGAGGATTTGTGTAATAGATGGATTGAGATGTGTTTTTCTCTATCCACTTTTCTCGTTTCCACTCATGTATAATGGATTATGCAAGCCTCTTGCACCATTGTTTGCTGATTCTAATCACAGGGCCCTGGCCTGTTGAATAATAAAGCAGGAGGGCAAATTGAAAACGTCTCTAAGCTTTAGAGGGACACCTGCTGATGAGTGCGTAGACTAAATTCATCACAAATGTAGTCAGTGAGACTGTTTGTGTGGTACATCACCAGTTTTGCACACAAATGCATATTTTCCTCCTGTCCTTTCTTTTCTATCATCTTTGATAGATTTAAATAATGTTACAATAATAAAAGACTTAGAGGAGAGTGGCAACAACAGCAGTAAGACATTTACCTTGATCCACTTCAGCTGTTTAAGTTAAATAAGACTTTTTTTGATCCGGAATGATCCCCCCCAAAAAAACAGTTTTCACAGCTCTGATTTCACTCTCACTGCAGTCCTCCTCAAGTCATATGTAAGAAATCATTTTCAGTGAACAGGTGGGAGCCAATACAGATTTGCATAACCAACATAGACTGTATAGAGAATGGACACCATCTGCCACAGTGCCCTCTGGTGACGGGCTGCAGTATAGGTCATAAATCCCGCCTCCTCCAGCAATCCCTATGGAGCTGTGGACGAACTTTAGAAATTAATTATACAGAATATAAATTTACAGAAAGTGGAGAAAATCCTGGAAATACGGAGAGCAATTCAGCTTCAAATTCATATAATGATGGAAGGCGGAGCCAAGTTGTCCATAGTATATACAGTTTATGAAAGCCACCTGTACACTTTATATCATCCCACTCATTTCCCTGCTACCAACAAAAGTTATGAATTAAAATGATTTTTTCCATCTAAACAGAGCAAAAATAGAGAAAAAAAGTCCTTTCAGGTGAGAACGCTTTCTTGGCAACAGATTCTGATGAGCCTCACTGCAGTACAAAATAAAACTAAGCTGATCATTTAAATTAAGTTAATTAATTAGGCTGGAGCATTATCCTCTTTTAGAGTAAATTACTTGTGGAGATAATGTCAGACAAGCTAAAAAGACCTTCTGCAGGAATATTCAAATCAAGTCTCCATACACCTTGGTAAATATAACTATGAATAGAAGAATAAACAACATTTTTTCCTTGACATCCTTTGGTCCCACTCTCCTATCTACATTTCAGTGCGCTGTCTGTTTTCAGGCACTGCAAGCCAAAAGGTATGAGGCTACTAAATGTAGTGTTATATCTGCACTGACGAGATGCAGCAGGTCACATACATGATACAAAATGAAAAGTGATAATGGTGCAGCAGTGGGTCCCATCGGCTACACCGCACCGCGCTGCCTTACAGGAAGGAAATTTATCCTGCATGAGGACCTGAGGCAAAAATGGCTGACAGTGCAGTATCCTGACACTATGCTCTCATACTCTGGGAGTTTCTGTCTTCTCTAGTCCCTCAAGCCTCAACAATGGTGCTGACTGAGCTCTTAAAAGTGTTAATTACTGATGTATGTACTACAAATTAGCACTGGTGGAGGACTTTGGTGGTGAAATCCAATTGCTTGACTTGACTTTGGCTCTCTGCTTTATTAGAAAGCCCTGCTTTGTGATTTAAGTGGTTTTCATGTTAATTAACTTTAACATAAGGCCATTTTCTGACTTTTCTCTCAGGATACTTCTTTTGAATATGTAAAGCCGCTTTGTTCATGTAAGCTGTCTCTAGAGGACCTCCGCCTTGTAAAGAGGAGGATGGGGGGGAGACGGGAAAGAAGGGGAGAAAACAAGTATGGAGAGCTAGGTTTAAATAAGAAAATGTTTGTACGGCAGAAAAAGAGAGTGCATCAGAAAAATTCAAGAGTAGATAGTCAGCATTCACTGCATTACTCTGCTGTCTGTGTCTGCGAGTGTGTGTTCACCTGCTGTGTAGGGCGAGCTTTAATAATTGACATAGCTTACAAGAGAGGACGCAGACACCGCCAGGCATCGCTGCAGATGTGTGTGTGTTTGATGATGTGCGTGCTGTGTCAGCCATCACCTCTGACATCAGCAAGCAAATTTGACCATTGACCATTTTTTTGCACATATCAGATCATTTATCAGAATTACATTATATAAACTTAATGAAATAATCATTCACAGTGCTTTTTTAGTTCATTGCAACAAAAATGCTCACCTCTCATAGCTGATCCACCAGTCTGTACAGTTGATCAGCGGCAGTATTTTAAAAGGTAACCTAACTGTATGAATGATTGGCTGCAGGTGAATGTTGAAATTTAACATCAATACACACCTTATGTTCATTCATTTTAAAACTAACTGAAGTTTTTCATATTGTAAATGTGTAAAGATGTGTTTTACTGCTGTGGACGGTCTAACTTGAAAGAGTATTAAGTCCTACAAAATGGTAATAACCTTACAGTAGCATTGCCCTGACTGTATTATACAGTTTGTAATTGGTAAGACAATGAAACACAGTCTATTCTAGTCTAAGAAGAAAATGACAGGCTTATCGTGATCGAGGAGTACATTCATATTCAAAGCACACAGCATTACAGTTCCTCACATTTTCTCTTTTCCTCTCCTCTCTCCTTCATTACAGCTGTGAATCCTAATAGTTGTTGCTATGGTGCTTCCCCTGTCTTTTACATTACAGCCATGATTAACATTGAAAGCACATCCTCAGAGTTATTTGTCCTTTTACACCGTAGCTCTTTGCTCATTTTCCACTCCTGTCACACACTGACCGTAGCTGCAATAGGAGGTCAGTGCCATTCAACCGCAGGGCCGGCAGCTATTTTATGAATAGTTTAAATACTTTGTAATATTGAGTTTGGCTGTATGTGGCTGAGTGGACGTCTGGAGTATATTTCTCTATCTGTGCAAGTAAGACAGATCCAGAGAAGAGGGAACAACTGAGTTCAGCGGTTGTCATTTTTTGCACATCTCTAAGCATTGTATTCAGTTACGATAAATGTTTTATACATTTATTTCCTGACCCAAAAATATCTCAAGCTGCAGCCTTTGGGAAAGGAAAAACATACCTCAATGAAGAAGTGCCAAAAGTGCAGTAGTGAAAGTGGCCACTGGTGGCCGGCTCCAAAAGTGAGTCGATCCCCATTAGAAGAGAGTTTTTGGTGTCTTCATCTGATCTTCATATGACTCCTCCTTCTGTGTGAAACAAAACAACTAAGGAGGACGAACTTAAAAAAACAATAAAGCCTCTTAAAGACTGTGAAGCTGTGAGACCTTAAAGTTTGCCTTTGCTTGTTTCCAGTGCCCCCCTCTTGTCAAAACATGGTCTCTTCTGACTCGAGAAAACCGCCATGGCAAAGGCTAGGATGTTAAACATGCAGTCGGGCCAAGTCACTAAAGCTACATCCATTATTAAACATAGAGTCTGGGATGCATCTATATATAGATTTTGTGTGTAAGACAAAGAAAACAAAAACACTAATGGTTGTTTCAGCTGCAATGACGTCTCCCAACGCAAACTGAGGTCATACTGAGAAATTATGTCAAACAAGCTTTCCGTCTATCTCCTCCTGCTGTCTCATATTCGGTCTGTCTTTGAGGATGAGGCTGCCTGAAGTGCAGAGATAAAACAGCTGCATCTTAATCTGTGGGTGGCACAAGCCCACAAAGAAAGCAATTAGCTCTATAATTTACAATTCCCTTGCCCCTCTCTCCTCTCACCCCTTCCATTTCCTCTCTTCCCTTGCTCACCTCCTCCTGTCCAACCATGATTTAATGTCTCTATGTGTGTCCTCCTATGTGTGTGTGTGTATGTTCCCACAGAGCAGCGAGAGCATTTGGAGAGTACCTGTCCCACACGCACCCTGAAAACCGAAACGGATCAGGTCAGCGTCTCTGTCCATCCCTCTATCCTGCTCTGCTAACTCCTTTGTGGTCTCTAATCCTCCCTCCGCCTGTCTCACCTCATCCTCTGCTGAAACACTACGCTGTGATCATTACTGTAAATCTACAACAGCTAATATCTGGACAAAGACGATGATACTTTTTCATTCTCAGCTTTACTCTCTCTTACTTTCTCTTCAGTGCCTCAGTATATCTCTCTGTCTTTAACACTAATTTTTTTCTTTCTTGCTGCCGTATTAGCCCATCTTCTGTGTGAAACCTTGGTGGGTCCTGACCCGGAATCGCCAAGTGACAAGATTGGCCCCAACAACAACAACCACCTCCATCCCACCTCCAATACCACCAAGGGCTGCGAAAACAACCACGAGCCCAGCCCTGTGAAGCCTCCGCTGGGCTTACTCCAGCCGCCACCCCCTTCGATCACCATCTCAACCAAGCCGCCTCGTCTTTCTCTTGAGCGCAGCTTTTCAGCCGAAGAGGACCAGCAAAAGAGTGTTGAGTGCACCCTGCAGCCGGCCCGCGTCTACACCATCACCACCCAGCGAGGTATGCTAATGAGCAGCGGTCGGGGCAGCAAGGAGAGCCTCGAACTGGACGTCCTGAAGGAGAAGTCGGGGAGTGGTAGGCTAGGATCCAAAGGTGGCTTGGTCCAGCCCTCCACTTCCCCTTCCTCCACCTCATCATCCCCAACCCAGTACCACCATGCCAGCGGCCGAGGCACCAGCAGCAACAGTGGGAGTCACCATCATGGCAACCACCATGGGAACCACCATCACCACGGTGGCATATCAGGCACCAACGCCCCATCCAGCAGTGGAGGGGCGAGTGGGAGCAGCAGTAGCAACCAGCAGCAGCAGCAATCCTTAAATATCACTGGATCGCACCATCATGTATCACATCATCACCACCATCACCTGTCTCAACCCCCGCTGCAGACCTCTGTCAGTGCCCACAACATCCGCAGCTGGGGTGAAGGCGGAAAAGGGGAGGCGGAGTGTAGTGGGCTGGCCTGTGACTCATGCAGTGGCGCCCCCTCAAGGAGCCAGGGCTCCCTGGACCTGGAGAGTACATCTCGAGAGGCAGGCAAGCAGCACCGACGCCTAGAGCGGATGTGGAGTGTGGACCGGATGACTGGGCTGGAGAGAGGTGAGAGGGTGGAGGACACAGAGGAGGGGAGAGGCACTGATGTCCAAACACGGGCACGAGGGTTTGGCCTGAATTTGCGGGATTCATTACTGGACCAGAGATGAAATAACATTCGATTTTTTTGAGCAGTTTCTCACAAACACTAAGTATTAAAAAAAGGCAAACCTTAAAAGTAGAGTTGAATCTAATGTACTCACATTTTTAACCAAAGAAGAGGTTCAAACCAGTGATCCCACTGACCATAATGATGAAGAGGCCATTTTCCTCTGACATCATGCTCAGGGTAGACTCATCCAACATTACTAATATCTCACAAAACAAAGGTCATCTAATAATTCTTATTATAGAAACTGAAAAGCCCTAAGATACATATCACCATATTATAGGCTTTAATATCCTTTTTAATAACCCTAGCATTCCTTGGACAAGCTAAAATTAGCAGGTTCGCTAAGTTGGTGAAAGCTAGTTTTACTGCCTGGTTGTTTCATAGCTATAAAATCATTTATCGCTTATGTTCACCATTTCTACCACAGCATAAATTCATAGATTTTTTCTGTTCATGTTGTTTTCAGCTGCAGGTCAGTTAATGATGGATTAAGACATCAGATACTCACCCAGACAGCTCTTAAGTTCACCAGTCTGAGTGTGCCACCAGGGGAACATGGGTGCCATGTGAGTGAGTTTTTCTTTGTTTGTTGAAAAGTTAGGGATTTCAATTTTTGGTTTTACTGCAGTGGAATAATTAGTTCCAAATTACAAACAAACACTTTTTACACTCTTTATTTTCATGACAGCAAATCTGTCTTTTGTCAGTCGCTCCCAGAGTCAGGCAAAGATGAAATCGAGAAAGACAGAGTTTTAATGTTAGTATTGTTTTCTCACACACTTCGAATCTATTTCCTCTCAGGTCCGGTGGGGATTGAGGGTTTGATGTTGGATGTAATGTGGTGGCCTGTATTTCTAACTCTCCGTTTCCCCGTCTCTCTCCTCTGCTGTCTCTTCTGTGTGTCTCCCTCTCTCCATTTGTGGAGTAGTGGACTGTGAAGTGCTGGTGCTGTCACCGATGTGTGCTTTCATATTTCCAGTATATCTAATACATTTGCCTTTAAATAGATTACTTTCTCAGCCCTGGGATCATCATTTTTCTCTTTTTCATTGCAGAGGATACAAACTGGTTCCCCAAGGAAAACATGTTCAGCTTTCAAACTGCCACAACGACCATGCAGGCGTGAGTGTCGAGTCTTCACACCAACACACACGTAGAGTTAATGTTCAGTCGAAAAGGTCCAGCTAGTCTTTTTAACGATACAATACTGGTGTATTTGCATATTTTAAGCCATTAAATACAAATTGCATACCTCAAACCACAACAAACTGTTTCCCAAAGCTTTCCATACGTTAAAAGAATGATTTTACCCTCCCAGGCTGCCGTAGATTTTTAATGTCAGCAATAAAACTAGCAGCTTGTGGACCTTAAAGTATCTTCAAGGAGGACAATCCATCAAAGTGAATATGTAGTCAGTCTTTTTTTAATTTTTCTGCTTTCCAACAGCAAATATCCTGTAATTTAATCACGTGTATAAATATTCAGAGTTCTAGTGCTAAGATTTGGGATTTCTCTTAGTTCCCCAAAACAGATTTCTTTAAAAGAGGAGATTGAAAAACATTTGCTGAAGCTTCAGGTATCTGAGTGTTGAATTTCAAAGAATCACTCCTTTTATAAAATATATCAGCATAAGAAAAAAAAATTCATCCACATGGTACCAGCTGCAGCAACAGACTATCTTTGAGCAGTGCTCAGAGCTGAAATGCTCACATTAGCATCATAGCCCTGTCACAATGCAGCTCTGCAGGCCAGCTCTTTACTCATGGAGGTCAACCAGGACACACACTTTTTATCCCTGTGCTGTTTTTCCTCTCCTTGTTTTTTCTTTTACAGGATTTGAGTCCTAACCTTTGTTTTTCTTCTTTCTTTCTTTCTTTCTGCTAATTAATCTCTGGACACCCAAACAGGATTTCGTAAGTAGACTCCCCTGCCTGCCTGCTATTCTTAATCAGCTGGCTACCGCTTGTTTAACTGCTCTTACTTAACTCTTATGTCCACCATGTAACTCTCATCCTGGGGCTGGGTGAGGCCTGCGTGCATGTATGAGTGTGTATGTGTGTATAGATGAGTTTGAGTTCTAGCCTAACTCTAGCCTTACTAACCAAGGCAACATGCATTAAAAAAAACGGAGACCCATCATTCATCATCTAACGCAAAGTTACGTGAACTCAGATGGAGGACTGCTCAGGATGGATAAGTCCTTTAATGATTAATGTAAAAACAGTCAAAGGGGAAGAAATTGAGTCACAGGATTTTTCCTCAGCCAACAATAAAGTCCGGTGTAACCCTCTGCAGCTGAGTACGGCTGCCAAGAACAAGTCAGAAAAATGTGCCCCCTTCTATTGGCTGACCTACACCCTGTTAGCTCACATCCACCCAGCAGCTTTGTCAGTTTGGCACATACCCGTCCCAAATCAGACCACAGGGATAGAAAGAGATTGGCTGCTCAAGTTTTTTTTTTGGTGGCAGCCATGTTCTACATTAATCCTGCTCCACTCTTAGCCAGCTATCACACAGTCTTTGCTGGCCAACATCGCTCGAGTTTGGAAATGACTCTGACAATCTGATCCGCAGAGATAAAACTATTCAGTTGTACTTTGAGAAGATAATTTATAGACTGCACCACACAAAACTTTAGTTCATGAATATCCAGTTTGATATCTGTTTGTTGCAAAGTTCTTCATTCAGTGAAGGGACTCCAGATTGGGCTTGCTGAGATTAAGTAATCTGATCAATGTTAAAACTGAAACCAGTAGAAGTTTATCACACTGAAACCAAGCTGTGGCATTTCATTCTGCACAAATCCAGCTCTAACCACACATCGCCTAACTAAACCAAACTAACCAAAGCTGCTATTAACTTTTTCAAGTTCTTTGTATATTGACCAGAATAACATTAATCGGCTAATTTAAAAGTAATGCTAGGGGATTTTCTAAAGTTATGTAATTATATGTTAATGCTGTGGACTTAAAAAAAAATTCTTGTTATCAACAAATCCCATGAAAGATCAAAACTCCACAAAACAGTAAATTCTTTGGCTAAAAAAATAATTGTTGACCATGTTTGATGGAGTTAAGTCAACCTGGTCCAAGTACCTGAATAGTACCTCAGTCATACACTGAGTTAAACATGGAAGGTTTCAGTAAAGCTGATAAAATGTACGAGTAATTCAGTGAGCTATCAGCACCAAAATGTTTTGATTATATTTAATTTCCGTAAAAATAGGTTTCTTAATTTTGGCGCTTTTGGGGTCTCCTTAACATTTAGTGAGGCCTCTGCTGGACACTTAAGGAACTACAGCTTTTTGCAGCTCTCAACAATGAGAGTTACTGCCTGTGTTTACTACTATTCTAAAATGATTTGTGAGGAAATTTTTAACTGGTTATGAAACAGACTAAAAAATGCATATATTTTACTACAGTAAAGGATTCACAAAGCACATAAGACCATCCGGGGGAAGATTAATGCTTGTTCAGTGTTATAGTTAATGCTAAAAACCACTGGTGCAGGGTAGGAGTCAGATGAAGAGTAAACAGACTTCTTTTAAATCTTTAAGATTCTTATTGTGCGACTATTGTTGACTATTAAAGCTGGAATTCTTTTGTGACCAGACACAATTACTTTAATGGGATTTGTTGACAACAAGAAAAGTAAGAAAAATGGCAGCCTTGGCCTTGATGAGGACATTTTGTTTTAATGGGGGATTTATCAGGCTACTTCCCTCTATTTCCAAATTCTACATACAAACACAATGAAGTAAAGCCGTGTTGGAGATGCTCTCTCTCTCTCTGGCTCTGTCTTTGCTCTTGACAAATGTTCATCAGCTTCACAGAGTCTCAAGATGGCACCTTTCCTGTTTAAAGACAATTGGGACTGTTGAAGACACAATCACACATTGACAGTGATGAATTTCACACCATCTCTGTACTTTGACACATAAAAGTCCAGCCTGAGCACATGGGTATCACTTTCTGCGTGCCAGAACATTCGGAAAGTTTCAAGATAACCGATTTAAAGATTGGACAGCATGAAAGCTCTGCAGTCTTATCCATCACGCTCTGGCCAGTGATACCGCTTCAAAATAAACACAACACACCCTGAAACAACAAATGAGGATTAAATGCAAGGTACAATCTGTGATAAAATTCCCCTCAAACAAACTGTGCCAGAAGGAATTTAATTGAAGTGAGCGGACGTTACCTGAGGTCAAAGGATCTCCATCTCCATCTGAAGAGGGTTTATCTCACATGCAGACACATTCGCTGCAGCTGTGACATTAAAACATCATTTAAGCTAATGACGTAATTTGAATTACAGGTATTTTTATTCAAAGCTAGCTGCTGCCGCCCTTTCACAGCCAAATAAACCCTGCAGCTCAATGCCCTGGCATCAGTCTCCCCGCGCTATCCTACCCCTCAATCCACCAGCATTCCCCCCCTCTCTCATCCCTTTAATACTGTGCCACATCCTGGCAGGGCTTTCCGGGGATTTGTGCAGAGAAAGAGGAGAGTGAGGGAACAGGATTCAGCAGAAGTCATCCAGAGGTACGCTGCCCCTGCTGGGGTTGTGCTTTGCTTGAGCACTGTTTGCGTTCGTTTCTTGCTACAGCTACAATGTCGCTTTTTTTTTTACAGCCGTGTCTAATCTGACTGAGCCTCAGACTCACAAACTGGTACTGGAAGGTGTGAGGATGTCAGCAGCTTTTAAAAGGATCTGCTTACTGGTGCCCTGCTAATATCGCCCCCTTTTTCTAAGCCAGATTAGTCCTGCAACGATGAACCGATTGTTCTTAGATGAAACTTAAATGATAAAAACGGCTGCATAAAAAAAACTTTCTGATAAATCAAGAGTATTATGCATTCTACTGAGTCGCCCAGATTATCCGTTTTGGTGGCATCTAATCTGTAAAGTGTAAGATGTTTTAAGAGGCGGATTTGAGTGAACTTTGACGTATTCATAAGTATCTGAAGCATTCAAACCTGGATTACAGACCGGCATGTTGTTGCAATTTTCTGCTTTAAATATTTATGCACACAAAACAGTTCAAGTCAAAGAGTTAAAGCTTGGGTATTAGTAAAAGTAACACATGAAACACCCATAAAAACACGGCATGTGAGTCTGAAACCCTTAAGGGAGTAATGACATCAGTAACGAGTTCAGAGAGCATCCCACTCAGACCCAGATGCTCCGTCACTCGGGGGGCAGATGGTAAATGTGGCGTCGTGCAGTATGTCTCAATTTCCTTTGACATCTCAGTGTCATCCATCTGCAGTGTCAGAGGATTAACGCAGTGTGTTATTTTATCAGAACTCAAATAGAGGAAAAGAAATTGCGGAGGAAACTTAAAGAACATTGTGCCTCTTTGCTTCAAAAGGGAAACTTGAACCCGGGTGTAAATTCTGCAGCAACCCAAGATCATGAGTCTAAAAAGAAATCTTTTCACGCTTAACACCATAAAGGGTCAGATGGACTATAAAATCCCGTCAGATTTAGGGAGTTTGAAGTCCAACGATTGTGGTCGCCATATTGGAAATGTTAACCCCACCTTAAATACAGTACAATCAATCTAACCACAAAGAAGTAGAGGCAAAGAGGTGGAGCTGAGAAGGGCCTTAAGCCTTCTGGAAAATAGTTACAACATTTTTACCTTTAGCTACCAAGTGTCTCACCAAAGACTAGAGTCTCAACTCTCAAACAGATTGTCTGTCAGTCTAAATGTTGCTTGCTGCATCTTTAGCTGGTATATCCATGTCAGTGTCTAACTCCTCTCCTGGTCAGAAATGATGTTTTACAGAACACAGTCATTGCATTTTCATTCACAGTTAAGTCAAGCTAAGCTAATAAGTTAGTGAGGCGATTTCATTGGACTGCTGTCCTTGTCCCAGTTAAGAAGCACCCTGCAAGAACTGGTTTATTGATAGAAACATGTTCACCTTCATCACGGTCGCACATAATTCCTCTGCTATGTAAAGGACTTTGTGCTACATCTTTTTTGAATGAAAAGCGCTGTACAAATAAAGACTGAAAGACTGAAATGACAAAGGATTAAAAAAAGAGATTTATACCGGCAACTATGATGAGAAGAAGTGTTCACACATCACTGTGGGCAGCATAAGTTTAGGCAGAGGTTACTTTGGGTGAAAACATGTCCATCTGAGTTTAGTGTAAGACCCTTTTATCACAGTAAAAAGTGACAGCTGCTGTCCGTAATTGGGTTCAAGTCGGACTTTTCATCTGAGATTCTGCCGGCATGTCATGATTTTTGTTGTTTACTAAATTAGCATGGAAATGTTGTGTTTGAAGTTGCAGGTTAATTGTTGCTCTGACTCTTTAATAGAGGTAAACCAAGGTCAGAGGCACAACAAAGACAGTTCCTTCCTTCTTTTTTGTCACTTTTATCCATGTGCTTCTCTGGACAAACATGAAACTGTTCACACACACAACACACACACAGAGGTCATTAATCATGAGTGTTTACTGCTAGCTTGCTTGACTGTGGGGATGCGACATGGGAGGGAGAGGCAGGGCGATAAAAGAGTGTTTATCTGGGGCTCTTGCATAGAACATCATGTCAGGATCAGGCAGAAAGTCACAAAGAAAATCTACTCCAATTATGTTGCTTTGTTATTGAAGAATAGGAGCCTTTATAATGTACGTAATTATACACTACAGAGATACGGTTTCATCAGAACATTTTATTGTCACTAGGAAACATAATTACGGATGTTGACTTTTGGAGGCAAACACAATCGGCAAATCCTTGTTCCTGATAAAAAGAAAATCTCTTCATATGTGGAGCTGAGTTTGTTAAAATGTGTGCGCACTCTGGGAAAATGTGCTCATGTAATTTCAAAGAGGATCTATTCTCATCATTAACTTGATTGGAAAACTATCACAAGCCCATTAATAACACGTTTCCTACAGGATAGTAAAAAGGAAACGACACAGATCTAGGATTTTGTTTTCTTTTCTTGTTGTCTAGCTCATGTTTGTCATACAAAGACTGAAACCTTGTCAGTGTGAAGTTTAAGTGACGAGTAAACAAGGCTGTTTTATCATTTCAATGTTTTTTCTTTCTTGTTTTAAATTTTTTGCGTGCTTGAAAGCTCAAAGATCTTTACTGATTACCTCTTAATTTAAAGCCACTGTGGGGTGTTTTTAAAAAGTTTGGAAACAGGCTGAATTTATACTAATATCTTGCTCTGGCCAGCAAATGCAAAAAAAGACCACCAGCAACAAGATAAGTGATGTCTACAGAGTTATTTCTAATGCCTGAAACTACTGTAATGGGGGTAGGTGTTGGACAGCAGGGGAAGAAGCAGCCTTGTTTTACATTTTACGATGAGAGACACATTAGATGTTAAAAGAGCGCAGGATAACATCCTTTACAAAAAAAATACCTCTTTGGCATGTACAGGACAAGCTCTGTGAAATGATGAGAAGCTCATCTTTGCCCACAGAAGACACCAAAACACAAAGTTCCTCAGAGAAGCTTTAAGGAAAGACAAACATTAACAGAGTCCTATTTGACCGAGCTACACCAACATGACTTCAAAGCGATGAAAACAAACAAAGGCACACATTTGTCATTATTCAAGTTATAGTACTAGTACTAGCATAAAAAAGTTGACATCCATTAACGTTCTCCAAAATAAACATTAACAACTCTGTCATGGAGCCCAGCTTAACAGATGTTTCCTCTGTTTGGTCAGAGAATAAAACATTAAAAACACATAATAAGAAAAATAAAGTTTTTTAGGTTCCTTTTTCTCAGTGTGCTGCTCACATTACCACAAAAAGTCTACTGCTTAAAAGGATAGAATAAAATGGTGTTTCATATATCGCTATGCTTTTTAAGGAGGTAAAGGGTACGTTTAAAAAATACTGCTTGTATAAACGATTCTCCAGCTTTAATTTAGCTTGAAGAAAGACAAACCAAACTCCTGCGTGGTCTCGCTAATGAGCCACACATTTTGTAACTATAGGGTCAAAAAGTGCATCACATTAATGAACAGTGTTTCTCTCCTTCTCATTTAATTCTTCACGTTTATAATGTACATTTTTCAGTGTACGCTCCAGGCTGATAAAATTGTACATGAATAATTGGAGCTAACATTAGCATAAAGGCAATCTATACTAATTACTGTCCTGCTCCATAAGACTGACCCCACAGCAGACCTCCTGATGAATAAAGATGTGGATGGACAAAATATCGTCTCCTTGTAGAGCATCATTAGCCTGTGATTAGCCTCAATGAGATGCAGAATTCTGGATACTGCACTTAATGAAGAAACAAAATCAGCTCTGTGTTCCCAGGGTTACTTTAAAGCAAGTTTCTGTGTCTTATTATACAAACCAGCTCATCAAATACAGTCTGATGGATCATAGCAGGTGAAATCAGACTAATGTGTTGTACTCTTAAGCGATAGTGCTGTTAATGTAAAGGGGTTAAGCTGGTTGTAGTTCAACTGAATAGGTGGAGATGTAGGTGTTCAGAGTCAGCAGCAGATTCAGAGAGTCTCTCTGAATGTGGACACTATTCAGTCTCAAAGCTACAATAGCACACAGCAGATGAAAAAGCCTTCGGGGGGGAAATTATTGGAAGTGCGCTGGTTCAGTCTGATCTGCCACAGTGTGAGTATTAAAATCAGACAGTGTGATTGGCCACTCTGGATTCACTCAATAGCTTTTTCTTATTGTGAATCATAAAACTGCAATTAATTATTAATTGAATTATAATGAGGAGGAATACACAAATGAATAGAGATCAGACACAGATGCTGTTGCCTGGAAAGTTAAAGAAATACAGGGACATGTATCTGAAAATGTTTAGATGGATACTGATAAAGAAGTAAATGATTTATTTCAATTGTATTAACTGACTTTGGGTTCTGCCTTCTCTTGTGAAGTTTAAGTTTGGAGCAGCCCAAACAGAACCAACTAGCAAAGGCACCCACGTCTTCTTCTTTTTATTACAAGAGACAACTTTGCTTCACTCCTTATAGTTGATCATTTCTTTCTCACAACATTAAATGACTGAAATGTAAATATTTTTCAGGACTCCATAGAATCTCAGCTGGCTTCAATGAACTAACTTGAACAATCCAACAGAAATATTTCTTATCAATCTGAAAAAAATTTAGTTGATATCTTGGGATCTTACTTTTTATGTTTCCACTTTAAGTTTGAATTCTTTATGCTGGTGAAGTCTGGGCCTATGGTGGGCCAAAAAAAATGCCAGCCAGTCTGCACCAGTCCTCTCAATCCCCACTGGAAGAAACATCTGCAGATGCCCTTATGGTGCAACCTTATATACACATGTAAAAGTCCATGACAAACACAGAAGGGTACTGTAAATGAAAATCAACAATAGTGATTGACCGATTACAGTTTTCTGGTCGCTAATGCTGATTCCAATACCCACAATGGCAAAGACAGGGCTGAAACCAAAGAGGAGTGAGTGGGATATCAGGCATCAGAGTCCTACACTGGGTAGTCAGTTAATTGTTTCACTAGCTGGGTTGTTAACTGAGATTTTTATGAACAAAGCTGTAACCATTTAAGACTGTTTCTCAAAGCTTTCTGGGTTTATTCACATCTTTACAAAGTCGTATTTTTCATATCTCAGCATGGTCCTCAGAGATACTGCGGTTCGTTTTGCAGCACGTTTCTGTTTCTGCATTTATGTTGAACTTTGGCATGTATTTTCCAAGTATAATTGTTTCCACATTTGCAGCAAACGTCTTCTTTGTCAAGTACCTGAACCCCCAGGATAGAGTAGAATTGGAAACATGATTACTGAAATAAAGCCCTGTGTAATTATTATCTCCACTGAACTAAGTAACGAGACACAAACCCATAATTATGCACCAGTTTAGCAAACATGAACTCCCTCTGATGCATCATCACCGCCTTGGATATGGCTTAGAGCAAGACCAAAACCTACAAATGACTAAATCAGGATTTCCCTTTTGGCTGTTGTTACATGAATGAATCTCCTGGGTTTCCTAAATATACGGTGTAAAGCATGAATGAGGTACTTTGGTGATCCATGAAACCCACACCACCCCATCAACATGTATTTTGATAGTGAACTGGATGTATTTGCCTTTTAAAGGTAAATAGAAACATGACACTAAACTCCTCTCTTTCTGTCTTTCCTTGTTTTGTCATTTCCACCCACCCCTCCCTCCCTCCCTCCCTCCTTCCTCTCCCTCGTCTTTACATTTTGGTTCTTCCTCTGTCTTCTGTCATCCCTCCTCTGCTTTGATTTCTTTTCTCCACCCACAGGAACTTCCGGAAGCATCTTCGGATGGTGGGCAGCAGAAGGATTAAAGCACAGAGTGAGTCAGAGATGTGTGTGTGTGTGTGTGTTTGTGTGTATGTGTGTGTGTGGTCGATATATTTACTCAAATTGACTGTGATGTTGTCCAACCCCGCCATCATCAGTGGGTTTGTTTGTGTGTGTGTTTGTTTGTTTGTTTGTTTGTGTTTTCTGCTGTGTTTTTGCATGAGTGGCACCGGACGCTGCTGCTTCGCTGGGGTTTAGTAATGCTCTTTTGCGTTTCCCTTGGGATTACAAGTTCTTACGTGTGTGTATGTGTGCGTGTGTGTGTGTGTGTGTGTGTGTGTGTGTGTGCGTCTGAGTGTGTTTGCTCCAGCTGTTTTCTCATGCTGCATTGCTTTGAATGGTTCGGTAAAGTTTGAAGACAGAGACTTGTTTGTGGAGGCAAAAAGCAGAGGGTTGATATGTGAGGATGGAAGTGTGTGTGTGAGAGAGTTTGGCTGCAGATCTGTATGACGAAGAGAGAAAAACAACAACCCATAAACTCTTTTTTTCGATCATCTGATAGTAATGAGAGCATAACTCTGTTATACATGACTGGTTTGTCGTATTTGCTTGTTTGGAGCTCTGACTCTGATATTGTGTTTATTGACAGGGAGATGGTAAAAGACCAAGCAAACCAGCGTATCCCCATGACCCAATCAGTAAAAAACGAAGTTTCCTCAAAGTTGTTGCCACTTCTTTCACCTAATAACTGTCTGATGCAACAAAACAAGGGGACTCATGCTGGCAGTCTGCACAGTCTGACCTGTTAATGTGCATGTCTAAAATTAAGCTGTTCTGAGGCCATCATGCAGACTGCTGTGTGGAAGGTCATGGTTTACCCTGCCACACCAGACCCCATGGACATAGTTTTTGGATAGATGTTAATTCAACCTCACTTTAATTTACTCAAACAAAACTGAGATGGACTTGAGGCGACTTTCAGTAGATCTTTGCAGTAGTTCTAGTCATGTTTTAGTCAACAAATTTAATATAAAAAGATGAGCAATGGGACTTACTTTTTCCTTTCACAAGGCTTGGTCACGATGAGCTGGGAAGTTTTGGGCGTAAGCATACAGTCAATGGGCGTAAGAAGGATGAATAGGACATCCTGGAGGGGGCGCTGTTTGAGCAGAGCGCCATCACAGCAATTCTCCAGCCAGAGGCTACTGCGCAAATGTATGTTTCAGGAAATAAAGAAAATCCCAAAAAATACTGGGAGCACTTTGTCTTCAAATTTGTACAATGACAGACGGCAGAGTCAAGTTGTCAATACTATATACAGTCTATGAGTCTGTTACAAACAGGTGATGTTGTTTCTGAACTCGTGCTAGTTTCTCAATTGAGATGACATATTTAGTTGAGAAAGGAGCAGATGCACGGAGGGCTGCAAAAGCATTTAAGGGATTAGCCTGAGCCCAGTTTTAAACCAGATGAGGCCTCATAACCAATGATTTTTCAACTGTTTGTTTTTTGATTAAAATACAAAATCATGTTGTTGCTTCTGACAGCCATGTTAAAGTCTGTCTGATACTTAAATTTGCTCTATTACAAGGATTTATCTTGATGCATCACATCTAGCTGATGTTGTGTAAACTGGCCCGAAGCATGCCTGTGCTTTGACAGACATTTGAAGAAAAACTCAAAGCTGTGTTTTAGACTGAATGTTTTTATTAAAAGGACAAAATGTTTTCATCTAATCACAGAATATGTTCCTAATGGAGACCTTCAGTGTTAATTTCAATGGAAATGTCCTTTTGATCATGAAGACGGCGCTCAAAGGTTGACCTTATGTGCACATCTTTTCATGTAATGAAGAGACACTCGTACAAAAAAGAGAACGAGTTAAATGAGCAACAAAATGCAGAGAGGCATTCGCAAAGATCCATCAGCACAGAAACTACAGCGACCAAAGAATTTGGCGCCTTGAGGGACACTGTTGATTAACCGTGTCAAACACTTTCAAGTAGTCTAAAAATATCCAAGACGACTGTGATCACTGTTGAAAGCAGGCAGGATTTTTATCAGAGTTGGAGTAGTAAATCTGTGAAACTAGAGGGGACATTTTGAAACCACTGCGGTGACTAAATGGACCAAAACAAGTGGCAGGATACTTCATAAAGATATATGACTGTTTGTATAATGTCTGTTTGTTCGATGGTTCTGTTTGTGCCGGCATTTGTTTGTTGTGCAGAGGAGGGATGGCGTTGTATGTCCTCTATATTTGTGCATTTGTAGCTGCATCTGCCTTTGCACTTCTGTGTTCTAGGTGGTGAGTGTGTACAGAATATATGGGCCAGTTTTGGGGGCTTGTTGGTGTGTTGGTGTGGGCAAGTGGAGTGTACGTTTGTGACTATCTCTCCCCCACCTGCACTAGCATTCGCTGAGCGTAGATCGAAGAGTTTCAGCCGTTCCTGGAGTGACCCCACCCCTGTCAAGACTGACTCTGAGCCCAAAGACAGTGAGTTCACACAGAATCAGGCACGTGCATGTACACAGTCTCATAGATTCACACATACCCACTCAAAACACACCCACAGACGCAAATAAAAACAGACTTCTAGTAGGAGCCAAGGAAACTCTCTAGGGGATAATAGAGGTTTTAGCCCACAGCTATGGGACATCACCAGTCACTGAAAAAACTCCCCACTTGGCCTGAGGAGGGCGATCGAGTGCAACAAGCAGGTTCACAAAGCTCAATAGTCAGTTCATGCGATTAACCAATCAGCTGTCAGATGAGGTGATTATCCTGGATAGTGTCACCAGCAGAATTATTCTTGCTTTGTGGTGGTTCTTGAGTGGAGTGGCTTACTTTTTGGACTAAAAAAGCTTGTGGTAAAAAAAGAAGACTGACTTAAATATCTAGTAAGGGGGTCTAGACATAAAAACCACATCTCAGTATCAGACAAACATGACACTAAATAACATTAATTTAAATCGTAGATCTCTTTATAAGAAATCGTCTCTGGGTATATAAATGAAAACTGCAGTGGATTGGCATTAACAATGACACCATGCTGTGTTTTCACTTCCACACTTTGTAAAAAGAACCCAGTTGTATTTATCTTTACACAGTCGACACTTACATGCGGTGGAAAAGCTAACCCCCAAAAATGTATGTGTGAACGGGAATCTCTGAATAATCAGAAAAGAAAGGAATAAAGAGTACGACTTAGTGCTTACACTTCAATGACATAATGCTTCAATCACACTTGCAAGATTAAATTTGAGCTCAGCTTCCGTCGGTCTTAATGTTCAAACGAAATCTAAGTACCCACTGGAGTAGCTGCAGTTTCTGGATTAATTCTCCAGCTCCATTACATGCAGCAGTTTAGATTATGCTCGAGCGTTTTAATGGTCAGTACGAAGATTAGGAAGGGTTGTTTTACTATGCAGATTGTCACTTTTGTTCCCTAGTATGCATACTTCTACTGGTTGAAGTATTTTTCTCCAAGAACAGCTGCAGTGAGGTCTGACATTACTCCTCTGACCCTTGGTGTCCTCGGGTTTTGACTGGCAGGTTCATAAGCCCCTATTTACTTTATGCTTGCGCAGTACTTTTTTCTTATTAATTAATGTCCTCTGACAGGTAGCTCTGATGGAGTTGAAAGCCACTCAGCAGCATTTCCAAACCATAAAGAAGGACCGGTAATCAGCACTTTGATAAATGAGCCGCCGACTTCAAGTACAGCTGGCGTAAGGCCCAATCATCTGTAGCCTCAAATGGAGGTCAGCCGAGAAACTGCTTCAACAAAGTGCAAGATCTTAAATCAACAATTGAAACAAATCGTCAGACTGTGGAGTGTTGAAGTCTGAGGTACAGTTAACAAGGTGCAATTGAAGGAAATCAAGGATTTACCATAAAAAAGTTTGACATGCTTTTACAGTTTGATTCTTTCTCACTCAGAAATGCAAATGAATCCACGGGTATCTGGTTAAAGACGCATTTTGAAAAGGGTGTTGCAAAGAAAACTGATTCTGGACACTATTGGACAGATTTATAACCTGTTACTAACGACGTTTACATGTGCACAAATAATCAGAATAAAAACAGTGTCATGTAAACATGTCGATCAGAACATTGTGATCTAATTTAGCTCAATCGGAAAGAAATTGTATTCTGATCAAGAGGGATGGTTAATGCTAGTCGTTATTCCAAAACATGTCCATGTCAACACTTCTTCCGACCCTGACTCTCTAACCTGACTCAATCTTCACTCTTTGGCCTTTAGCTTATTTATTGAGGCCAGTTCAGGAGGTTTTAATATTAACACTCTGTCACAAAACACAACTGCAGGTGTTGTGTCTGCTCCTCCGATAACATAACAAGGCATACATACAGCGTAATGATGTTACATCTACATGCACAGCGCAATCTTTGACAGAACAGTAAAATAAGTACGCAAGGGCGCCATCTAGTGACGATAATTAACAGGGGGGAAACATCCTGAATTGGATTGAGTTAGCCACTACTGTGTTTGTTGGTTTGTTGACAGCACAGGCGTAAATACAACTCTTCTTCTGTGGTTGTTTTAGCGAAATTAGACATCTCTGTGCATTTCCAAATACTTCTAACCTGAATAAAGCTCGGTGCATGTATACGCATGTCATGATCAAGAAGTTTTGCACATGTAAACATGGCTACAATAATGGAAACACAACAATCACACACACACACACACACTCACAAAGAGGGAAAAACAAACAAACAGCAGCTCTTCACTCTAACTCGCTCCATGTATAAACAGTGGTTATAAGCCCGGCCAGGATAATGTCGTATTTCAGTGGCAGGCAGACTCGAGCCATTGTGCCAGACTTTATAAAACACAAGCGGCACATTTGTCTTATTTCCAGGCTACTTTATAGGCCACCAGGCAGGATGTCTGCTATAACTCACACTTTTATCCGTACACAGTTGGAATAACTGTAGTTAACAAAAAAAAGTTAACGCCATGTTTTTATAACTTAGATTTTTAGTCTGGATAAAAAACAAAACCCCAAACAGGACCCCCACAATGACAGCACACTCCACGCTGACTTTTGGTCACAGTCTCGTTGGTCAGTTTCTGGTGTTGGCAGATCAAGAAGACACATGAAATCCACATGACATTCACACATGAAGTGAACGATCACACGTCCAAACTGACTGTCTCTGCTGTGACTCTGATCCTGTCCATCTGTCTCCCTATGACCGTGGGTCTTTCTCCAACTGTGTGGTGCTCTCTTTCTGTGAGTATGTCAAACTGAGAGTGTGTGTCTCGGTCAGAGTGTGTCAGCAGCGAGTGATGTTAACCCCAGGGTGTGTATGAAGTGTGTCTCGTTGCTCCTAAAAGGCTTTCGATATGTGTATCAACACACACTGTTAGCATGTGCTGTTTGTCTCTGTCGGCGTCTCTGTGGTTTGATGTTTCTCCACCTCCATAGTCAGTGTTTCTGCGTTTCAGAGTGTGATGAAAGATGAATGAAGTGTCGATAACAATGCAATGATGTGGTTTGTGCCTCTTTTTTTTTTCTTTTTCTGGTGGAAAGACGTTATTCTCTGAAAGGATGTTGTTATTTTCCCATTTCATTCCTCCTTTTTCATTCTCTGCAGATTTCTCTCTCACATTGAACTCGACATCGACCGATAATCAAGTTTAGACACTAATACCTACAAAGTCAAAGTGTTCAAATTGTCTGTCAGGGATGTTTAAACGGGCTGCTGGTGGCCGGTTAGTGCCTTCAGTTGTGACTATGGAGAACCTACTGAGCGTTAAGCAAAGGAGATTTATGTGTCTCCACTCAACTGTTGTTATTTTTAAAGTAAATCAATAACACAGAGCTATATAGCAGCTGTGAGATACTGAAATATTAGTTGTTTAAGTAAATATTAGGGAAATGCAGTTCATTTTTGAGGGTGTACTCACAACCCCGCCCGATCCGTACCCATGTCAGTACCCGTTGTAGGTGTCAGAAAAGCCCCCGGCTAAGGAAACGGCACACTTATCCAACAATCATGCAGTTTTGCCTCAAGCTTACTGCCACAGTGTTGTTTCTCGTCTCTGTTGATGTGAATTTTTCAGCAAACAAATCAAGAACAGCAGTGTTGGCAGATTTCTGATGCAATTATCCAAATGAAAATGAAATGACTAAATGATCACAACGAGCACATCCTGAAAAACAACATACGTGTCAACGCAGCTGACATTCTCAGCTCCTTGTCAGGCATTAACATGTCCCCACAACACAAGTGAACACTCGTGATCAGATCCTCTTTTCCCACTTCAAATAGGCAACATAGCCTCATACACCTTCATCGGCCTTTAAAAAACATCAAAAATAACGATGAGTAACACTCAGAGGGTGGAGATAACAGAACTTCTGCAGCTGAGTAAGTGAGAGGTAGCAGTTGAACTCGGACAGGAGGGAAGACGTGACCCAAAAACTTCCTTTTGATCAAGAAACCTGATGATGATGCAGATCCATGTTATATCTGCAGGTCTCATCTATAAGGGGTGTGTCTCTGCATCCACACAGGGCTGGACTAATTGACATGTTAGGAACTGGTTGTGGGTCATATTTGCTCCCTGCATGCAGGCATCATCTGGCCCCCTCAGCTTGATTGGAAACTAAAATACTTGGACTTTAAAGCTTAAAGCATAAGTCCATGTTTACATTTTCGGATTTACATGAATGATTGAAATCCAGTCACGAACAACCCTGTTACTATGTTGTTTTCTCCCTCCTTCTGTGAAAAAGTAATATTTTCATTGTTGATTCTTTGAACAAATGAGTTTGTCGCCACTTTAATGAATCCCCCTCTGGCTATAGAATAATTGGACAGCTGTGTGTTAGTGAAAGGAAGCCTATGATGATGAATATCTTAATGATTCATTTGTTTCTTGATTAAATTACTTCAGTTTGGAAAATGTTTATGGTGTTTGAACCCTAATTCACACATTCTGTGTTATAAGCCACAATCAAAGAGAGTCACAGTACAGGCTTCTGTTAAGTGTTGGTATAGAAACAGCTGTGATCTCCTGAAAACACTGACATTTTCCCAACTAGACTGTATAACACTATTTTTATAAGAATAACCTTCTGGTCTTTTTTAGTTATGATGGTATACTTCTATGTAATGTCTATTGAAGTGATGTCATTGTAAAAGTGAACACAGACAAGTAATATAAATGTGGAATATCAAAGATATTGGTTCATAATACCTTCAACTCCTTTGACCTACAGACAGATCTTCATATCTCTGTATGTCATTATGTTATTATTACACTTTTCTCAATTTTTCCTTCTATCATTTCCTTACGTCAGCACCGTTATTAAACACTCCTCCCTCTCCTCACTTCGCCTCTCTTCACTATCTGGACATGTCCGTCCTTCACTCTGAGATTTCTTCCTTCAGTGTCACCTCTCTTGGCTCCCACCCCACACTTGTGCCCATTATCTCTGTTCTTTTCTTTATCGGTGTGATATATTTTCTTCCAGGCGGAGACTTACAGGCCTCCTGTGGTACCCTGGACGAGGGAGGTGTTGATGACAATGTCGACTGGGAGGAGGAGAGAGAGATGGAGCGGCTGGCCTGTGAAGGAGATGACTTTGTACCTCCAAAAATCATGGTAAAAGTCATCATACAAATACATTCGCATATGGATTGATTTCCTAAACAAGTCACAAAACTGCCATGATCATATCAGCTAGAAAAAATAGTAAAACTGAATACAGCTCACTGGATTAAAGAAGGGAAACTATCTAGAAGCTGTACCGTAATCTTTAAAAAATAATCTGGATTAATCCTCCTTTTATACCTGCACAAAGGTATAAACTAGATTGTTTTAGTTAAGATAAGATCAGATAAGATGAGAAGTACTTTATTGATCCCCAAAAGGGAAATTCAATAATGGTAATGGTACTTAAGCACATCACGCTGAGAGAAAAATAGAATAAATTAGCTTCAATAAACTTAATCAGATAAATTAGTATGCAGGTGAAGTATCTGAGCAGCTTAGAGATTCTCTATCACACACCTGTGAATTTATCAGGGAGCTCAATCCCTCATGGAAAATAATTTCCCTTTTTTAATTTTCCTGCTGTTCTCTCTCTCTTTTCTGTACCTAGCATCCAAATAAAACACCCTCTCTCCTTCCTCTGTTTCTCCTTCACCTTTAGTTGATCTCTTCCAAGGTGCCCAAGGCAGAATACGTTCCTACCATCATCCGCAGGGATGACCCGTCCATCATCCCAATCCTTTATGTGAGTTGACTACACTTAATTGACACATGCCAACACGCACAGGACACATAAATTATCAAGCATATAAACTGTTGAGTTAGAAGGTGGTACGACTCTGTGTTAACGCCTGTATTTCACAGCACTAAATAACTGTTTGATGTGAATGTGGTTTTCTTTAGGACCATGAACATGCGACTTTTGATGATATTTTGGGTGAGTACATACACTCTTTTTATCCAATTCTTATTATATTATACCCATATATTAACTTATATCTATATAAATATGACAATGACTTAAAAAACAGCAAAGAAAAGTACATTTGTAACATAACAGTAATGTTGTAAGTGGTTTTAAGGTTAAAAATAAGTCTGGTACTCGGATCTAACTCTTAGACTGCCTTCATGAAGATTCAGTTGCTTGTAAAAACTGCCAGTTCTTCTTTAGTTCCTCTGATAATTTAGTCAGGTTCATGATCCTAAGCAGTTTGCCTGAGGAGAAACTCTGTTCGACACTTAAGGTCAGAAAAACATCCCCAGGCTCAACCTTAGCTGCAGGCTAATCTCTTGAATAAGTAATAATCACAGAATCAAATCCTGCAAAATTACTCAAATCATACTGTTAAAATATTTTTCTGCGTTTTAAAAATAATCATCTTGGTGTTTTCTGGAAAATTCATAAACACTACTCTTACAGAAATATTTATACCTTATTGCGTATGAATTTTCCATCATGTTAAATTACTTAGATTTGACATAAACAGGCTGATAAACCTTTTGTGCTGCATATTTGTCAGTCAAATGTAAATGAAACGATTAAGAATTAGATTTATGTAATAATACCAATAAATCCAATGTGTTTAGAATGAATAATGACAGATTGATGTATTCATCAGAGAACTCCAATTAGTTTCTGTCTCATAAATTTTAACTAAATGAATCTAAATAAATGATTTAAAGCTCGTCATATTTAAACTATATCCATACATTTTAACTGATTAAATTAAATTGTTTGTAGAATAAAAGATTTATGCTGATTTTCAGAAACTGAATTTATTCTAAGAATATGTAATAATTTAAATAAAATAAATAGATGTAAACACTTCAACATAAACCATGCCATGATTTCTTTTTCCGAGTGTGCTTTAAAAGCGCTCATGCAGTTATTGGAAGTCTGTCAGGGAGTAATTTATATATATTGATTCAAACTGTACTTTTTCATTGACCTGTTTTATTTGGCTGCTGCTGTATGTACACACACACACAGCTGGACTGAATTTAAACACCACCTTCTAGTAATGTCTCCACTGTCTATGACAACTACTCGTCCTCCAGAGACCCCCTTTGTGTTCCCTGTTCACATCAGTCCCTGTCTCTGCTCACTGCCACACCTGTCTCCCTATAGTACCTTCTCTTTGCACCTCAATCCCTTTTCTCTGCTTCAATCAACATTTTTTTTTTGTTCTTGATCTCAGAGGAAATAGAGAAGAAGCTCACGGCTTACAGGAGAGGGAGCAAGTTCTGGAGGATGCTCATCTTCTGTCAGGTGAGGGAGAAAATGACAAGGGATAAAAGCGCTGCCAAATTATTTGTAAAACTGCGGGGTTTTCCGGGGATGTACGGCATTAAGCGTTTATTGTGTGCACTACTTGTGGATTTTTCAGTGAAGCTGCTTTAAGTAGTTTCCTTTGGGATCTAATCTCTTAAGATCGTAATTAGATGGAGGCAAATTAGCAGCTGTGATAGTGCTAATGTATTTTATTTCTTTGCGCGTACATGTGCGTGTGTGTGTATGTGTGTCTGTGTGTGTGTGTGTGTTTCTCAGGGAGGCCCCGGTCACCTGTATTTACTGAAGAATAAAGTGGCCACCTTTGCTAAGGTGGAAAAGGAGGAGGACATGAGCCAGTAAGTAACAGCAGGACCACTGCGTCTGTGTCTGTTAAACAAATATGTGTATAAGTTAAAGTAAAACCTCTCATTTCAAATGACAGATTAGATTATTATTCAATTTAATGATGTTTGGAGCACGTGATCAGAAATCCAAGTACTTTACTGGGCTGTAAGAATAATGTAATATGAAGGTTTTTCATTTTACATTGGGCCTTTGTCTACAATAGCGAAGATCAGCTCGGTATCACAGTGTTGCCTAGAATGGCTGCGCCTCCTTTTGAGTGACATACATGCTGCAAAAGTGCTGGAAATCCCCAGCAGCCCCACATCTCTAACTGTAAATGTAAAATGAGAGTTTTCTTTGCTTCCATTAAGGATGAGTGATGGGGTGAAAGTGGTAAACTGGTGTTATGTCCCTTCTGGTTTTCAAACCTGCAGCTGTGTTGAAACAACAACAACAGCAGCTCCTGTTACTTCACACATTTAAATCCATCATTTGGGGGATTTTTATGGAGCATCTCTTGTATGTAGACAAAACCTATCATTTGAATGAGCCCTAAACCAAAGACACTTTGAAATACTAGAGTAAAAATACAGTTTTAAAAGAGCTGCTTACCCTGCAGCGTACTGAAACTACACTCAACACAAATAACACAGTTAACAAACTCAGGGTGAAGTTTATGAAACCTTCAGTTACAAATCCAGACTAAGACGACTCTCCTGTTATCACGTCTTTACTAAATAACTAAAATCACAGTGTATTTATATACTTGACAGCACATTGATTTGGGCTTTAAATTAAAACAGTGTGAAATTCTTATCTTAGGGTAATAAAGTGTCACACCATGAAGCTTATATTCACCCAAAAAGAGGCGGGGTCACAACTTCACAGTAAGGTAGACTGATGAGGCGCTCCCAGATATCTTACACATGAATTTATTTTTATTTGTACACTCAGGGTATCAGAGAATTAAATGCAGGTTCATAATGCCAATGCTATTCACTCAGTCTTTATTCTTTCATATATCTGATCAGGTCCTCTTTGAACAAACATGTTTATTTGGATAATCCCATTCTGTTCTCACATTACATTTCTCAACTTTTCTAAGGGATCTATTACTCCATTTGGAAATTTGTTACAAAGACAGTAACTCCAGATATAAGGGTCACCTTTTTGACTACGGTAGATTTTGTTAAAACAATTTCTTCTGTTCCAGTGTGTGATAGTAAAACACGTAAAAAAGTTACACCTGTCTATTTCAGACGTCTCCTCTTCAAAGTTACTTTAAGTGTAAGAACTTGGTTAACTCTTTATTGTTCTCTTGTGGAACTAAATCATGGAAACTGTTCACCAGATTGATGATGTTAAAAAGGAAAATAATGCAGATTTTCTTTGTTTAGATTCTGGAGGAGACTGAGTCGCTTCATGAGCAAAGTCAACCCAGAACCCAACCTCATCCATATAATGGGATGTTACGTCCTGGGCAATCCCAATGGAGAGAAGGTACCCACACACACACACACACACACACACACACACACACACACACACACACACACACACACACACACACACACACACAGGCAGCTTTATGAAGATGCAGAATGAAGACCAAGGAGACTGATTAAACACGAGGATGCTGGTGCTTTCTCCAACTAATACCAAACCCAAGGGACATGACAGCAGCAGCAGCAGCCAGGTCCAGTTAATTAATGGTAAAACAAAACTTTGACAATCAGCGAGAACGGACAGTAACTTTATATTTCCTGTAGAACAAATTTCAGAAAAAAAAACTGGGGTGAGTGCACATATACGTGTATATATAGTATATATATATATGATATAGTTTGAAGCCTAAAGTGTACAAACACCTCACTGAGCAATAGACGGCTATTAGACATCTGGTTTTTCTTTAGACCTAATTTCAACCATCTAGACGCTGTATATTTTTCGATGGAATTTAGACGTTGCACTTTAACCCATTATCCAATTACTGTTTATTTCAAAAAGCAACTGTGAGTTGCATAACTGACATCTAAAAAACTTTCATTTTTCGACCTGTGATAGCCTGATTTTAGACCAGTCGTCAAGGCTACATTTAGACGTCTATTAGACCGCTTTTAGACCTAAAAATGCTCAGTGGGACTGTTGTTTCCAGTCTTTTGTCCTTACAGCTCATACCTCACTCACTCCTCATTCCCTGTTTGCTGCCCTCTGCTGTGACTGTGTCTGTTTCACTCCCTTTTGTCTGGTAATAGTCATATTATCCTCCCAGCTGCCTTAGTTTTCTCCCCTCTCTCCCCCCACGCTGGTGGCTATAATCAAACTCTGTGTAATGGTGCTGGATATGGTTGGGAGCACATATTGGTGGTGACACTATGAAGAGGAGACAGAACCACATTGACACATTAAAGGAAACACAAAACAAACACAAACACGCTGGCAGACACACATGCTCGCCATAGCCAGTGGTGTTTGTTCGACCTAACTGTCTGTTTCAGTCATGTCTGCCAAAACGCTTTGTTATATAAAGAGGATCTCTGTGGGGTTGATGGACAGTCTGGCAGTCTGCAGAACAGACTGCACATCAATGATATCTCCACCCCCTCCAGACAAACACGAACACATGCAGTTGTTTCATAAGAGCTCCAGTCCAACAAAACCAAATTGGTGTTTTCGTATTTTGTTTCAAGGGTTCAGTCTGGTCCCAGGATCCCAAAGTGATATTATTATTATGCAAGGGGCTCGTACTCTGGAGTCCTCATGAAATCACAGTCAAGAAAAAGGATTTATTCTGCTGTCTGAATTTCAAACAGGACCTCAGGATCATTAAGTAACAAAGCAACCTGTGTAGCAAAGCTTTCGGATCCAAAGTGAGGCATGGCGAGACAGAAGACATTTTTGTCCAAACTAAGAGTTCACACACACACACTTACATCCTAATACTGTTCATACAAACAAGTGCAGTTATGCTAGGCGTAATCTTAGAGAGTATATTTAAGTATATCTTAGATAATGACTGACTGAAGCTTGCAGCTGTAGTGGAGCAAACCGCAGCCTCTGTTATTAAGAAGTAAAGCCAATGCAGATGTGCTAAAAAAGTTCCCTGAGTGCCCCCTTGAGGCCAGCTGCAGAAGCACCAGTAACCATGTGCACACTTATTCAAAAAAGCCTCTTTTAAGAGCAAAAAGAAACACAGGCAGGTCCGAACAGTGCAGGCCCCCCTCAGCACCCGTGTTTTTTATACCGTGTTTGTTTCAAAGTTATTAAGGTTACAAAATCAGTGACGATCTTGGCTTCATTTTAGCAACAAAGGCCACAGAACTTATGAAATGTCACAGCAGTTGTTTGGAAACTCACCTCGGAGTGCAGCAATACAAACAAAAAGCTCAGGAAGGAGAACAGCAGGGGAGCAGGTCAGGAAGATAACCTGACCCAGTTTCCGCCTACAGATTTTCAAGCATGTCAGCGCAAAATGAGCAGCCATCTGAGCTGAGTTGCTGCTGAGAGCTTGTTTGAAACCACCTACGATGGAAAGAAAACTTCCTGGGTTGCAACACATTATTTAGAGATACTTATTTGGCTTTCTCTGATCCGAGGACACCTGTGCCACCCACACCTCTTGACCAATTTGTCCCCCATGTCTGGCATCTAACCACCTTCTTTCATCTTCTTTCAAAGGAGTGCAAACACAAGTAATGAAAGCTCCTTTTTTCCCTCACCAGCTCTGTTTTAACATCATAAAGAAAAACAGGGACACATTTGGTCTTTGATATCACTGAGGAGTCGGTTAATGAAATCCTTCGTGAGTAAAATCAAGCAAGAAATCAGAGAAATTCAGTTTTTAATGTGCAAAGCAGCGCTGCCTGTCTGGGGCAACAAACTCCAGAACGCAAAATAAATTTAAGAGAGACTTCAGTTTGGAGATTTTGATGCCGACAAAAAGGGTTTAGTCAAAATATTTAAAGTCAGTCACTTCATCTGCAAACTTTGTGAGGAGCAGGAGCCGCAGTTTGAGAATCAATCTTCTAATCAGCTTCTTAGTTAAATTCTAAATATCATAACACTGTAGGACTTTGAGGACTGCAAATATAAACTATCATTTTCTATTTTACTAAAGTTTGAAATTCAGAAACCCTTCATGGCAGTCTTTCTTTGGGACATCTGCTCTTAGTCTATCAGATGACGTGGGAAAGTGATGTTACTCAAACAAAAGCAGATGTGCTCTCATTCCTTATTTACCTGCTCAGGTAAAAAGTGTCTGTTTGGCATTTGGGCAGTAATAAGCTGGATTCATGGCCCTTCTTTGCCTAGTTTTGATGCTTTTTGTGCATGTTGCATCTGAAGATGGATACCCTCGCATCATACTCTGCCCGATGCGAGTGCAGTCAGATTAATTGGCGTGCGCTCTCTTATCTCTGCCCAACAGCTGTTCCAGAAGCTGAAGAATCTGATGAGGCCTTATTCTGTCGAGTTTGAGTCGCCGCTGGAGCTGTCGGCACAGGGTGGGTCTGAACAGTCATGCAATATCCTCCAAACAGGGACACATACACACAAATGTCACTGACATACAGCACATGTTTTGTACTGTTAAGTTGTTTTTCTTTGCAACCTTAAAGGGATATTACACTGTAAATTTAAGTTATGGTCAAACATACTGTAACATCCAGTTAGACACCCCCTTGAGAGATGAATGTTGCTGACTGCTTACTTCTCTAGTTATATCACCTTTAGTAACGACCGCAAGATAACTTCATCAACAGTACATACAGGGTCCCAGTCATAGTACTAGCCACAAAACATGTTGTTAGCTTTGCCTGATTTCTTTAGCAAAGAGACTAAACACAACTCACCCACTCTCCTCCAGCAGCCGCTTGTTTGTTGGGGGAGCCCTGACGAGCGTCTTGGTCTTATTGCATTTGCATGAAGAAATTATCATAAATGTTCTTCCTTGAGCTGCGAAACTCCGCTGCACTCAGTGATCGACTCGTCAGGGCACTTCCTACAAACAGGCGGCTGCTGGAGGAGAGTGGGTGAGTCGTATTTGGTCTCTTTGCTAAAGAAATCAGGCAAAGCTAAAAAGATGTTTGATGGCTAGTACTACGGCTGGGACCCTATATGTCCTGTTGATAAAATTAGGTGCTGTTCTGAGCATTATTTGTGACTTTAGAGTGGCTCTTTGGTTGAGGTTTGCATGTGGAGATGTAGACTACTGTGTATTGCTATCGTGCGGTCGTTACTCAGCAACAGTCATCTCTCTTGGGGGTGTTTAACTCGGTGTTATGGTGAGTTTGACCATAACTTAAATAAACGCCAGAATATCCCTTTAACTCCAACATTGTGTACCATCTAACTTTTCCCGTCATGTCCCATTTTTCAATCAAGGCAAAGAGATGATTGAGATGTACTTCGACTTTCGCCTGTACCGTCTCTGGAAGACACGCCAGCACTCGAAACTGTTGGACTATGAGGATTTTTTGTGACAAAGAAACCCGGATAATGGGCCAAGCTGAGCCATTCATTGCCACGAGTAACCTGTTAAAACTGATCCAAGACTGAACTCTGCTTAACTGTAGTGCTCAACCACGAAGCTCAAAGTAAACCTGAAACGATCATATCTGCTGTCATTCTGGAGAGGAGGAAGAGGAGTGGCAGAACAAGAAGGCTGAAGAGAAAGTCAAACATGCTGTGCCTCTGCTCCTCCTCATTTTCAGAAAAAGACTCGCATCCAAGGGCAGAAAAAATAAAAGATACAAGAAGGAAAGAGCTGAGACACCTGGACTGTCCACGTCTAACTCCGACCTCTTGATCTCAAAAGCAAGATGAGAATTAAACATTGAAATAAGAGTGTAAAAAGAATATGATTTTATCACCAAACTGCTGAAAATCATCTGTCATAATGTGGTTCTGTGTTTTGACTGGACCCTCTCAGATAATCTCAGATTATACATATAAATCCATCTGTTACTGTGTGTATATATAAATCATATGATTATATTAGCATAGCTTTAGTCATGCAAATAATACCCCATATGAGAATAATGATGCATCATTTATTTTTGATGTGCATTGTTGTGCAGTTTCATATGGAAATACTTTGGAACAACTCAGGTTTTAGCCATAACGTAATTAATCTGTTTGTCTTCTATCAAGATATTGTAATCCTCATCCCCATCACTCGGAGTGAATGTATTATCTCTCTAGAAATGTACCTAAAGTTTGAGAAATCGAGCTTAATGTTTTGGTTTGGAAAAAAAGGTATAATGTGCTGATTTTGTGCGCGAGTGTGCGGATGTGCGTGTGTTTTCCATGTTGAAAAAAGTAACCATGCCGATGTATCGTGTGTAGTTTCTCTTTCTGCTTCTCTGCTTAAGCAAGAATAATCGTTCATCATCCTCATCATTCAAACTTCGTCTTTCTGTCACATTCATTCACAAACACTAAGACATTATCGTGTGAATCATGATGTCAAGAGGGATCTAACAGCCATCCAAGTGCTCCTGCCCCTGTAGTGGAGGAGTTGCCCCTGCGATCCCTCCCGTTCTTTTTGCAAAAGGTTGAGGCCACTTAGTCGGCCCCCGTCAACAGTGCCAGCTGCTCTCGCTGTCTGCCAAACACTCGCGGCTTCTCCTAATGGCAGCCTAACGAGCTTCCGCCACCTTTCACTGGGCTGTGATCCAGTCTGCAGACCCAAGTTCTCTGAATTAAGCAGATCAGCCTGGAGTTTGAGCTGTTAACAGCCATCTGCTGCCCCTGCCAGGTGTCAGCCAGGTAAAAGGCCCCGAGTATGGACCCAGAGTCCAAGACCATCGCCGCAGTACCTGAGTGACCTGAGCTGTTTTGACGAGATTAAGGACGGTCAACTACGGAGAGTCACAGCTGAGCCAGCTGGCTGACAGCTTTCTGAAACAAGTATGCAAGAGCTCACACACACACAGACACACACACACACAAGGACACACAAACGCACACACAAATCGATAGGGCTGGGTTAAAAAACAAGCTATATTTGGAAAAGTCGTTGGATACAAAGAGCTGCCAATCAATCAAGATTTGACAGGATGCCTTTTGTGGCAAAATGTGAATCAACACATAACTGCATCCAGACGTACAACCTTTACTTTCTTCAGGGTTTCAGGCCTTTATCTTTTTTAGGAAAGTCCTGTGGATAGTGTTTGGGAACATGGAAATACAGAGTCGGGGATAAGATGCTGTAAAGGGTCACAGATGAAATTTGATCTGTGTCGCCTCCTTCTTGGACTGTAGCTCCTGTAGATTTGGTGGAAAGGTTGCCTTGGACTTATGTGATCTTCTTTTTTGATTTATCTCAAAACAAGGCTCGTGAACATCAAACTGTTATAAAATAGACTTAAAAACTGAGATTATAATACCAGTAAGAAGCTGTTTACTTTGGTCATGAGAAGAGAGATAAGGTTATTTTCTCATTGACTTACACAGTATATTTGTAACTTATCTGCACAAGGCGCTTCAGCCTGTTTCTTACCTAAACAGAGAGTTTACTGAGTTCAACCAAAGCGGCTCGAACAGAAAAGGAAAACATTTTCTTGACTACAGACAGAAACCTGAATGCTTTAGATGCCTACTTTGTCTGTAGACTGCAGATATCTACATTCTCATTGCCTGTTTATTAGGAATCTTTTACCGTTGGCGAACAAAGGTGAAGGTGAATAAGTATGAACTCGGTTTAATGAAAGATTCCATCCAGCTGTGTTGTTATGAGACATTATTTAAATGAGGTAGTGAAAGATTGGACATATTGTGTTTGCTCTAAATTCATGTAAACAAAATCCAGTTTATTTACCAAGAAATACTTTTTAATCAACAGTAATTTGCACTCTGTAATAACAAACCAGCTCCCATGGCACATAATCTGAATTAGATATTTGACCTCTAACATGGAAGTCTCCAGACTGGTCCCCAGAACTTAGCCGGGGTCTAGTTTTTAGGGTCTTTTTTTTCTACAAAGCTTGTATAACTTGTTTGTTGACCTGTTTCTGTGCTTTTTCATGTCTCTTGTCAGGAATGATTGTCAATGTAGCAAAGGAGCAAGGGGACAGTGGGATGTACCACTGTCAGGACAAGATAGGGGGGTTTTAACTATATGGAGAAAGAGATTTTGGTTACTTAACACAAGGGGGCCCAGGCCCTGCATAACACACATAACACACACACACACACACATACAAACTCGAGCAAAGATGTTCTACATCTGTGTTTGTTGAATATTTTCTTCTTGTCATGATTGTGTGTTAATATTTGGAGCATTATGTGCAGATTTGTTGCGTTGAAGTCTCTCTGTAGGGCTCTCTAGTTCACAACAAGCAGAACTCTGTTTTTTTATTTGCGTTTGCCCTCTCTCTGACATTGCAGTGCTGGCCTACACAAAGTCTGGCGCAGACAAGTGCTCTCTCAGCCTGAGTCGTGCAGTAAATGTTTCACTACAGATTTTAAAAAATTCAACAGTTACACAACCTGTCAAATCACTGAAACACTTTAATTCCAGCATTAGCATCAAGCTGCCACGTACTCAAAGATGTTGCTCTCAACAGCTGCGTATATTTTCAGAACTTTACCCTGAGCTTTTTAGGACAGTGGTTTACGTGCAAAATGGCATTATAAAGGATTCAACTAATTGAAAAAATCTTTTTCTTACGCCATAAAAAACAAATCTCACACCCTGGCTATAAAATACATAAAGAACCTCTCATCTACCCTCTCAGTTTGAATTAACTGGGCTGAATGGACCGTGATGTGAGGAGCACTCTGACTCAGGAGTTTGAGAGAACTTTCTTGTTTCCTTATTCATCAACATTTCATTGGAAATCTAATTAAAGATGCAAATGTGTCTATCTGTCCCTTTCGATCTGAGGTGTTTTCTTTGTCTTCTCATTTCATCACACACTCTGGGAAAGTCAAACTAAAGAAAACGAGAAAGGCTTACAGCGTTTCCACTGGGTATGATTTTCCATTATGAAGGATCGGCCAACAGCAAACACAGGCAGCGTGCGCTCTTCATTCTGGCTTTTTATTTCATTAAAGTTATGAGAAGAGCAGGTTTGATCTTGACTGGCACCGACTGTTGTATGATAAGAACATTTAATTACAAATAAACTGAGTGTGCTTTACAATGAGGACAAAATACAGGATGATATTCAAGAAGTACAAACATAGCAGTGGTGGGAGAAAAAATCGATACAGCAGAGTATTGCGATATTTTGTCTGGTGATATATCGTATCGTCTCACTTACCAAGTATTGATTTTTTCAAATTAATTGTTAATATGAAGTCAAATCTATGATAATGAAAATTAAATCAACTGTTTGTCTCGTGAGGTTGACAGAGGTGACATCATAGAGCAGGAGATAGTTAGTACAACAAATATATATGTAAGGTTTGCAAGATGTGCGACATGAAAATGAAATACTGTGTAAATAAGACAAACATAAAGGAAAGACAAATGCTAAATTAGCTAAACAGTTGAAACAATTGCATTAATCAAAATATATTGTATCGTAATACTCACTGTATTGCAAAATGTTAAAAATCGCAATAATATTGTATTGTGGGGCCACTAGTGATTCTCACTCCTAATAGACATGAATGCAGAGGTTATGTGAGGATAAGGATGTTTCTAAAATGACAGCTAACTAACCTCTTAAGTGCTCTTTACTTTATGCATGATTCTGTTTCAGGTCTAAAGTCAACTTTCAGTAACATTTGTTTGAGCTTCATTAAAGACAGGATTCCCTTTGTAGCTCTTTCACTTTGAACAGAGATGATATACGGCAGAGTAAAGAGACAGGACGCCTACCCTTCACAATGGGGTCCTGTTCACCCTGGAGAACAGGCAGCCCATCTATGGCAGTAGATTAAAACATCAGCCTGTTTATCTGATGATTTACACCAAACTGAACAGCCCCCATGAGGGTAACTTCTGCAGGAATATGTATGTTGACTTTTCTGAGCAGAGCTTAAAAACACAAATCATATCCTGTAGTTGGGCATTATTGGGCATTATGAAATTTTAGCCAATCAGAATCGAGCATTGTATCAAACTGCTCTGAAACTTAGGACCTCTGTTAGTGACACTGCTATTTTCAAACCTGGCTCATAAAGACAGTCTTAATGATTATGATGGTGATGGTGATTGATTTTTATAATTGTGTCATGCATGTACAATGTGCCCAGTCCAAGGGCCTTACAAGACCCTATTATTAGAGAAAGCAGACTTACAAAAGTTTCAAAAATAAACTATTCTGACCATTCCCTCAGGCTTTGGGAACAAAGAGGTGAACTTGTCAGTGTTGTGAGTAAGTAGCCGAGCTGAATAAGGTAAGTACTGAGGAGTGTTTCAGACCAACCCGTCACTCTTGTTGAGTTGTGGTTTTTGATGTCCTTGTTCCAAAGAAAAATAGAGTAAAATAAGTGAATAAAATCAATGTGGCTCCAGGAGCAAGAATCCCTGTTTGAGCCCCTACAGAATATAAGAGGAGGAATGCAGAAATAAACCAATGCAGCTTCGGCAGAATGGACATAAAACAAACCACACGGCACATACAACAAGAAAAAGACAGAAGCTTCCCCATATACACAAAACCTGAGGTTTGCTTTTCACTGTGGACTCAGGTCAGCAGGCAGCTTGTTCCAGGAGCTGCACCAAAGCAAGTAGAGTTACTATAACAGAAATAAATTGGGTAAAGCTTGAAGACCTTTTTACTAAAGTAACTGTGAGTTTATTTAGTTGAAAGAGGAGCTAAGTCCTTTATTTGTAGTTGGAAAATTTAATGTATTTTCAGGAGGGATTTAAGAAAGTTTTTCAAAAATTATCAACACTTTGAAACTCGTCGTGTATAATGTTTGAAACAAATGACATCCCCACATTAACAGACAGAAAGGTGCTGTAGTTTCAAGGTTTTCTGTTGGGTCCTGCTGTCACAGCCGCTACACTCTTAACTATCCTCCACAGGTCAGAATATGATGACCATTTTGCAAGGTCCTTTTAGCCTCTAATGAAAACACATACATACATTTTCTATACTGCTGGGAGTATATCCCAGCTGTCATCGGGCGAGAGGTGGGGTACACCCTGAATCGGTCACCAGCCAATCGCAGGGCCACATAGAGAGACAGACAGCCAGTCACGCTCACACTCATACCTGAGGACAATTTAGAGACACCAATTAACCTAATGAGCATGTTTTTGGTCTGTGGGAGGAAGCTGGAGTGCCTGGAGATAATCCACGCATGCATGAGAAGAACATGCAAACTTCACACAGAAAGGCCCTTCCCAACCCAGGGATCAAACCGGTGACCTTCTCGCTGTGAGGCTGAGCGCTACCTGCTGCTTCACTGTACTGCCCATAAAACACAAACACACATCTGTAAATACCAGAGATGGGAATTGTGGAGTCACCAAGTCATCTCCATGCCATGTATTTGTTCTGCTCTGTCACTGAACCAGCTGCTTCCAATGAGCAGCCAGGAAGGTGAGCTCATTAGTGAAGGCACCTGGTTCAGTAACTGAGAAGAACAAATACATGGCATGGAGATGACTTGGTGACTCTACATTTTGCCATCTCTGGTAAATACATCAGACAAAGGGCAGAAAAGAGAAACGGTGTTGTCACCTGGTCCCTGTCGGACTGTTGACAGGAGGTTTCACAGCTCTGCACAATGATTGATGTCCATAAATATCCAAAGTAGAAAGAAAGCTGGAGAACACAGACAGACGGTGAACTTTCTGCTGATAGATCATGAGTCAAGGGAAGTGGGTAGAATACAGACAGGTGTGTTATCCGTCAGTGCGATTGATGGCGTTATGAATTAGCATCATCTGCTTGTGCCTGCTCTTATAAGGCTGATTGATAAATGGACTGATATTGTCACTGCATGCAGCCTTGTCAGTGTGAATGCTGTCAGAGAAAAATGATGTATTCTTCAACTCTCACCACGCTGACTGAAACATTGTTTTTGATCTCAAATGTGATAATCTTCTGTTTTCTTTAAGCTGCCTCTAAAACGAGAGCAGTTTCTCTGCTACAGCTGACTCTGACGCTGGATTGGTGTGTATCATATACCGCAAATGATGAATTGAAGGCATTTATCTGAAAAAAAAGCACTCAGCCAAGTGCGAGCAGGTTTTGAAGATGAGTCATGAACAGGGTTCTGCATGGCAACCCCCAATTTAAGATGTAGAGAACTTTTTAATGAAACACCCTGGTCCAACTACTTCAAATTGCTCTGACTGCTTGAGTCCAATTTGACGTGAAATGAATACATTTCCCTTTATGTAAGTTTACCAGAAACTCTGCCAATAGCTACTTTGCAGCAGCTTGGAATAATAAATGCAAAGCCCAAGCAGGAGGAAGGTGGAGAAAACCGAAGTGAAACGGAGAGGAGAAAATTACTCTGTCATGTATTAACGCTTCGGCCTCCGTGCAAGAAATAAAGTGAAAGCACAGCGGGAAAAAAGTCACATGTAAAGAACACACACGACAACAATTATGGTTAATTGTTTTGTCTTGGGTGTGAGTAGAGCAAACACACAGATAAGGGAGTCCTGATACACAGAAAGTGGTTTTAAGGTGCCTTATCTCGCTGTCCCAGAAATGCCTTGATCCCTAATCTCCGTTCACTCGCCTTTCATGCGCTGCTTTGTATGCTCTGGTTTTCCACCTCCATCTCTTCTCTTTTCTTCTCCACTTGAGCTCGAATGGCAAATTAGCATCGAGCTCGGTATGCAAAACAGAGTCTGTAAATATCACAGACAATTTTGTTAATATGCAACAGCAAACCCATTAAAGAGTCTACAGTGTGCCCTGATTTTCCTACAAGCCTTAAGCCCACTTCTATCCCTACATGTCAATTTCAAGACTAGCAGGCTCCAACAAAGTCGACTTCATTGAGAAAAAAACTGACTTAAAATGGATGTGAGAGTGTTAGAAATAAAAGTCAATCAAATTATTAAGAAAGACTTAAAGATGCTCACTTTGAGAGCTCTCAAACACGTTATCTGAAACAGCTCTCTTGAGACGTCAAGGTCAAAAAGCATCTCTGAGACACGTCTCCTGAGGCGACAGGCTGCAGAGTGCGTGAAGAGGATGTGTCTGCTATAATACTAATGAGACGCGGAAAACTGATGTTTCTATAAGAACTACTCATCATACTGGTTTTATCTTAGATTTTTAAAAAGAAAACACATCATACTCATATTGCAATGTTTGTTAAAGACATGTGTTTGGGCATTTTTTGCCAGGACAGCAGGAGAGACACAGGAAATGTAGATGAGGAGGACATGCAACGAAGGGTCTACTTGGCAATAAGTGCCTTTATGTAATTACCAGATAATTTCATGTTGTTACAAGCTGTTAATTACCTGGTAATAAGTGTACCATAAAAGAAAGCGATATTTCCTCACCAGCATGAAGAAGAAAGTCAAAAACAATATTTGTGTCTTAAAAAAAAAAACCACTCATCATGCCCCGCTAAAATGAACAGACCCGTCCTCCCACACACACACAACTTTTTCTTAGAGTTAATGGATTCATGATTTGATATTCTAACATTATATCTTAAAAAAAAAAACAGTACTGGTCTCCTTAAATTATCTAAAGCAAGGCTTCTCTGGGAGGTACATTAAAATGAACTGTTGATAAAGTTGTCTGCAGGCTTTGTTTGACAGGAACTTTCTTCATAAATATTCATCTTTTCAGAATACTAGAGGCAAAAAACAAACTTCATAAGCACCAGACTTGTATTCCACGTAGAAAACGCCACATGGTCTGAATTCAAACACTGTTTTTTTGACATTTAAGTAGAAAGGCCACAGTTCACAAATGAGGCTCAGGGGTTTTTGAGGCTCACTGTGAGGTTCATAGTAATGATCAAGACTGGATCACACCCCAGTATCGTAGAGGATTACGACAAAGAATTCCGCAACATATCCACGATCCATTTTCATATCAGCTTTATGTATAGTGAAACAATATTCTCTACATCTATTACCAGCTTTGAACTTTTCATATTGAGTTTCCATCAAAGTGATCTCAAAAGCTAAAAGGCTCATTTGTTCACCCCGTTATTTTACGCTCCAACAGAAATAGTCATTTGTGAAACACTAAACTTCAATTGTGAGTCTGAGTAGCAGAAAGTGATCCCCATTGTTCATTTCTATTCAGTAGCTTCTCGACTCTGAGATTCTTTTAGCAAAAATCGTCTCATTGATGTAAATGACTGATGTCAAGTGCCTTATTTCATTTCTTTCTCACTTGAACAAGCAGTCATAGTATGATTCACGGTCCTTTAATCATTTCAAGTACAGCGTGTACAATCAATTCATCCACTTCACATCTATCTCCACAGGACAGGTCTTCAATCTCTTTAACATGTTTTTCTAACTTCTTTTACTTCTCATGTGATAATTGTCCTCTTTAAAAGCCAGAGGCTGCAGCCAGCTCTGATTTAAGAAGGGATGCAGTGAAGGAAAGGAGGAAGAAAGGTGCAGTCAGCGAGCTAAAAACGTCTCACCTGCACAAGTAGGTCTGAGCTGCAGCTTTACAGAACGCTGAGCAAGTCCTTTGCAGTAACATGCTGTTAGAGTGCATTTTTGTGCATTTCGGTACCTCTGGCAGCCTCCGTCAGGTAAACAATAACCCGAGCATGAAGAGTGAAAGCTTCCATTCTGCCACAATCAGCACTTCTTATTTGCTGATGTGGAGTTTTGCAGCCCCAGCAGGGGCATGAAAACTACAGTTCAAGACCTGAAATAGCCTCTGAACTGTTCTTACCCTGAATACTATATGATGAACATCACACTCTTGTGTAGGGAGAGTGATTTGTGACAGGCTTTGACTCCAGGGACTTGACCAATGTCACGGGTGCTTGTTGAGTTGCAGTGCTGATGGATCAGTGGGATGGCAGAGGGTTTTTTTTTTTCTCTTTTTCACCTTCACTGTTTGTTTGTGTTTTTCACTGATGGGATTTCTGACTCACTGATTCTGAGACTGCATATCTATGAACACTTAGTGAGCATAATGATGACTGTATGTATATCATTATGATTATTGCTAGTATTAGTCATGGTATTAGTATCATTTTGGGTTTGTGCTTTTCAATAAGTTAGTGTTTAAATTTTGGCAGTAACCTCATCAGGATAAAGGACAGGCTTTACTCTCAACTTGCTGTGCTAAAGCCGATTTGCCATTTGATTGTCAGCTCAAGTAAACAGAGTAAATTATTTGGAATTTATCAAGAGCCTGGCAGACAGCTGTCTTTCCTCAAGTATTTATGTATTTATCTTTATGCCAGATGTTGCCTGTGTTCAGATCTGATATATGAAGATACCTGAACAATGTCCTGTTAGCGCTCTCTGTATTACAATATAGTGAAAGTGTCATAATAACTTTAAAAAAGACCTGCTTTTTACATTTTTAAAATCCTCACACTTAGAATATTAATGGGAAAAACATTTAACATGACTTCAAGTCAGGCTGTCAATGTCATACATTTTTATTGACAGTTCACTTGATGTAATCATTTGATAAAAGCAAGTGTTAGTAGAGCAGAAGTCAAATTTTGAACCTTTGCTAAAACCATTGCAATACTTATAATTGTGACTGTTTACAAGAACATCTTATATCGAAATGCTGAAATCAGTCTTGTGTAAAAGGTGTGTAGTGCAGCTGAGGAACATGACAAGAGCAGGAAATCTGCTGTTGACAAATAATCCAAAGAACAAAATGTGATTTTCAGGCCATTAAGCTCCTTTTTAGTCTCTCTTTAAAGTGCACAGCACACACTAGTGGCCTATGCAAGAACTGCAGCTTAATTACACAGAGACCAGAAACATTACAGAAAGGCAGTAATATTTTATTCAAATGATGAACAAGATACAGTATGTATAGAATATTTAAGGGTCCGATGAGTAGTTAAAGACCCCTCATGCTGTGATGATACAGTGGTATGTGTTCAGTATGTTGGCATGCATTCAGGGGAAAAGAGCCCCCAAAGCTCGTCTTCAAATCAACTTACACCACAGAATGTAAAACTGTGTGACCAGTAAAGGTTAATCACTTCGTCTGCCCTTCTGAAACAAAAGGGCAGAGACTGCATTTAAACAAAGTACAGGTTTAAATATCATACTATGTGTTTTCATATATATATAAAAATCGTACAGCTTTTTTGTGGCTTGCATTCATTCTGAAAATCTCCTTCAGCACAAACTTCCATGTAAAGACGCCAGCTGTCTTTTTTGCCCAAGGTAAAAATATACAGTTATTCAGAGGGTGAAATCTGCTCAATGTGTGGAAACTGTTTTAAATGAGGTAACACGTCACAGTACAAAAAAACAAGTTGCAATTAACAAGTTGGCTATAATTTCTGAGTTTCCTAAAAGAGTAATGAGACAATAATGTCAACAATAAGATTCTGTTTGTGGGAACACAACTTCATTGCATTTTTGTAAAGGGGGGAGATAAAGGGGTGAGCAAAAGTAACCATGATTGGTCAACCACACACAGCCTTCCTCATCAAGCCACTACATTGCACCACACAGGAAAGACACATCATATGCATAGTGCTCGTCTTTATCACAGACATACAGTGTGTACAGTTCAGTGACATGCATTAAAATGTAAAAAAAAAGAAAAAGTCCCTTTCTTTATTTCTTATACAATCAACACCTACTGTAAGTGCTGGAGTGATTAGTGTGGAAGCATCAAATGTTATGTTCATTTATGAATCGATATTCTTTAGACACGGGTGATTTTATCATCGCTGACACAAACATTGAAGAAAGTCGCAACAAAAGAAAACATGAAAGTGCTCAAACTAAAGGAACTAAAGTGGAAAATGCTAATTTACTCCTTTGGGATCATCTAAAATGACACACATCAACAAATAAAAAAATACTTTGTCACTTCATTTGAAATCTTTGCAGAGTGGCTTTCTCCTCTGACCGATGATGATAACATTTTCTCCAACACATCTACAGATATGTCATGCATAGATTTGTACAAAAAGTTTGCAGCTGCACTATGCTTCATCTGAAAACATACTCCTGGACTCTGCTGTTATAGCTCAGAAAGAACAAATCATTTAAAGGTTTGTTTTCTTGAAGAGATCCTACCATATTTATACAAAGTAATACGGAATTGACATTTTTGGTGTACCAACAATGTGCCTTTTTAACAGAACATTAATTATCCTGACGGTACAAAACAGAACAAATAAAACAAGTGAAAACAGTCACAATCTTAACTTCAGGGTTCAGTCACCCTCTGTTTTTCAGTCTACAAACAAACATCCACTTTGAGGTGTGAAACAAATACAAAAGAGTGAATAAATGTGAAACTGTATCACTACACAACCTTGCTTTTCCAAAGACCCGGAGAGGAGAACCGATTAGTACTTTTGAAAACTATTTAAATCATTACACACGACAGCTACAGAATCATTTTTTGCACCAACACATTCATTTTTTTCTCTTATAAATTTGGTAGATCATCACTGAGGACGTACTATCATTTTAAAATAGAAAGCACCCACTAAACATCGTGGTGCAGAGACGAGATGTCCATTTTTCTTTGCTATCTTGAACTTATTCATGATGGATTTGATTGTTTGAAGATCTACATAAGTGGTTTTAAAGCTTTTGATTGGTCCCAGTAAACAGGAGCCTTAAGAGGAACCAATCAGATCGTGTTAAACAAGTTCGACTACGAGCGTGCAAATGTTAATATGTAGCTTATAAAGTGTTTGCATTGGAAGTAAACACATGCATTCAACAAAGTAAACATTTTTCACTCCCTTTTTTTAGTTTCAGGAAAACTGTACATGTACGTCCCTTTAAAATATTTTACAAAATTGGGCCCTGTCACTCTGAAGCCGAGTAAGCTGGACAATCATGGTCAAGAAAACCTGCCCTGCTGAAGAGAACCACCAAGGTCGACCGTCACCCTGTTCTCATGCCCTGTGTACCTGAAAGAATTGTCAAGTAGAGACAAGAAGGAGAAATATGTGTCGATAGACTACAATAAAACACCAAACTGTACAGTCGAAGCCTGAGACGCAGCATGCCGGGGCTAAACGCATGCAGGATAAGAAGAGGGGAGCGGGTGGGGTAACAAAGGCTGAAGACAGGTTCAGGGTTTAGGAGAAATCCTCCTCTTCAGGGTCTCATGTGACGGCTTCAAGCTCCACGTCTTCAGACTGAGCCTTCGAAGTGGAGAGTACTGAATATAAGCTCGAAAAAAGTGCCTTAGATCCGTATTTCTCACTTTTTCCTGCGTCTGCCGCCTGTCCACGTCACAGGAAATGTATCTAAGTGTCGAGTGGCAGTATGAAACCGTGAGTAAAGGGGTGCTGTGCTGTGTGGTTGCAGGCAGAGTAAACCCAGCATGCAAAGTAAACCCTCCGCATCAGGAAAGAGTCTCATCCTCTCCCACGTAGGGCAAGTCCATACTCCTCATGCCGTCGCCGCTCTCTTGTTTCCTAAGTAACATATCAGAGACGCAGTGTTAGCTCCAGCACTATAGTGGACATGTCATCCATCCCATAATGCTCCACACAGTAGGGATTATGCCGATGTAAAACTAGTTAACCAACCAGATAACTGTGAGATAACGAACTAGACTTTACACAGATGAACCCAACACAGAAGTGGACGCTCAAACAATACAGACCAGGGAAAACTAGAAAAAATGGGGACAGGAGGAGGAGGAGGGGGTGAATTTTCAAAGGCTTCGTGCAAATTAATGAGCAGCAATTTTGAACAGACACCCTGGATTCAATGTTCAATTCTGGTAAAAACTGCAAGTCTGCATTCAAGGTGGGCAAAGCTAATGCAGGTGATTTGAACCACAGCCACCATAATGTTTAATGGACTTCCCACTAAATCCAACACTGATAAAGGAGTCGAGTGCTCTGACAAAATTAGATCAAAATGTGCAACTTTGGCTACTGAAGACATGAATTCTGTCTGTTGGAATAAACAATCGACAGCTGTGGCTAAAATAAAGCAGGTTAGTGCAAAAAAAAAAGCAGTTAGTCATGGTATTAATCAGGAAGGCAGACCACACAACTATGTGGTTTTCTTTGCTCCAAACAAGCTAAGCTAACCTTTGCAGTCAACGGTGACACCAGTGTGGTGTGCAGCTATCCTGCAGACTCAGTTTTTCATTCATTTTTTGGTTCAAGTGGATTTTAGAGAACTTGATTCTACTTGGACGATCGCCATCCTACAGATGTAAACCTGGTTTGACTCTTTTAAGTTTTGTAGCTCGGCTCAGGTCACTCATGAAAGTCAAACTAGCTATAAATTCAAAAGGGGTTCTGCACAACACTACCCATGACTCAGCAAAAATGCCCTTGAAAATGAACGATTGAGTAAACAGTCTGAAGGGTAGTATCAATGCACCCCAGAACAAGACAAGTGAGCAAAGACTTTTCAGACAACCTGGAGTCAACACAGGCTGGTTAAGGAACTAACACAAGAGTATTTGACATTTAAAGCCACAGAAAGAAATAGTGCTGCTGTTATCATGCCGTGGGACTTAACATAGACTCTTTGCTGCTTACACAAGACTACAGGTTTTTACCTTCTTTGGTTACAATGAATGTAGCAGTATCTCACTTTGCCTGCTCTGCCTTTCCTGCAGGGCAGGAGAAGGAGGAGAGAAAAAAGTGACAGTCTTCTTGACAAACTACTTAATAAACATCAGAGGCCTAATGTCATTAGAGCATAAGAGGACCAACGAGCACTTGTTAAGAATCAAACTCCTTATAGCTTAGTAATGCAAGAGGCACAGTCTGGAATCTTGGTGTGTACACAATCCTTACGTGAGTGTTTGCCCTGAAGCACTCGAACTGCTGCGGTCCTCTTTACGGGCCCAGTCAAAGGGGTTCCCAAAGGAGCGCTTCCGAAGCATAGTTCTCACCAGAATCTGAAAAAGTAATCCATGAACATCTGTGAACACCAGATCTGCTCCTTTTACTAGATGTCATATTGTTAGCTGTTACTTGTTAGAGAAGTTGATACAAAGAGGACAGGATGAAAAGCTTTTTAAATATATGGATCAACAGAAAAACTATCCTAACAGGACCGAATGATCCACATGTTTGCTCAGGCACAAAGTTCTGAGGGTTTTATCAGTGCTGGTGTTGATGTAGCAGGAATTAAAGCAAGAATATCTTTGACTGAAATTTTTTTTCAGGCCAGTTTCATATTCCCCCACAATAGGCTGCCCCACTCTTTACAAATGGCACCTACCGTGTAACCATTTCTCAAAGCTTTCAAGTAAAAAGGTTAAATGCTGTAGCCTGTGAGCCCTTCAGTTTCTCGACTCAAGCGACCTCGCCGTGGGAAAACAGGCGGCAAGCTCAATGAGCCTCTCGCCACAGTTGGAGCGAAGCAGCCGCCCAGACAGCAGGCGTGGATGGTGGTGGACGCCACCGCCGGAATGGGCCCGCTCAGAGCCTGCAGCCAGCTGCGCCTACTAGCCACTGCTGCTGCCACCACTAGCCTTGTCATAGTGTGAGGGGACGTTTCTCACTCATCTGTGCGCTGTCGCAGCGAGAGGCACCAACACCTCACTTCCCCTCCAGCCAGCTGAGGAGGGGGTCTTTTTTTTATTTTTCGGTTAAAATCATACTAGTGGTCATATCAGTGGATCCGTTCATACTTTCATACACAGGAGTGGAATGGCTGAGAGAACCTCCAGCAGGCTGCTGATCATGATGCTGGAGCCCACGTTGGCGATGGCGATGATGCTGCCGGTGGAGGTCTGACATGTTACTTCAGATCCTTCCCTGGGGGGCAGTGGTGAATCCACTCTCCTCTGTTTCTGATTGGATAATACCAAAGCTCTGACTGGCTTTATTGGTGAACAGCAGCATCATGATTTAATTGGATAGTCAAAACTGAATCACCACAAATGTATGTACCCCCTGTGATAAAGTGAGATGTAGGTTGGTGGGATGTGACTGATGTACAGCAAAAAAACAAAATTACCAACATGAGCCTGAAAAAATACTTAAGCATCAAGAATTGAACACAGATATCAGCAATTACCAAACGTTTACTCTGATTATGTTTGAATATGTGAACACTGGTGTGACAGCTTTCATGATCCTGCATTTGACTGATGGTACCAGAGACAAAAACATATCAGACACAAGCACCGATTTGATGTCGCACAAACAACAGGAGCTCACCACCGTAGCCAGGCTGGGGATGTGCTTGACAGAATTTTCCACCTCCTCCTCAGTCACTTCAATTAGCATACAGCAGTTGTCATCCTCGGGGGGAAGAGGCTCAGCGCCGTGCCTTGTCACCCACGGGTGCACCTGAGCACAAGCGAGGAGAAACAGAGGTTCTTTCTGTGATTCAGTCTGATTTAGACAACACCAAGATCTAAAAAAATGAACTGTTATAGATTTTATGAAGAGTAATTTCAAAGAGGGTCAAGGTAAATAATGCAGGGTACAATAAGTCAACGACGCAAAGACAATATGAGGGACATTCATTTGGATCATGTTCAGAAATAAAGCACACTTCCTTGTAGCTGTAGGGTCCTGTAGGCCTGGCAGGATGTTAAGCTTGTTCAACAAAACAGGAGGACAACTCGTCTTAAGCTATTCTCTAAAGATGGACTCAAAACATAACTGGACTAAAACGTTTGTACAAAGATGGGAAATAAGTGACGCCTGCTCTACCTGAAAGAGGGAAGATCAACCGTTAACCAGAATGTAATATGCACAAGTAAACGACAGCATACAGAACTGATCAACCTCACAATCTACCACATTTTTATTATTTTTTTAAAGGATATACATGTTGTATTTGATCCACATCCTAATCACCTGTGGTGCAGTGCACACTACAGCCACTAGATGTCAGCAGAGGCCGACCCACAATCGAGGATAAGGGGGAAGATCTGGTATCGTGAGCCCTAGCTGTGGCCTGATGTCTGTTGTGTAGTGAGGATGTAAGAAAGACCCAGCCCTACTGGATTCATAGATTTTCTTATTTCAAGATTTTTAGTTTGAAAGTTTTGCTGCATCTTGTGTAACATCAAATATACTTTATTAGGAAAAAAAGTCAACCAGGAGGTAAATAGATTTTTTTTAAAAAACAAGTGTTCACCTTAATCTGTGGGATCGATATCCTGGTTTCTGGATTCTTGTCCAGCATTTTCAACAACAAGTCTTTGAGATCATCTGAGATGTCCGCACTGTTCAGAGAGAAGATTAACAGCTTTAGATAACAAATAATCATATAAAATAGATTAGATTAGAACAGATAGGCAGACAAGATATGCAATTATAACATGGAACTTAAACAAGCAGCCATCAAGCCATTAGCAGCAGTGACAACACAGAGAGAGAACTGACTGTTCAGGTAACTCCACAGGTTGCGTCTTGATCTTCTGATGGAGACTGAGGATGCGCTCATCCATAAATGGACACTGTGAATGAAAGAAACAAATACCACCGGAACATCAGCATTTAAAAACCTCTAAAAAAAACCCAAACGGGTAAATGAAAGCACTTGATTTAGCCTCACTCACCACTCCGAAGACGAAGCAGTACAGTGTCACACCCATGGCCCAAACATCCAGGGCCTGAAAAATGAACACAATAAGGTCAAATGTGGGTGTTAGAGGGTTGCATTTTACAGTAACACCAAATGATGTGATTAGGCTCAAAAGGTTGATGGGAATGACGGTACAAACAGGTTTGGGGGAATGTTTGCCTTTATTGGAAGGACAGCTAAAGAGGCATCCAGAAAAATTTAGGGGAAGACATGCAGCCAAAGGTCCAGGCAGCGAGTCGAATCAGCAACTACTGCAACAACCACTGCAAATCCTTTGCATATGGGATGTGTGGTCAACTAGCTAGTCCAACTGGCACCCCAAAGGCAGTAAAATTTACATTAATATTATGATTATTTATCAAACTTAAAGGTCAAAGATGTGCATGTTTCTGCATTTCACCACCAGAGAGCACTAGTTTGCTCACTGCTGCTTCACCTTTCCAGAGAAGTTCTTTCTAGTCTCAGAGAGCGTCTCCGGGGCAAGAAAAGCCGGCGTTCCCACTGTGCTGGTCAAGAGGGCGTCAGCCCCCTCAAACTGGTTACTGACTCCAAAGTCAGCAATCTTGATGTGTCCGTCCTCTCCCACTAGCAGGTTAGAGGGTTTGATGTCTCTGTGAATGATCCTCTGGTAATGTACTGTTAAACAAAGACAAGAGATGAGGACATTTACAAGTAATGAAGGACGGATAAAGGGCATATTAACAAAACATTTCTCTACAGCTGTCCAAAGAAAGGATTTCCCTCTAAGTTTCTACTTTAGATGTCTCTGAAAGAAAACTGAGCGTCATTCTGTCTGTTAAAATTTTATTCTAAAAATCAACTACCTGCACTGGGACTTCCACAGTGAAAATTGTAGTTATTGATAATTCCTGCAATGAAATTTGAAGGTTGAGACTGTTGCAGTGTCTTTGGTGCACAGCCCTCCCTCTCTTTTCCCCAGTCTAGTCTCCTAGACGACACTTAGTGCAAAACCTTTCCTTGTGTGCTGAAATGCATTAAGAGCCGCTGAGATTATGTGAAATGAGTCTTGTGGGTGGCTGGAGTCAAGACGAGCACAGACAGACGGAAAACTTCTGTAAATGGCACAGAAGAACTACAGATCTACTTACAGATGATACTCAGACTGATATCATGACTGCAGAGTAGAATTAATCATAGTGATTATGGAAGAGTTATATTACGGAAGCGTAACTTTTTTTCAGGTTTTTTTTTCCTTCTTTGTGTTTTTCTGACCTTTTTTTTCTTGTTTTTTGTTCTAATATTTTTTTTTCCAACTTTCTGTTTTCAGACAAATTTTTATTCTCTTTTACAGACATTTTTTTTTTTTCCTGACTGGACGAGGTAGTACAAAATCCTGCGAGAATCTTATACAATCAGATAACGTTAACCACCGCGGCTGCTCCAAATCAGTGGATTCTCCAGCTCCTATATAACTTTGACTACGGGGTCAATGAGAGTAAAGTATGTTATTAGTTAAACATAGGGTATGAAAATCCTGAGGTGCACAAAGTAGACAAACTTATGATGATTCCATCTACCTGACTTTAAGAAAGGAGTATCTCCCAGCGTCACAAACCCAAAAGAAAGTAAAACTTGATTAAACTAAATATGTGGACCATGTTTGCTTCCAGTAAATCGAGCAGAGGAGGATGAAACCATCTGTTTTTAAAGATCATGATCCCAGAAAATAGGAAAAACAATTAGTCTGAAAAACAAAACAAAAGAAAAAGTCTGAAAAACTGAAAAACTAGTCTGAGAAATGGGAAGAAATATTCCGAAAAACAGAAAAGAAAAAAAAAATTACTCTGAAAAATAGAAAAAAATTACTCTGGATAAATGAGCTTTTTTTCATGATTGCAAAACGCTTCCATATTATATTACCCCTGTAATGCAAAAGATTCTAAAAGGGTTCATACAGTATAAGCAGAACTTATTCTGAAGAGTTCTGTGTAATAAGCCAATCATTCAAATAGTTCACATTTATGAAACACATCATTCATTGTAAATAAATCCAAATTTCGTTGATCTGCAGCTGTACATACATTGAATCAGATTAAATGTTAATCTAGTTGCGTATAAAATCATCAGGAGAAGTTGGATACACAACTTTAATCACAGCTGTCTGTGTGTTTCATGTCACCACAGGCAAAGAGCAAAAGTATCAGACCATTGAAAAGACTCACAGTATTCGATGCCCCTGAGAACATCTTGGAAGTAAAATCGTGACTGGTCCTCGCTGAAGGGTTTATCTGTGGGCACCTCCATCACAGCCCTGAAAACACCAACATGCGAATAGTTATTCAAACACAGATACATTCTCAGTTAGCAATCATATCCACTAAGATGACTTCGGAGACTTGGCTTACCCTTGCTTGACCAGCTCAAACACTGTGACAGAAAAAAAAAACATAGTTAAGATATGAGTTGGTGTTGACAGTCAAAAGCAGATTACAAAACATTTCAGTTCATTTCTGACTTTATTTTGGGGGGGATATGCTTGGATGTGTGAATGTGAGGTTGTGTTTGGCCTTAACATACCCATGTACAGATGGTCCTCGCTGGGGTCGTCCAAAACCTGGCACCGAACACAAAGACATGGAAATGAGCGGAAACACACACACACACACACACACACACTCACACACCACCTTTTATATGAAGTGGAAACAACCCTCCCTTCACACTGAAATCTCAAGTATTTTGCAGATAGCTTATTCTCTGCGAAACCAACCTCGCTTTGAACTTTTAGGGAAGAAAAAGCAGGAGGCAATAAATCTTGTTCAATAACAGAAATTGAGGTTTTGATCTTCTCTCCAAGGATTCCCTCAATATTGTTTCATTAGAGAGCTGGCAGCACACTTTGTCGCTCCTTCAAAGTAAGACTTAGCCCAAAGTGTTTGTATACTTAATCTACCAAGAGCAAGCAACCAGGAGTGATTATCTTTATAATACACAACCATCCAATAAAAAGGATGAATGAAAACTTTCAAGGCTAATTAAAGGAGATTAATTTTCAAGATGTGAATGTCATATATGTTTTTAAATCCATCTGTTGGCAGGTTATGTTAGTATAAGTGCTCAGACTGTCATCAAGGCATACAGTAGGTATCTGTTGATTCGACTACCACCATGTTTTAGATAATACACTGTGACTTCCTGCCAGCTAAGACGCCCCCACACTCTCTTACAGCACTCACCTCTACAAGTTTTACCACATTAGGATGGTCCAACTTTTTCAGGATAGCAATCTCCTGATAAACCCGCTCCAGTGGTCCTTTGGGCTGCGGGGGGCCTTCAGGCGCTGCTTTGGCTCCACGAGGGGGGGGTCGCCCTGTAAAAGAGTAGGTAAGGGTCACAAGTGATGGATGGGATCGGACAAAAGAACAGGTATTTTTTTATGCAGTGCTCATGCACCAATGACAGATTATTAGAGAATGTGCACTCTGCTGTGTTTGCCATCTGCCGCTGGCTCCAGACTTACGTGGGAAACCTGCCTGCCTCATCAGCCTCTTCTTGGACAGCACCTTCATCGCCTACAGGAGGGAACAGGGATGGGTTCGGACAGTGAGGGAGGAGAAGAGAAAGAGTGAGAGTGCATCAGATCCGGAGAAATATGAACATAGATGGGAGACATTAAAGAAGAAAAGAGTCAAGCAAAGAGAGGTGATGCATTTCTGGCAGCACGCCCACTCACTCGCCAACAGATCGATATCACAGCAGCAACTCTACATTTCCCCTCTCACCTTGAACATTTTCTAGTGTTTCTAAAACTGCAGGTACCGACCAGACAGAAAATCTAAGATGTTTTGAAATACAATCCGACAGCTTACTTTTGACTGCCAAGTCACAAAACAACATTTGATTGTTTCAAGTAGGGCTGCCTGTGCACAAAATAGCATGTGAAAGATAGCTTCAAGTACCTGTATAGTCTTAATCATGCCATGCAGCTATACAGAAAGCACCCAGTCAGAGATATTCAGTATTTCATTAGCAATAACCATAGCTGGCAAGAATGAATAATCAGCTCAATGTTTGACAGCTACATTTTGGGTAAAATACATTTGATAACAGTCCTCTGTCTATGTGGCAGTGATACGATCAGTGAATGTGACATTTGGGCTCTGAAAAATTATAATAATCTCCCTGTCATTGTCTGTCAATATCAGGCAGCTTAATGAGGATCGAAGCATTAATCACAAACAGCAAACAGAGAAGCTTAAGCTTGTGTGCCGCGACTCAGCGAGGCTCAATTAATCTGAGGCGCTGTCGCTGAAAATCACACCAGTGCATGTGACAATGAGGCGCATCTCTGAGGTGTGTCTGTGAGTGTGCACAAGGTTGAATGAGGCAGCGTTAAAAGGAAGACATGACATCTACATTATTATGGACATGATGAACTTACATAGTATGTGTTGTCATCCTCATTGTAAGCCAGCTTAACAACACCATAGGAGCCCTGGTGGAGGAACAAGCAAAAGGGAGAGAAAACTGAGCAGCTGTCGACTGTTCATGAAAAAAAAAATAATGCACAGAAAGAATACACAAACATAAACACACACACGCACACACAAAGGAAGTGTGTGGGCTGACAGTGTACGCCAGCAGAGTACCAGCTGCTTCAAAGTGAGAACACAGAAATTCAAATCATCTCTCCCTCTCTCTCCCTTTCATTTTCGATTTCAGGCTAATTAAGGAAACTGAATCTGGTTTGCGCTATCAAGCTTCCCTGCCCACACACAGGAAATTCACAGGAAAAAAAAAAAAAAAAAAATAGGCCCAATTAGTTGCCTGTGTGCATTAATTCATGCCCAAAAACAAACAGACAGAGAGAGGGAGAAGAGGACGGGAGAGAGGAGCAGGATCAGTTCCTGCTGGGGGAGCAGATTGGGCAGGCAGCACAGAGCTCATCCTCCAGTCTCAGATTGATCTGATAACAGAAGCGTCTCCAACCATCCCTAAAAGGCTGGAATTGTCCGCGATCAACACAAAACAACACAAATTAACACGTCTTCCTACGTGCAGAAATTTACAAACACACGCACTCCTTCTCTCTACCCCCCTTACACACACACGCAGACCCACACACACACACACACACACAGTGCCACACTTGTATCCAGTCTTGCACAACCCTTGGAGAGCGCTATTTATACCAGCCTCTCATCCATCTTCCAACTCTCCCATGGCCTGCTGGTTTACTCAGAGTTTCGGGAAATGAGGACAGCCGGGAGAGAGGATACCAGAGGCTGTTACTGTGTGTCCTTGATGATGTGCGCTACTTGACAGACATGCAGTAGGCGGAAGGGAGAAGGAAAATGGAAGAGTCGGTGAATGGGAGCAATCAAGAGAGTTGTCTCTGATGGTACCTTTCCAATCTCATCTTTCAGCTTGTACTGGTTGAGTTGAACACAGTCCTTGAAAAGAAAAGGGAGAAGAGAAGAGAAAATGGTTTCTTTTCAAATGCCATCACATTGCATATTTCACTCTTGATACATCATTAGTATTCTTATCAAATATAAATCTTCCTGGAAGGTATGCAACATTTTCCCCATGACATTTCCTTTCAATTATTATTTTTCAGATCAGTCTTCTCACGGGAGCCTTTCAGCTCAAGACCAATTTTCTCAGCTTGTAGGCATATCAGTATGACTTTACATTAACTATTCCAGTTCAATCTGTCATTTTTGCAAAGATACATTTCAAGGGGAACTTCTTCAAATGTAGGAAAATATCTTGCAGAGGTAAACAGTGCTCAACCCACGATGAAAGCTGACAGTTGACTTACACATGTACACTGATTCTAGCTGCTTTTCTTCGAATGTACGAGAGATATGACAATAATGTTCTGGAGTATCATTTATAGCTTAAAGGGATATTCTGGCGTAAATTTAACTTATGGTCAAACACACTGTAACAGCGAGTTAGACACCCCCTGCTGCTTGCTTCTCTAGTTACACCAACTTCAGCAACGACCGCACGATAGCAATACACAGAGGTCTACGTCTCCATGTGCAAACCTCAACCAAAAAGCCACTCTATAGCCACAAATGATACTCAGAGCAGTCCCTAACTTTATCAACAGTAGGTACAGGGTCCCAGCCATAGTACTAGCCATCAAGCATCTTTTTAGCTTTGCCTGATTTCTTTTAGAGACCAAACACAACTCACCCACTCTCCTCCAGCAGCCGCCTGTTTGTGGGGGAGCTGACGAGTCGATCACTGAGTGCAGCAGATCATTTCCATGAAGTAATAATCAAACATTTTCTGTTGCACTCGGTGATCGACTCGTCAGGGCTCCCCCACAAACAGGCGGCTGCTGGAGGAGAGCGGGTGAGTGGGTGAAATTTACGCCGGAATATCCCTTTAAAGCTCCTACGGGGAACTTCTAGTTTGTGTCACTTAAAGTGGTATGCCTCACCTCTTTGCTGAGCTCACCCTGTGCATGTGTAGATATTTTTACTAAAAAAAACTCATTCTGGTTTCTCCTAACAGCTTAATGTATCGCTTGATTTGAATATTTGAAAAAAAGAAAATCTTCAGGATACTTATTGGCACCTACCCCAAGAAATGGTTACAAGTAAATAAACATCAACAAAGAAATGTTGATGATGTAGCTGCCTTTTATAGGACATACAAAGGCATCACTATTCATTTCATTGCAGTTTATCAGATAAAACACTGATTTAAAGCAGTAAGTGACAGAACTTTTTCTGCAGACAATCCAAACCCAGACAGCAGAGAGATTCATGTAAACATGATGAGATGCACTGATGAACCTGTTCTCCATTTAAATACATTACTGTCTGTGAGTCACTTTGTTCTGGTTTCTTACAGTACTGTAAATGTTTTGAACAATTCACCATAATTGCATCTATGATTTGTTTTTCTGTCAAAGAAAAACTGAAAGACGGTCTAACAACATAAAAAAGAAGCCTGTGTACTGAACAGAAGCACTACTTACTTCTTCTAAAAGGTTTCTGTCTCTATGTGCAGCGGGGGACACAGCTAGTATCTACATCTACTGAGACTGTCAAACCTTACCTTTACATCCACAGAGATCTGTCTTTACCAAGGTGATGCTGCTTTAGGGACAAATACATACACATGTAGTTCTGCTTACTCACACATAGACAGGTATGACAGTGATAGTTTGAAAACTACCAGACGCTGACTGCTGCTTTCCAGCACAAGCAGAATAGCTGATTCACTCGTACTGATCACGAAACTGACAGAGATCAAATAATTCTGTAAAGATATTAAAACTCTGAACTCTGATTCTCCTCTTATTGGATGTGCAGAATACTGATTTACTCAAACAGGCTGGGAGCTATATTAATGTCTGACTTGTGAGACTTGAGCATACCTGGAGATCTGTGATGGAAACACTGTGAGACTCCACAGTGGGCCTGCGGGACAAGCGTGGAGAAGAGTGAGGTGATGTGATAGGGGAGTAGGGTAGTGAAGGATAGATGTAGCGCCCGTTGAGTCCAGGAGAGTTGCAGGGCGATGCAGCTGTTTGTGAGCGCTCCTGCAGGGATAGTTTCCTGTCCGACAGGTTTAACCTTCCTCTTTGCTCTTGGCTTTCAGGTCGCAGAGCCTCTGACCGGCCGACTGTGTGGGACAGCAGGTCGCAGGAGGGAGCCCTGAAAGGGATTGCCGCTGAGGAGGCTGGCTCTGGCGTCTCAGAACTGTCCATATCCTCTACCTAAGACGTGACATTAAAATGAAATTAACATAATAAATTTGTCAACATATGGATATATGATCAACTTTGTAAAATGCTAATTTCATTTTCCTGTCTGTGCTTCATTTTTCAGTGAACAGAAAAAAGCCAAGCTCCTTTTAAACACTGTTGACAATGGAAACTCTCACCTAAATTAATGTATAGTTATTGTTTCTAAACATACAAATGTGTGAAACTATTATCCAAAATCAATTATTTCAATTCTCCACAAGGCTTTAAAAATCTTAGGGATGCACCAAACAGCAGAGAAAAAAGGGCGAATTTATGCAAATAATCAATATGTATCAGGCCACTGTTTCATTCAGAAGAACCACAACAATTTGGGGACTTTGTTGACACCTGGAATCAGCAGGTATCCTGGGTGGACAGAGACACAGAGAACATGACTGCAGCATCCTCGACGTTGAGGCAGAGTTTATGGTAGACCTTTTTTCTGTCCATTCCTGCCGTCCACACTCCAGGGTTCTGACCAAACAGAGCAACTAAACCTTACAACGAAACTCTTAAACTGAGCGTCAGATTACTTGTCTATTTTGTCACTCCTCTGCTAAACTTTATAAACTGTATTGTTTTTTTTCTTGTCAATCCAAGCATGATGACAGCTTATGGGGGAGGGAGGGGGCAAGGGTACATATTGATTTATTGACAGACAGTGCTTTTAACTTTTCAATAATTGAAAGATGACCTCATATAGGGGCAAGGGCAAGAGATTCAATCCAGCGAATGATAGATTATAATAATGCAGTGCAGTGAGGATACTGATGTTTCAAAGCCGAGACAAGAGTTGTGTACGATTTATATTTGTTTATAACCACAGTATAATTCCTTTGTTTATCGATGTTACACACCAGTCTTCAGTGAAGACCATGCAGTCTGTAATGAACCATTAAACAGTAGACTTTTGGTATGAAGCCTCCCGTCCACACAAAGTTTTGTCAGTACACACACTTTTTGGAACAAATTATGTTTTTTTTTCTTTTACAAAAATGGTTTTTGGACTTATTTTATGAGTGTTTGGCTCTTAAGGGTCCATTGAGATGCTGGTTTCATTTCAATACAACAACTGATGTCCCTTGAGTCATCCACTTGTGGTTAAATCACTTTCAAATGTGACCTTTGTTTCATCTTACCTCCTCCTCTCCGGCCTCTCCAGGCGCTCTACTAGGTTCATACTCTGTGACAACGATGAGGGACTCCATGGGGTCTGGAGAGGGTGTCTCGGAGTGGGTGTTCAGAGGTGCAGCGGGACAGCTGCACAGCAGATCCGGTAAGGGTTGGGATGGCTGAGCTGGAGGTGCATGACTGCCGCAGGAGGCCGGCGGCTCAGCAGAGGGCCAGGGGCTGATGTGACAAGGAAACATCGTGCCTCTTCACAAAGATGTACAACCACTGATCCATTAGATGGGAATCTCTGGGGGATTAAGTACCTAAGTGAAGAGAGCAGAAGAAGGATGAGGACATAAATACATCAATCCTCTATAGGAACCTCCTTCTGGAAAAAAAATACTCCATCTTTTCAGGGTACATCACATTTATGTGACCACAGCTGGACCTTACACTAAAGGCCTGATTTACAAAAATACAGCTTGGCTTTTGCGCCCACTGACTGCACCCGACTAGTTCAAATGAGCAAAAAATACATAATCTTAGCACACCCAAAGGGCTGAACGCACCACAAACTGTGGTAACGGTTAATTAGAGCTTTTTGCATTTAATGTGATAGACAAAACATCATTTTGAAAAGTTTAGCTGTAGAAAGTAAAAGCAGAGGACAATGAATTAACTTAAGACGCAATCTGAGAACCTGTGCAGCTAGGTCACGAGGGATAGAAGTGCCAAAGAGGTAGGTTTGAAACTGGGATGAGCTAGGTCACTTAAAGGGAGCTAACCGTCTTTGTTTAGGACCTTGTGACACAATGATAAAAGGTATATGTACAACTGACACTGAATCCCTTTTGCCCACAGCAAGAACACAGTCTTTGACAGGCCAGCATGAATCAAGACGTGGGTGTAATGAACTGTGTGGGGAATAAATAATCAGAGATGCTGCTTGCTAGCTCTGAAAAAATCAGTAAAAATCATCTTTCTCCGTATGAGACATCCACGGAGTCTTGTCCTTTCACACACGTTCTGCTGAGTGGCAATTAATGCATCACAAACTTTAGCACTTAGTGGACAGATTTGATTCGTCTGTAAAAGCAACGGCTCGGTCTGCTTTTTGATGGCGGTTACACAACATGGTTAATTATGCACTCTAAAGCATATTACTAAAAACCTTTTTGCATAATTTCAAGAGGGCCATTTCCATCTCCAATTCCACTCAGCTTATTATCTGCTCATTATCTGAGGAAAATGGGAAGGGCAGGAAAGAGGTGAAAAACAGAGTGAAAGACAAAGACAAAGGGAGGGATCCTTGTTTCCCTCTGTCATGGTTCTGACAGGATTGTGTCAGTGCCTGTGTGGGAGCTGTGTAAATCTCCCAGACTCAGGAAAACAAGGGGAGGCAATAAGAAAAACAAGACAGTGGGAGCTCCAGCCATGCTCAGAATGAGGACTATGTGTGGGAAGAGACACCCACTCCAGGTGGCCTTTCTACCTCCTATGCCAGCCTATATATAGTGATGTTAACTAACAAAGGGAGCGCAATAAGCACTTCACATTTTACTCAGACAGCCAAGTACAAAAACTGTTTGTTACCACATCTCTCTTTAGTCCTGGTCACATGATCTCTCACTTTTCCTGACTATTTGAGAAAGCAAACATTTATGTTGTATTCATTATTGATGTCAAATAACTGCAGTTTCATTCAGCAGAAAGGATAAGCTTGTAAAACCCAGTTTGACTTGAACACTGACTTACGCTGTGAGCAAAGAAAGACAATGTAGTCTGGAAAATGGACTTGGCCTCAGTAGACTCAACCTCGGCGGACTATATAAAGAGATGTGACACTGAATGAAACTCACAGTGCGCCAGCTCCAGAAGACTTTTTATATCCAGGGACAACTTACCATGTTTGACCTACTTTGATCTCAGCTAAATGGTGAGACACAATCACACCCACCGCCGTTCACGTTTATGAAGACGTTTCCAACCATTTCCTTAAAGGTAATGATGGAAAAATGATGGCTGTTTCAATAACAGTGAGTGAGTAAAGTGGGAAAAGCCCATTCAGTATGAGGATGTTGAGGTTGGTACAAACACGGATTACTGTGGGGCTGCCACTGTATTACATTTTGAAGTTGGAATTAAATCAAACATCTCCAGGTGGACTGTGAGTGAAGATATTACTCTTAAGACAGAACTAAGTACTGAGAGGGAAAACACTTAAATTATACAATCAGCCTATCCTAGGGCCCAACATCGTTTGGTCAACTGTGTAAATGTGGTTGACGACTAGAGTACAGTCTTTTAAAGGTCAATGCGGATTCCAACAATGAGACAGTAAGTTGGCCTTTAGCTGATCTATAATGCCAATGTTGGATTTTTTTTTTTTTTTTTTAGTATAATAATGCTTAAAATATTTCTGAACTAAAGTGAATGTTTCACTGAATAAAGAAAGACATTGCCATAAAAGACGATCTGAAACAAGTACAAGATAAAAGAAAACAAAGGTAAATATCAGTTATATCATTATTAAACTGTATTATTCTTTGCATCAAGTCATTGAAATTTATATGAAACACGAGTCAGTCTTAGATTTGACCTGCTGTCAAAAGAAAATGGTGTTATCAGCCTTGTGAGGGCCAATATAGGGAAGCCAATATTATGCTGCAGATTATGTCAAAATATTATTAATCTATTTGTACTTGCTCTTAAATGTACGTCACAAGTGTTTGCTAAATGACATTTTAACATCGCAACATTAATTGGCCCGATAGATCAGCTGACCGATAAATTAGTATTTTGTTATGTCAGCCACATCACACCCTATATTTTTATGGAAAGGCTGCAAACTAATACTATGTTCATCCAAGAATTTAGCTGAGAATTGAATATATAAACCACTCCTTGTTGACAGGAGGAGGTTTTACTCCACTCAAGACAAAAAAGCCAACTTCTTTGGTGGGCTGACACAGACCTCCCTTCACTGGTGCTCCACTACAACGACAGAGAGACTGTTTGACATGGATAACCAACCTGATGGATAAAGCTCAAACTTCCCTGATCCCCGTCGATCACAGCAACTAGATGAGGAACAAGCCCTGCAGTCAGATCTAAGCCTAGTGAAACACCAACAGATGCTGCTGAGCTCCAGATGCTGTCCTGTGCCTCTTATCATAACAAAAGTCACATGACCTGGCCTTCACTATCTGGACAGTAGAGGCAGGGGAGAGAGGACTTATCAGTGCTTGGGGGGTCCATGCCATGTACAGCATTAATAATAAAGCAGACACTGCCCTGCAAACAGACATACAGTAAAAGTACTACACAGAGCCATCTGCAGCAGCGGAGGATCCCCAGCTTCATTAAAAGATCAACAGGTCAACCCTGTCATGGAGCTGTGCTAGAGATAAGCTTTGGTAAATGGAGAGATGAGCATCCTCTTAAGTATTATCACTCATTTACAGCTAAGTGTCACTGAGAATCTGAAATGTTTAATTGGCAGCCAAGGTATTTAAATCGTGAATCCTCATAACTAGTAACCCTTTATGTCCTTCTTAACAACAACTTATCCAGAAAACTACAACTTGTTACTGTGACTATGAATTACTTTTCAGTTTAGCTGGAAAAAACTGTAACGAACATCAGAGTTTCTCAGTACCTGACTGTAAATCTAAAGGCCAAAGAGGCCACCATCCAAATAGAATTAGATAAATGAATAAAAAAATAATAATATTAAGTCAAATAAAACTGTCAAATGACTTGACAATAATGTCAGTTTACCAAAGCCAGGTTCTAGCTAAAGTGTAAGGATGCTGTATAGTGAGCAGGTTATTATGAGGAAATGGGAAGTAAGATTGTGAGAATACAGGAAAGGGTGATTTCACTGCTTTTACACCCTATGACAACACTGAACAACATCTTCATGCAGAACTACTACACTTTCTTGCATTTTCACAAACAGTGTAATGGTCGTGGTGTTGTGGTTCTGGTTCAGGATGGTCCAGACAGCAAAAAGCAGTCACATCGCCCCATTTTTACGCTCCCACAAATAGTCTAAAGATGTCATAAATCTGTAACTGTATGGTAAGACGCCTGAGGACTCTCTAGAACTATCTGGTACAGATTGTAGTATGGTTGTTTTGAATCAGGACCTGCTTCCCTTCACCTTGCCATGACACTTGAAACTACAAATATGGTGTTAACCCTTTAATGCCTTTTGTATAATTTTTGATAAATACTTTAATATACTTCTATCAATATGATGAACAAATTACTAAAAAAAACACCTGAATACATAAATATATTTGTTAAATTTTAAGGACATTTAGATGTATTTAGTTTTCAGTAGTACGTAAAATAAAAAATTCAGCTCCAAAAAAATGTGAATTTTCTGGTTGTAATTTGTGGTGTCAGGCATTAATGGGCTACCACAAATGTCATGGTAACAATCATACAGCCATCTAGCAACAAATGTGTATGAGATGGAGAATTTCGATAATGTTATTTCTTTAGACAATAAACAAGACCACATTTGATATTGTGACACTGAATGGATAAAAACTACAGCCATAAGGAAACTAATGCTTTTTATTAAATTTATTAATATTCTTCCTCTGCATTTCTCGTTAAAATTACAGTAAATGTTCACGTCAAAGCAACTTCTGGTGTTTAAAATGCATTAAACTCTGACAGTGTCCTCTCAGATTTAAAGACATTTATGTGATAACTGGTTAGACAGACACTGGTAAACCGTTCACTGCTTTTAACTTGAAATAACGGTCAACTCGACGTGTTTAGCCTTATTTAGTCCTACTAAAACGACCAAGGTTTGTTGTCTGAAATAGTAATATCCACGTTATATAATCCCATTTCTTCCCACATTGGTAGTCAATATAATACAGCCAGAGCGTCTTAGTAATAAACGCTATAAATTCACAGGAGAACTATCTGTCGTCTGGGGTCCCACCAAGCTAACTCCAGCTAACATTAGCCTCATCTGTCAAACATACAGATGTTGCTGGACAGGAGCGAAGGATGCTAGTGCGCTGGGGTAATACCCGCGGTAAATACACCACATTGAGCCACATAAATTAGCATATGTTTAAAAAAAGAAGCCTTACCTTACGTGCCACCTAGGCCTCCAGCTCAGCACTATGAGGTTCCTTCTCCTTCTTCAGCTGCGGTGGAAAGTAGCGACTGCTGAACATCGACAGCTAGCTAGCAGACTGATGTCCGATGTTATGATGGACCAATCCAGCTGAGCACGCAGGTCCCGTGCTTCTCGTTGAAGGGACAGTCAGACAGCAAAGCGATGAAGAAATTTCATAGCAGTCTCAGTTATGTGATACGGGAACACCAACATTCGCGGAGGGGTGTTCAACCTTTTTCTGTCTCTTTCGTTTGACTCACGACCTCAAATATTAAACAGTAGTTCTTGAGGATTTCTGCTACATGCACCGTGGACGACTGGCTCCCCCCTGTGGTGGATTGGAGAGTTGCAACCAGGACATAAAGCTGCTTTGTAGTAATCGAATATTTTAAACCAAATTTCATGCGATAACTTCGTTGTTAATGGGATACCATCAAGAAAAACCTAACACCAAGGTTTTAATTATCTTTGACTCCACTTTTGACAAATATCCGGAAAATCATGCTCCACTGCACAAAACAGTACTTTCTTTAAATCTCCTGGACAAATGTGACTTCATTCTTCTTTCCAGGCATCGGATTTCTTCATATTTGTCATAAGATCAACTCTATTATTAAAAAAGTCAAATCTTTAAAGCCAGCGATTCACAATCTTTCCTTTAACTTGAGCACAAACTTACACAAGAGGTTGAGAAATTTTCAGACAATGTCCCAATGTGAAGGGATGTTGTAACTGCTTTGTCTATATTGTCACCCTTGAGCATATACAATGTTGTGTCAGTTTCTCAGGTTTAAACCATAGACTGTATATAGTATATGCAGTCTATGGTATGAACCTCTTGGGATTGAAGTTGAAGACCTCAAGCTCTGTAAAGTATATTTCCATTCTGCAAAATGTGAGAATCCCCTAAGATTTAGACATTTCCCTTTAGAAAGGCTTAGTTAAAGCAAAGTGAATCTGGCCTCCAGAGAGGAAAAAAGGCTGTCAAATATCACTCAAAGACACGAGTCAAATTGAAATATGTTTATTTTCATAAAAAATGAAATTAAAGAAAATGACTCCAAAGTATAACATGGCAAACAATACCCAAGATATCCAATCCAAAGAAGACGAGATTAAAAAAAAACAAAAAGGACTATACAAAAGCAAAATTTCAACACAGCTGGAACAGTTATCGCCTCTTCTGGAAGATGTTGCCTCTTCCCATTCCACCACGACCCCGACCCCTTGCAGCCACTGAAAAGGAAAATTAAGGGTACGTTACAACCAGGACAGTTAAATATACAAACACCTTACAATACAAATAATACAATGTATTAAAATCTTGAAGGTACCTTATGTTCGTTAAAGGAATATTGAGACAACAGGTGTAAATGTAAAATGCATACTTCTAAGCAATGACATTTTATTTTTCCATCAGTGGTCCTGTGCCTTTGAATCTTCTTTTTCTTTTTTTTTTTTTTAAAAAAGGACCGTAGCAGTTTTGGTTTTTTTTTTTTTGACAAAGTTTTCTTATTTACTCATGCAGCTACCCTTTTACAAGACGACAACCAGCCTGAAGTATCCAAGGAGCACCTGAAAGACCCGGGAGCAGTTCTGCTCTTTTTATCGTCAGTAAATTTAAGCTTTAAGCAAGATAAGGAAGTTCACAGAAACCCAAATTCTCATAAATCCCTCTGAAGATGCTGGATGAGAGAAGGTCGCCTCACCTTGTGCTTTGAGGATAGCTGCCTTGCCTCTTCCGGCTCCAGACCCCTGGTTCTTATTCTTCATACTCTTCAACATAGGAGCATTCTTTAACATGTCAGGCAAGATGAGGAAGCGGATTTTGCTGCCACGGATGTACACCTGCTCCAACTGTGCCACTCGGCCATCACGATATGTCACTGTTATGTTGGACATCTGCAAAGAAAGGGGAAAAAAAAGAGTGTTATGTTAGCAACAACCTAATATGCCAACTGCGGCTTAGCTTAAAACACAAGAACATTCCAGTTTATGTGACAGTTGTTGAGACGTCCAGCTCTGCTTTTGATTCTTCAGTCTACACAGGGAATGATTAACAGCTATGCCTGAAGTAACTGACGAGCATAATCAAGTAAGGATCTGTTGGGTGAGTATAATCATTATGTTCGATTAGACGGGACATCAAATAGGTGAATCTAAAAATCTAAACTAGCTGGCAGATAAGACGGTTGACTATAGCCTAGTTTAGAGTTTTCCACACACAGATAGTACCAAAGTACCCAAGAATATTATACAGAAGATTCTTTGCATTTTTACACGTGAATACAATCACCACTCAGAATTGATAATAGAGTGTGTGACCAGCCTTGACCCTGTGCCTCTAAGCATGAGTGCACAAGTAGTGTCTGTACCCTCTAGAAGAGACCACCATCACGTCTTTCCTTGAGTGCAGACTGCAGCATGATTCCTTTAATGATGTTTCTTTGTTTAAGTTGTAGGGGGTGTTGTTTTGCACTGTCATCAAAACCAAGTCTCAGGCTTCCTATACACAACTCACCTGTTCTGTTATGGCAGAGTGAAACTTTTTGCTAAGGGCGATGTGGTTTTCCTTATTTAATAAATTGTACTACTAATGAGGATTGTAAGAGGAGGAAAATATACACTAGAGAGAAACAGAAGGGCAGGTTGTAATTCAGAAAAAATGTGTACTTTACAGTCCAATCGTAAAACATTGTTTCTGTGTGTGCTGCTCATAGTGAGTCAGCAGCTCCCCTTTCTAAATCGGACCTGTTGTGAACTGTACAGACAGACTTTATATCTTTTGTCACTATGATGAGCAAAAACCATTATAAAGTAAAACCAATGCAGGAATAAAATGTCTGGAACTACAAACTTCTGGGGGACACACTCGCACCCCTGACGATGCCAACACTTTATTAACTTAAAGACTGTTGCTAAAAGACACTGTAGTTTAATCATAGAGAGATTACATGTATTCATGAATCCTGGTTTCAGAGACCAACCTGGCAGTTCATGTTATCCTCGGCCTCGATCAGCTTGCCCCTGTACACCTCGCCAGTGTTGGTCTCACAGGTCACGATGTGTCCCTCTGCTTCATGCAGGACCTTGATTGGGACGCCGATAGACATTTTCCAAAAGCTTTCTGAAAAATAAAAACAAACTGATCAGGAAATGTGTCACTCTGGAGTATAATAAGGTCACGTTAATAATAGTCTACCATTGTCCTGAAATATTCTACACAATGTCGCTCTTCGTTTGAGGTAAAAGCTTTAATTTTATCTCCAATATTGTTTTGTTCTGTGAATGAAAATCTGTTTGAGTGTAAAGCTAGTCGAGCTAGCACGTTTCTGGTCCTGAGACGAAAATAATGTTGCTTTAAACTTCACATAGAGTTGGTGAATAGTTATTTTTGGATTCATAAAGGTAATTCTGTCATTTCATCTTAATAGATAACAAATAACTTTGTAAAAACAGTCACATTTACCCGATCGGTGGCCGACATGAGCTGCAATTGCTACTAATAGCTCATAGTCTTTTTCCTTAAGAACAAACAATGAAAGGCTTTAACTAACTCAATTACCTCGTACCATTTACTTATCTGAAGATAAAAAAGGACAAAATTTGTTTTTGGTACGTTTCAGCTCCCAATTTAGATATTCGCTTTAGATTTTAGACTAAAGACACAAACTTCCATGAAGAGCCGACGGAGCCATAATGGCCGACTGAATGAATGGGCTTCTTTATTAAACAAACAAAAAGTCTACCGTAGGGTAAACTACACAATAACGTGACTTAATCTTATATCTAAAGACGCTTACCTTGACTTTGTCAAAAAAACGCAGTTTTATCTTTTACAAGAGTTTCTTCTGGGGCAACTCTGCAACGTGCGTTTGTCGCTTTAGTGCACCTTTTGGAGCCTTTTTCCGCCTACCCACAATGCCACCAACAGTCAATGTAGTGCTTCCGGTCACGTGTTACGGTGCATTGTGGGGCTTGTATTTTTTACCGCATATATCGCCTTTCTGGCAAACCCATGCAGTCTATGGGCAAAACCATACAGTCCAAGGGCAAAACCCGTTATTTTTTTCAAGTAGGTTTTTAATGTTTAGAAAGAAACTTCTGAAGCGTTGCAAAAAATTGTCCGGACAAGTTCATATTTTTAAAGGGAAACTAAAGACCTTCCTTTTTAGTCTGGCCTTTAGCTGATTTTTGTTTTAATATTCTAGCCTCCCTTTTAGTCTACTCTTTTTAGTACTTTTATATTATATTTATATATATATATATGTTTTTAGTATATTTTAACACTATTTGTTTATTTTCTTTTATTGTTTGATTTTAAAACAGTTTTATATTATTATTATTATTATTATTATTATTTTATACCCTTTAATTTTTTATATCTTGTCATGGTTTTAACAGTTTAGCCTTAGCTCATGTGTTTCCCCATTTTAGTTTAAGATAGTATTGATTGAAGTATGCACCAATTTCTGACAATTGATTTCTCCTGTCTTCCAAATATCATCGCCTGCTGCTTCATTTTAAAATTCAGATAACTCAACGTCATATGAGACAAATGGACATCTGCAGCCCTCTGTACTCAAAATAACATTACCTTTATTGTGTATTGTAGAGAATTTTTCTTTCAAATGAACTCATCAAGTTTTCTGTGCCATGAATGTGAGAAACAGACGATCGATGATTAGTGTAGAGACATTTTTACTGTGATAAGAGAAAACACCATAAATTCTTTATCAAAGATTAGTGATGTTTCTAAGAAACTGGTAATTGTCCTGTTTTTCCTAAAGGGCACACACAGTTTTGCATACCACTATTATTCCTACTGTTGTTACTTCGGCCTCTTGGATTGTTTCCCTCTGTCATCATGCCATCGCAGACCAGATGGAGCTTTTTATGAGATAACAAAACAAATGATGGTAATTGTGTGGTCACTTTAGCATCTGCAACAGCCTGTTTCCTCCAGTCTTGTTTATTTTGAGGTTTTGTTTTTCCATTGCCTTCAAATGACAGGCTTGTATCACCCAAAATTACATAATACTTATGACCCTTATCTTATTCTTTTATCAAAATACCACATAAAAACAAAAGCATTAAAATGAAATGGCTTCATGAGAATCACATTGTGTAACGACCGGTGGGCAAATTTTGAATAAAAGCTAGATGAGCTGAACACATACCCATATATGTTTATCCCCAGAGACATGAGTCTGGGATTGCACTGAGGCACATAAATGCTTCTTAATGCAGGTTCTTCCCGCAATAGAGGGGCTTTGTAATGAGGAAAGAGAAAGCATAATGGCATAATAAAAGACATCATCAAATGAACCTTCATTTGATTTCCATTGCATTAGGCTCATTGACTGGCGTCACCGGCCAGGCTACTCTACGAACACCTCTTTCCAGGCAGTCTGTGATCATGTGTAGCACTTACAGTGTGTATACGTGTGTGCCTGTTTTTTTCTCTGTTGTTCTTTTGACTCAGAGAATAGTACAAATATATAGAATGATATTTGAATGGTTCAAACTAGTTTTGGATGGATGATAACTAACTGGCTTGTATATACCAGTTGTTGGACCACCAGCACGCACACATGCCGGGCAACACATGTTAGCAATCAGGAAATTGCCATAAAATGCCCACAGGGAGAATTGCTCTTTGTCAGATGTTTACATAAAAGATTGTTTCAAAGTTAATGGTTGCCTTCATACAGTTCTTCAGCCCAATATTTGGACAGCTTTAATTTCCACTATATAACCTATATGACTCAAACAATCTAATATGGAACTGCATGTAGATTTGTAAAGCTAGGTTAATTGTAAAAATGTTCATTAGTGGATAGTGGTGATTGAAGTTCATCCATTCTTTTTCACAGAAAGTGATGTTAAACCATTAAACTGACACATATGTAAGACTTTTAATTTACTGGTGAGTTACAAAAATGCAGATAAGCATTAAAAAGAACCACATGCATCGTTATAAAAAATGTAATTGAAGAGTTTAAGGGTTTGAAGTGTTGAATGCGACACTGGAGCTTCTTTCACCGTTTTAATGCCATGCTGACACGCAGTTATATTGCTGTATGTATCAGTGGATATGTGTCTGTCAGGAGACTTCTGTGAGCTCTGTAGAACGTGTTGACTGTTCAAGAGAGAAAGCCTGAACATTCACAAAAGAAATGCAAGACCCACTGTCTTTCACCTCCAACACATCAGTTGTTCCGCTCTCTCCTTCACCCTGAGCAGCACTTCCCACAGTGCATTGCTGCGTTACTGAGGGAGTGCTACCCATTATTTGGTGTCCATTAGGTAAACAGCTGCTTGGTGCAGTGTCTACCTCTGATGTCCAACGGGGGGCTTCCTGAGTCATTTTTTTCGGTGTTCTCTGAGGACTTGAATCCAGCACATAGCTATTGGCCAGTGTACAACTTGTTGAACCCTCTTTACTGATAATGGAGGAAGTCCGCATGATGCTGCAGCTTCTGACGCTCCTGCCATCACCATTCCCAACCCACAACTCATTTCTATCCCTCTGTCTGAGGATGTGCTGATACAGGATCCTCCGGAAAGTCTGTCTAAACTCCCGAATGCGGTAAGCATAAATAAATGGGTTCACGACAGAATTAGCATGGGAGAGGATGATGGCAATGTTCGTCACCCACAAATGTGAGCGCTTACAGTCCTTACACAGGTGGTTAAAACAGTTGATGATGTGCAGGGGAAGCCAACATAGGGCAAACAAACCAACAATGATGGCCAGAGATTTGGCCGCATGCACTTCTTTCTGTAAGGTGGAACGGGATGTGCCGGATGATGAGGTCATTTCTCCAGGCGCAGGTACGTTTGCAACTTTAAGTCCCATCAGGCGGAGCTGTCGCCGAGCAGCCATGAAGATATGAATGTAGATAACCAACATTGCCATCAGAGGCACCAGTACACACCCAAAGAAGTTGAAGTAGATCATGTAGTCCATGTTAACCACCTCTTCAAACAGGCACACTGTCAGGCCTTCAGGGCAGTGGTAGCTGTTGGTGGTAGTGGTGGCGTTCAAACCTGTACATCAGAGTTAGAGGTGATTCATTAACAGTTTTATCCATTATTATCACATGACTGTTACCAATACTTGATTATGATTGGTCAGTGATCCATAGCAACAGTCAAGTATTTATTAATAGCAGACCATTGTTGTGGCAAACACACCGTTGCAATGGACAGTATCTCATTGACTTTAATCTGAGAATCTGGTGCCTTCAGAGTCTACAGTCAATTCGACATTGGTTTGTTTATGGTGGGAAACAAAGACTAGAGATGGCTGAGAAAAGGTAGGAGAGGTTAAACACACAAAAAGCACTTAACAGAACATGAAAAGAGATAGAGTGAAGACTGATAAATGGAAAAGACAATGCCAAAGACTCTGTTCCAGGTAAACTAAAAAGGTGGGGTGCTGATCCATGCCATCCTGTTCACCTTGTTCTAGTTCAATGAAAGTCGTAACATCCAGTATAATATTATTAACAGCAAGTATTAAGTATTAAAAGCAAAGTTAGTTCATTTATAGAAACCAATGGAGTTGATTGTCACAATAATGCAGCTCAAACTTTGAGTGTAAACGATTGTTTTGAACAGTTGTTTACAAAAAATACTGTGAATTTGAAACAATTTTTAAATAAAAATGTAGAGAAAAATGGGTTGGTTCTCAAATATATACAATAAAAGGGATAATGTGTTGGCAATCCAGTCTGCTGTAACAAACCCCTCACTGCACATTACCCCTTGCATTGTTGTCAAACCAAACACATAACATTGTAAATGCCTGTAATCTCTTTCATACAACTATAGCAGATTATGTTTCTCATTTTCAAGGTTGTGTGTATTTTTACATTTGTGTGGGTAGTGATTAGTGATGATGAGACTGAAAGTTTGGTATATTTGGAGATGTGACATCTGCCGGTGCATACATAGGTTGTTGGGTGTTGGGTGTTGGGAGTGGACATTTGGGTAAGGGGTGGTGAAATGTGGAATGAATGCCAGCTGTTCAAACAAGAGAATATGTAATCACACAATACAAACACTGAAGGTGGTAAGGTAAAGTGAAAGTGACAAAGTCAAGTAGGTGAAGGGTTCTATAAGCTAAAGAGAGCATCAACAGCTCTGAACCTGCGGTCTCCACCCACCTGGAGCCTTTTTGACTCATGGCTTAAGTTGTAAATCAAGACATGGTTGGAAACACTAAAAATGCATATTAACATTCGCCAAAGTTAATGCCTCACCTCTGTTCCAGCCCAGCATCGGTGTCAACCCGATACCAACTGAGAGAAACCAGCACAGTGTGATGATGCCCTTTGCCCTCCGTCCAGTCACCACGCTGTTGTACCTAAAAAGTAGCACATACATTGTTTTAGCTTAAATCTCAGTGTGATAGTGTGTCAACGTCAACATTTGAAAGTTGACTCATAGAGACAAGAATACAACCAGTATTAACTTGTAGATGAGCATGAGCGCACTGTAAATCTGTTGATGGTATTTCCTTCCTTTTATGGTAGTTTACCGACACGTCTTTCTCATCAGGGACTTCACATCAACTCACAATTCTAAATTTGTTTCCAAATTTGGGTCCCTTGGGTGAGTGAGTCCAAAAATAACCAATATTACTACCAATAATATAAACACACAACTTTTGTTCACATATGCTTTGCTGTACTTTGTTGCTATACTTGGTTTAACAAATTTTAATATGGCTCATGATAATACTTGTTGTTTGCGGTTTTCATATTCATGTGTTTCTCTGTTTACATGTAGCTTGTTGAATACTTTTTGCTGTTTTTATTTATGAATGCAACTATGGACGCTGCTAAATGTGTGCAACGCTTAAATACAGGATGAATTCTCCTTTAGGGGACATTGTCATATTGTCCTCTATTGTATCATACTGTGTTGCTTTAATTATAGTGTGTTGTACTGCAAATCATATTGTGTTGAAATGTATCCTATCCAGTCCTATCTTGTTGTGTCATATTGCATCCTATTACATCTTATTGTATTCTATGATAATGATAATTGTTTCAAAACATATTGTATGTTATTGAGCTGTGGTAAATATCGCAATATATTGTTGTAGATTATCATATCAAATCATATCATATCATCGTATCATACTGCACAGGATTAAGTCATCCTGTATCGTATCACATATTGACCTAAACTCTGGTGAAGGTTTTTCCTGAATTAAAAATTAAATGGCACTGGCTTGGATATATATTTACCAACCTCTGATGTGCTATTTTTCTGCTGTGATTTTGATTTGTGACAAAGTCCTCTTCAACTTTCCCTCCAACAATGACCATTTTTACCTTCAAATTCTATTTTTAAGGACTGTAAAGATTAAGGAAGTAATCATTTAGACTTTACTTTAAAAGAATGTGCAATCGAGCAATGGAAGTAAAAATAGCGAATAAGCATTAATGAGGACAGGATTCTCAGTAGCCTCACCCCACCTACAGCTATTGTCTCATCTGACTGAACTCTTTTGTGGACAGGATGGCAGCCAGTAAGCTATATTAAGCACCCTAAACTCTGATGAATTATTAGCTCACCAGTCTTTAGAGCCAGAACCGTGGCACCAGGGTGAGCCACAGAAACACACTCACATGCATGAGGTTGTTGTGCAACTGCTTTCGCAAATGTATCACCTGCTGTGACTTACTATATACTGTATGAAATATCTGCCGAGACAAGGGTAAAGAAAACAGCTGTGACTAAACAGAAGTGTCTTTGGTAATGCATTCAAACAATATGCGTCAATGTGTGTGTCAAAATACCTGTTGCAAAAAGTCACTTTGATGTTAGCTGCAAAACAAGCCTGCCATTTAAAAGAAATTGTATTTGATTGGTATAAATTTACATGGATGAGAATGATAAAAGCATCCAGCCCGTTTAATCCCTCCAGCAGCAGACAAGCCATAACCTAATAAAGCCTGTGGAGGCATACGTCTCTGTCTGCCCACAACCGGCCAGGATAGTCTTAATTGAATAAGATATCACTGTAATTCAATGTGTTTGCTACACCACTCCACTCCGCTTTGGACACTTACAATGTTAAATGGTTCTGGCTTGAGTCCCATGTGTGAAAAGAGCAGCAGGTTGGAAATAGTTTTTAAAAAGTCTGTTTTCCTTCTTTGTTTTCTGAGGTTTTCATGACCCTGCTTTGGTCAAGTCTCTTTCTAGTCCTCCTACCCTGTGTTTTGGATGATCTGCTTTAGTGAGCACTTGAAATCTCATCATATTTATGCAAAATAAGAAAGGTAAATGAAAAAAGTAAAAATACAAACATAAGAAAAAACAAAGATGGATGTATTTCCTGGGAACATGAGACTACAGGAAACATTTCCTTTTTCAGCAAAGTTAACAACACTTTTTTTCCCTCCTCACCTGAGCGGATTGTTGATGGCGATGTAGCGATCCACAGCAATAGCCAGCAGGCTGAAGATGGAGCTCTGGGTGAGGATAAGGACGAAGCAGGCAATGAACAAGCAGCCATAGAAGTTGGAGCAGAAGCCGGTGCTGGTTTTAAATTACAGAGAAAGAAAAATTTACAAGTTATAAAAAACATACAGCAAGTCCTTTAATACCAGAGTAAAAAAATGAAATCTATACATCACTGTATTTACCTGAAACTGACTTTTTAATAATTGTTTTGGATGAATAAATCACTTGCCAGTACCTAATATCACATAATGAGCTCTATCAGAGGCCATCATTGATACTTGTACCTGGACAACCCAAGTTTCGGTCAGATTTTTTAATTTAGGAAACAAAAATTTTGAGACATGAAATGTTCAGAGGAAAAAAAAACAAATTTTATGATACCTAATACTGATAGCAAATGGAATCGCCAGCAGTCCCACAGCGACATCAGCCACTGCCAGAGAAACCACAAAGAAGTTGGTGATGCTCTGCAGGTTGGAGTTGACAAAGACAGCCCAGCACACCAGGACATTACCAGCCACAGCCAGTAAGGCAATCACCAACTCCAGGACGATATAAACCAGCTGGTCATCCCTCAGCATGGTTAGTCTTTCCTCTTTGTTGCGTTTGTTGCGCTTTCATCCCACAGACTTTGTCGGTTGTCGTGTTTTTAGACAAAATACCCGCTTGGCAAACCGCATGGCACAACTAGGTGCAAAAGTGATTGTGTCATGGCTGAAGAAAGCCAAAACAGGAAGTTTCTCCCAAAAACATCACGGTTGCAATGCCTGACTTCACCTTCACTTGAACCCTATACTGTTGTACACAATATACCAGATTGTTGGTCTTCCTCTTCGTCTGTGCAATGATTTATATCGCTTCTGCCGTCAGGTCGCTGGACAATGTCACAGACAGTGGCAGAATATTGGGAAGGGAATGTCTGGGAGGCTGCCAGATTAAGAGCAATGGTCTGGAGAGAGGGAGAGAAAGAAAGCACAATCTCAGTGGTTTCAACTATACAAACAGATTACAAGATACCACACAGATGCACACACGGGTTTGAAAAGTCATTCATCTCCAGAAGACAGGCGGACAGTTTGTTTTACACACAGGGGAGCTCAAGGCAGACAGTCCAACAAAGCACCTTTTATCTCCGGAAAAGTTTCCCGAAACCTTCCCTCATTATTCCCGCCACTGAAATACCTCCCTCTAAAATCACTGATAATGACACAAAATGTTCCAGTTTGAAATTTCAGAGCCATCAAAACAACACTGGAACACCTTGTTAAGCAAGCTTAGCAACATATTTCAGGGTATTTTGTTAAATTAGTTTAAAATGTAAGCAGATTAACCATGACCCAACCTTGAATAACCTTCACAAAGGGACTGAATGAGATGTAGGACAAAGTATTCAGGTTACTGGGGAACAACAGCTCAGGGAAGTGGAGAAGAAAAATAACAGGTTTCAAGATCATGCTTAATGAAAATACCCTTGACTTTGGCAATGATAAAGATTTGCTGGAGCTTGTTTAATATTTAACACTAAACCGTTCAATGGAAATATACAAGCAGCCAGAGAAAATACAAGAAATACACTTGTTACCTTAGAGAGAGACAGTAGTGCTAATTATGTTACATTTCAAAGTGCTTCTTTTTAAATGTAATTATCAACCAGGGCTGGTTCAACCAAACACATGAAGTTAAATACAGTTAAACGAGAAGGTTCATACTGCTCCTGTCTGTGGATTAGTACAACGCTAGAGATGAAATGCTTTCAGCTAAGCAAAGCATAAAAGATGCAAGTGGGAAGAAATAAAACTCCTTACTTACTGTAAACTTTAAAAAGTGGCCGATAACATGATCATATACTAACACTTTCTGTGTTCAGCTCCCAAAAAAAGATAATTAAATAAAAAGAAAATATCTTTGTATAACATCAGCCGTGTACTGTATGTTGTGAAAGCTCATTTGGCCTATGTGATCAGATTAACGACGGCTTACTTTGCTCTGATTTTAAAGCTCCTGGGAGGAACTTTTGACTTGTACCAGTTTCAGCGCCCCAGCGAAAAAGCAGTCTTTGCTTATTTTGTCCTCAACATGCCTAAACAATGTCTTCCTGCAAAAAATGCTGGCCAGACTCAGATAAGTAGAGAGGACAATTGCGGAACAACTGTGTAAGTTCGCAGAGTGCAATGCTCGTAAGAAAGCTAACTCTAATATCAACTTTCATCATGTCCCTAAAGACATTAGTGTCCGAGAGCGTGAAGAGGAGTGTGCAGAGCAGCGCTGTCTCCGCCCACGACTCAGAGGCAAATTGCTAATGAGCTACTGGAGCTCTGCAGAAGAAAAGCCCTTGAAAATGACTTCGGTAATGTGATTTTGGCTGAAAACTTCATAATCACAATTTAAAGACCACTAAAAACACTTTAAGTATTAAAATGATCAGAGTGGGACTTCACGTGAATGTTGGAAAAACAGGGCTGCTTAGCTGACACCTATCCCCTCTCACAGATTACAGGCAGTAAAATTATGATAGCCTATAAATAATCAATCATATTGCTGATGGTCTTGCTTTCTTTTTTTTGGCATAAAAAGATTTCAATACAAATTTCAGCTGATTTCATAGATGTCAAAAGCTCCTTACAAGAGCTTTAAATTGCTATTTTTTGTCAACACTTATTATTGTATCAACTTTGACTACTCTTACTTATCATGCTTAGTGTCAAGAGTTAGTTTAGGAGGCTCGATCCCCTTTTGTCTTAATGACTAATAATAGGAAGCAGAAGGAAACTGTTCGGTGCTTGATCCAAACCGTAAATAAACTCTCACTTGCGCTATAGAAAGCTAAACCATTAACACTTCTTGTCTCTTTTTTTAACCAGGCACAAGCAGTAATGTGAAGAGAACTTTTTACTTTCATCGCCGGTTACATGCTGTAACAGCTGCCACTATTTTTGACATAACTGCCTTAATCTACCAAAAACACAGTAAAAAATTATAAAAAAGAAATAAAAATGTTAACATATTCTAGACTAACCTTTTGAAGAATAATTTTTCTTATTTTTTTTTGTAAATGACTCACTGCCAAAAGCAATAGCAGCTTTTTCAACCCCTTGAATAAAGGTGTATTGGCTTGTATATTGAATATAACATACGCTTTGTGACTGTTGAACCCAACACATACTAGGAATGAAAAACTAGTGTTTACCTCTTATATATATTGATGGACAGCACATGACGCAGGTGTTAAAGATGACAGTTATTGACCACATTGTACAGAAAAAAGGATTTGTAAATATGACCTAATTCCCAGCTGAGCCAAGGTCAATGCAGTGTGACAAGATAAGGTTTAACAAGACCGACTAAATTATTCTGTGACAACTAAGTGGAGACTGACAATTTAGGGGCAGCGCTGGGACCATTTAGACCTATTTTTGACCTAATGTAAAAAGCATTTCAATAAATTATTCAATGTATGTAATGTTTCCGATTCCAGGTCACTTGTTGTGTCCACACACTTCGATGTAGGTTTACAATAAGATGATCAAGAAAACTGACAGCTCGGTCATTGTGTGCCGATTATATTAACACTCACTGACTTTTTTTCTGTGATTCACACTCATGCTTATTCTGTATCCATGTGTCAATTAAAAACTATAAAAACTGGAGTCAGATTCTCTTGTGACAATTGACAAATCAAACCACAAACAGGTATTAAAAGCCGTATTTTCCTTTTATAGTCCTGATAAAATTCATTATCACTTGTTGCACATCGTACAATCATTCACTGCAAAGGTTTTCCTGTTTGTGGCAGATTAAAATAAATCAGAAAGACGTGTTTTACTGCTACTTTCCCCTTTTTTTAAATTGGCTAACTTTACCTTCCTTACATGGCATTGTAAGGACACATTGAGAATACAAAGAAAAAAGGCAGAAAGGAGAAGAGGGAGCCAAAGTTCCCCTCCCATATACTCATGGGAGTTTTCATTAATCTTCTCAGGGTGGTCAAATACAGCCCTGTCACCTTATCAGGAGTTATCTGATTGAAAGAACAATGAACCAACGTTTTATTTTTCCTCCATTGTTCCGCAGTTTAAGCTGTTTCCACTCAGGATTTATCCAACAAGTAACCCACGGCTAAAATTTGCCCTTAAATTTGGGGATGCAAACAGAACTAGGCTTACAGCTTTTCCCCAATGTTGTAGATTATGTGTGGGCCATAACATGGGCAGCCTTTTTGTTTGACCTTCTTCCAGTTGGCTGCTTTGGCAGAAAGCTACACCATGTTATTATGAGCATGACTAAATGTGCAGAGAGAGGCCTTGTAGGAAGTGATAAGAAAATGAACATCCTGCCAGAGGGCATCTGTCTCTAATTTGTCAATCAATGTCCCAGCTCTGCTCCAGTAAAGTGAAAGAAAACACAAGGAAGCTGCATGATTACACTAAGAGGAAAACCTGTGAGGATGATGAATGATGGGGGGCCTTGATCCATTATTTTAATATTAACAGAGACATTACAGTGATGGGAGTTAATGCTGCAATGTAGGGTGGGTTAGATGTTTGATTGAGTGGCTGTCATGTGATGGAAAAAAGGCTTCAGCATTACTCCACTGAACTTGATCTTTTCCATTTACCAGCATTGTCCATGAGCTGAAATCAATTCCCCTACAGTTGTGTGGAAAAATAGAGTGGGGTTCTCTTCATGCAACATTGTGAAGAGCTACCTTTCGTTTATTTTTATACTCTTTCACACAAAATAGTTACAACCTGAACACAGTTGAGAAGTAAACATGAAAGCTGCAACGATTGTAGTTACACGATTGAAGCAACGAGCAGACAGCAACACTTTACACACGACTGTCTTACCTTACAGTGAGGGTAGAGAGGCAAGTGGAAGAGATCGGATGATGTCGAAAAATGAAGAAAGATGTCAGGACACCATGACTTAAAAAAAAGAAATCAAAAAGAAAAAAAGAAACCACAAAAACTTGCAAAAACGTGTAAAAAAAAAAAAAGCCACTCCAAAGTTCAGTAAAGTTGTAATTCCTTCGAGATGCTGCTACGATGGGTTTCAGGCTGTGAACAGATCTGAAACAGGAAAGAGAGCGGCCACAAGCGCACCGCTGCCCCCTCTGCACGACTCTGTGTGAGTGAGTGTGGTTCAGAGAGGAGGGGGGGCTTTCTCGTAAACAGTGACAGGTCGATGTGGAAACAACGACAGGTAGACGAAGACGAACTCAGCAGTTAAATTTTACGGTGGCAGAGAACCGACACTGCTGCATATGAAAAAGAATGCAAAAAAAGGGAAGCTACGAGAGAGAGAGAGAGAGAGAGAGAGAGAGAGAGAGAGAGAGCGAAAAAAAAAACTGCAGATAAAAAAAGCCACAATTGAAGTGAACACAAAAAAATAGGCGATTCAAAAAAAAAAGTTACTGCAAAAATAAAAGGATTCTCTTACCATAGCTCTGAAAATTCTTTCCAACAGGTCAAATAACTTTTGCAGAAGTTTGAGTAGTGCTGATTGACTATTACACAAAAACTAGAGAAGTATGAACACTTGGGTGGAACTGTCAGATTTGCACAGTGACTGGAGCAGTGATTCAGTCCTTAACAGCCTTTTTTCCTCTTTGTCACTCAGACCATGAATAATCTCGACTGAGGAAGCTTTCCCTTCGATATAGACATGATATTTATAATTCTCCCCAACAGGAAGATCTGATTTGTCTATCAGATTTTCAAGTTGATAGATTTCAGGGAAAATAAGATCTTAAGATTAAGTCCAAAAAAGCAGAAGTGAAAACACGAAGCTTAAACATGCAAATCTCAGGCAAAACTTAAGAAATCAAAACATTAGTCAAGCGTTAAAAAAGAAAAAAAAAAGTTAGAATCACTTGCAAGTTAACAAACATCGTAAATGACACCCTGACAAGTGGCTTTTGGCCTATAGACTGTATATACTATGGACAACTTGGTTCCGGATTTGAAGCCAAAAAGCTCTCTGTGTTTCTGGGTTTTTTCTCCACTTCCTGAAACCAACATTGCTCAATAGCATTGTAAGCACTCCAACACTTTTGCAGTAGCGTACGCATTCGGCAGGTTCAGCTCAAACAGTGTATACCTGCAATCTTTGTACGCCCATAGGCTGTATCAAGTGTCAATCATAGAATCATACATGTCAACATCACAATCAGGGGGGAGACAAATTTATATTCTGTGTAATTAATTTCTAAAGTTTGTCCACAACTCCATAGGAATTGCTGGAGGAGGATTTAAAACCTATACATCAACCCGTCACCAGAGGGTGCTGTTCAGGGCATCCATTCTACAGTCTACGATTTGACCAAAGAGCTTCCCTTCTGCAAGCACAAAGAAAATCGCACACTTGATATTATGTAGATACAAGGAGATTTTATTTAACATTTTTGTGTACAAACATAGGCTGCAAATGCCTTCCAAACATGTTTGCCCTCAGTACTCAGTATTCCTTTTTACAGTTCTACAGGCAGAACGTTGAATATTGAACAGGAACTAGAGTCCAAAACTTTGAGGGAGGTATAAAGAGAAAGTGTTCGTGGTTGGTCATCAAGTCTCATCCTCAGCTTGATGTTACAAGTAAAACAAAACAAGTGTATTTCCAAAAGTTGTCAGCCTGATGTCACTGAAGTGGCAGCATAGAGTCATTTTAGAAGCATCAGTCATAGTATGGAAATGTGGTGTGACTGAGCAGTTTCCTGTACACAACTGATGAGATCTGACACTGTCATAAAGAGAGATATGTTTCACATCTATCCAGATAGAACTAAACCTTTTTTCGTATTTACTTTCCCTTTACAGAACAGAAAGGACTGATGTTACTTGTTCAAGTGTGATATGGAGGGTACATGCAGTTACACTGACAATCAACAGACCAAAACAGATTTTAGAGCCAATACAAGACTCCGTTCTCCTCTACCACATACTGACAGCTCGGCTTTTCAAAGAGACTAAAGGCGTACCGGCTCAACCCTTAACGCCACAATAAATAAAACAGGAACCAAATAATGTACTCTCTAGTATAATACATATTGTACAACTCCATGGAAAAGAACGATACGTTTGAGTCAGTGAAATCCAAAAATGGACCAGTTCCTGAACCTATTGATAGCTGAACAATCACAGTGGCCAGTCTGTATATGACACAACTACAGAGATGAAGCTGAAGAGATTTGCAGTTGTGTGGAAATATAAAGAAACAACTGTAAGTTTGACTGGATGAACAAAAAGTGATAAAGTGTCATCTCCCACCATAAAGGGACTGTTTTTGGGACATATATTCAGCTGAAATGTAATAAACAAACGCTGTGAGCCGTTTTACACCAATCAGGGAAAATCGAAATAAATAATAATCATTAAAGGCATTAAAGAAGATGGAACTTTAAGAGCTTCATGGAGGACATACAGTAAGTAAGAAACCGTCCTCTTTAAGACTGACTCGAACACGGTTGGAAAGACAGCAACACAGTCAGATGAAGGGATGAGCTAAGACCATGCTTGAGTTTAAGGTCCTGTCTTAGACTTTTAGAGACGAAAAATGCGTGGATGTCCCCAGAAAAGGCAACAGAAGGCCGAACAACGTCAAGAGTACCACAAGCGCAAAAACAAATCGTGTTGAGGCACAATAGGGTAGAGAAGTGTAGGCAGTCAGGAATTTCAAATTTAAGATGTTCAAATGAATTAACTATTTGTTGTGTGGTGAAAAAAATATGTGCATGCTACCATTGGTAAAAATGAGCAATAGTACGCAGTCATAGAAAACATTAAAAAGCTTAAACACTGACAAGAAAAGACTGACACTGATATTTCCAGGGTTGATACAACAACACAATTATTCTCCTTCACCGTTAAATTTACCGTGGATGTCCGAACATTTACTGCATTGATATGTATCCAAACAGAGGCCCCGCTCCTGCTTTTGAAGCCTAATGCCAGTTTTGATGAAAATGTTCACCTTTGATATGATTTGACTTTAATGTGTATGCCCCTTGCAGATAAACATGAATGTAACCACTCAAAAGCCCTTATTAGATCCACTTAACCGGTCTGGTCATTGGTACAGTTTTATGCCTAAGAGTAAAATGAAGAACCAGCCATGATATAGCACTTGGAGGACATGTACACACTCTTTCAATCTCTCTTTAAACAGCAGTCAAGAAGCCCATAAGATCACTTCAAGCTCCTGAGAGGATATTTGGTTTGTGTAGGTTGCAGGTCCCCCTGTGGAGGAGGTGGTATGTCTAAATTGTCCAACTGTGCTTTCTTTGAACTTTAAAAGTGTTCACCCATTGAGAGTGTGTGTAGAATAAGGCTGTTTCTGCAGTGTGCTGTCACTCCTTTGGTCTGACACTAACTAAATTGAAATGCTTATTGTTTTTCTTAATGGGCTTGTCTGTTTTTAGGTCATAAAAAGGCATCTGTATTAATTACAGTATGTTTTAAAACCAACAACAACAAAAAAATCCTTTCAGGAGCTTTAAACAGGTTTTTGTAGATTTGTTTCTCTGGTTTCTACTCCATAAATCCTGCAATTGCAATTTTGTGAAGTGACTGAAAATTTAAAGAAAAGCACCTGATTGTTGTTATGGGACAGATTTCGCAAGCTGTGCACATATCCTTCAAATTGCCAAACATCCTGTTGATGTAAAGCAGAGTCTCTCGTGTAACCAAAACCCTAAAGTTCAAGGTGACGAATTTATGAGTCAAGACAGCAATAAAAGTAAAACACTATAAGAAGAAAAAATCAAGAAAACATGCCTGCATGTTAAACCAAAGACACAGAGAAACTTCGATAAATTGCCTTAAGAGCTTTTTTTGAATTAGCCGTTGAGTTGGACATCTTCAGGTTAGACAGGGAAATAAAAAAGGTTAAGAGACACAGAATTACTGGGACATTTCTACAGGGATTAGACAACTAAGACATGAAATCAGGAGAACATGACACAAATAAGATTCCTTCATTAAACCTGTCAAACAGATATGCTTTTGACATTAACGCAGAGTGCTCAGGTCACTTTAATCTTAATACAGTAGTTCTAACATTGCATGATTCTGCAGCCAGATATTAAATGGTATAAGAAGACTACAGTATGTTATACGTATGTGTGTGTGTGTGTGTGTCTGTTTGCTGTATTGTGACATTGCATAATGTCTACACTAGACAGGCGGTGGTCTGTGGATGTGAGATGTCCCGCTGAGGAACACCCAGCAGATTAAAGAGCTTGTGCCTTTTCCCACAGCAGCATAGAGTCTGTAACTACAATGTGTATTCATCGTAATAATAAGTAAATGTATGACTGAGAGGCTGGACAGTACAGCTGAGTAGTTTGTGTAAGAACAAGGCTAAATCCTGCTTATTTACTGCAAGACTTGAAGTCAAGGCTAAGACCTACCACTTTCTTAATCAAACACAGAGAAAAACAAACAGATTTCTCCCCCCAAAGGCCCCCGAAATAAATTACAATAATAGCATTAATGATTATACTGTTAAACTTAAAGAAAAAAAATACAACTTTAAGATTATGTACATACTGTGTTTGTAAATACAACTGCTTCCTTTGCTCCTAGAAACAAACAAATAACGTAATTTTGGCAAGATGTCCCATGTTACAATACGAAGGACATTTCATCAGCAGAGATATGGACACAGACGACTCCTATGTTAGAAAATATATTGCTTCCTGGATATTTAAGCTGAAGACTAACTTGAGACACAAACAACACAAAAAGGGGAATTTGACTTTCATGGTCAGGTTCCTTTTTTTTCCCGACGGTTACTCTTCAAGCTTTGTCACTGACTCTAACCCAGGTTTGTTTACGTTGTAAACACTTTAACATACAGGTGTTGGCTTCCTGACACAACGAAAAAAAACAGTGTCATGGCAGCTCTGAATGTTCTTCTTTAACTCCCATTAATGTCCAAAATGTCTCCTTTAGTCATCTACGAAAGAGATGATGTTAAACACAGAAGTTTCCTCAGCAGGACATGAAGATCATGATGATTGTCCAAATTAAAAAAAGTGAACAATATCCCAAAAAAGGAAGATGGAGCTTTGATTTGTTGGCAGAAGTTCGTTCTTTTACAAACTGACTTGAACATTTTCTTGGTTAGAAGTTCAATGTTAAGACCAACAAAGAACAAGAAGGAGAAATGTAGATGGAAGATGTATCCAAACCCTTTCTGAGGAGCAAAGCTATCAGGGACTGAGTGACACAGACCTCACTGTCTCAGCCTCAGAGGTCCAATGGCGCCCTCCTGTGTTCAAGGTGAGCAGGCATCTCTAGAGATGATCCTTTTCAGCTGCATGAGCCTAACCGAATCTGACGAGTCAATTCAAAAACGTACTAATACAGGCTCACTTTGAGCCACAGTTTCATCTCCTTTTCACTCCTTCACGGTCAAAGTCACAGGTCTGCAGAGTCTGCGTTTAGCTCTATACTTCGGTGGAGAAGAGGATGCTCTGTCGTTTACTGTCCGGGGTGGGGATCGTCTCGAGCTGGAGGAAATACAGCAACACCTGGACCTGGAGTAAAGAGGAAAACAGAAAGCATATGGATTTACTAAATATAACGGGGGGTTCACGTTGTGATAAAGATTCCCCTTTTTTTTAAGTGATGCAAGACAGATTATGACAAGAGGTTGACAACATATGCAGTCCAAACAGACAATAGAGACAAAACAAAGTGATAAGGAGAGCAGGAACACATAAAGTTTAGATATTTAAAGTTTGAAGGTGTTGCAAAGCTGTGTTTAAATAAGTGTGGGTGGGTGGGTGTTAAGAAGTGTCTGTGTTAGTGGGTGTGGGTGTGATTGTCCCTCTTTCTCCCCCCTTTTAAATTGTAATAATTGTTGGGGACAGAATGAAAGAAGAAAAAGTAAGCATTATGACAAAACAATAATTACAATAATAAAATAACAATAATTATTATTATTATAATAAAACAAAGAAGTAGAAAAAAAGAGCAAAAAAAGAAGTTTGAAGGTGTTGAAAAAAAAGAAGTTTGAAGGTGTTGCAAAGGTGTGTTTAAATAAGTGTGGGTGGGTGGGTGTTAAGAAGTGTCTGTGTTAGTGGGTGTGGGTGTGATTGTTCCTCTTTCTCCCCCCTTTTAAATTGTAATAATTGTTGGGGACAGAATGAAAGAAGAAAAAGTAAGCATTATGACAAAACAATAATTACAATAATAAAATAACAATAATTATTATTATTATAATAAAACAAAGAAGTAGAAAAAAGAGCAAAAAAAGAAAATAATAATAGTAAATAAATAAAAAATAAATAAATAAAAAATAGATAAATAGATAATAGAATAATAACTCACTTTTTGTTCTTCACAGAATGGCAATAAGTTCAGAATAAGTTCCAATATGTAATCCAGCAGCTCTTGTTTTGCTCATTTATACTGAAAATAAAGGCTTCACTGAACTTCCCAGTAACTCCACTGTACTGATGTGTGGTCATCAAACACTCCCAGCTTAGCCTTCCTCCATGCACTTCATTGTTGATGCTTCATTTTGCAACTACAGAAGCAGACATGTTCAGATCCAGAGCAAGCTGAAACTAGCAACCCAAGGTAAGTCTGCAAACCTAACACTGTTATTTCATGGTTCATTATACTTGGAGAGAGCACATTACACTTAACCCACTGGTCACTTCGGACCAGAATACAAACAGACCACAAATGAAATCCAAAAACGAGTTCAAAAACAATTCTCAAACTTTTAAATCCAGACGTCTACGAGTCTCTTACCTGTGCCATGACCTCCAGGGACCAGCTGTCTCCCATGCTGATAGGTTGGGTGGGGTTGGCGGGGATCTTGCTGTCCTTCTCAGACGGTCTCAGTAGTGTGGGCCCAAACACCGTTGCCAGGTTGTGGAGAGACATCTTGTTGACACTTTCCTTCTCTGCCACCCTGAGGAAAGAGAGACAAACGAGTCTGTTAGGAAAGAAACAATCATGTGAAGTGATGTTAAAGTGCAGTGGCGGATCTGAATGTCGTGTATGGACTTCTGGCATTTATGAGACTCTATTTGTGGTGAAAAGATTCATTATTTAGTCAGCTGACAGAGCGGTGTGAATATTTTATTAACTCTTTTATAACATTTTCCCAGCGGTTCCCTCATCTCACAGCTTTATAAAGAACTTTTTCCATTACTGCCGCAGTGGTTCATGACTTTTAAGCTGTATCTATAGAATGAATACGATGACATTGCATTAATTCCATATTATTCCATTATATAATGACAATATGACACTGTATTACAATTATATTTGTTATATTTACATGTTTGTTCATTATCAAGCTTTTTGAGTCCTATAATTTACTTTTCTCTCCGTTATTTCACTTTAAAAAACTCTGGGACAGAGCATGTGTGTTTTTACTTGTTCCTACCTCTTCAGGTGATCCAAAAGGAAAAGGAATGTGACCAGGTTGGGTTCAGGCAGCGACAGCAGTAGGTTCAGCATACAGCTCTCTTTGGCAACACTATCAGACAGAGCTGCATCGAAGAAAAGAGGAGGGATTTTACATACTGTGCATTTCAAGAGCTTTCTCTTATACATGCAAACAGTTAATAACTGCAACTTCTGATCGGATTAGCTGTGCTGGACAGTGACTTACTGATGCCGCCTGCAAAATTAGGGTACAGCTCATCAGTGAAGAGCGGTTCTGGCAGCTCTCTGAAGTACAGCTTCAAGGTCCCGGCGATGGCATTCACGTCCATCTCACTCATCATCACTGACACGTCTTTGTGGTCTGCAGGAGAGACACGATTACAGCATGAAGACGGGGTTTGTGCAGAGATAGAGGAGGATGATACGACTGGGAAACACCTCAGCCATCACAGTCAGTGCATCTTATTTTCAGCGTCTTATCAAAGTTACAGTAAAATGCACACACACTTCACAAATTAAAGCCACAAGGAGCTAATAAGTTCAGATATCATGAAAAAACTAATCTTTTCTAATATTTACAAGTGACAGCAGCACATATTAAATCTATGCATGAATATATCCACTCTACTCACTGGTGTCAAAGGCGGTCTTCAAGGCCTGAATGTCTGTTGCCACCCCTGATACTCTGTAGATGCCCACTTCCTCCATGCCCCTCCTCTCAATTTCCTCCAGGCACTGCCGGACAATGTAGGGCACCTTGGAGCGCTCTCGCCTGGACAAACAAAAACATTGACCAGTAGTTTATGTTGAGTCAACACTTGCCAGTGGAAATACAAAACAAACAGGACACAAAGTGTTTTTTTATTTACACAGACCTTTTAAAAAAATAAGAGCTGTTTTGACTGGTTGTAATTAATGGAAGAGCTAATAATGCCTCTGGCTTGTGTTTCTATTACAAATGCTGATTGATTGTTGCTGGTAAATCTGGTTAACCCACTTGTTATCTGTAATCATCATTAATGTCACTCAAATATGCACAACAACAAAGACAGAGCACACCAGAGCTTCTACTACATGTTTTTTATCCCTTTCTCTCAAAACTGTCTCTCCGTTTTTGTTTTAACTCTCCTGACTCAAAGAAGAGAAGACAACAAAGTCTTCACACTTCACAAATATCGAAGAGTGAGGTTTCCTCAGCTCAGTTGTTGAATCCTAAGGCAAAAAGTAACATTTTCTCCTGATTTTGGTGAAACTGCTTCACAAATGTGTTGCCATGAAATTCAGTATCGAATATGGTTGGAGTTTTGAAGATTAATCCCATGACTAAAATGAATATGGCATACATGCACCGCTAAAGTTTAGAAATAGGTCTCAAAGGTTTTCATCATGTCGTCATTTGGTGCACAAAAATGCTTCAGTCCAGCCCTTTAACCATGAGTTTTAGTATGAAAATAAATGTGCCATAAAAATTCCTGAAAAATCATTACTTTCCTCGTAAATGTTGGAGTAGCATGCCAAATTGTGGATGAGGTGTCAAAATGGGTCTATGCATAAAAGAAACTAGACCTTGAATAGAGCCCTGAGGAACACCAGTACCAGTAATTGTGTCCTTATAGAGTGATGAATGCAAGGATGACTATAATTTCTTTAAAAGGTCAACTCACTTGGTCACTGTTGAGATCTTGACTCCAAACACACCCATGGGTTTCCGTGAGGGCATCCTCTTCAGACTGAACTCCCGGGTGGTGAACTTTATGGAAAGTTTCACCTCAATCTGACACAGGAAACAAGGGCTTGTAGTTAAAGCAGGTTTACAGAGCGAGGAGCCAATCTACAACCCTGAAATCCATCTGAAATAGCTCTCTGTGATCTCAAGGATATCCTGACATTTTTAAGCCAGATGTGGGCTTTAGAGCTGAAATCAGCGACAGAACCACTTCCTGGAGGAACAGTTGGGGTATATAACCTAAGACTGTCCTGGAGCTTCATAATGGAAACAACAACTCTGAAACTTGTCAAACTTATAGAGGAAGAATGCTTGTGATTTACTCACCCCATTCATGGGAATAACTGTCCTCTGCCAGTCTTTGCCTTCGAGAGCCTGAGGGTCCAGCTGAGTAGGGGGGAAGCAGAATAAACATACGTTAGCATTACATTTAAGACTCTGTAGGATAGTCTTTCATACATATATAACATTTCACTATATCTGAACAGATTATTGTCCAGGTTTGTCATCAGTAAACTCAAACTTAGTGTGGCAAATTCTCTCCCTTCTCAAATTTGATCAAATGTTTAAATAACTTATGAAAGAAAAACAAAAACAGAGAAGATTTGGAAAACAGTATAAATCCTTCAAAGACCTCTGAACTTTTATGTTAAAATACACACTATATAAAAAGGTCAAATCAAGCATAAGTGCTGCATATGCAATCATGTAACAATAAAACTAAAAATACCACTTTTTATTTCTTATGTCATTTCCAGATGACTTTTACCGCCTTTATTACTTTCTCTGTAGCTCTTTCAGAGATGAGCCGACAATATTTCGAATTCCACCTTAAATCTGAATTACTTCCTCCCACCACTGCGGGGGCATTTTAAAAATGTGGTTTTGTTTTGTTGTTGCATCCTTCTACTGTATCTTATGTGTGTATTCGATAAACAATCTTCTTTGTTTTCAGAGCCAACATTCACACTCACACATGCGCAAACACTCAAATCTGAAGAGACATGCCATCTGGGTCAATAAAAGCCTGGCACACACACACACACACACACACACTGTAACAAACACACACTCTGTATACTGTATCTCGTATGTTTACCTAGGCTAAGGCCCATCTGGTTGCGTGCAAAGCTGGATCATGTTCCTCATAACTGAATCTTTCACTGCTGGGAATGCTCTTGAGTTTGAACCGTTTATCTACGGAGAATTATGTTCCACTGAAAGCAGCAAAGCCACAGGAGCTTCTTTATCTTCATGATAAAAATGTTTAAAGACCACCATATATAAATTTATCTACTACAGCCTGTGAAATGGAAAAAAATCCCTGTGCTTTCTTTACAGCATTTAATGTTCTGTTAAATGAACGGGCTATTAAACATAACAGTTAAATAACATGAGCAGAGACAATCATACAAAGTTGTGAGATGATTATGAGTTTAAAAAGAACATTTCAGCAATTAAGTGCCAATAAAGAAAAGACACATTAAGGTGGTTGAATACCAAAAACCAAATAGCTGATTGGTCAGCGTGTTTTTGGATTATATGATGATGATTAAGAAACAGTTTAGTTTTATAGCTTTTTATATTTTAGATCCTCTTAATTTTTAGTGTAACTGCTCACCTTGAACCAAGACCCAATTCAATTTTAGTATGCTAACACAATTAAACAGAAAACTATTTTAACTGATTAACATCAGAAGCTTCTGATAAGAATGAACACCACAAGATGTCACCATAGGAAGGTGTGAATAAGCAGGACGAAATAAAGAGACAGAGAGATACTGATGAAGCTATATTGACCCGGGTTAGAAACACAAGTAGGCCACTCTGTCAAAGAGATTCGTCTGATTAGTTAAACAGAACGACTGAACAGTAATCCGGAGGATTTATCAGCCGCTGTGGCTTCGAATGAAGAGCGGTTTCTTGCCCTGGATTTATGAAAATCCTGCTCAGCAACTTTCTCAGCACTCTGGGTGGTTTGTTTTGAATGACATCATCTGTATAGAAATGATCATGTGGCTGGATTACTGGAGGAGCCACTAGATGGAGCATGTGACTGTAAATCACAGTTTGGCAGAGAAAGAGCAGTAAGGATACTCAGAGTAGTCTGGGTGCTTTTTGAACAATTTGTACGAGATAGGACGCTGAGGATGAACGCTGCTGTTGAAGATCATGTAAAAGCTAATATAACATCATTGTTGCACATGATTGGCTAATATAAATATGTGCCAAACAATACAGGGACAGTCATTTAGGTTTTTTAAAATATTTTGCGCATATTTCAGAAACCAGAGAGGATCGTTTTTGGTGTTTTTATTAGGGCAGCCAGCAGTGATAAATCTGACCTACTCTGGTGTGCACTGAGGAGACAACAAACTGTTTCTCTCTCTGCCTTCATCTCTTTGCTTTCTCTCTGTTCATCACTTGAGTGACACTTGGCATTATCCTGCAGGCTGCTGTCGTCCTGGCAACCTAATCACCTGCTATTTATTATCAGTCAGTCACAGACAGAGTGCTCAGGACAGAGTCTGAGTTGGTTTATTTTGGATTAACACCAGATTTTGGCATTTTCTAAGATTCTCCTGCTTACAGTGTTGACGTAATTTCCTTGTGCGCAGTACGGCACTGCTGTGACTGTGACTTATGTTGTGCTCGGCTTAACTGCGATGCACAATGATAGAAAAAATGACATTAAATGATGCTTTGAGTCTGTTTTCAATGGTCTGTATCATCCTCACTCAGTTAAATGTTAATTGAACAAAGTGACATATCACCACTTTAAAATATTGAACTGACACTCTCCATTAACTCATCCTTGTCCATCCATTTCATAATCAGCTAATTAATCCAATCAGCCGTTTTTCTTTTGTTACATCATGCCCAGTTTCATTCATTCATTGAGCAATAATTTGCATTTCACGCTTTGCAGCAGTCGCAGTGACATAACCATCCATCGGTAATGACTCATGGAGGGTCTGCAGAAAAGAGGGAGGTGACGTCATGTCATACCGGGATCTGTCCTTTCCCCATGATGCGGTCCGTGCTCTCTCCATCCTCTTTGTTCTGCTTGGTCTTGTTGTAACACTTCTCATAGCAGAGCAGCCTCAGGGTCTGAGAGCCCTCCAGCTCGATCTCGAACTCCTGAGAGAGAACAGAAGAAGAGGTGTTTGCAGGTGAGGTTTTTGTAGTAGTCTGTGCTGAAATATTTAGGATTTGAGGACAGCAACATCTTTAAGGACGGTGAAATTGTAAAATGTAAAGAAAAACACTGAGAGTAGGAGTTCCAGGAAAATCAGAATCCATCTACCACCAACTTTTAAATCCATAAATCCCTCCACAGCTGACCGGCGTTCCCTGTAATTATGTGCAGTGCCGGAGCACTCTGCATATGGTTTGCACATCGTTCTGAGTCCCACACTGTGTTGGTTCACTTCGCATTTGGACAGATGTGAGTCATCACCAGCAGCCCCTCATTAACTGATATTATTTCCACTTAGCTTGACAAAAATCCTCAAAGAGTCTTTGAGTCCAAGGAAATAAACCACTGATTGTGTCTTAAAGCTCCTCTTCTTCCAACGTACAGCTGTGTTAGTTACACAGCGATGTAAGGCTGCTTCAGTGAACCGCATGCATGTGTGCATTTCTTTATCTTTGCAGGGGCTGCAGATGCTTTATGCTATTCAAAGATGGAAAGCTTAATAACTACAGTAGCAGATGTCAGAAGCAGAAGGCCGAGAATGTTTATGTGTCTTTTTCAGTTAAAATGAGAAATAAGGGGTGTTCAGTGTATTTAATAAAATATTATTGGAAATTCTAGATATCACTGCTGTGGTAATTTCTTATCCCTCAAATCACGACATTCTTTGACTTTCAAACTTCACAGAATACAGAGTTGAATAATGAAATATGGAGATGCAACGTTTTTGATCCTTGCAGTTAACAATTTCGAGGTTAAATGAGTTTAAAAATGGGTTCATGTGTCGCTCAATGCAATGTCAAAACTGATTTCTTTATTATGATTGAGAATTAGGGCCTCAATAAAAGAAAACCAACTTAAAATAGCAGGAATAAAGTTGTAAAAAAGGAGGATAACATCTTAGAATTGCAAGAATAAAGTCAAAACTTTATGGGAATGAAGTAATAATTTAAGGCCAACATGTAATTTTTAAGGGGTTCATTAAAAATAAGCCAGGCGCCTGCAAAATGAGGAAATTAAAGCATCTTGTGAAGTTATATCTGAGAGGTTCTGCAGAATAAATCATCAGATCTACTCAGAGGAACCGTTGTCTTAACGGCAGTCTGCTCCAGCTTCTTCTCAACCGCACTGCAGCTCCATTCTTGTAATATTAACACTTTATTCTCACGAAAAAGGAACTTTATTCTCGTAATATTTAATCTAGTTTTTGTAATTTTATCTTTTAACTTGACAGTTTCATTCTTGCAGTACAAAATAACCTGCACAAATGAACCTGCACTTCAGGTATGATAGAAGAGGTGTGAGATGAACAAAAAATGCAAACTCCTCCAAAATTATTGCTTCATTCTTTTAATGTCATGCATTTATTAAATAACTCTGAGACTATATTCTAATAACTTACACCTAATTTCTTATTTCACAACATTATACTTCAAATCTCAGTTTTGTTTCCCTCACCTGGTCTAATAAAAACATATAAATAGGAATAATTTCCTCACCTCGTTCCATTTGGGTTCAGTAGTGTATCGATAGACTCTCGTCTTCGCTTTATTTGAGAAGAAGCCAAAGGAATCCACCTCCAATGTGCAGTAGAGATCTGACAGAGACAAGACACGATACAAAGATGTTTTGAGTCCTCTGTGACTGAATGTTAAATGTTATTACCAGAAAGAAAGGTAGAAATGAGCTCTGTTTATGGTGCCTAATAAATATTTTGTCACCTCGGTGTGTTTAAATCAGTCAGTAAACCATTACACACTCCAACCAGAGTTTTGAAACTTGATATTTTCTTTTTACTGATCCAAAAGTCCTCCTACTAAAGTGGAAAACTACTCCACACTGTTTCCCGCTGCTCCACGCTCGCATCAAGCTCATTTGGTCTAATTATCTCTATTCTCTGTTGTCTGCATGGAGGCTGAAGTCGAGTGACTCACTCAAGCTCTGTTTGAGGCCGGAGGCAGAGTGGACGATTACATTCAGGAACCCGCAGAGACCGGGGGATTCATCCTCTGGAAAAACAGTCAGAGAGAAGAGAAAAAAAACCCAGTGAGGAGGGGTTAGAAAAACATGAACATCTCTGTTTGTGTTGGAGCAGAACCTGATATGGAAAAAAGGGGACAGAACAGCCCTGTAAAGTTTGAAACATGTAGTTTCAACCTCTGTGTACCTTGTTTAAATCAAAAATATTTACCATATCTGTAATGTGTAGCCAGCCGTGTATAAATACAGTTTCAAATGTGCTCTATAAGAACATGAGTGTGATTAGAACAGCAGAGTTTGAGGGTTAAAACCAAGTTTTGAACACAGAAATGAGAAGCTAACCTTCTTTGTTGATGCTCAGTGGGATGTGGTGGACAGTTTGTAGTTTGAGACAGGAGCTTGTCAACATTTGCAGCTCCATGGAGGTCAGCGAAGAAGTTTTTACACCTACAAAAAAGACAAGATATACTGTCAAGTCATTTCTGGCAAAACAAACTTCTTGAATTAGCAGTACGGAGCTGTTTGAGAGCTCTCGTGTAACTGTTGTGATCTGGATCAGATAAAGTCTGCAGGTGTTTCTGGGACACTTACATTTCTTCTGCTGCTCCTTTATTATCTCCCTCCACTCTGCACGCTCATAGTCGGAGGAAATCAAGAAACTGTAACTCTGAATACAAAACACAGGAACAGGCTGTTACTCATCATCACAAATCAAACTGGGGAATCAGTCAGTGCAGAAAAGTCAGACAGTGATTTTACAAGAACATAGTTCAGGGGTGATTTAGGTGGATTCATGTCAGAGAGGAGGGGGATAATGAGAGAAACAGATGAATTATGGGGATGGAGTTTGTGCAGACGAATGTGAGAAAAGGAGGTTGAAATGAAGATAAAAACAGAGAAGAAGAGCTGGGTTTTGTCATCACCTTGCCGTTCTTGTTGTAGACTCTGAGCGGCATGCTAGGAGACATTAACAGGAGCAGAGACTCTTGTTCCGACAGCTTCTTCCTGAGACGGTCAATGACCTTTGAACCCTTGTTGGCTCTCTGAAATCACAAACAGGAAAATGTTATTGTTTCTCCCCAAAGCCAGAGGACTAACTGATAAACGCGCCACGTCTTTAAGTAGCTGTGTCTATCTACTATAGACATCTACCTTCTCTCTCTGGAGCTCACTGCGGAGGTGTGAGATCTTGACCTTCATGGCGTCAAGCTCTTCATCAGGGACCTGGGGGATGGTGAGAGGCTCGCTCTCCTCGGGGCCTTGGAAAGTCAGCTCAGTCAGGGGGATGTACCACTTACTGTCATACTGCTGGTTTTTGCTGCAGTAGACGAGACAGAGGAGAAGGATAATAAAGATGGGTCACAGGACACAGTGAGGAGAATATAAAAGGAGAACAAACAATATAACATTAAGGCAACAATTAAATGAAGTTAATCCCTGTTTCGAACTCTCTGAGGATAAGATGCAAAAATAGTCCTTTTCTCACCCTCCAATCTGCTTCTTCAGCTTGGCGCAGAGCAGCAGATCGCTGAAGAGGAAGACATGCCGCAGCTTTCTCGCTCCCTCCACCAGCTCCACCATGAAACTGTCCTTAAGAAGCTGCCGGTTCTGTGGTAACAACACACAACAGTGACAGATCAGGAACACTGTAATAGAGATGAGTCTATTTAGATGGTGGTGGACATAAATATTAGTCTGTGCTTCATAATTAACTGCTGCAGTGAAGTCCGTTTTGAGATATTACAGGAATTTTGACTTTAACACAAATATGGTTTGGCTCTATTTAGGTGTCAAGGAGTCACTGTAGTTTAGCACTATTTAACGACACAACACATGTGAGTTTCTCCGTCTGATTGTCCCTAAAGTAAAGAGTTAAAGTGATCCCAGTTCGTAGCCTTGGCTCTCTGGTAAGTCTCTAAATAAACAGGCCGAGATGACTGCTTCTTCATAGTCTTCAGATGCTTCCTCCAACCTTTCAAACACAGTTGCTTTTAGTTTAACCACTTCAGCAGCTTTTCAAAGTGAGCAGGAGATTGTCCATTCATATCACATTGTTGACATGATCACAAGGGTCTCATACTGGATTCTACATTTGAGGATGGATAAGGAGACGGGGCAAAGGGCAAAGAAAACAGGAAAGATGACCACATTGCGACTCAACAGGGTTTTCACACAGCAGGAGGAGTTTTCACTGAGTTTCATCTTTACAAATTGTTCCTGTTAAATTCCTTTGTCTGCATTAATCATCGACTTCCAGCACACAGAAGAACCAATGACGTAACGATGGAGAGAGTGAATGGAGTGATAAGGAGCTCGGGACATATCACTGATGTCAGACTATGTAATGAGGTGTGTAATACCTTTGTTTGACAAAAGGGGGCAGTGATGTCATTTTCCAAACCAAGAACCGACATTTACAAGAATGGACTTGGAATAAAACAGGGAGCAGACAAACCAGATAAACCACAACTCGGTAGTAAACGCTTCACTTTCACACGCTCAAGTTTGGTTTTGTAAGAGGTGTGAGACAGAAAACTGTCAAAAAAGAGAATAAATTGAGACGTTCAGCAGGCAGGGAGGAATTAATAGAAAAGGCACGCTTTAAACAGGGTGTTGATTTTATATGAATTTCAAATCCAACAGCACATTTGTGTGTATTTTTCCTTTAAGTGGTCATTTGCAAACTCTTTTAAACACTCACTTCGATGAATCACTGGAGTCCACAAAGTTAACCCCCAGAGTTTTACATTTTTTCCCAATCCTATCCTCACTAACCTTACAAAAACCTTGCAGCAAAACCATAAAACATGACATCACACCTGTTAAGAGCCAATCACATCCCTATTTTCTTCTTTGTGCCCTCCCCCTCCTCCTCCCCTCTCCATCATGACCACACAGTTGCTGTCACCAACAGACCACATTGAAGAGAAGTCTCTACATGTGTGCTTTAAAAAACCTGACCGGACATCTGCTGGTGAAGAAGAGGAGGATTGTGCTGCTACACTTAGCTCATGATGTCAAGGTAGAAAAGGACAGGGTCGAGGACACCAACAGAAAGAGAAGCAGAGAGACAGGGTCAAACACTACATGAAAACGAAAGGCAGTAAGTAGCACAAGAAGGGGAGAAGGAGATGGGCACAAGTGAAATAGCAGTCACCCAAAGATCTGAGATCATGCTGCAGTTTTTGCTGACTCTTGACGCATCATTGAAGCCTCTCACGACCAAAAACACCAACAAATGAAGTTCCTAAATGTATTCTTATTCCCACTGGTGGATGTAATTATTCATTATCAGTAAGATAATGAAGCCCTGCAAAGATGACAGCCTATTACAGATAACTTCCAGATGGGAAGCTTTCCATCATGTCATCTTTTTTTATTGCTGTGCTGGATGACATGCAACACCTGTCAGCCCACAGACACTAACATATCCCCGTCTTTCTCCTGCGGTTCTGGTTCCTTTGTGTTGGTTTTTGTTGAATTTTACTCATTGTAACTGATCCCTGTTGAGTTTGTTCTGTAAATGTTCACCATTCAGTCTCCATCATCTGCTTTTGGACTTTTGATGTTACGAGAAAGGCACATCTCTGAAGTCATTCCACATGTAACATGATCCCCCTGAGGATATTTTCTCACACGAGTACAAAACAAGCCTCCATCCTGCCTTACTCCTGTCAATCTACATGCTGTCATGTCAGGCTATATTTAGGACATGTACAGCAGTGAGACAGAGATATCGGCAAAGGTGCTCATTACAAAACAACTGAAACAACTGACAGAGAACGGAAGACGAGTTTATTATAGATAATTACAAATACCAACGGATTATTAATATTTAGCACACTATCAAACTGATCTCAGCCTCCAGTGGGTTAAATTTATGTTGCAAATTTAAGGTTTAAGCTATTTTAGCCATTGCTAGTTTTAGTGTAAAACATTTGGGGATAAAATAACAAAGCAAACAAGACGAAGAACCTAAAGCCATCCTAACAGCTCTGTTACGAGAGAGAGCCGCGTTACAATAAAGAAAGAGAAACGACTCACAGTCCACAACCAGGCAGACAACTACCTGAATGTACTGAATCTGCCCAATGCTAATGCTAATCATTGTTAGCATTAGTAACATTTGCCATACTCTCCAGAATAGCATGCTAACATTGACTGTGATGCACGGCACATACAGCACAGCTGGAGAAAATGTTGCTGGTTTTTGAAGATATTTGGTCAAATATCACAGTCATCTGAAAATGGAAAGACAAAAGGGTCCAAAGCTAAGCTAACAGCTCCTCATGACATTGAAATGTTGGTGTTTGGAAAAGTCGTTGAATCATGGATCCTATTGATAAATTAGCAGGTTAATAAACTAAACACAGAATAATTAACAGATGATGGGGATGTGATCTGAAAATTTTGATGTTTAATGCAAACATTTACATTCAGCGCTAGAGTTTGCATTAGCTCGAATTAGCCCTTTACTATCAGAAAGCCCATTTGTTCCTGACAAACTACACTTCCAAACAAACTACCTCTTGGAGTATATCAGATGCTAGTATTGATATATGACTAAACAATAGAAACAGAAGTTCTGAAGTTATTACCAGTACAGCTGGTATGATTTCAGAATACTGTCACACTTTGGACTGTAGTTTTAGACGTTTCTGCTCTGTTGTTATTTTCCTGTAAAGAGTTTTAATAATAGTAACTGTATCCAGTCTCATAGGGGTGACCACACTCATTTTCTTCACCCTGAGCAGCAGTGATGTAATGGTAGCACTTTAGTACCACACTAAACCGCAGCTGGTAGTGGTGACTATTATGACAGACCACACCCAATTATGAAGTTGGGTGTGGTCGTGGATTCAGAAGACTTTAAGAGGACCTTTGAACCCACACAGACCAGTACAGACAGCTGTGTTTTTCCTCCTTTAAAAAGTCGAATGTGGACTTCTCAATCTTCCTTCAAATGGTTTCATCAGAAGCTACCAAGTCCACTCATTTGACCGAAAATGACCTTCGATAAACTTCCCATCCCATAGGGCTTCAGCCATAATCCTCTCCTCCATTGATCTCATGATAAAGGGATCAAATCGGAAAAGGGATAAATACTAGATTAGGGATTTACAGGACTCTAACTGTGTGGGAGTAAAAGGGAATCATGTGACAAGACAAAGCAAGACAGTGGACCAAAAAACTCAAACAGCGCACAGTCAGATCCATTATTTACACTGCTTAATACAAAACTATTGAATCAAAATGAATTTTTGGGGGCGAGAAACTCGACAAAAAATGATAATTATGGCCTAAACAATGCTGTTATAATGATTTTTAATATCTTGAATGAAGTGTTTCCTGCCTGGAGATACTTTTAATTAAAGCTCATTGTTTTATATGATGACGCAGACTCATATTCCAGTTAATGCTTATTCCTACATCACTAATCTGATGATTTCGGAAATCTGCTTGTGCTGTGGCTTTTTCGCTGCTATTGGGGAAACAAAATCCTTAACAAACCAGCTGTCTCAGCGCATCAGATGACATCTTCTCAATATTGCACTGCCAGTAGGAGAAATGTGACTTTCTCTATTTCTCATAATAGCTGACCAGAACATCAGCAAACAGCTCTGTGTTAGGAGGAAGCAAGGAGCACGCTGACGGCACAGAACACAGATTAAATATTGACCATCTCCTGGAGGAGCCTCACAGAGAGCGTGTACCCGAGTAATGGCATGAATTTACAAAAGATCCATATTTATATTTAGAACACACGCTTGAAGGGGCTTGTCTGCGCTTGTGCCTGAACTTCCTGCAGATTTGTGACTGAACTGGGATGTTTTCATGTGATGATAAAGAAAAGAAAACCTACAGACGGATGAAAGTAGCGTAAATCAATGTGTGCATTTCTTCCTCGAAATACACACACACACGCAGTCACACCAAGAGCGTATCTTCCCCACAGGCAAACAAAGCAGGGCGAGGAGGTGAATTGAGATTTAGGCAGTGCCATCATTTGCATTTTAATTAAGCAGCTTCTGTTTGTTCCCTCCCCTCGTATGGTTGGGTGAGGGCCTCTGGGGTCCACTTGTGCTGCTCTGCTCCTGCATGCCTACACTGAATAAACCACAGGTTACTTACTACTGTGTACACACGGTATTGACGCTTCAGTGTTCGCTTCATTTTCTACAGAACTGGAAAAACATCAACAATCAAACATCAACTGCTGTGTTTTTCTTGCTTACTTGTTACATGATTGCTTTGTCGTCTTCTATTTGGAATAAGAAGTACAAAACAACTTCAAAATGAACAAATATCATCTTAAAACATGCACTATTGGAGGGAAAGCAGGAAACCCATCTTTTACAATGCAATATAAGCACATATATAAATGAACGGCTAATAGACGTAATATACGTTTTATCAAGTTTAGCTGTGCACTTTAGCTTTTCACTAAATAAAAACACATCTGCCTCTGAACTTTGTGAGTAACTACAGCCTTTGGATGACTGAATCATTAAATTCGTTGCTGCACAGTTATTGAATTACAAACAAAAACCTTGGGTATATAATACACTCCAAGGTACGACATAATGAGCCCCATTGATTTCCATGTGCTGCTTTCATGTATCTACGATAAATATTTGATGGCTGGTGTGGAGGTCTGGACTGACTGGAGTGAAGCTGGGCCTGTGGGGATAGAGGAGGACAAATGTGCATGTGTATACGTGTGTGTGTGTGTGCCTTTCTTGGACTGTGTTTATGTTGAAAGGCAAACGAGAGGGAGAGAAAGAGAAGCGAGAATAAAGCAGAGAGTGGAAAGTGTGTGTTTTGTGTGTGTATGTGTGTGCGTATAGAAAGGGTGCAGTAATGACCCCCCTGTGAGCAGAGGGAGGAGCCGGTTCGGCCTTTTCACTCCTTCACTCCCACCCTGCGTTTATGAATAATTAACTTGGAATCTGCCAGTCAGAGTGGACCGGTGGCTCATTACAAGGCATTATGTACGGCAGTGTCACGCAAGCTATCAATCAAGAGGCAGCCATTCATGTGCGTCAAGTCATCTCCAGGGGACGGAGAGACAGTGGGGGGTAGTGTGTGAATGTGTGTGTGTGTGTGTGTGTGTGTGTGTGTGTGTGTTTGCGTCAGGGGAGAAGGAGGGATACAGAACAAACAGAGAATCACCCTCAGTGAGGCAGCCCTGGTATGACCATATATGGGCATGAGGCTCTGCTTTAGGCTGCAGACTGACGCCCCCCGTACACTCATTTGGCACTGACTTCAAAAGCATTTAGAAAGGGTGGGGTCACGGCATCATAATGCTCAACATCAGAGGTAGAAAGAGTTAAACTGAGGGACAAAGACGACATTACTATCAGCTCAGAAGATGATTGAAAACCGAATGTAATAATTGATCTTTTTTAAGTGAGGTTGAAAGTCACAAATTCAAAGAAGAAGCTAAGAAACAAATGTTTGATAAGATTTTTGAAGTAAAATTTATCTTTGTATATTTGTATTATAATTTATTTTATTTTACTGTTTTCCTCCTGGTAAAAAAGCATCAAAAACCTGACCTCTCATTTCAGAAGTTAACTATTACCAAATCTCTAGACGCTCACCTCTCCCTTCTTGACGGTCATAGACTGTCGCCTCGGTGTCGACTCCTCATTGATGCTGGACAGGAAGTTCTGTGAGATCCGCAAAGCATCCTGCAGAAGCGGGTGGTCCGGGTGGCTGGTTGGTGTGTGTTTGAGTAAATCCTGGGATACAGTGATATATTGACAAACATTATTAGGGGACTGATACAAAAATGTGCATCTGAAAGATTATGTACTAACAAAAAGTTGTCTGCGAAATAACGGTTAATTTTTGCTATTCAACTATGCCTTTTTTGTATTTTATATTTTATGCCACCTTTTAACTCAAAACTTTTCTAGATGTATCAATTATACGTACAGTTTATTTTATTTTTTGAGAGTCACAGTTTATTTTACAGACATTTCAGAGAGATTTTGAAAATGCAGTTTCATACATAAGTTACCCTTAACCACAATCGTCTTTATGTGACAATATCAAAGCTCATGTGAAGAACCTTTAGCTTGTGTTGATTCTGGCGTCCCCTGTGGGCACTATTGTAATTTTGTTCTGTACGTGTGCCAGTAGTACTTTCAGAAAAAAGTCAACTTGCTTTCTTTGAAGATCAGATCTTTCCATTTACAATGTAAACAGGAATGTTTCTGCAGGAGGTGTTCATCACTTCCTCTGACATCTACCCCTCCACAGCGGTTGTAGGCATTAAAAATGGTTTGTTTGTGCTTTTGTGTAGCTCATTAAAAGGCATCACTATCGGTTTTAGCCTATTTCATCTCCAGTTATTAAGCTTTTACATGTCTTGCTCCTTTACTTCTCACTTTTACTTACATGAAGTACCAACGTGCTGCGAGTCACTCTGTCCACAGGTTTGTAAAGCAGAGCTGCATGAGAAAAAGCAGAGACGCCACAAAAAAATTAGATTTGTATGATGGGGAAACACATTACAATTTATGTTTTTTTTTCTCTCATTATTTTCATATTAATAAGTAAAGACCAGCAGCTGTGACTGACCCTCTAGAGAGTTCTTGGCCGTCTGGTCCTTCGAGTCCTTGGGGCTCCTCACCTTCAGGTTCTATCAGGACACAAAAAGAAAGAAGACCCCCTTTTTAAAAAAGGCGCTAAACCCCTTCACACCTGTAAATCATATCAAATCGTGGTGAGGTTATTATCCTTGCACCAGCACTGAGGTCATCCACTCCCAAATTAATTATGCCAACCTCAGCAGCTTTTCCCCCCACCAGCTTCCTCAGATGGCTGAGAGTCATGCATCATTACTTAGACCATTAACAACCCTGGATGATGAATTCCCCATCCTGTGTGTAGACACCAGCTTCAACACTAACAGGGAGATCTCATAAAATATGGACCAAGACTGATGATGTAAAGAAACCGCCAAATGCTTTGACAAAAGCATCAGACTGCTGAATTTACTCTTCTACACTTGACTTCATCTTGCTCTGCAAACCTACAGATGTTATGAATTCTTTATTTTCGTGACTGATCGACAAACTTATTATCCAAAAATGTGAAAAGTGAGTTTGCATGCTGTTTGAGATCATTTCTATATATCTGTGTTGCCTAAAAAAAGAACAAAAACGTGTACGAGGAAAAGATAAATCAACAATCACTGTCTACAATCTTTATACTTTCATGGTGAAAACAACTGAGCTACACATACAGAAAGTATTAAAACCACCCTGGAGTCTTTCCTGTCTGCTTTGTTCCGTTTGCACAAACATGCAACTGACAACAAACTCCAAAAACTGGGTGCAGACACACACAAATATTCGCCTCTGGCTGCGCTGCCCAGAAATATCCGCTGGTACAGTGCACTCAGATTTAAATGTAGTCAATGGTGAAAGCTGCGTGGGTGAATAATGGGAGAGTGTTTTGCATGTAGAGTGCACTGAGAACAAATCTGTAATGCAGCTGCATAATCAGAAATCTTAGAAACTGTCCCTTTCTCTGTGAACACATAATTTATCTCTCTGTTGAAAGTCACTTATCATCTGTTTGAGTGGGTGATGCCACCTCTCTGTAACAAACTGTTCAGCTCCAGTACAAGCAGGAGGGACACTCTAAAAAAACTGAGACCAGCGTGTTACCTTGGAATAATAAACAGTCAGAAATAACCGGATACTTCATCAGTTCTCACAAAAACAAAAGAATATGTGGGAGGGAAAAAAAGCTGACCGGACACTCAGCAGTGAGGTGTAAAACTTAAAAATCACTCTGGTGTTAGATGTTAAACTGAACGTGTACTTACTCTTATCTTAAGAAAATAGAACAGGGAAAAGAGAAGGGCCCGTGAAACCAAATTGGATAATTTGTTGGTATGCAGGGGGTTAAGTGTCTGACTGACTGATTTTACACGGTGGTAAAATGATCCCATAACTCAGAGAGATCACAGCTACAGCCCAGACTGAGACATCTTCAATCTAAACCTGTTACTATCAGGGTTTCTTTTTAGTACAAGTGTAAGTTTTCCCCATCTTAAGTAAATTTGATGTTTTTTTGTCACTGATCTCCTCTTGTCCTTCTTACCTCAGAGATTTCAGCAAACTGCGTGTTCGCTTGGCAGCACTTCTCCGCCGTCTCCACAGCCAGCTCGTAGTTGTCCACAAATGCCCGGTAAACTCCCAGCTGACTGGCCTGATGGAAGATTATCAAAAAAGAAAAGGGATCGAGTTAAGATTGGACGTGACATGTAAATGCTCTGCCTGTAAAAGAAAACCTGTCAAAACAAAGAGTGTTTCTGTTAGGTGGTGGTGCATCGCTGATGAAGAGCATCTGTTTGCTCTCAGACAGAACCGCTTATTGTGGAAACTGTAAATGAAAATCAAAAAATGGTCTTTTAGGGAGAAGCTCATGAACATCTGAACACACTTCAGTCCTCTTCACGACTTCTCATCACTTTCTGCAAACTGTAACGGTGCCATTTTAGTTCAGCTCAGAAATGACAGAAAAGTCAATGAAAGTTTGAAATAAATTTGATGAAAAAAGTGGCGATTAAAGTTGAAATTAAAGGCAAGAAGAGTATTTATATGGCAGCTTTAGCTAGCATAAAGACTAAGAATTATTTATTATAACAGGCCTGTTAAGTGGCATCGATATGCTGACTGCAAAAGATATACTTCAGTTTAGGGGTGTCCCGATAAGATATTGATATCGGGTATCGGTCCGATATCAGCAAAAAAAATTAATATCTGATTATATCGGCCTGCATCGAAAATCTCCAATATCAGCACTACGATACAAGCAGTCTATTCCAGACTCTGTTCCAGCACCCAGGTCCAGCATTCAGGGCCCACATAATCACAACAACAGTGTGTACTAAGGTACTAACAAAGTAGCAAGGAGTAGGAGTGATGTTGGCCTTGTGGCAGTATTTTTTGTTCAAGTCTGAAAAAGATATTGCAGCTGAGTGAAAAACTTGTCATGCACAATTTTCTGCCAATATCGGATCAATATCGGTATCGGCCAATATTGAAGGCTACAAAATTAGTATTGTATCGGAAGTAAAAAAGTTGTATAGGGACACCCCTACCACAGTTAAAATTTTTGGCAAACCTGAATGTGAAGATACGAAGATGACATCCAAGTTTTACACAGCCTATAGTCTGACCGATACAAAATGAATACGGCTGCAAAAACTCCAACAGAGCAAAGTTGATTTACTCTTTTTTCTTCAAGTTTTGGAAACAGAAGAAACAGAACCTGAAACAGTGACATTCAACCCTCTACAACAACAGGTCCTACTGTCCTGCCATCAGATGTTACTGACTTACAGACATCTGAATAGATCAGCCATAAAAGGGAAACACAACCCCGGTCACAACAGCATGAAACCACGCTGCTCCATGCAGCCAGGCCTGGTTGTCATGGGAACCAGCAAGCCCTACACTGTACCAGGGTTGAGTAACTAATGATTGGTGTAACAGAGGCTATGAAAGCACATTTAGGAAGCTGGATGGCTGAATAAAACTCCAGCAAATGCTGCCTGCCAGCGCTGCGATCCATCTCGATGGCGAACAAAAGGGACAATCAATTCTCCTGAACAAAAGCCAGGGGATAAGACAGAGTACAGTGGAGACGGGCTTTGTCTGACGCAACACACACAAAGGCCTGCACACACTCTCACACAGTCTAAAGGAAAACCAACTAACTCAGAAATATCTCACCTGAGTGTATCGAGAACAGGAATATCTGAAGTCTGAAGTTATAGCTCTTCAGGACCAAGTCCATTATTTCATTTAAGACCTCTAAGCGCCATTGTGCCCCTTCTGAAAACCAGACATTCAGGATCATCACCCTGTACACGGGACTTTTGTAGCATTGGCCATTGTATGTTTCCACTCTTATAAGGTTGCTTGATGGTTGTATGATGGGACCCATTTTTAAAATCATTTTATACAAAGTTTGGTAGGTTCAAAGTTTTATTTTGTTTGACTCAATCGTTGCAAAACCTCATTTATTGATAAGTAACATTTGCAATGTACGCAGTCTCACAATTTGGAAAGGAGTTTACCAGGATGCACTTTCCTGTGTAATGTAACTAAAGATAAAGTTTGGCACATTATTGTTTATGTTAGTGTAGTAATCTTAACGTATCGTTTTTGTTGGTGTGTAGTTGTACCACAGTCGAGATGGGCAGTCAGATTTCAGAGAACTTAAGAAACCAATCAAAACCCTGAGTTTGACTTTGTGTTGTTCTGGTTAGCAAACCAACACAAATGGAATGAATACACCAGCAAATGGCAGTGATGTTACACTAAGATTTAACATGATACAGAATCAATCAGGCATTAAAAAAACATAAAGAACTGATTTGGTCTTTAAATCCCAAGGAAGTGTGTCCTAAACAACCCCTCAAAGCAAACTCTGCATGTGTAACTACATTAAGAAGTAGGTCATAGTTGAAGAGAGGGATTGGACTGATTATTATTTCATCAATTGCTGCTTATGTCGATTTTTGCTTTACTTCTCATCTGTATTTTGGGCTGCATGCTTTGATGCAAAACATGCATAACATAAATTGGAGTCAGGAACATGTTTTTTAACAGATAACTGATTTTTTGGCTGTTTTAAACACTTTTTCTCAAAATGGGCTTTCTGTGATGAAAAGCTGTTTTTCACCAACATCCTATTTTTAGCATGACCCTGACCTCCCTCACAAGCCCTGATCTCTGTGGTCAAAGGAGGGTGTGAGATTTAATTTAGGCAGGAATGTGAAGTCATGAGTTTTTTTCAAAATTGTTTGCACTAATTATGTGTAGATCCTCGACAGGGTCAAAAAAAGCTGCTTGAAATCTTCCTCAAATGACTGAACTCTGCCTCTCTTGTTCACCAGAGGTTGAACGACAACTGCTGCATTTCAGGTGTTAGACCTTTGCTGCTGAACACATTCAGCTACATCTGCACACTTGTAAAGAAGGAAAATGGAGGAAGGCAAGAAGTAAAGCAATTTTCACAATCCTAAAATCCTGTGTCCTGCCCTGGGCCACACAATCTCCACTACAGCGTAGGCCATTCAGAGCGTGACAGTTTGACTGTGCAGAGAACAGAGAGCCCGGATGTCTGCCAGACACATCCACAAGGCTGTCGCGAAGGCTTACCGAGTGTTCGTCTGCTACAGTATCAGAGCAGAAAATGGCTTTTGGTGATGAAAGAAACTGCTGGGGTGTTTGGATTTCTCAGTTCAGGATTTGTCCTGCGTGAGAGTCTGTGTGTAATCCACAGCGGAAAACAACATTAGGAAAACAGCCTCATGACAGTCTACGGCCATTATTCAAGAGCGCTGGATTTAGCCACTTGGGAGTTCTTACAGGCTGAGAAATTTCTTCACGAGGAGGGAAGATACATGCTCAGTCTGTGATGATATTAAGATTGGGATAAGCAAAGCTAGAAAGGAGTAATCCTTTATCTGCCATCAGAGTCATGCCATGCTTGGAGTTGTACTACAGGGCTTTGAGCTCAGTGCTGAAACAAACATGTTCAAACAATATCAACAACATACTAAACTTTAACAGGCAAAGTCTGCAAACTAGCCAGTTTAACATGTTTCTATGTAAAAGCTTTGTATTAATCATTTCAGAGCATTAATTAACTAAAGCTAAAGGACTTATTCAGTGTCAGATAATCTGAATGTGATGAGGAATCTAAACTTTAGGACCAAAGCCACAAATTTACACCGAAAAATCTAAGTATATGGGAAAAAGTCACACATTTATGAGAGTTAAGTCATTACATCACAAGAAAAAAGTTATGATGATCCACACTCAGGATCACAGGCAGAAGACTTACTGATTAATGGAGCTCATTTACAAATTTACTCATGTAATTTGGAACGTTTGTCTCTTGCAACTTCTTCTTTAACTAAATATTCAGTAAAAGAAGTTGTAACGGCTCATTAGCTAGGCAGCTAGCAAGGCTAAAACATTTTTTTTAACTTAGAATATCCGTAACATCAACATATAATTTAGTCTGATAAGTGACGCTACTGGTCATAATCAAAGCAGCACTTTAAACATAACCCACATGACTAATTAGCTATTAAATGACTGCTAATGTTAGCATTTAGCCTCTTAAACCGGTGGGTTTTGCCAATGCTTAAGCCTGATGACAAAGCTTAATGTTAGCTAGGACTTTCTTGAATGCTAACATCAGCTAACAGTTTATGGCAAAAGATGATTTTAAATTTTATTTTTTTCTAGATTCTGACTATTTTTCTCTTTTCAGTGCACTAACCTGTAAAAAATCTCAACTTAGACTATGAACACAGTGGGATAACGATAGCATTTAAGCTAAACATGGTTAGTGACATCAATAACTGAAGCAACACTGAAGGGCACGGTTCATAATTTCACTCTCAAATCAGGAATTTAAGAAGTAAAATTGCATGAAATTCTTCTTCTACTCTGCCTTTTTTTGATGTATTTTGCGTTTTTGTTGATACTCTCAAAGATCCTACGATTCTTTTGAACCACACACCGGTCTGTTACAGTCTTCATCTCTTTTCTATCCAAACACAGGGCATAACTATTTTTCAAATCACACTGAATAGTCTTACAGCTGCCACTTCAGTGAGACTTTGCTAAAGAAATCCTCCGCAGGGTGAAGCACATTTTGTTGGGTGGATGTGTGAGGCCAAATGAAGGATCAAGAGTTGCTCTTGTTCTTTTGTACGTTGCCTGAATCGGGCTGTTTCAGAGGAGCAACGCTGAGAGCTCGTGTACCTGTCTATACGGTGTAAATCTTTCGCTTTACAGCGGTGTATCGGTATGATTTAGCCTTCTTCTCAGCCTTCAAACACTTCTTCCTGACACTCATACTCATAAGCTGTCAGTGACGCTTTGCCTCTCCCTCTCTCCTCTCTCTTTCTGCTCTTCCTTGTTCTGATGTTTTATGATTCCTAAGCCCGTCTGCTCCCCTCACAGGTTTCACAGGCACGGTGAGACAGCTCTATCAGAGTCACAGCATCCTAAACCTACCCGCCTTGCCGAATCTCATCTTTATCCTCCTTTACCTCGCCTGTATCACCCTTTTTCTTCTTTCATCTAATCTCTTCCTCCCTCCTTTTCCAGCTCCTAACAGAACGGCTGTCATGAAGCATTTTTCCTTCTTTCCTCTTCTTGTAGTCTCAGCGTCTTCTCCTTCTATGAACTACTGTCTGTGATGAGTGAGAGGAGTGTGTGCGCTTGTGTGTGTGAGGGCGTCAGCTTGTATTTATTAGTATAACAGTGTGTGTGTGAGTACAACAAAGACAGGCAGACTCTGAAGACAACTCTGGGATATTAAAGTTGATAAAAACAACGTGAAAAAACTCTCCATGGCAGGTTGACGTAATCACTAAAGTAAGACAAAGAAAACAGGTAAAGTGACGGTCACACCTCGACAACCACGCTACGGTTTTATTACCTGCTTCATTTTACAGTTGAAGAAAATACGACAGAGAAACTTTCGTCAATAGCTGGCGTATTTCTCTCTAACACTGTAAACAGCCTTAAAATCACGCCGCCCAATTATCAGTTTTCCACCCACACAAAAATCTTTACATTACATCTTTTCTCAAGGCCAAGATGAGATCCGTTTGAATGAATCAAAGACCAAATGTGAAGCAGCTTTCAGAAAAGAAAAAAAATGCAGACAAGCTTTTAAAGAAAGAAGTTTAGAAAAAATCAATTTGGTGTGCCAAAAGATACATATTAAATCCTAATTTCTTGGCTGGGTCCTGAGGGGAGCCTCCTGGATCAAGTTAATAAGAGTGTGGGAATGTGTGTATCTGAGAGTGTTTGTGTGAAAGAGTGAGGGGAAAAAAAGGGGAGAAAGAGGCTCCTATTTATAGCAGCTTCTTGGAGACACAAAGCACACGGTGCAGTGATGGCCTCAGCTGCCTCAGGCAGAAAGACTGCATTGTGAAATGTGGCTGCACCTCCCTCTGTGTGTGAGTGAGTGTGTGCACAGTGTGTTAGAGTGTGAGTGAGTTTGAGGGAGGGAGAGAGAAAGACAGACAGATAGAGGGAGAGAGACAGGGAGGTTGGGGGAGACACTCGAGCAGTATTTGGCAGAGAATTAACAAATGATTCATTGTGGGTTAATTGACCCATTGTGAAAATGATTAAAAAGAGCCAGTGTATATTCGGCCCCGACATCCTTGGCAGAAACTACTAGAGAGCAGAGAGGAAGAGCGAGCAGCTGTTGAGGAGGAAACGGGAAGAAAAGGACAAATCAGATTGGATTAGTTTAAAATTAGAATGATAAGGAAGAGCATCGCTACATAAATCAAGTCTGTGTTTTCTTTTTACTGCTTTATTTCATTAGGAGGAACAGACTCTGACTCTGAAAGCCTCCAAATCCAAATAATAACATTTCTGCGAGTGAAGTCACTCTAGCACAACGTTTTCTGCAGGTCTGCAAACAAAAGGTCAGAAAATAGGTCCACGTGTTCTGGTTCTGTCTGTGCTGCTGTGGGTTTTATAAGGAGTCATTTCATGCAGCTACAGAACTCATGACTAGTTTCTTGATTTCATCCTTACCAGTTTCTGGAAGAGGTCCCCGACTCTCTGATGGTGGCTCCACTGTTGAACACGGGGTAAAAGTCCATCATAAAACTCTCTGTGGATCTCGTAGAGCTCAGGCACTTTGAAGAAGATGGTTTCTATCTGGGCCACAGTGAGCACAGGCTGTGACGTTGTGGCTGCAGCCTTCAGCGGCTTCATGGGCTGGGAGGAACAAACAGAAGATCTTACTTTTCACAAAATGTAACCAGTAACCACTTTCACCCTGGAAATTTCAGTCAAGTTAAGAGTGTGTTTGTGTGTTTGTGTACATGTGTGTGTTTTCTCACCAGCAACAGGGCCTCCAGGTGACTGAGGTATGTTTCCTCTGTGGCTAAGATCCCCGACAGGACCCACTTTCTCATCTCCAAACCTTTTTCCAGGTCACATTCAGTCTGCAACAAACACATACATGCACAAAATTAATGTTGAAACAAAGTCTGATAATAAAACACTTTACACACAAATTTATCAAATTGATGTGTCACACATTCAAAGCATCATAAAGTTCTTCATCTGCTGGCAAAAGCCCTTCTAATACAGCTTGTTGGAAATGGGAAATTGAATGATCTCGGTTTGAGTTTGGGACTCCTGCAGGATCTTATTTCTGTGAGAGCCAAAGTCTAGAAAATCAAACAGCAACAACTGCTCAGTCTACAAATCCTCCCTGGCTGCCTCTGTGTTCCCCTCAGCCCAGTCAGAGCTCACCGAGCTGCACGGACATGAAAGAAAACAGAGAGACAGACAGATTCCTCGGGCTGTCTTGTTTAACCGTGAACTCTGAAATAACTCAAACAGGCAGAGTCTCCCATGGGAGCGAGGTTGGCGTATAAATACGTGTCTATGAGAGAATGCAAGGGCACACTCATACACACACACACACACATAGAAAGAGCCCAGGTTGGGGTATGGAAGCATCCTGTCCCCGAGGCTACAGTGAGGAAGAGTAGGAGGGAATGAAAAGGGAAGAAGATGAGAAGAAGGGATGGAGAGACAGTGCAGATTCAGATTAATTAGAAGAGCAGAGAGAAAGGGGAAAGAGGGCGAAACGTCTGACATGATGAAAGTAAAAGGTAATGGTAGCTACATGTTTTTCTGTACACAATATATCTGAAAATTTACAAAGAGGAAAGACAGTAAGACTTAAAAATGAGCTGTAGCTTGTGGTAGTATGGGGCACAAAGAGAAATAGCAAGCACACATCTATTTCTTTGCCTCTTGAGCTTTGAGTGATAAAAAGGGATGCAGTAAAAAAGATGAAAATAAACAGATGAAGGGAGGAGCAATAACAAAGAGGATGACAGAGGTAAAAGTAAAAGTAAAAAGTAAAAAAATAACTGAGTTAACGGGGTCTGTCCTCTCCCTGCCCATCAGGAGCTGTGTTGTGAAGTAAACATGAACATCCTATATACATAACACCTTAAAGCTGCCATGTGTTTACGCAGAAATCACATCACATGGCTCTGCATCAGGAAGCAGCTGGAGGTCAGACTAAGATGGGCATAGAGATATCAACACTGTGTTTTCAACTGGCTCATTTAGATACAATCGGAGTGTGGGGATAAATGTGTGTGTTAGAGCACTGGATAGTTACATAGGGAGGGAGCAGAAAAATCTTTGTTAGATTTAGATAGGTTAAGTGAAAAGAGTTTTACAGACAACTTTGTTAATATGAATATCTTGTGTTTATTTTTTTCTCCCTAGTAAAGATGAAAGTTCACATTTCAAGAAAATGGTATTCCAACAGGTACGTGCCTGTGCCCACAGTTACAAAAACTGGTGAAAGAAACTGTGTTTACTTTGGAGTGAACTCTCTTCAAGCTGCAACCTTCAATAATGTAAAATTAAGATGAATCAACTTCAAAAGAACAAAAAAACCTCCAGTTTCCAAGTGACTCTTTGGGGGATGGCTGCAAAAGCCAAATAATCCCCATTTACGCACGTCATGACAACGTAATACAATAAGATGAGACGACCTGATGTGACGTGAGATGTCAAAACTATATGACATAACATTTCATAGCATGATATAATATGATATTGTGAAGCATGACACATCATAACATTTCATTACATGTTATGACATAGCATGATAACAATACAAGAACTTTATTGATCCCCAAAGGGAAATGTGTTATAAGATAACATGACATGACAACAGCTTCTGGTGTGTAGCTCATTTTACTAAACTAACAAGGGTTGAATTCTGCCATAATGTTTTGCAATGTTTTAAATGAGGCCAAAAGTAAGACATAACTTTGCATAACTAGGGGCAGAACGAAGTTAAAGAACAAGTTATAAGGTTGAAGCCATTAAAGCTAGTTTCAACTCCACTTTTACCTGATGGAAGGTTAGGTTGAGTCAATATTTTAAAACACCACCTGCCTTTGTTGGACTTATAAACTTCCAAACTTAAACGAATAGATGACAATACAGAGACTTTATCGCTATTATATTTAACGCACAGTTTCTTTCTTAATGTTGACAGAAGACAGATAAAATATACACGTCATTTTGTCGCCATATTAAGCCAATTCAAAATGATGTGTGAAGAAAAGCTTTAAAAAATATTCCTGAGGTGTTTTTGAGTGTGCACTTTGAGTACCTGGATGTCTGTGGGTGTACATGCATTTATTTAGACGAGAAGGTAAACCTGCTGTTTCCATGGCTGCAGATGTTTGCACATCCCTGCGGTAAAATAAAAAGCTCAGACCATTTTAGAACAAATCAGGATTATTTTAGACTCCACTACATTGCAGGAGTCAGTAATCAGCATTTTTGCTGCCAGACTGGACAATTGATTAGACTGTTAGCTAAATGAGCCTGAGCTAAAATCAGCTAACACATCCTGCACATGATGAAATCCAATTTTATCAGTACAGCTGAAGGTATTACAAATAAACATAATATAATGAAGACAGGATTGTACTTAAGACTTTCACATCAGTGTTTCCAGTTATAGTGCGATCTAAAATCAATAATCATTCATCCTGTAACACCCAGCTTTAAATAGACAGAGGCTCTCTTCTTGGTATTCTGGCAGTTAACTTATGAGCGAATATACTCATGTGGGCAATGTGCTTTTGTCTCCTCTTTTGTAAAAAGGTGAATCCAAAATACGCCTCTGTACTGACAAAATGTGTTGGTGACATAAAATGCCCAAAGATAAAGAGCAGAAATACACACCAAAGAATGATACAGGAGTTTTTGCCTGTAAACTTGGATTATTCAAACTTTTTTGTCATGATCTTTCAATTGTTCTTTATTTTTATGTTTGCTTGAAAGAAAAAGAGCATTTTGGGATATTCTGTTGACTTTGCGTTCTCCCCTCGTCAGACTATTTTCCCATCTTCAATTGTTACTGTGTCTCCTGTATGTTTTCTCTCTCTCTCTCTTTATTCTCTCTCTTTGTGTCTCCTTCTTGTGCGAAGGTTGAAGGAAATGATTCTGACAGACATGTATTATGCATGACACAGAGCTGTCTAGGATCTGTGCAGAGTACAATAATATCAGTTTCACAAAAAAAAAAAACACTTTAATTGTGCATTTTATTCAAACTCAGACAAAAAAGTTAGAGCCCTATCAGATTTAGAGCGCAAATAAAAGGGTCCTGAAGATAAATAAGTAATGTAACTATGAGTTATGATGCTCTCGAATGGATTACATTTCCTTCAAGTGGCTTTAAATCTGTCTGTCTCCTCTGGATTACAGAGGTTTGCCTCAGGCAGAAACGGAGCCCCGCAAAGTTCCTAAAATTGATGAAATATGAATGAATCCTAGCTGGGCTACAAGTATCAGCATTAGCTTTATGACTTTACAATCATAAGATATGTCTGCTGCTGAAAGAACTTAAGAAACATGAGGCTTCATTTACAGCATGAAGAACATTTAATAAAAAAGAAAACCTCAAAAATTCAGCCACATGTTCGTGAACGGAGAAGACAGGAGCTGTAAAGTGTTTATTCATAGTTTCAGACCCCAGAAGACTCCCGAGGATGTACCCTCATCTCCAGACGTATCATCTTTTATTCATCACCATGGCAACTAATGAGACCATCTTTCAGTTCAGACTAAAAGGGGGTCTCACTGAATTTTTTCAAGTAATCAAAGAACTAAAAATAAGACTCAGTCTCCCTGCCTGGAGTAAGTTTGGCTGTGTGTTTTTTTTTCTGCATGAGTCGATAAAAGTTAATTTTTAACACACAAACCAAAAACTCGCACCCCTTCAGATGAAACAGAACCTTCAGCTCGCCCCTTAGCTAACACTGTTGACCCATTCTGATTGATTTCTGATTCCTTCATGCGCTTGTAAGAGATACACAAGCTTCATCATAAACACTGTTTACTTGACAAGTCGATGTTTGTAACTTAAGAGACGCAGAAATGAAGCAGAACCGACTGTAATAACATTTTCCTCTACGTCTTATTGAAACAGAGTCCTTTTCAGTCCTTATCTAATCTTTTCTGACAGACCTTGTTTTCTGAAATGCCTGATGTGATCGCTCCCTACTTCAAACTGTATGTCTGCAATATACTAGAGCTGAGATATTATTCAGAGTTGCAGGAGAAATACAGCTAAGTGCCCGATTTTATAGACTGCATGGCGGCCAGATGTGAGAAATGTTAAAGGAGACGGTGTCTGTTAAAAATCATCACAATTTTGCATCACACCAGAAGTATTATAGCTAGAAAAGCTGCACATGAGCTTTGAGAAGATGATAAACTTTGCTGAGTAGATTTAAATTCAGCAGAGTCACTCTTTATTTCTCACCTCAGCTGTATGTGTTGTGTTTTCAGCTGTGAAATATTTGTATTCATGTCGCAGTGATCTTGTTATAATGCAGTAAACATAACTGAACACGCCTCCTCCTTCACCTTTCGCTCCTTCAAAAACAGAGTACATTAAGCTCTGAGCATCCTACACGGATTATGTGTTTCCTGAAAATATCAGGAGTTCATGAGGGTACAGGCCCAGACTAAACAAAGCTTACGTGTTTGCCTATGTCTGGATGGGTTTCTGTATCATTTGTTTACCAATTATCTGAGAATACTGTGATTTTTGGACATAATAAGTTGGTATTCTCATTGATAAAATGTTTCACTTTCACATTTTCATAAATCTCCAGGAAGCGTACCAAACAGGCATAAACTCATCTTCTCACTGGCTTTTAGTCTGCGCTCACTGAGTCAAAAGACTCGAGAGCTGAGAGTCAGAGGGATCATCACAAACCTACAACATCTAAGCTTTCATGTCCCTCAGTTTGTCTCTCCATCATTTCCTCTCATCTCTCTGTGGAAAACCCAGACGTTTTGATGACCTTGTCTTAGAAAACAAAGCAGACCCTGGTTTTCACTGTCTACTCAGATTGAAAGATAAAACCTTCTTGGACAGTATTTTAGCAGAAATGTTCAAACTCTGCAGAGACGTCCTCATGCTGGCTGACTTCTGATCAGTGACCCCCCCTCTGCAGTGCGGGACACAGCTGGATTATGGGAAAAAAAGAGCCGCCGCTGTTATAATCAAATCAGCGGTATTTCTGACAGTGATGACTCATCAATGTGACATCATCATACCATCAGCTCCCACTGAGCCAATGAGAGCTCTCCAAAGCTCTGACTCATCAATTAGCGAGGATGCAGTCTGGGATAATGTTTAAAGGGAGGCTGTCCAAGGGCGAATGGGGGACTATTGTAACTTGAGTTCAGTAACTGAACGCCTGTTTGTCTCTTTTTATGATCCATAATCCATTTTTGCCGCCTCTGCTACACACACACACACAGACACACACAACTCTCCCTCAATACAGGAGTTTACTCAGCAACTTTTCCTCAATTTCTTCCACAATAAAAGCCCCAGTCTGTGTGCGAAACAAGCAAAAAGGCATTGGTTGGTGTCGCCTACAGAACAGAAAACACTTAATGTGTGTGCATGTGTTTTAATTAAATCAGTTAGACTTTCAAGGTCATGGGTCAAAGGTCACATTGAGTCACAGGACTCGTCATTTATTGGCAGATTCAAGCCATCAATCAGATTAACAGTCGCTCGCTCACCAGCTCAGATACATACAGAGAGAGAGAGAGAGAGTGAGTGAGTGAGGAGTGAGGGGGTGGAGTAACTGATATGGCTTCATGACCACTGATGCGATCATTTCCTTCAAGGGTGGAGTAGAAAGAGGGGCAGAATTATGCTATTTTATCACCCACAATGCCTTTCAGTCAAAGGCAACACATGATTGTATCATACCTGTCTTCTACCTGGGAATATTTTGAAGCACAAGAAAATTAGAAAATACGTTTTGGATAGAGACCCCATGTTTTCATCTCTGCCGACACTGAGATTGTGTGTGTGTGAGTATGTGTGTGTGTGTGTGTGTGTGTGTCCTCCCCATGGTAACCTTTGAAGAGCTCTAGACGTCATAGATCACTGGTTTTTCCCCAGCAGAGAAGTAAAAGCAAAAGAGGGAGTGAAAGAGGATGAAGGCAGCGATGGGGGCGAAAGGTAATTCTGTCTAATACCCCGGGATGAGAAAAAAGCCGGGCTCTTAAAGGGGATGAGTTTCTCCCCTGGATCACAGCTGCTGGGGTTACGGGGGCAAGTGATATCGTCCTCAATCAATCCTCTCAAACGACTGATCTGATTTCAAATCCACTGACAGATTTTTGACAGGGTGGGACTGCTTGAAGACTGAACTAGCCCACATCTGTATTGTATTACGGTCCAATCGTTTACATTTATATGGTATGAGGTTTTGATTAAAAACTGTAGAACAGCAGGTCTGGTAGTGTACTGACCGACTTGGAGGACTCCAAAGATCCAGAGGAGAGGGTGTCCCTGCTGCTGCGGCTCTTGGAGCTGAGGTGTGGTGAAGACGACGGGGAGTCATCAATGTACGGCAGGATGTCGTGATGCCTCCGCTGCTCCTCTGCGCGGTCTGCATCGTAATGATATGAGGGAGGAGTACTTGTGTAATGACCATCTGTGACAAGAGAAAACAAAAGCTTCAGTCAGTTCAACTTCTTTCACTTTTTTAGGAGTTTTTACAGACATTTTGTGGCTGAGAGTAAGAGCACCGAACAAACATGTGCACTAGTTTAGAGACCAGCTCTGATTTGCATGTGAAAAGGTGTCTGGATCTGATGCTGTTGTCAAAATGGTGTCAAGGAAATCAAACATATCGTGCTGAATTTCTGCCCATTTTTGATCTGGAAACCACCAAATTCAAATTCTTGACTTTTTTAAACATTGAGGATCTTCTACCCTGAGCTTATGCTGCTCATTAGCAGTCACATTTCTACCTCTTAATATTCATCTGTCTTTGTTGCACCTGTCTGCCTAAAACTCAAAAATGATAAACAAATAAATGCAGACATACAGAATCCGTGTATCGCTCATTCATTCAATTTTCAAAACAAAACCAACAATGAAAAAATGAGGAAACTAATTGTTTTCTAATCCGTCTACTTCATCTAACTCATTCATTCGTCTCTAAAATGGCGTTTGTGCTGGACTTGAGAATTATTCAGTGCTCATACGGCACTTCTTTTCAGGATGGCAAAACTCATGCAGAGATTTCCATCGTAGTGCAGGAGGTACCTGCAGAAGTACCAAGGAGCTCTGAAATGTCCATTAGAAGGTTCTGTCCCCAAAACAACCAGGAGAGAAAAGGACATGTATCCGACAGGGTCTGATAGGTGCCGTATGAGCCCTGAATAATTCTTGAGTCCATAACGCCAAAGTCTGTTTCTTGTTCTCATGGCGTCTGATGGGGTTCACTTCCAGGTCATGAAATTTTCTACAGACGAAAAAGTCTAAATCAGATAAAACTGTCGTTATCCATTTATCCCATTTTCATTTGAGCTGAAGAAAACGGAAATTGGAAAATGAGCCGTTATCCGTTTTTTACATTCGTTTTAGAGACAAATATTTAGAAAAAAATTGTTATTTCAGTTTTGGTTTTATTTTGAAAATTGAATGAATGAATGATACACAGATAATCCACACTATGCTGCACGCTTAGCTACTGCTACACTTGTGTTAGCTTATTGTAAGAATCTTTTAGTTCATGAAAACAGGCATTGAAAAAATAAAAGCAGTGCGGCCAACTGATGTGAATTACAAATATTAATAACAATCTGTTTAAATTCATGTTCCCTGTGCCTTTAACATGCACAGAGGGTAGATTGGTGTCTTGTATTACCCAGCCTCATGCTCACAGAAGGTTGTCATGTGTGCTGCAGAGTTAATTTTCAACACTAATTAATGCAAGTTCCGGAAAGTAGGGCACACGAAATGAGTTCCCTCTTGCATCCTTGTTCATGCATTCGTACAAAAAAACATAAAGCGGAGAGAGGAGGTACTTAAAAAAAAAGGCCAAATAAAAAGTGGGTCAAGGTTCAAATAATTTGAGTTCTGCTGCATCTCCGGGGAAATTTCTCCTCAACCTCCCTTTGTGCTTCTTCTGTGAGGGCCAATATGACTGTTTCTGATAGAGAATAGCACCTCAGCTGAAACAAAGCAGACGTGCCTGTGATGATTCTGCGCTGTCCTTTACAATAAGAAAGGGTAGAAAAATAAAAGGTCTGAAACTCAAGTTTGACTATGATGACTCACTCAAATAGTTGCATTTCATTTTGGTTAAAATTCTGGCCTTTTACAAACATGTTTTGGTGCATGAAAACTGTTACAAATTCCCGTGGGAGAGAGTACAGTCAGCGCTTCAGGGAATCTGAGTGTGTAACGGCTGAGGGGAAGACATCATGCATCTCTGAAAGCCACTGAAGACCTTTTGCTCACCTCCTCCCACTCCAGCATTCAACAGGGCCACACTTCTCCGCCGTGCTGACTCAGACCAATAACACGCCACACAAACACACGACGACAGTCCACATCGATTATAAACATTTACTTAACTGCTTTCTCTGAGCCTCTGTTGCATCTATAGTCTTTCTTTCATTGTGTTTTATGTTTTCTTGGCTTACGAGGCGCATGAACGGACATACGGTCTTAAAGAAACAGTTAGCAGAGTGAGAAACAAGAAGAGGAAGAGATGGGAAGAAACAATGCCAGAGTGTGCAGGGCTCGTCTGACCTTCAGCCCACCCACGGCTCGCTCCTTGTACTCGCTGCAGGGCGTGGGTGGGTGCTGCCCACTGTGCCTGTTTGGATCAACGGCACCCTGCCAGCCAGGGAACATAGAGGCTCTGTGTGTCTGTGTGTGTGTATGATTGTTTGTGTTTATGTTTATGAGCAAAGAGCCTCCTTCCAGCATGCCAACCCTCACAACGAACCAGAGTAAAAAGCCTGCAACACTTCTGCTTTCATTTACAGCATTACTACATGGCCTTTACTGTAGCCAGCCAGTAGGGGGAGCTCCAATAGTTTGGGCTTCATTTTGGGGCAGTTATTGTGTCATATATCTTTCTGTATAGTTGATGGTTTGTACTGCTTGTGGATAACGCCGGGATTCCACCGCATGCAGATCCATAAACGCAAGCATACCGCGCCCACCGGACCCGATCCGCCACCACAAGCAGAGGAGAAGCGCTTGTGCTATTACCGATATTTCACGCGGGACTGGACGTGATCTCATGAGATCTCTCATGTTTCACCATGAGACACTGAATGAGATCTGCAGTGTATATAAACACCCACATCCCACAACCCTGGCTCCTCCCATTATCACGTGAAGAACAGTTCAACGTATTGACTTTATTTTATTTTGAAAATTAACCGGGTATTTTACTTTGTAGCCGCATACAACCTCCGCTGCTGCTTGTGCTGCTGCATCCGGCAAAAATAGAAGCCTTGTGTATCTGATCCGACCGCTGGAGTGGATCCACACCAGAGCCGGACGGATTGTGTGCAATCATGCACATTGATTATAATGCTTGCATATTTGATCAGGCTGCCGTTCCAAAGTGAAGTGCAGCCGTTCTGTATCCTGTGGAATTTAGACGTATAACCTGAGAGACAAACAAACCTGAGATCAAATAAACGCAGCTCAAACAAAACGTCAATGAAGTGACAAAGGTAACTCTAAAGACTGATCTACTGCTTGTGTGAAGAAAAAAAGATTTCATGTGAAAAATACACAGTGGGAAGTGATGCCATCCTGGATTGTTTTCCTATCTTTCAGTTTCCCAACCACACCTTTATGTATTCAGGCTGGAAAGCACAACATCTCATGTTCTCTTCTTACGCCCCAACACCTTAGTTATCCCTCGAAGCAAACTGAAACTGTGTGTGTGTGTGTGTGTGTGTGTTTGTGGGTGTGAGATCCCTCTAGTGCCCACACAGTCCTGAGGCCAAACATATTGAGTTCCCAAACAACCATTTTTAGTCCATAACCACCTCTTGGTTTAGGGAAGGGGGAACAGCCACACACATATAACCACAATCATGAATAATAATGACAAACTGCAGATAAAATGAGAAGCCAAATAAACCACCACATCTCTGAATAAACTCAAAGTCTCCTGGGAAATTTGTGTCTCTGTGGTGCAAAAGCAAACAGAAACTCTGAGGTAAATAGCTCCAATTTATCCGCTTTTACAAATGAAACATAGGAATCCTCAAGATTTCCTGTGTCTTTGCTTTGTATAGTGGTAGAAATGTGTGTACGCATGAGCAGCAGTTTCCACAGAGTGAAGAGCCGAGCTTTACAAGTCGGTTAATGGGTCACTACAGCCTGTGGTCATCAAACACCAGGCTTCAGTCTCTCCACGTCTGACCTCATCTGGGCTCAGACGCCGCTTCAAACGCTGCCTTGAGTCACTTTCTCTCCATCTGTCTCTCACGCTCTTTGTCTCTCTGCATAGTTAACTGCCTCTTTCTTTATCTTTATAGGCTGTCCCTTCTTTCTCTCTTTTCTTGTGAACAGATCATCTGTGTTCCCGCTGATATGTGGCCTCCACAGCTGGCCTCTTCATCCTCATGCTGCTCACAGATCAGCATCTTCCTCTTCTTCCTGCCCTAAGCTGCCTTGCATTCCTCTCTGAGCTTGTGTTCCACGTGATCCCCCTCAAGAGAAGAATAAGAAGCAAATCTGACATAAAAACTCAGCGCATGTGTCCGTATAGCGGGGGAAAATAAACAAACAAGCACACATTCAGACGATAGATATTTGCCTTACATTATTCTCCAGAAAACAGCCCACCTATTGATTCCTTCCTGCAGCTATTGGCAACATGAAACATCCAAACTGCCTCGAACCACAGATAACACACACACACACACACACACACACACACACACACAGCTGTAACATGTTTACATGGAAACAGTGTTTGGGAGGAGAACAGGTCTTTTTCCTGCTGCAGGTGGAAAACTACGGTCACACAGGGAATAGCTTTTGCTCTGTTGCCATGGCGACATGTGGGTTTTTCCAAAACGATGCAGCAGGTAGGGCAGGGGTATCAGGGTATCGGGGTGTCATGTGACTTAAGTCTGTAAATTGGATATCCTATATAGTTAAAGAATTGGACTTCACGTTCTCTTCACTAGAACCTAAATGAACGTGATCATAAAGACCCGACATTCATTGAATCATTTCAGTCTTTTTTTTCTTTTAGAGGTGGTTTACCACATTTTGTAAGTTTGGGAGGAGACAGCTAACCTGGCCAGAACTGGACTTACTTGCAACTCAGAGCTTACTCCAGAATAAAACAATAAACTGCAGCTTGTAATTTTTATACCTCTGTTTTTATACTGATTAGAAATGCAGGCCTTTAAGTTTAAAGCTCCTGTGAGGAACTTTAGGTTTGTTTAAATTTTGGCGCCCCCTGTGGACAAGGCAGTCTTTGCTTATCCTATCCACTACATGTTTGAGTAGTAATTTATTACAACAAATCTAATTTGGCTGGTTTTTGCAGTCAAATGCATCATTTAATGTGAATATTATATGTGGAAGAAGAAGAAGAAGAACTTTATCAATCCCTGAAGGGGAATTCGATAATAAAAGTGTCACTCCATATGAACAGTTATAGGCCAAATTAACCACACACAGATTTAATACAACTTCTCTTCTCTCTCTTTTTTTATAGATCACAATACTGCCAAACTGCTGTTGCATGTTATCAGTGATCTGTGCTTGCTCCTCTCTGCTGTTTTCTTTGACAGTATCTCAAAGGTTTAAAGGATGTCTGCAGGTGTCCAAAGACCCGTCCCAGTTAGACTGGAGTAGAGAGGGTTGTCGCCGATTGAGAAGAGAAACCTTTGTTGCCCAAACACCTGCAATGCTGTGTGTGTGTGGTGCTGCTCTAAGGCAGAGGTGAACCTAAAAAAGGGGGTGAGTGTGTGAAGCCACTGTTAAGGTGGAAATTATTTTAGAAACTAAAATAAAAGGAAAGACAGAAAAATCATGAGAGCAGACAAGGACAAAGCCACGCTCTGAGAGGCAGGACACCACAGAGAGAGAGAGAGAGGGACTCTCAGAGGAGGCACAAGATATCCTCGATAGTGAGAGCTGCCTCTCCATCCCCCATCATGCTTTTCACTCGGCCCGGCTGTCATAAATCTGCCCTGCATTTATTGGACTCTGGGAGGAGGAGGCCTGTCATACTAACACTGCCTATACAACCCCACGTCTGCCTCGTTTTCGTCCTCACACACACACACAAACTAATGCTGCACATTTACCTTACAGCCCCACGCGACCCCACCCAGACCCAGAGGATGCTAATGTTGCACCACAACACTCAGCGCTCCAGCTCTCGCCCCTAATCCAGCCGGTGTAATCAGAGATCAAAAACGGCGTTTTAATGGCCTCCTCCTATTCCTTCTGCTAAATCAGGCTCATGTTCAGTGTGCCAGCGGGCCACAGTGGAATTAAGAGGACAGGTCTGGAAAGTTAAGATAAATGAAGGGACGGCTGCCTCTCAATAACACTGAAATTTTCATTACTACAAATCAAAAGTGGCATCAAATATAACCACAGAGCCGTGTATGTGCACTGTGATGGAACAGGAAGACAAGGGCACCCCTTCCCTGGAGTTAGTCCTTCCTCCAAATATTCAATCTAAAGACAAAGTGACACAGAAGAGAGGGGGCGTGCGGGTGTGGAGAAAGAGAAAGCTGTGGAAATTAAAGTGAAACCCCGGCTAGAGAAACGCCGGAGGGGACAGACGTGCCGTCAAATGAACTTCTTCAGTAATCCTCCGGCGACTGCACAGGCACTTGACAGCAGTTAATTTGATAAATGTCGCTATCTTGTCATTAAAGGGCAGACGTGGTGCTGTAAATTAAATATACGGGCTCAGTGTATGCATTTAAAGCATGGAAATGTAAAGATGGCACTGCTTTCATCTGCTCAAAAACCGGACAGAGGCGATGGTCTGTGGGAGAATTGTTGGCTTTCAATCTGAATCATTGGTGGCCTTTCATTCTGCACACAGAAACAATTCAGAGTAACAAGATTGGAAAGGAAAATGACTATCCCAAGATAACGAAACACACAGCCACCTTTGAGTCATTGAAACGAGAAGAGTCTGTTTTGGGTCTGCAGAGGCAGTGTGTTTCATTTATCAATTTAGTTTTGTATTTTTATAACCTCTCAGACCACAGAGGACGACATAATCTCAATATTAAGGCATCAAATCTGCAGGTTTTTTTCCAACAGAAGTCAATTTATTAAATCATGCTGCCTGATGTCTCCTTGATGGAGAACTCCTCGTTTCTGCTTCCTGATCTTATAAAATTGATTCCAGTCGAGAGATGACAATAAACCAGTTTGTTTCCTGGAGGTAATCTCTGCGTTGATAATCTCTGTGGAAACAACTCAGTAGCAGCAGCAGCCAGTTTCAGTTATCAAGCCGGGAAGATCATCAAGTCAGGGACGCTACCCCTTTAAATTAAAACAGCGCCCCCTGCAGTGACGCAATATCCTCTTCGTCTCAGGATGGAGGGATGTGACAGAAGGCTACACGAGCATATCATACTGGCAGATAAGTGAGACGTTCTCATACGCCTGAAATTTGGTGTGATTTTGTAAACGGGGGGAGGAATTCAAACAATTTTACTCTGACTCTTCAGGTGGTAAATTCCTGCTGCAGAGAGGGGGAAACTGTCAGATTTGACAGCCTTACAGATGAGTTAGTTCCACCTGAAGCATCGCCTGTGGCTGCTTGATTCGCCGCTCGCTGTGATCTAAAAGAACGACTCCTTCAGAATTAAAATCTACAGCAGTTGGGTTTTCCTATCATACCGACAGATCAGTTTCGTCTAGAATGCTCTCTGTCTGTCTGAGGGTAATGAACAACTTGCCTGCAGGTGGCACAGAAGTCGAATTAAGTCAGAAAAAACAGTTTATTTTGGATTAAAGACACCATAATGCAAGGCTTTCACAGATCAAAACCTTAGTGAAGGAGGGCAGAACTTTAAAATTAGAATCTGCTTTGTCAAATAATAATGCAAAACAAATGAAAATTGTAATAACACCAAGAATGCTGCAAAGAAAAGCTACAAACTGAGACATGACAACAGAAATACGTCTCTTTGGATGCTTGGTGGAAATATAACTTTGCACTGCCCCCTTAATCTCTAACATGTTTCCCTAGATGAGACTGTCGGAGTAACTGCACACAGGTTAGCTTTGTTGGCCACCATAATCTTAAACTTAAGAGACAACTGCTGAAAATACTTGATGTTAGGGAGAGCAACTTAACCCCCTTAATTCAGAACCCGGAACGCACGTGAACCTACACAAACTCCTGTGAGGAGTCTGTGTGCAGTTCTGAAATTAACAATAAAGTCTATGTCCGACCTACTTAAGCAAACAAGACCATTTCGATAATGTAATTTCTTTAACTGCTACAAGGAGATAAATGTTAGATGAGTTTTCACCTTTCTCCACAGCAAGCATTTACATCGAGTGACACATTTGACCTTTAAAAGGAAACAGGATGAGATTATTTTGGTAAGTAAACTCGGCTGACACACGTACAGGAGAATTTCAGCGAAAAGATAAAGAGATATTGCGCCACAGTCAAAAGCGAATGCAGAGATCTTCAGCTGTGAGTTCGGCACGGTTATATCATTGCTACGCTTCACATTGAGAAACTCTGCAGAATGCTGACATTATGTTATCTCAACAGCAGTGCAGAGCATGATGCATCATTAGTCTCTTATGGCCGTTTATCCTCAGGGGAGCATCAGAAAAATGACAACTGCCAGAATGAGTGCAGATAAAGTGCCACGGTAACTTTAAATCAACTAGAAAATGCAGTACAAGTTGAGTTTTACCAGAAAAGGTGACTTTCTCTCATTAAATTCAACTTTTTTTTTAAAGTGAACTCACTATTCGACAACATGAGTTTGTCCCTCAGTCCAAAACTAAAGTTCATTCACAATGACGGGATACAGGGAAAAATATGTGACAGTTGGGATAACAGTTTGAGTTGAATCTTGTATTTCATCAGCTGAATTACAGCAAAGGTTTGCGACAGGATAAACAGAATATCAGTTTGCTGCTTTACTGCCACAATAAGTTTGAAAACAGACAAAAAGTAGAGCAATAGAAATGATGAAGAGTCGGCCAAATGAAAACAGAAGCGAAGAAAAAAAGTTGGCAGAGACACTGAGGAGAAATGACCCAGACACAAAAATAAACATGATTACAGCAGAACCGCGGACACAAAGACTATTACAGTCATGCAGATTGACGTGAATGAAAACCAGGCGGTTGTCAGATCTTGTGTGTTTTGTCAACTTCTTTCCATGCTGTGTGTTTTACATCCTTCGCTCGCTCTCTCTGTTTCAGTCTACATCTTTTGTACTTCTTCTCTCTTCGTCCTGACGCCGCCTCCTTTGATCACACCAGACTTTCAAGCTGATTGCTCTTCTGTCTCTGTGGACACACACTCACCGAACACACACACACTCACATGAACACACACCCTGCTCTACTACCATCATCCCGCCGCACAAACCTTTGATTCCAGAAGCGTCTGTCGTGTCTTCTTCGTCAACTGCTAAAGTCATTAGGAAAGAGACTCATTACCCAGACCCCCGAAGCATTATGGGGGAAATAAGCGTTCAAATTGCTGCAAAATCACACAGAGACTCTGATTAATAATACAGCATGCTAAATTATCAGCTCCGCTCTGGAACATGGAGGACGCTCATTAGACTTGGGCTTTCTATGGGGAGAGATGGTTATGTTTGATGAAAAATAGAAGACGCTTGGCTTTTGGTTAGGTCAGCAAATGCTAGACTGTGAGCTTTTACGGTGAAGGGGTGATAATGGCTGTAAAGTAATGCATTGTATTTCTTTTCCTTTTGTTTTCATTCATAAAAAACTGAACCATATTTCTTCCTCTGTCCTTCTCCTCTCTGGGGGCGTTTATTCGCCCTTCTTTGCATCCCTTCTCCTCATTTCCTGTCCACGCCGGCCTCTGTGGGAGCGAGTCTGCGATCTCACCGCGGTGGTAAATCTTGAGGGCAGACCTCGGCCTTCTGACACTCTCTTTAATGCATCCTGAGCACCGCAGCAATGGCGTGTGTTTCTGTGTGGGCGGAGAGCGGCTTCATTAATTTATCTACTCTGGAGCTGGCACTTAGATCTCCATGGCTATCTGCAAAACACTCTGCTGCCCCCGTAAGTAATGTGTGGGACTGAAACGCTCTCATGTCCTCGGTAAAAATAGAATCAGAGGCCTGTTATTTTGTTGTGTTTGCAACATATTTCGCAAGATGAGTTCAGATTTGAATAGTTGGTGACATATTTCATAGATTTCACTCCAAAGCTGAGTGCATGTGTTCTTAGGAAAAAGTCTTAAAAGAGCGTGATGCTAAATAGCTCAATATTTGTAGTTTTGATGGGGATTTAACACCTTAGTTACACATTGATATTGGAGGATAGAATAAAAGACAGCTGTAAAGGGAGTTACCACAGCTGCTAAACTATGAGCACATTAAGGTTTGTTGTAGGGCTGTCATACGTACGTGCTGAGTCAACCAAAATTCTGATAGGTCGACTTAATTTTTCTCTGTGTCAGTTTACAGTCTATGGTTAATTTCATCAGGAGGAATGTACCAAGTGCTAATGTGGGTGTTTTTTTTAGAGCCTGTCTCAGAACACCCCCCCTTGTTTTCACCATTTTGGATTCACCCAACCCACTGGTGACCGGCTGGAGACAGGAAGATCGAATAGCGTCCACGTTAATCAGTGTCTGGTGGTTTGCTGAATTTGATATTTGTGTTTAATTTAACTTCTTGTGCTAATATCAGAATATTTTCACCCCGCACCCCGCCAAGCCGCGTTGTCGGAAAAATCCCCCACCCTGATTAGTCGATTTTTGGTCGAAAATTTCAAGGTTTTAGTTGACCAACAACTTCTTTGGTTGATTACAGCCATAATAGCAGCTTCTTCTTATTATAATAACCCATTTGTAAAACACTCATTAACATAAACTCAAAGCTTTATTTTTGTTACATGATCTTAATCCTTAATTGTTTTATTGTTTATTGAGTTTGATTTGCTGTTTCTTGAGTATTCGTTCTTGAGTTTATTCCACATTTTGATGACTTTGCTTTATGGACATGTGTTACAAAGAGCTTGAGCTATTAAGAGCAGTGTGCGCATTAGTCTAGATGCTTCATAATTTCCCCCTCTCTCATAAACACTAAAAAGTGAACAATGATTGGAGTCCACCCGTCTGTCTGTTATACTGTCTGTACAGTTGGACAAAGATTGTGTTACTCATGGAGACAATCTTGGTTTAGCCTGTTAGCTCTTCACGTTTAGATAGCAGTAGGATACAAAGAGTGATAATTATTATCTCCCAATCACAGGTGTTAAGTGTTTTCATATGTCTGTTGCTGGAGGGTGGAAGCACTCAAGACCACAAACCGAGCAAAGGTCAGAGGGTAAGAGGTTAACGTATTGGTAGAGTGAGGACAGAGGTCATAAAGGTTTTGAGTTACCATGTGTCTCTTTATGTGTGTGTTTGTGTGTCTGTTTGCCTCGGCTAAAATCCACTTAACAAACAGAATTACAACCATAATCAATAAAATCACTACCTGGGAAATGCACACCAGCTCCTATCAGATAGAACAGACACATGCGACCTCCTAAAATACTGACAAGACTGGATATCAGGAAGCGTCAGAGGCTCGAGGATCAAAATCATCCCCAAAATGATAAAGAAGAGAAACAAAAGGCTTAATCTGTCTGTTTCAGTTCTGAAATCAGGAAAGAGCAGTCAAATGTAGGTCAGGCTGCTGCGAAGGTATTATAATACACAACATGAAATGAAGAGGGTGGGTCTGTGGGCTGGCTTTTTATTTGTTTTCCATAAGTGCTTCCAGACATTAGGATGAATCTTACCCACATTTCATTCGGCTTTTGTTTTAGCCCCGCACAGCGAGGACTGACAGAGAGGTTTTGTTCCTGCTCCTGTTTAATCCAATCAGACAGAACCAAACAATCATTCCCTATCGAAGAGTGATCTGTGTACACGACAAAGAGTGTGATGAGCGCAGGATTCCCTTCTGTGTCTGGACCAGATTTAAGAAACCATGCTGAGTTAGCAAAGACAGATGATTGAAAAAGAATCCATGAAAGGCTGTGATATTTTTCAGTCAAATGTGGTGACATGCCTTTAAGGATCAATTATTGATTAGCTTTATTAGTATCCCATCATACTAGTACATCATTTAAAAAACTCCGGACTTAAATGGACCATAAAATCAGCAGTTTAATCCACATACTTTAACACTTTTACTGATATTTTCATCATTATAATAAAAGACTTTAACTACTTAACTTTCGTATGAGTACGTGTTGTTTTTCCAGGACTGGAAAACGGTTTCCCTGAGAAACAACATACGAGGCACCGAGTAATTAAAGCGCTTTGTTAGCTCCCCAGGAGAAGCTTTTCTACAAAAGATGTGTTGGTTTTTGTGTGCTCATGCTCACAGTTACACCTCCTTTAAAGTGCTGTGGTTGTGAGTTTTATGATTATGGGATTATTTTTACTTTTTAGCTTCTGTAAGAGTCCTGCATAATGAAAAATACAGTCTGGCAGCACATTAGACACCAAACTACCATCAACCAGACGGAGGCTGTGGCAACATCCAAGCACCATGAGAGGCGATTGTTTGAATCTAAAACCATGTAAATGTATGAAGGAGTGGGCTGTCATAGTAACTTCAGTGGTAGATAAGCACAAATAAAGAGCAGCTTCTTTCTCTCCAGCTATAAAATCTGTGGCAAAGATGTAATGAAGTAAATGGCTCACATGTTCTTCCAACCATGCTGCTTGAAACTGCATCCAATCTTTTGATGTACTTCATGCAGTTAGGCTGAAATCCAATGAGTGAGCGTTCTCGGCATTATAGCGTCTCAAGGGCGCATCACATCACCGCCATTGCTCTCCCGAGGGTCCTCTAACACAGGTAATGTTGCACTCCCACTGCTGAAGCTGCTCAGATTGTCTCCAAGAAACCAAATCAAACAATGAAGAGCCCTGACTGACACACAACCGTAGATTTACCTCTTTATAATACACTGCAATAGTTAGCTTCATATAAAACACAACTGGTTTACAGCCTGATAACGCAGTTGTTATATTTAATTTATTAGGACATTAGGTCACTGTCACTGTGAGAATGGCAGGGAGAGTAAACATGGAGAATCTGACATAAGTGATGCTTACACAGTCTGGATAAGAAGGTGTTTTGGGTTGATGGATTTCCTGTTTAGCTGGGTCATGATGGTTAGATTATTCAAACCTGTTGGGCAGTATGAAGGGGGGATTAGGGACCATCTAAAACCATAAAATTATTGGTGGTAACTTTCATAAATTGCGTAAAATGTTTATGTTTAATATTTAACTAACTCTGAGTTTTTTAGCATTCTAGCTAGGTAGACATAAGGCACGGACACAGGCTGAAAGGAATATTAAGTGACTATTTCAGTCTTCCTCGCTTTTACTTTGATCAAATAAACACGCAGGATGAAAAACTTGCACCTAAGAAAACTTGCCACATATGTTTGTCTGTTACAATGAGTATCTCTTTATGACTTTTGAATGAAATCAATATATCAACAAACATAACAAATATGACAAAAACAGAAGTTATAATTTGGGCTTAAGCCATCAAACCCTTCCATGTATTTTCCATGGAAAAATTGGGCCAACAATAAATAGGTAAATATTCATATTCTTTTTTTCCAATACTTGCCAAGACTAAAAGTAAAATAATACAAAAAAAAAATCTATTAACGTGTGTGGGAGCCCTGTGTCCAACATGTAGTTAGCTAGCATGCTATAAAAAGTAATTTGTTTTCCTCAAAAATATCTGTATGCAATAACCGCCCTCTTTGGAAAATGCAATACTATAATACTTTGAGGCAACACACTGAAAAAAAAACCCACTCACTTTACCTCCACTCTCTCCCCTCTCCCACAACTGCCAGCTCAGACACCAGGGCCTGCAGCACTGCTTATCATCAGCAAACAGCAGAACGGACACAAAAGGCCCCAATCTGCCTAATCTCTGGTCAAACACAAGTCGCAGCATCATCGCTGCTCAGGGCAATAAACTGCTGCTTTATGCCGGAGCTGTTCAGGGGACACGCGTTACGACTTTGCTCAACAGACCAGAGAGATTTGCCGAAGCCTGTCTCCAGGGGAACTGTTGCCTGGGTTACCACAGCCAACAGGAAGAGCATTTCAGTTCTAATTAGGTAACCTGTCAGGATGCAGAAGAGGCTTTTATTCATGGTACTTAGGAAAAATAACCAGAAGGATCCCAGGTGAATATCTTAAGATTATTTGGTTCTGTTTCAAATTACTCTTCTGGGCACAGGTGTACTGACTTAGCAGATGTTTGGTTCCTTGCACTTCAAAAGCACACTGGTGCAAAATACCTAAGCAGTTTATGGGATAGTATAGAACTACAAACCGTGTAGTTGAACTGGCAATTTGTATAAATAATAAATGACATGCAGCTTACAGACTTTCTTGATAATGTTATCAGTGAGTATTATTTACAGTAAAGTGAAGTGAAATTTGTCCTATATATCTGTCTTATCTTTTTGATTATATCCCGAATAGCACCCATGCATCTGTTTGTGGCAGGTCTCAGTTTTACAGTAAATGATGAGTTACACCAGGTACACTTATTACCAGGTAATTAACAGGTAATTACCTAGTAACAACATGAAATTATCTGGTAATTACATGATAAGAGGTGGTTCCAGGAAGTGGAAAAAATCCTGGAAATACTAGAGCAACTCGGCTTCAAATTTGTATGATGATGGAAGGTTACCTACCTGGTAGCTGGACAGTATTGACTTAGTAGTTATCATGTAATTACCAGATAATTTCATGTTGTTACTAGGTAATTACATAGTAACAACAGTATACTGTACATATACAACTTATAGCCCACAAGAGCTTTGCTCATCATGCAGATTGTTTCTGCTGCACTGACCAAAGTCTGCTGGTCTATGACTAGTCCACATAGTGGTCTACATTAGTCTACAAACACTATAATCACCAAAATGCTCCCCATACAAAATCTGAAACCTCCATTACAGATTCAACCCTTTTTTGACTCCGTAAATACAGATTACCTTCCATCACATCACTGTCGCTTTAACATCCATGAAATGCATGTTTCACTTGATCCTATAGCTGCCATGGAATTTATGCAGCCTCCATCTCTCCTTCTCTAATCTTCTCCTCCTCCCCCTCTTTTCACTGGCGCAGAGACACTCTGACTGTCTGCCAGTTTCATCGTCCCAGCATCAATTACCTAAACGCAGCAGCACTCACATATTCCCATAACAGCTCTAAAACCTGCACACCCACACTTACAACCTACATCCATCGCCCCCACACAACTCCTGATCAAACACACACTCACACAGGAAAACACTAGAAATGAATGAAAATCCTATACTCTCCTCTCATGTGTGCACACATGCACGTTTTCACAAAATGAGGACACTGAATAATTAGTGGCATGAAAAAAAAAAGGAGTCAATGCCTACACAGACAGTCATTTCAATTATCTTGATTCCTCTGGCTGTCTGGCTGCTGTCTCTTGAAGGTGATGGGCTCAGCTCACCACAGTCTGCTGGGATTTAGTCATGAGGAGCCACTTTGTATTGATTCTTCTCCCATGATAGGTGCGATCACTTTCCTGCAAGCTTTTGGGACTCTGCAGAACAGTTTGCACTGTACAAATTAATTCTAATGGGCATTTTTTTTAGACTGATTCCAAGCGTGTGATGTCAAGTAGATACTAGCAGCACTGAGCGGCCAGCTGCACGCAATTTGTGGTCCCTTTACGTCAACAATGTGATATGAGAAACAGCAAAGCCCTCACCCTTCACTCCCACTCCCTAAACCCTCACAGGTATTTATTCAATATGTTCAACCCAGGACCTGGTCTCCGTGGCAACAGGACCTAGCAAGAGACACTGGAAGCTCTAGGTAGACCTGTGTAAGTGTGTGCTCAAATGTGTGTGTGTGTGTGTGTGTGTTATGTATGTGCCTTCCTCTGGAAACACACACTGTCCTCTACAGCTCTGCCGCAAGGACACGACTCATAATAACCCAATGTGACACTGACTGTTAGCACCTATACAGACACACAAGCTGACGATGGAAAAGTGTTTAAAAAAACAGGAAAAAAGCAAGAAAACAGAAATCCAAAAATGTTATTTTGCAAAGAGATAACTGAATAAATTAACAAGAACATTTAAAATAGAGGTTAGATATTTAAAGTAAAAAAATCTCACATGTCACTTAGTATTAGTACTTAATGTTCCAGAGAATAAAGGTCAACATACTGTATATTCAGTGAAATATATACTGTGAAGTATTCAGGCTGTACAATCTCAATACAGAGGTTTCTAGGGTCATATACAGCCCAAGATGAGGACATGATGCCTCTACTTAGGGCTGGAGAAATCACTCTCATGACCTTTGCATGTTTTTTTTAGGGATAAAGAAGTTTCCTGAGGCAGATTAATCCCTTCTGTAGGTGGAAAGGAGACTGTTGTAGTACAAGTGTTTGGACATACTGGACGTGAGGGTTTTTCTTTAGCAGTATTTGTAGCTGCCTTACAATATCAATTCACACTACATCACTGGAAATGTGTGTTTAATCAGAGAAAGAGAACATGTGTCCAGGTAAGGTTAGTATATTTAAAATACTACGGCCAATAAAGCAGCTATTTTCATTTTGTATGTCTTTGTGAATGTGCATTGTCTCTGCATTTGCAGCATCCTTCTCCTGATGACCACTTTGGAAGTGCTTTTCATCACTGAGGAAAAGCACAAATGAACTCTCTAGAAATCAGCTGAATATTCGCTAAGAAAAATCCATCATGCTGTACGCTGTGTACACAAGTGGAGACAAAAAAGTGTCAGAGGTTGAGAGAAATCTAGAGGGAGAAAAACAGAGAGGGGAGAGATGAAATGAGATAGCAGCCTCTCACAAACATTAACTACTTAGAGAGAGACGATGAAGGAGGCAGTGTGAATTAGAGCCTTTCTTCTCTGGCGCCTCTGGGGAGGAATGATATATTCAATTTGGGTTAAAAGAATGCGTTTAGAAATGAAACACTGCAACGGGCTCCATGAGTTCATGCAAGACATGGATGGAGGATTAAGTCTTCCTCTGTGTTTCTCTGCTGGCTGGTAATTGAGAGATTCAGGTGTGGAGCTTTTCCTGAACAGGGTCAAAGAGGTCACTGACATAATAATAGAGTTATGAGGGCAGCTTTAAAAACCTTTCCCTTTTTCTGCTTCAGTTTTCAATCACATCCCTTTATTTCTTGAACTTCTTTCCCTCTCATCCTAAACTTTCTACTAATCATTTCATCGCTCTTTTCCTCTTCTCCACTTACATCTCCCTCCCTGTTTCTCTGGAGGTCTGATATTGAGGTGCCAGTTACACGGCCTGCCAGGGTAACATTAACCTGCTTATGCAACGAGATACTACAAGCAGGAGAGTGCATGGCACAGCGGGGTTGTAGTGCAGCTCATATGTATGCATGGGTGTACGCCCACGGGTGTCATTTAACTATGGAGCACTATGAGAGAGCAGCAGAGCACATAAGCACTTTCAAAGCCTCAATTCCTACAGGCAGTCACAAAGCTATTATCTGTTTTGCTTGCTCTGACCGTCTCGATTCGACTCAAATACAGTATTTTTCACAGAAATCAACTGCCATTGGCTTGATTTAGTAGTGGCAACAACCTGAAATAAACCAGCGATGGATAGACTTATGGAAAAGTATAAAGGAGGACTCTGAAATATTATTATAAGCTTTGGACAGAGCGCTATCAAATCCACATTAGAGAACATTTACAGTATAAAATAACTATCAAGATAGTCACAGAAACAGTTTAAGAGACACAGCAAATGTGCTGCAAATCACGAGATAGATGGAGCCGGATGCAAAACAAGAAAACCCATTTTAGTCAGCAAAAGTTTGGAGATTACTCAAGCAAGACAACGACCTCAAGGAAACAACCAAAACAACATCAGAGCGGTTAAAGGTCAAGAACGTCAAAGTCTGGGAACAGGCTGTTCAATTCTCAGACCACAATCCAATTAAGAATCTGCGGTGAGACATGAAAATTACTGTTCCCAGACAGTCCTGGTCCAATCTGACTGCCTTAGCACTATTTCACCATGAAGAAGGGACAAAAATTGAAGTCTTTAGAAGTGTGGAGCTGGTGGAGATGAACCCTGAAAGATGGATCCATCAAGGGTTGACAAACAGAGATGACACTTCCATTTAAATCAACTATCTGGCCTGTGTTTGACCTTTCATTTTATTTTGTTGGTGCTCTACGAGGTGACTTTGGACAAACATCTTTTTGAGCCCTTTAAGAATTAAGCCCAGCAAATTTAGCCACTGTAGATTTGATTATTGAAGTATATCACCCTCCCTGATTCATGGTAAACCCCTGATGTTTCCCATGCCTGGCCAACCCGCTGCTAGTAACATCAGTGTGACGAAGTGTTTTGACATCTCAAATGTGTCAAAAGTGCAACATGTAGTGAAGGCATGGAAATTCAAAACATGACTTTATGTTGAGCTAAATAATCATGTTTTTGATCATATGTGACTAAATAAAAGAGAAGGTCAAACAAAACTTTCAAGGCTGCAAATAGTTAATCTGATTGTTCATTGACCTGCTAAATGTGGAAGCAAGAAATTAAAAGACAATCGAACCGAACAACATTTTCAGTTTTTCTGCCTGATGAACTTGTATAAGCCTATCCTTAATATGCTACGTTCCTATGCAGTGACGGTGTCTGAATCTTTGGATACACATTTCTGATAGACTGAACTGGAATCTGAACTAAGCTTTAACATATGTGAGGAGTGTATGACCGACTAAGACGAAACATGATGAAAGCTCAGTAGGTTCATAAACTCGTCCAAACAAAGGCAGATTTCTCAGTGGGAGGTGGATGTCCTCAGACTCTGAAAACATCTCCCTTTGGTGTGTATGTGACTGTGTGTGTGTGCATGAGCATATGTAAGAGCTGGTACAAACTCACTGGGAGGGCCGAGCAGGTGGGGGGTGGGGCAGCTGCTGTTAGAAATGGTGCACAGCCGCCGCAGCGACACTGCACCGTTTCTGAACTCCCAGACAGATGTGCAAAGAGCCGCAGTCCCACATGCTTATTACACGCCAAGGACAAGGCAGGGGGGCCACGCACACATACAGGCGCACACGCATGCAAACATGACCTCATATGGAGCAGAATGCACCACAAGGACACCTGAATGCCATCTATCAACACTGATGAGTGTTTTGTCTCCTGGAGGCACGCACAAACACACACTTATTCCAGATGTGCTTGTGAGGTACCAGCCTGATTTCACACGGCAACTTCCTCATTAAAACACAGACATACAGACACATTCGACTCCATGTCACCAAATGAAGAACACAGACAAAGACGCTCAGACCGTGCGGAAGAACAAAGAAGTCATTTTTGTCATCGTCTCAGCGAGGCCAGTGTGTGACGATGAATCAGGCGTGTCTCACCACTAAATGTCTGTGTGAAATATGTGATGTTCAAATATTTACCCGTTTTGTTAAGAGGAGTAATGCAGTAAAGCTGAGACAACTGGGAGACCAATGTCCTAGTGCTGCCGTCCAATCAAAACACATTTTTTTTACCATTAAGTTTTGACTGAACTTTAAAGCCCTCCCAAACTACAGCATAAGGTAAAACAACCTATGATTCAGAGTCAAACATTACTCTACCAGCAACATCAACAAGACATGAGGAACACAAGCAGGGCACAAATGAGATGGACCTGACATATGAGGTTTGTAAGACGTGCAACATAAAAATAGAATATTGCATCAATAAGACAAACGTTAGGGAAAGGCAAATGCTAAATCAGCAAAGCAGTTGAAAAAAGTGTACAAATCGCAATATATGGTAACGCAATACTCCCTGTATTGCAAAATGTCTAAAACTGCAATAATACTGAATTGTGGCCGAAGTGTCGTGATAATATCGTATCGCAGGACCAATCGTGATCTCCGCCCCCTAGAAGTAATCACACCCAAGATAAAATTCAGCACAACAGCACGACTTAGATTGTGATATCACCTTTGTAGAGCAGCTGTAAGGCAGATCTGTAGGAAACAGAAATGAACAACATTTTAAATATTTATTTCTTATCATTAATCAACTCAGACCAGCAACTGTGCGCTGCATGTACTAATATGTGTTTTTCATTTTGACGCAAACACAGTGACACAATTCCTCTTGTCCAATCAGAGTGCTTGGTTGTAATCAAGCAACCAAGCACTCTAGCCTTCACTTGATGGTGCACTTTCACTTTGGTATGCTTTCACATGGTGATTCCTGACATTGCTTGGACTTACACAGCCAAATGTACCTCAGTGTTTCACACAGGAGGCGTATTTGCTGTCTCACATTCGTCTCAAAGCTGAAAATCTTAAAACAAACGGCTTATCTATATATTATCAAACACTTCTTCTGCACTTTTCAAAACAAAAGCCTAATCTATTCTTTCTGTGGAGTGACTCCTCCTGTTTTCACACAATGCTTTTATTTTGAAGGTGTGCCCAGGATTTACTTGCACAGCTCTATAACTGAGCGTGTGGTAATTTTGTTGGGGGGAAAAAAACTATATTAAACCATGTTGGCAGCGAGTAAGCCATGTTTTTATCCACTGACATCAGCCTACAGGAAAAATATCTTCTTTTGTGATTCCCCTCTTCTCTGCATCCATCTCTGTGTCCCTCACACTGAATTATTTGGTCATTTTTACCAGTATAATACCTAAAAAGTTCCCGCTCTAACAGACACACCTTATTCTCCCTCTCTAGTTCGACATATTTTAACACCAGCTTCTGTCTTTCTAGGCAAAAATCCCTTTTAGTTATCACATCAGTTTGTTTTTGTCTCACAAGAACACTGTTTCCTTTCTGTCAGTTCCTGAAAGTAGGTAAACACTTAATTTCTAGCAAAACCTCTTGATCATAGCTGAACCATCTGTTCCCATGAGCATCAAAAAGAGCTGCCTCGGAAAATGACAGAATTAGGGTAACAGAGGAAATGAGAGAGAAAGAGAGGTAGGACAAAGACGAAGATGGGAAAAGCAGAAGACGTCTTCCTCGTACAGAATTTTCTGACAGACCTGCAAGTTTTCTGAGCGTGTGAGGACTCAGATGACAGTGAATGATAATGAGGTTGATGATGGGAAAATGATTATGCAACCGAATCACAGAAACACATCACTATGATTAGACCAGCCAGCTGTTAATGAAAGAGAAACTGGACTCAGTTCAGTTTCAGCAGCAGTGGAGCGAGAGAGCACAGAGAGGAAAATTACTGGTTTACAGATGGGGGGATGGATGAATGGACAGATTACCATATGCTTGGATGGACAGATGGATGGATGGACGGATGGATGGTGATGAAGTTGGCCTTGTATACAATTTAGGAATAAAACAATGCCAGCCTAAGTGATGGGGGTGTTTCGTTTTTTTCCAGTCAGCCTGGTCACAGAAGAAAGCAGCGCTCACATAAATCAGCGCTTTAAATCTTTAGCTGGTAATTTAACTGCAGGGCTGAAATTCCTTGAGTACCTCGATTACAAATTTTGATCGAGGAATTTTCTCTGCCTCAAGTTTGTAACTTCTAATCGTCACTGTTTCACACGGATTATTTTCAAGGCGACACAACGCGCTTATGTCACCATGGTAGAGGGAGGATTAAACGCAGTTTTGGTTATGCGGCGTGGAAAAAATGAATGACGAGACGGGCTTTACTTCTGCAGAGCTCCAGTAGCTCATTAGCACTTCACCTCTGAGTCTTATGCAGAGACAGCGCTGCTCTGCACACTCCTCTTCACACTCCTCTTCACACTAGCTTGTAGCCTAACATTGCCAGTGTAGTAGAAGTAGCAGGTAACATGTGAGCTACTTAGCTCTTGGACACTAATGTCTTTAGGGACATGATAAAAATTAATATCATAAAAAATCACTAAAAAAAGAAGATGTTTTATCCAATCACTCGATTAATCGATGGAATATTCGATACAATACTCGATTACTAAAATATTCAATAGCTGCAGCCCTACTTAACTGTTTTATAGTTGAGGTTATTTTAGATTGGCAAACTTCCTGCATGCACAAACATCCCTGGTCACAACAAAAGTGCACAGTCAGTGGCTACGTTCACACTGCAGGTTATGACGCACAATTTGGATTTTTTGTTAAATCCGATCTTTTTGTTCACATTACAACAAAAAATGCGGCATCTAATGTGAATGGAATGCGTCCGTGAAGTGACCCACATGCGCTAAAAGCACAAATTGCTTTCTGCGCCTGTTTGTGTTGTCGAACAATGGAGGCCTGGGTCAGATTAGATAAAATCAGAACTGCATTGTTCACACTTACATAAAAAATCAGATATGTGTCACATATGGTTAAAAATCGGAAATTGACCTGCAGTGTGAACATAGTCTATGTTATCCACCGAGCTTAGTTCTGTGCTCCTCTGTTAACAAGCTTTAAACATGCTGATATTAACCCCCCCTCTCTCTCTATGTTGGGCGTTCACTCACCTCCTTTTTTTTTTAGGTTGTACATCAAATTCATTCAATCAAGATTTACTGAATGTGAGAAAAAATAGCCCCATTATCAAGCCGCTGCTAACAGGATTAGACTTTCACACATTTCTGCGCACAGGACATTTCACATGACCCGTCACTCAGGGCATGATGTGACCTAAACCCAGAGGCCCACATCTGAGCCTAAAGCAAACATGAACATGGAGGTGAACATACAGCAGTCACACATCAGCACGCACTGATGCACAGATGTAAACAAACTAGATTCAAAAACTCACTCAGGAACAGAGCAGAGCGTCAGGAGAGGATCGAGGACACAACGTCGTCTCTACAGGAAAATAGATTTGACGTAAAGAAAGGAGAAACATTTTGACACTGTGGTCAACCATCACAGTTTGTGAGTTAGCTTGGCTTAAGGAAGTATGAATGAATGAAAATTCCATAATATCCGCTGTTTCATTCAAGTAAATTCAGACGTAAAATCTAATAAGATCGGATTTCCCCTCAGGGATGAATAAAGTTTTTCTTAGCTTATCTTAAAACAGAGAATGATCACAAATAAGAGTCCTTGTGTTGTTGCTCATCATCAGTGTTTTTTTGGCCTTTTGAGCTCACTCAGAGAGAGACGGAGAGGGTCACACAGGCTGAACAACCTTAAAAACAGGAAAGTGCATCATAAACTAAAAAACTGACACGCTTGCAGCCATGTCGTCATTTTTTTTTTTTAAGTTGTTGTAATTGGTTTTGGGCCGGGGCTGTAAGGCAGACAAAAGGCTGAAAAGTATATCCAGAAACTGGAGAGGGAGGGTGTAGTCAATAAAAATGAATTGTGCAGTGGCTTGAAATAGAGCTGTGACCTCTAGAGCAAAAATCAAATTAAAGTGTGGGTCTCCCACAAGGTTCTCACTCTGCAGAGCCACAAATGCAGCGCTGCACTTGTGGGTGTTGTGTTATGCGCTCCTCTAATCTGCGTCTGCACTGTGTGTGTAACTAAGAAAAAGGAGACAAATAGGAAAGGAAGGTAGATGACAAGACATCATGAGTGCATGTTTAAATATTTTTCTATGTATATTAAAACTACCTCCTGTCTGTTCGGATTATTCTGTGTGCATGTGTTTGTTTATACAAATCCGTCCTTTGGATTTAATAGGCCTGTTCTCGGCCTTGTTGTTGTTTTCATATGAATGTTCACATCAGCACGCTGCTGGAAAAAACCCTGTCAGCACGCACACTCAGCATACATGCACACACGCTCAGATGAGGCTCGGTGGGTGGTAAGCAGAGCAGCAGAGTGTCTCTATGCCGTGCAGAGCGCCTGATGTAATAAACCACATTATGAACTTTGTCAAGGAACATAGAAATGCCAACATTGAAACACGTGCAAGTGGAGAAAACATGGCGCAGAAAATCCTTCCTCATAAATCACATTTATGATCTTTATCGGTGTCAAACTGAACAGCTGACTGCTTATCGTGTTTGAAATGATGAAGTAGGCCAGACATCAGCTGGTAATACGAGGGTGTACTTGGACAGGTGACACATTAAAACCTTGTGTGGTTTGGATTACAGGAGATGTCATATAGAAGTATAAATCAGTTTCATTCATGCTTCATCCACGTCAGTCACGACTTTAACTGGAAAATTAAATGAAGTTTCACAAATCTGGGAGTGATTCTGAATTCCGATCAAAATTTTGATTCTTATTTTAACAAGGTCATGAGTGTTTCATCTTATCATCTCAGAAAAATGCACAAGTGAGACCTTTTTGGCCCAGACATGCTGAAACTTTAATCCAGGCTTTCATCAGCAGTCATAACTCACTGGCTTTTACCAAAAAGTCTATTAAAAAACTACCGCTAGTTGTTGCTTTTTAAGATTGTTGCTTTTGAACTTTTTTTTTAAAACATATTTTGAATTTAATTTTGTTTTTTACTCTTAAATTTCTTTTTGCTTTTACTGTGTTTTTAAACTTTTAAAACCTATTTTTCTTCAGGCTTTATTAATTTAACTTCTGTGGTTATTTTATGTCTATTCCTCTATGAAGCACGAAAAGATACCTCGATAAATAAAGTTAAGTAGAATGAACTGATCCGTTTTAGCGCAATAATCTACTCATCTCATCAATCATTCAGAAAAGAAATATGAGGCAGAGATAGAGAGAGAGAGAGAGAGAGAGAGAGAGAGAGAGAGAGAGAGAGAGAGAGAGAGAGAGAGAAAGAAAGAGAGAGAGAGAGAGAAAGAGAGAGAGGACTTTGCCTTTGAAATAACCGAGACATAAAGAAGCCCCACGCTTCCACCCATGCTGCTAATCTCTGCCGGAGTGAAAAAAATAAACCTTCAGCCGGCTGATATAATGAGTCATAAGATGTACAGTGTCTGAGCTAATATTACTCCTACACACACACGCACAGAAAAGAAAACAAGAACCACAATTACAACAACACAGAAACAGACTCGAGTTGATACTGTCTGCTCACTCTCTGCGTGTTGAGATGTTTAGTTGGGGAGGATTATTTTCATGTTTCGTAAAGCTCTCACTGACTTTCTGTCTTTGTCTGGTATAGTGATAAAGAACTGAAGAAGTCTCTGTTATTACTGAAGAGTATAAACATTTTCTCCTGTAAATGAATTTGAGTGTGAGAAGAGATTTCTCTGACACCGGTATGCTCTACAAATGCAAATATCTATACGGACTACATGATCATATGACCGAGGATAATAGAGCCTAACTGATGCGATCGTTTAAGTTAGGGCTGGGCGATAAACCCAAAATTTACCGATAGCGAAATTTACAATAATAACCGATGTTATTTTGCCTGTGTCAGAAGCTTGTGGAGTAGTTATCGTCCATTTATCGTTATCGGGGTGAACTGATCAATATATCCTGATATTGATTTGAGGCCATATCGCCCAGCCCTAATTTATGTTATCATCGGGTACACAGGCCTGTTCTCTTCACTGCCTGCATGTAAATCTCTGACTGAGCACCTACTATATAATTCAGATACACTTATTAGTATCAGTCTCAAACATCAGTCAGTGTAAACCATACAGAAACTACTGCCAAGCATTGTAAGTCTGCAAAGTTTTTTTTCTTTTTTTCAGCCCGTGTGCCTAAATCTGCTAAAAGGCAGATAACTCAGCATGCTATCTGTGCATGTGCTCCTATTAACCCCTATCTCCCTACTAAAGCGCCCTCTGCGGAGCACTACAGGAGAGCTGTCTCACTGACAATAAGCAGAAACAGATAGCAGTAAGCTACTGAGGGGATATCAGTGGGATACACAGGCCAGAGCCTCTAAACCCTCCTCTCACACACACATTTACACACATAAGTCAGTGTGAGAGGAGGCGTCTGACCCAAATCCTGCTCTAGGAGGGTTAAAAACTAAGTATGTGTGTGTGTGTTTGTATGTGTGTGTGTGTCATTAGTGTCAGGCGGGCTGTCTCAGGATAAATGCAGGGAAGCACCAGTTCAAGTGTGTGGATGGAAACAATTAACCCAAATTAGTGACAGGAGTGTAAGGACATGCAGTATTTATACCTTGTGGTTTTGTGAGCCACATGTCTGCTCCAGAGCGCCACAAAGAGACATAACACAACAGTTTCCACTACAGCGCAGCTACACAGCAGGAAAATAAAGTTAAAAATGTAACAAATCATCACCAGGCCGCGTAATGGCCTCCATTAGTCTCTGCAGCAGACTACAGTTTTATTTTAGCACTTACAGCCGAACAGTAAATAATATATAATTTTATATGTATTGTAATTCAGTGATGCGCAGCCATAAAAGTCATACTGATGTAAACTGGATTTGCATTGCAGGAACTGTTGCAGAGTTGTATTTCTGTATTTTCCAGAGTATTCTAACAGCCTTAGTGCAAACTAAGCAGCAACATCAGTGTCTCACTAACGCTGTGGTATGCAGTCAATTGCATAATAATGCATCAGATTTCATATTAGCGCTTTATCAGAGACCCTCAAAGCGCTTTACATCGGATACATCATTCACTCGCTCACACAGTCACACCCTAGTGGTGGTAAACTACCTTAGTAGTCACAGCTGCCCTGGGGCAGACTGACATAAACATGGCTGCCGGTTTGCAACTACAGCCTCTCTGACCACAACCACACAACACTCACAATCATACACCAGTGGAGGACACACACTGGAAGCAAGGTGGGTTAAGTGTCTTGCCCGAGGTCACAACAGACTGACTCAGGATAGGGGGGGAATCGAACCACCAACCACCCGGTTGTTGGATGACCGCTCTACCTCCTGAGCTACTGCCACATACAGAGTATTTACTGCTTTGGTATTAGACAGATGGTCTAAGACCTCGAGGCAGAAAAAACATTGAAATTTCTCAGAAAGTTTCTCCAAAATTTAAAAAACCTCCATTCCAGATATATTGTTGTATTTATTTTGAAAAGACAAGCACCAGATTTCAATTATGGATAAAAGGGTCGAGTAGCTTCTCGTAGAGTCTAATATGTGCACAACATACTTCAATAACTGTCGCAGATGCAATATTTACCATTTGAATAATGCTGAGCTGGAGCTAATCATTTACATTTTTTAGTGTACTTAAACCTGAGAACTCAGATTTGAAACATCGCACTATATTTACAATCACAGTTTAAGATTATCCTTAATTTTGGTCCATCAAAATTCCTCAAAACTACGCCCTGACACTACAGACTTGTGGGAAACTGAAAAGTTTAAGGAAAAATGTGGCGGGGAGACATCCAAAAAATTATATTGTACACTAAAATTACTGCTTTTAGATGTTGTATTATATCACTGGACTTTTTTTAGTCACTACAGCTTGTGTTTTTGTGCACTTGTCATACCCTTGCAAGCAGGTTCCATGATGAGTGTAAAATTTTGTGTATACTACTGCTAAGTTTGTCATACTCAAAACACCTGAACAGTGCCTTTAGTCTTATTTGGAAAAAAACATGTATCTTTTTTCTTTTTTGTTTTATTGGTGAAAAAAGTACCATGAATAAGTTTTAATCTATATAATGGAAACTTCCAGTTCTTTCACGACCTTTAAAGGGTGTTGAAATTGGAGAGGAAACACGTGTAAGTCAACACAAAGAAACCCGCACACTGTCGTCAGTGCACTCAGCAAACCGTTCCAACAATCTCACACCCTCTGCAGAAGAAGTGGCAATAAGGTAGGAGTAACCTTTTAGCACAGAGTCGTGAGCTCTTGGCAATGAGCCTGAGGCAATACTGAGTCAACCAGTGGTCAAGGACAAACATAGAGAAAGAGAGAGAGGAGGAGGAGAGAGAGGAAAAGAGAGAGAGAGAGAGAGAGAGAGAGAGGAGGGAAAACCTTTATCCATTGACAAGTGACACAAAGCACAGCGGGGGCCTCGCCACACTCGAGTGACAATACATAATAGCTTCCCCCAAAAAATGGGACAAGACCCTTGAGTGACCCACTTTTTCAACGTTAGCGCACCACTGATACTCCAACTCCAATGATCAGCCAGTCACCCAGAGCTGTGTGAGGCTGAAGGTGTGTGCGTTAGTGCGAAAAAAGAGAGAGAGAGAGGAGCGAAGGATGTGTGTCGGCGTACAGATAGGGAGGGGCGTGGGAAAGCTGCATGTGCTTCAGCTCATCCTCACCTCTCTTCCGCTCTCTGGATTTCACTCTGCCGTGCTCTCTCCCCTTTTATATTTCTCTGCTCTCTTTAACACCACAGCTTCAGCTCCAGTTCATTTTATCTGATAACCCCGCTCAGATAAATCTGTGCTCTGTTTCATGACCTACAGATATTGCATTCAGAAGAAAAGGGCGGTGCGTATGATCAAAAGGACGGGAAATATCCAAACAAAGAACCGAACATTATAATACAGGCAGCTAAATCCAGTCCTGTTAATTTCTTGTCTGCTCAGCACTCAGAGTATAACCTCAGAACTCCATCACCCAGGAGAGAAAAAGGTGTGGAGAACTAATAAACAGGTAAGGCTGTGTGTGAGAGGGGGGATTCAGTCTGTAATTGTAGCCATCAATAATACGGCTATATGTCACCAGATGTGTGTGTGTGTGTGTGTGTGTGATACAGCTCACTTTTATCACACACACACACAGTCTCTCTGCAGGCCTGTTAAATGTACAACTTTGTCAACCGTTGATAACCTTGTTGACATCAGACATCTATTTTCAGATCCATTTGGTCCTCACTGGGTCCAGTTCAGATAGCCATAATAAAAGAAGCACGTGGGTTATTATCCTAATTTATCAACACAGGCTAAAAAGGATCCTGGAGGAGTTTGGTGTTTGTGCAAATGTCGGCGCCCCCTATAGATAAACCGGCACACATTATTTCTTGATGAGAAATTGCACGCTAGGAATGGGCGATAAATTATCGTTCACGATATGTCGTCAGAAAAATCCTCCATGATAAATATTTGCCATCTCATAATAAATACGATAAATACAAGTTGAGGACATAAGCATGAGCGACGAACTCTCAGCCAAAGTCCACACAGAGCAGAATAACAAACAAACATGGCCGTAATGAAGGTAATGAAGAAGATGTTTCTGAGCAGCTCAAGACTCCACATACGGGATTTCCTTCAAGATTGGGGTTTAGATGAGTGCAACCAGGTTTGCCTGACATCAGACTTATTGTGATACATTTTTTAGCCCACATCACCCATCCCTACTGCACGCATGTTCATTCTGACAGTCAATAGTTCCACCTCTGAAGGAATTTTACTGTGGAAAATGACAACAAAGTCTGTTTCTGTGGCATGCTAATCACTTTATATATTGACCAACACCTTTGCGGGGTCTGATTAGCGTTAGCATCGAGCACCTCAACCCGGCGTTTGGTTTATACCGCTGTGCCAATTCTGCTTACCAAAAATGTCCCAATGGGCAGGTCGCATTCGACGTCCAGCTCCAAGCCAGAAACCATGGCTTCTTACACATTTAAAGTTTGAGAATAGGTTGAGATCCCACCTGCAGTTGCAGACATTAAACCACACTAATATTCTCTATTATAGTCTTGAGTGAAGTCCATTTCAAAACCAGCTAAAAATGACTCACAGAGGACTAATTGACAGCCTCAGGATGACTCATTATTTTCTCCACATTAAGTCAAAATATCCTCTAGATTCACACCTTTTTAAAGTAGTTAAATAATTTATTAAAGCTTTCGTGTTTTGTGAGTTTAGATTGAAAACATGTAGTATTATTTAGCTGTTTGAAAACTCTCAGACTTCTACCACAGTACTCCACATTAGTACCTGCATGACCCAGGTTATTTCTGTAACAGCCATATGGGACCCAGGCTTGTTTTTGTTTCTGAGTCACCGGACAGCACATCTTAAATATGTTTAAGAAGGCTTTCTGCCTCTAGAGCAAAATTAACTCTGTCCGAAAATACCTCACAGCCATGTCTGCTGCTCTTTTGACTTTAATAGCTTTATTGCTTCTTCATTACTCATCCTGTGACTTTATTTTTCCTCTGTTAGTTGTTGTTCCACGCCTAAAAATGACCCTAACAGCTTAGTTATATAGGCTCGGTCTCCTTCAAGTAGGCAAAGACAAAGATGGACATACACCCAACATGAGTGTCTAACCCAGGTCGTCCCTTCACTCATATGTTCCTTATGAATCAACGTAATGAATCAGTCAAAACACAGCAACCCTGCCTACATTTAAAAAAGAGGCACTTCTGATGCCGTTTACCAGCTGACACTCTTGAAAACTGACTGAAATGAAACAAAGCAAACTGGAAAAACATTTCAGTCATGCTTTGAGTTTTCTGCATCAGTCCTTATTTCAAGTCAATCCACAAACTAGTCAGAGTGACCTTATTTAACCTCAAGTTTTTCAAACATACAGTCATGTAGTGTAAATGAGACGTACAGGAGGAAACCTGGTATTTAAAACAGGGTTTTAACCACATGTGCTAACTTTGAATTAGCCGGCTCTGTTGTAAACATTCGGTAAACCTGACTCAGCTTAAAATATATCTTGGGCAAAGTTTGGGCCTTTAAAAAAACCCATTTAAAATCTTAAATAAAACATTTCATCAAATTTTGTCTGAGTTCAAACACAGAAAAGCAGCTCACTGCAGTAGTGACGGAACCTAACTATAAGCAGTCTGTGTGGTTAGTCAAGCAGAATACAGCTCATCTATAAAACATGAGAACTTTACTGTAGAAGCATAACACACTCAGGATGTCCCAAAGAGGTTAAATTCCTAGTCATCAGAATATCTATTATCTAACCAGCTAGTTTGAAAATAAGAAACACTAAGAAACACAACGTGATCAGCATTTAGGTTCTACAGCAGTAAAAGTGTCAATAACTCGCTAAACCATGGGTAGCTCGGGTGACAGTGTTTATTTGCACAGTTTGCACATCCCTGCTGCACATCATTTGAAGAAGTTCGGGGGCAAGTGGAGACACAAAACCAGGACTGAGGGAGCTGTTTGCTGGATATGTCTACTGTGGACATGCCTCATGTGCAGAGTCCTTGAAAAAACTGCAGCAGGTTCAACTTTCAGAAATAATCGTATGCTGCGAGTGCTGCTGCTGCATTTTAGCTACCACAGTTAATAGGTATGCAATAGTTGTGTTTACCCACGATACGATATTATCACGATACTTGGGCCACGATATGATATTATTGCAACTTATAACATTTTGAAATACAGTGAGTATTGCGATACAATATATTGCGATTTATACAATTTTTTCAACTGTTTAGCTAATTTAGCATTTGTCTTTCCTTTATGTTTGTCTTATTTACACAGTATTATATTTTCATGTAGCACATCTTGCAAACCTTGTACATAATTTGTTGTACTAACTTTCTCCTGCTCTATAATGTCACCTCTGAGAATGAGACGATATGATATATAACCAGACAAAATGTCATGATACTACGCTGTATCGATTTTTCTCCCACCCCTAGTGTTTACACTGTTTCGGCTTCCACCAACTACTGCAGGGTTGAAATGACAAACTTTGTGCATCTCTGTCAGCTTTTAAAAACATGAAGCACATTCCTTTCTAAATAAGTTTACCCTCACATAAATCCTCTCTAACCAAAGTCAAAATTCATCTTATTATCCCCTCTTAAATCCTCTCCTTCTTCCACCGTAAACTATGTTAAAAATAAGCCAACTGGGTGAGACTGCACTTTCTATTTTACAAAGGGGAAGGAAGATAATGGCTTTTTACTGGCAGACCTCTCTTCTTCCTCCAGAGGTCTGGCCTTGAGACTAAAACGGCAACAGAAAGTGGCCCAGAGTCAATATCAATCCTTCTACCTGAATAGGATAACGCTGTTTAACCTGGATGCAGACTCTATTACATTCTGTTTGACCTCAGAGCATTTATAAAGTTACAGCTGATGGATGCATTTGCAATATATTTGAAAATAGTTTTATCTGTAGTCCTTTAAAAAATAGAGCAGAGCAAAAAAGTGTGATGGAAAGGACGGCTCGATGTAAGTTTAACTTTAATCTTTCTCCTCTGCTGGAGGAAGGATGACATAAGCCAGCTTGTCTCTGATTGCCAACACAGCACATAAAAAATGAAACGCTACATCGCCGGCTAATTCACTTACATAAGAGCCTCAACTGAGACATGAATTTAAAATTACAGAGAAATGCCATGAATAAACACAGAGAGGCATCGAGGCGGGCGCAGGGAAAGCAAATTTAAAATGTACATATTTTATTTTCTATTACAAGCCCGTGCATCCTGACTCAGCCTTTGTGTTTCAGCCAATGACAAGACAATACATTAAAACGGCCTAAAACACTACACCGCAACTATTATTATACAATGAGTACTCCAAGCTGAGGCTAGTCATTATATCACAGTGGATTTCTCAGACTCCCCGTGAAGTTTTCTGCTCCCACACATCATCTTGTAGTCTTAAACACACACAGACACACTCTCAGATTTACGAACTATGATCAACACTCGGCTGACGGAGTAAGGATGTAATTCTCCTGAAGTATTTCTGGAAACGTGCCACTTTAGTTTTGATCTGCAGGCCTTGCACTTCCTCTTCACGTGCAGTTCCAGTGTGCGCTGTGGAAACATGCTAATATCTCGTCTCTGGTAATCTCAGTCTCTGTAATTCCCTTCAGCTGTTGCCTTCACATGCAGCTGACTGTACATACACTTGAGTTGCTTTCTGTGAGTACCTTATTACCGCACTGTCTGACAGGCCGACCGACAGCAGGCCAAGGAGCATCGACTGGAGGACAAAAGATGCTAATCTAAGCTAACAAGAAGCGCTCCTTTCCCCTGACATGCACAAGCAACAAAGCAGTTGTTCCAGTAGCTGGCTCTCCTCCACTTTGTGTTCAGCATTGTATTTCTCAGGCTGGTTAGCTTGAGAATCATTAAGTGCTTGCATTGAGAGCTTGTGTCTACTTTACCTCTTGATTTTCAAAGATTGGTTTAACCCAGCTACAGATGCAATAGCACTTAGCACTAGCATGTGCATAGTAGCTAAAGCGCCAGTATGAAAAGGATGTGGATGGGATGGGAATTAAAACTGGTTCCTACTATTTTGAGCCATCAACAACATTTGCCTTTCTGCTTAACGGTTCCTTTATCCGTGTTTTAGCTCCTCCTGTCTTGCAAAACAATGCCGTCCTGCCTCATGAGAAGCTTTTGGCGTCAACACACAGGAGTCGAGGAGGTGGACATCATGAAGAAGAGTAGACAGAGGCGCAAGTGCAAACTCTATGGCTGTAACTGTGAAGATACCAGCAACATGCTTTCACATTTGTCAATACAGCGCAGCCTTAAATATCAACAGTACCGCATGTTTGATGATCTATGCTGACAGAGAGCTTCTCAGCGGAGCGGTAAGGTAGCTACGCCTATCCTGTGTTAACATTAGCACAAAGTATGAAGACCTGACTTAAGAACAGGTTAACTATTTGATTTAAGACCTAAATGTGAAGGACGACTTTGCAAAAATGTCCTTATTTGGTCCATCTAGGTGATAACGGTGCTGGACTGAGTTCTGGAGTTCTGTTCTCCACTGCTGGAGACGCAACAATCCTGGAGAGATCCAGGATACTCCTCGCAAAAGCAGATATGGTCATTTTTCTTTACGAGAATTGCTTATGTTGCACAAAATAAAGATCTAATATCATCATACAGAGCAGTTTTAGGTTAGAAAATCTGTGTAGGCATACTTCTTTTTCAGCATAGGAATCGATAAAAGCATCAGTATCGATAAAATCTCATGTTCCTGATGAAACAACAAGGAAATTTCACATTACAAGAGCTAAAGACTAGAACTGAAGAGTTGCTGTAGCTTCAAAGACAAGAAATTGACTTTAAGTTCTGTTTGCAACCATGGTAACATTTAAACTTACAGTACCCACCACACTTATCCACACACACTCACTCACAGAGGCTAACACACGCTAACATGCACACACAGACACCTTCTAATCCAAAATCTCACTTGAGCTCTCACCCAAACACTCGAGTGAGACCCACTTCGTTAAAACTAACACATCTGTTTCCCCGCATGAGAGAAAGCCTGGAAGCAAGTAAGACGACATGTCTGCCAGAGGAGAACCTGCTGTGTTTTTTTCCTTCTTTCTGCTGGAGCCACCAGCGATAGCTTTAGCAGGCCAGCTCAATTCATTACAGCTAATTGTGTCGGTGTAAAACACTGGAAGATACCACAGAGTCCTACATCTCTCCACACAGTCAAAGCCATCTGTTAGCCTCCTCTCCTCTGCAGAGAGGGCAAAGATGGCAGGTGGCAGGATGCTTTTTACGTGCTTGTTTTGAAACTTATTGAATGCACATTGAGGCTTTTAATAGGGAAGAAACCTGGGGATCTATTTCTAAACTTTTAGACAGCATAAATCAAATTCAGAGCAAAGCGTGTGTGAGTTAATTGTTGCTCAGGGTGCACTGATATAGATCCAGAGTACAGACGTATCGCTCAGACAAGAGCTCAGCCCTCCTCTGCTAGAAGATTTATTGAGGTCCTCTGATGGGTGCCTTCACCATGGATTCACTTAAGCGATCAATAGTGTTATGAATATCTCTCGGCGTGGTACAACAGTAATAAAATTATTCCACTTTCTTCAGACACGGGGAGCAGATTGTGGGCACTGCAGGTCCTCATATCGATCAACACTCTCCGCTTTCAATACAAGGTCACGCTCAAGGCAGACCGGCAGAAAAAGACTGACACAGACACACGTTTGTGGGAGTGGCATCGCTCCGTGGACGAAGAGAAAAGACACACTCAGAAGTTTACTCTGAGTGACTGTACTGCTGTTTACACGGCATTTGTTTACTCTACCAGGGAACACAGCTGAAAATTAAGTCCTCCGCTACACCTCAGACAAGACCTAAAGTGGGAGGCAGGGTGTGTTCAGAGTAAATAGTGGTGGGTGTGAGGTTTTTTCTGCATCGCGTTTATCTTTTGTGTCAGTATGTGTGAGAGTGTGCAATATAAAGTGTGTTTGCACTACTACCTAGTGTAACTACAGAGCTTTTGCTCAGGTATATATCACATAACGGGACTTACAACAAGGTCTACTGCATGTATTAAATAAACAGTTTCAGGTGTGAGGTTTCCTGCTAGCTTTAAGTGTGTTTACGCCAAAGCTTCTCCTTCCACACTGGGATTTCTTGAGCTGCTCTGTCCTCTGGCCTCTCTCCAATCCACCGCAGAGCCGGGGCGGGGAAGAGCGTCTGTCAATCATTTGTCACAGTGCTGCGGCTGCCGGTAAGCTCCCTGACTAGATTGAAATTAGGCTTTAGTTTTTACGTGTTCGATCTTATGTCGAATTCTTTCTTTGAGCTTGTCCAACCAGAAACTTCTGACAACATTATAGTAAACCAGATAGTAGCCTTACAGTAACTTTTATGGACAAACAACTGAATCAAACAGTTTGGATCTATCCTTATTCCACTTTGCGAAGCAGAAGAGTAATTTTTTTCTAGTTTACAGCCGATTGGTTGTTTGCCTCTTTTCCATGAGAACCTAAATTAGCTCTGGCAGAAGGATCCACATGGCTGAGCCTTTAGCAAAGCCTTCTGCACAGTCATTTACACCGCAGTGTATACTGCTCATCAGCCGCCGCCACAACACTACCTGTAGGTGATTATTTAAGGGTAGTATATTAAAGTCAAATTTGGAGCAGACCGCTCTTTCCTGTAGCCAAATCCAACATCAAACACTAGTGGTTGATCAAAGAAAATGGCCACTTCAGAGGTAAAACTAAGGAGTAACTACAGTAGTGATCACGATGATATTTAGTGAATCATAAAAGTAGTAGGAGGACTTTTCTTTAAGGCTAGTTATTCCCTTGAATGTCCCAGTTCGTCCTGCCCTTCAGTAAATGTCAAACTCTTAAGACAACACCAGGAGAACAGGACGCTCTGACTGGATAACACACGTCCCATTATATGATAAGCTTGTAGATTTAATGCCTGTTTATACGGCCTAAAGCACATAATGTCAGGTTTAAGTATCTCTTTCTCTTCATCTCTCTTAATGAACTCAAGCACTTATTTAGTTACTTGGCTTAAAATTACTTGGCTATTTTTTTTTTTCTGCTGGAGCCAGCAATTCTCTGCTTAACAGCATTCAATGTACCATAGATAATTTTGTAACTAGATTACAAGTGGAGACGGTGATGTGCATTTACATCTTCAACCCGGACACCAGCCTGTGTGTGGAGATAGCAAGCTTGTGCGCAGGGTGGGGTGTGTGGAATATGACACCCTGCGTCTCATTTTTGCAACAAGTGGGCTACAGCATCAATAATGGATGACAGAGACAGAGACAAAGAGAGAGGAGTCAGAGAGCATGCATGTGAGCAAAAACAGCCTCTAAAAATTTCAAAAGGATGTTGGTTTGAGTTTTAAGACCTTTATAGGAAACAAGAAAAGTGATCCACAGCAGGTGTGTTTGTCTACATTGACTTAAGATTCCAGAGTTGGATGTAGGGATGTTCCGAGATGATCAGTCTTCTATCAGCAAAAAAACAAATATCAGATTATATCAGCCTGCATCTAAAATCTCCGATACAAGCAGTCCATTCCAGACTCCACTCCAGCACCTCTATCTAGCAGCACCCAGATCTAACTAACTAAGATCGAACTAAGATACTAACAAAGTAGCAAGGAGTAGGAGTGATGTCGGCCGTGTGGCAGCACTTTTTGTTTAAGTCTGAAAAAGACACTGCAGCTGAGAGCTTGTCTAGTACAAGTTTGTGCCAATATCGGATTAATATCAGTATCAGTCAATATTGAAGGCTACAATATCGGTATTGTATCGAAAGTCAAAAAAACGGATCGGGACACCCCGTTAGTTGAGTGCCTCAAACACCTTCCTCGGGCTTTATCAGGTTCACACAGGGCGCAGATTGAACAAAATCAAGCAACTGTACATCCTCCCCACAGATGTGACGGAGAAAACACTTATTGAGTTGTCACTGGGAGCTGATCACAACCACTTTGCCCTAAGCGTGCTCTGCCATTTATAGGTCCTTAAAGTGGGCCAAACAAGACAGAGAGAAGGAGAGAAAGAAAGAGAGAAAGAGAGCGAGAGAGAAAGAGAGAGCAGTGACAATGACACAGGAAGACACAAGGAGACGTGTAAAACTGGAGCACTCTGGGAGGAAAAACTGGAACCCAAAAAGACAGAAAAGGAGGAGCTGAGAGAGAATGTGAGGCAGGAGAAGGGGAAGGCTCCATGTGACTCTTCAGAGCATGTGGACACCATGTGGAGGCTACAGAGGAAGCTCCGGATCCCACAACAAAGCAGCACATGCCGAATCACTTCTTCTTTTCTTCCTCCTACATCCACAAACATCTCTGTCACTCAATAATGAGCCTTTAACACAAAGAAACACGCTCAATTAGTATTTCATCTTTCACATTTCGCACACCAGAGGGCTCAGGGATTTGGTCCTGGTGTCATGCTTGACTGCTAAATAACCTCCTTTTATTTGAGTCAAATCAGCTGTGCTCATCTCAGAACGCCTCAAAGCAAACACGCCTTCAGTACGGTCGTGTAACCGTCCCGTCAGAGATATTTGCGGGTTCTTAGCCTACTTAACCCTGAGACCAAAAACAAGCATGCTTGTCTTTATAAGCCAGGGTGAATTTTGCTCATCTTTAACCTGAAAGTATGTTAGAAATGTTTTGCTAGGGGCACAGATTAGGTGACAAAGTTGTATTTCTTGCTTCCATTTTTTGCTGCATGCTGGGAAAATTAGGGTGACTGAAACAAAACGACAGGAGGACACAATGAAGTGGAGAAAAACAAGCTTTAAAACTCATGATCACAAGAGTCCTTGCTAATGAGTTGTTCCCCCTCATTTGCCGATCTAAATTGATATGAAAGTCCATTTTTATGAAAGAATTGAGCCAACAACAGTGTAAAAAAACATAAAAAATAAATTTTAACAAGCATGTCCTTCACCACAGACAAGTGCAGTCCCTCAAAAACCTCTGAAATCACTTGTTGTGGCCAAATTGGGCTTAAAATCAGCCTTTATACTGCAAAGTGTGCTCCAGGCTGAACAGTAGTCTGAGCGAAAGAGGCAGAGATGGAGAGGAATGGTCAGGGGGATGGAGAAAGGGATATTAAGTGACATAAAAGAGATATCACAGAAGGAGGGATGTAACCGAAGGGCATTCACAGAAAAGATGGAGGAGGGGGGGTTGCAACATGAAATCTGATCTTTCCCTGAAGCCTGCATTTATCCCGTCCCTCTGCGACAGAGGGTTCAACAAATAACAGACAATGAGAGAGTGCAGAGTCACAGGACGACTCATGGAAATCTAACTTATCTCTAAATCTGAAGGAAAAAAAATGTTTTATTGTTTAGAAAAGATCAATTCAGATCTGATTGGAGCACAGATGTCTCCTCTCTCCATCTGTGCACCTGTACTGCAAAAAGCTCTGGGTATGAAGTCGTGTTCAACATGTTTACTTGGAGAATCCACCTGAATAACAAACAAACGTCTTTTTCAAGTCACTCCGAGTGGAAATCCTGACAGTAAGACGAGAAGTGACATTTTAATGATCTTTAGAAATGAAGGAGAACTTTGAAGTGAAATATTTGTATCAATGGCTTTTGTGATCAATCCTTTTCTATCACTCAGATATGCTGTAGTATCAGGCCCACACTAAAAGAAAAACACAAGATGAGTTTCAGAGAACAGAAAGGGAACAGGTCTGAACACTGACAGAGTAGCATTATGCTATTACATGATTTTTTAGGGGCGTCTCAGAGGAGCAGCTAACAGCTGGCATTGAAATGAGGACCATTAATGAGACGACACCTGAGTATAAAAACTGCAGGTTTCTTATTCTTGTGATGCTGCAACTCAATTCAATTCGTTTTCAGTCTTTATTTTATCATGACTATAATGTCAAATTTCTCAGTGTTTACATTAAACAGTGAAACATCTCCATCTTTTCAGCCAGCACCAGATTTAGCTCTATGTCAGCTGAGTCTGGTTAAACTAGAATATAATGACTTGACTGTCGCAACACGTAACCAGTACAGGCATGTGAGTTCTAACCCCTCGTAGCTGGCGGTGCTGGATGTGCTCATATTCACTAACTCGGCGAACCAGTTTGACCTCGTTAATCTGCAGACTCTGTGACCCTGCGTTCAGCCAAGTTAAGCTAACTGTGCTCAGTTGTGGACTGTTCTTAAGTGTTGTCTTACTTCTAGACTAACCAGTTAGTCGTAATTAAAACGACATTATGAACTCATTAGTGAATTTAGTTATCGTACTTTTTCAGCTTTAATCTCTAATGGCTTCAGTCTCGTTATAACAAGACTTTGTTCCTTTTAGATCTTCTTTTCTGAAAGTCAGACTTTCTCACTAATTTCGCATCTTTGCTTCATTGTAATAAACTTCATTATCCTCCACTCCTCTTGCTAATTGTTATTTGGCAACAAATTCATGCATCTTGAAAAATACACGTGGATATGCAGCAGTCTAACTCTACAAATACCACAGAAAAAGAAGTGTAAAAGTGCTTAGAGACTGAAAGGTGCAAACAATTAACCTAAAAATCCCTCCAACTTCCACCGTTTTCACTCTTCTCTGCAGCCTCTTAAAAGAAAAAAGGAGCCAGCTGCTGCTTTACTCTCAACAGCCAGATCCTTTCGCTCATTAGTTTGATAATGTGTAAATTTTACAGCAGGGCTACCTCATTCTCCTGTGTGTCTCTCTAACCCACTTACACAGCGGGTTTAAGCCCCAACAACCTTACACACACACACACACATATACACACACACACACACTTTCATCCCTAATAGCTCTGGTTCCCCAAAACCAGAGTGCCATTAATTGAGTCGACCCATCAAGCTGCCCACTGCAAATACAAGCCAATAACAAAGAGCCTGAAGGAGGAGACAAACACACACACACACACACAGAAATATATAAAGAGAGAGCAAGAAAGAGAAAGAGAGAGAGGGAAATAGCAATAGAGAGAGAGTTGTTGGCCCCACAGGAAACTGAGGGCCCAAAGTCTAACCGTGGAGGTGAAAGAGGGTCTGGCTGCCTGTAATGACTTTGTTGTTGTGTGTGTGTGTGTTGGGATTTGGGTTTTGGATCGGTGCTTCCATTTTAGATGTGGTTTGAAGTAACAACACACAGCTATACAAGGTTAATGATGTTATTGTAAAGTCTGTTGTCGCCCCTTCAAAAGGTAAAAAAAAACTGCAGGATAAACTCATGCTAGAGCCAAACTCTGACTCATCACCTGTAGCTCATTACATTTATGTCAAACATGACTATACAAACAGCCTAATAAACAGGTGTCAGCTGTCTGATGAAAGCAAACCGTTTGAGTCCACATGGTTGACATTATAGGGAGGAGTTATGTTTGCCTGTTGTAGAAGAGCATCTGCGTGTTTGTACCTGTCGTGTGTGTCACCGTCAGACCAAAGTAGATCAGCTGGCACCATCTTCCTGAAGATTTGATGATGAAATATGTCAGCTCTTGTGGCTGCGAACACTACTTTTGCTGACCCACTAAAATGAAACACAGCTATGCTTCCACCAAGCTACAGATGACTGTAGATGAACTACCAAAGCTGCCCAACACCGCACTGAAAGTGAGGCTCTAGCAGACAATATACTACAATACTATGATCTCTGCTACTTTTCTAAAATACTTTTCTAGATAAAAATCGTTATAGAGCCATGGTCAAAAAGATCTCACTCACAGCTGTTCATCATCCACCCCAAGAGCTGCTTGTAACACCTCATCCTCCCAACAATAATCTACGACACTAAAAACTGACAGTAAGCCAAGGTTAACCCTGTTTTACAAAAAAATCATGGCATTGAAGCAGCCTGTCCGAACACATACACAGACTACATGAATTAGACATTCATGTGAGGATTGTGTGATGGACAGACTGACAGAGAAAAGACACAGACCTGCAGACATAGAGAGATAGCTGGAGGAACAGAGGAGGAAAAAAAGAGTCCTGAAGCTGCAGGGAAATCGACCGCTCTCTGTACTGTGCTGTAACTAGGAGCCCAGCTGCTGACATTTGGCATTGATTGTGTTGGTTTATAGGCATTCGTCAGTTAAACCCCCGGTGGACAATTACAGGGAGAGCCTGCTCGGTCCTGCCGGGGGGGTCTTGACTTTGATCTCTCTCTGCTTTTCCCCTTGCTCGATGGAAAACCCAAGGAAATAAAGACAGAGAGGTGATGCACCTCTAATTGGCTCCGAGCAAAAGGAAACTGGCAGCAGCTGTGCATGAATGGAGCATAAATGGAGGGAGAGAAGGAAAAAAAGGAAAATGGGACCAGTCGGATGAAATTAAGAAAAGAGGATTATTAAGTGAAAGAGAAGAGATGAGAACTTTAGGGGAGAAATGAGGCGGAAAAAAGAGCCACAATGCCTCATTAATTCAAAAATGCTACATTAGCTTTATTTGAGTTTGGAATACCTGCACACGGTGGTGAGACGAAATCTAACTTTCAAACCACAAATCACTTTCTGCTGTAACATCACATTTCTGTTTTTAACCCTTCGATTACTCCTTCTACTAGTATGTATGTATAACCTTTGACACAAGCATGTAAGCAATATATTGTGGGTGATGATAATCCCAGCTGTGATATATAGGACGACCTACATTGTGTTATATGAGAGGAAAATGGTAATCTGATTGTTAGCAGTTTCTAAATCCCAGATAAAGAGTGCAGATTAAGGCTTACATGTTTGCATGACTAGACAGGTTTGTGTTGCCCTCTAATCCATCTTTCGATTCTGTATGTGTGTGCAACATGTATGCCACAACAGATTTACCTGAATTCACCTCTGTGAGTTTTATGGAGGGAGCTGGTCAGCCTCCTCTTTTGCACACTGTACACTTGAAAATGCAGAGTATATGCAAGAAATGGTGCTTTCTTTACATTGACTATTGAAACTTTTTAATGATTCTAGTGCAGCTAGCAGCACTTATGAAAACAACTTCGAAACATATCTTCCTTTTCTGTGCTGCATTGATGTCTCCAGCGTCAACTCTGTCATCTCTTGGTGCACTTCATACCCAGGTATGGTGCCTTTCAGTCTGTTTCAAGGTCTGGTATATCTCAGTCCAAAAGCAGACACAGAGACGTTTCACTCAGTCTTACTTCTAAGACTAAGTCAGGTTGGGAGCTGGGGTGTCATTGTAGCAGTGTAACAAACACCTGCTTTTGCTCTCAAGAAGGACAGCTCTCACTTCATACAACAAAGCTTGCTCATACATAACTGGTCAATACTACTCAGACTACTTACAAACAGAAAATTAAACATTTCACATGCTAAGAATCTAGTGCACAGATTTTACATTTTGATATAGACACTGTAGATAAAGATAGAGAAAACTATACATTGTTTTCACAGGTAGATTTGCTTTTCCTGTATCTGACATCTGACGTTTTAAAGCTTAATTTTGAGTTGTAAGCCCTTGCTAAGGAGTAGAAAACTGGATAAAGTAGGAAAGTGGGAAGTGAGTGGGGATCTGACCAAAGCTCCTGTACATGGGTGTGTGATCTAATGGCTGAGCTAAACTTTATCTTGTCACATGAAAAATTCATTCTGACACATCTTCATAGAAGCCAAGTTGTTTTCTTCTTTCAGTTACTAAGACCACAAACCAGGTCCCCCTTTCCACCCCTAACCTGGTGCCTATGAGGGCTGTGATTAACGGCCTGCACAGCTAACAGAGCTAACATAGAAAAGCAGAAAATACACACCAGCTCAACACTAACATGACAAGGCCAAAGGCCTGTGGTGAGCTGTTAGTGGTTAGCAGCGGACGCTAACTAGCACAGTTTTCCTACTCTTAGGCCAATCCAAATGACAAGTTTGGTGACTGTGACAGTGCGTGCCATTTTACAGAGAGCCAAGATGGCTGCTGTTCAAAAGGACAGGCGGTTACAGACAGGGAGAAACAAGTCACTAGAACTTATGTCAGGGCAGGGATTTTCCAACTTTTTTCACTTGAGGAGAAGTTGGTCAGCAGAGGAGAGGTTGTGGCTGGATGCTTGGCAAAAAAAAAATACACAAAAAAAGAAAAAGCAGAAGAAATAAACAGAAACAAAGACGAGTAATTATCCTTTGAAGGGCTGTGAGTTTGTGTTTATGGGTGTTTGTCTTTACATGCCTGTCTGCAGTGTCTAGTTATGATCATCCAATCCGCTCCCCTTCACCCAAAGGTTAGCTTTAATGTCCTTTTAGTGTCTCTCCCCGGGCCTCAAACTAATGGACAGTGGCCAAACACTCAAACACACATACACACATAAACAGGTCCATGTTTGAAGCTAGGGTGGAAAATGGCAGCTCAGGCCCAACAAACCAAGCCAGGCAGTTTGACTCTCCCTGGGAAGCTGCTGGGCTACTCCACCCTCCCACCCACTGCCAACCTAGAAATGTGACACCACCCTCAATGCCAGACTAGACCTGTGAGGCTGGAAGGAACCCATCCTGTAAAATACTCAAGAGTGCGGGGTGTCAATATCTGAATCATGTCAGTCAAATCTAATTTTTCAACTCATTTTCTGTTCCAACTGTTGTCATTTAATTGTTGACGGTGTTCGCTAATAAGACCCATCCAGGAAAAAACAGTAACTAAAAAGAAGGATATCTCTTTGTCTCTACCTCATCCTGCTTTCTTGGCTTGTTTGAGGCAGATGGCTGTCCAGAACTGAATCTAGTTGTCCTGAAAGTTCCTGCCTGGAAAAAAAAAACCTCTCTCCTTCCTTCTCCCATGTTCTCTTTCTCTCCCCCTATCCTTCCTTCTCCTCCTCTCTCTCTCCCTCCCTATCTCTCTCTGTATTTCACCCCAACCCAGCAGCGACTGAGTGGCTGTCTAACATGAGTCTGGTCCTTCCCAAGATTTCTGCCTGTTAAAAGGAAGTTTTTCCTTGCCACTGTCACTCATGTTGGATCAGATGGTAAATGAAGCATCTTATTTTAACTCCTGATCTCGGTTTATGTTTTTTAGGACAGTTTGGACTTTCAGTGAACCTCTTCCTGTATTTCTCTGATCTTTATGTATCCGTTTATGACATCTCTACGTTTTATTGTTTTACCTATAGCTGCAAAACAAATTTCCCTCAGGGTCATTAAATTGAATTATGATGGTTAACCAGTCTGTTAAAAGGACACCAGCTCCTCCTCATCATCATCATCATCATCAGCTGCTGCTCCTTCTTTGCTCCTCCATCCAGGGGTGTTCCCCACAGTTCAGTACTTGGTCCTCTCTTTTTTATTTGCTACATCAGAATCAACTCGTGCAAAAACTGTCTAGATGGTCCATCATCTAATGCCCTGAGTAAACTCCAGTCCATCCAGAGCTCAGCTGTAGTGTACTCACACCCAGAACCTTCACAACATCCGGTTAAGAGTCCACCTGGATATTTTGATGACCTTTGAACGCACAAATCAAGCATATGACTATTCCTGAGTTTTTCTTTACCACTGTGGCAGAGTTCTTGCTCACTGGTGGATAAATGTTGATTTTAAAATATGATAAACAGTATAAACGACTGCCGCTCTATAAACTACGGACACGTCACAAGTTTTGATATGATTCAAGTACAAACTGACTGATTTCTTGATCTGATATACAGCAGTAGGCTAATACAGATCAGATTACCATGGGTTGGGTTAGTGATGTAATTCTTCAAGCACTTGACCTGTCATTTTAAGTGGACATGATGCTAAATTGATTGAGTAGATAAATGTAACTCAAAAGCAGTAATTCTGAAAAAAAAGACTAAATCTTCATTTAAAAACAACCTTTTGTTCAGAGCGAGTTTTCTTCCTCTTTATCTGTCCCCAGGACAGAAACAAAGGGACTTTTTTCTGAGTGCAGAACTGGGCAGAGCAGGTTGCACCAGCTCAGTGAAGGAGTTCGCTGAAACTCCAGCTGAAAGACAGACAGATCTGCTTCTACCCTCCACCCCCCTCCTCCTCTACTTCTCCTTTCTATCCTCACATGCTTCTCTCCTTTTTCTCCTTCACCCCACTCTGGGCCTGACTGTGAGCCTGCAGCTCCTGTGTGTCGGCTGAGGTAACGAAGGCTTTCACTGCCAAACTCACTCAACAGCCTGAACGAGCCAGCTGAAGAACTAGAGTCCCTTTCTCCCACCCTCCACCCTCTTCCCTCCACCCTCTTCCCTCCTTCAGTGTGAAAAGAAGGTCATTGTGCCACACCGGACTACAGTAAAGCATGTGGTGCTGGCCGGAGGTACTGCTGACAAAATCTCTCCCTGTGTCTCGTGAGCTGTCTCTATCCATCATCCCTTTTCTCTTCTGGCCCTGAGTCCCTGCACACACACACACGCACACACACATACATGGAAACAGGCTGAATCACATGGTGTGACAACTTCAACTACACACACACACACACAGACACACACAGAAGCTTAGACAGGAAGAAACATACACAGGCTCAGATCCTCTCTGGCTTTGCTGCTACAGACCGTCATCTCCGCTGATCGCCTGCTTGTTACAGGATTTAAATTTGCACTGAAAATCCCCTCAGACAGACAAATACACACACACACACACACACAGACACACACACACAAAACACATGAGCAACACACTCCACTCTGATTTCCCAGGAAGTAAGCGTGAGTGTACATTTGACATCAGCATGCCAAGCAACACATATTTTTAACAAAATGCACACACACAGCAGCACTGAAAACATCACTATATATGTTATGTTCTTAGTGACTACACATGAGTATATGAAGTACATTGTCACACTCTTTTGAAAGACTGGTTGAAATATGCATATGTTATACAATATACAACAGTATATCGATACACTGAGTGCGCTCTTAGAACCAGACGCTACGCTAAGTTTTCTATAGTTGCTAACCTCGCTGAAGTTAGCCTACGAGGTCATGCAGCACAACGTAACTAGCATTAAATCTGAGGCTAGTAATAGTTTGTGTTATGTGTTAAACTTGACACTGATTTTCAGAATAAAGGCACTATGGAATTAGCATTTGATTAAATGGGAGAAATTGGTAAAGCATCCCCTGAGTGCTCCGTGATTTTCTCCACGTCATCTATCAAACACTCAGATATTTACTCTGAGCTTGACAGTGATGAGTTATTTATTTCCTGGCACCTACACAGTTAGTTCCCTGAACCTGAATTTAACTTGTTCTTTTGTTTTCTGATCAGGTTTGTAGATGAGCAGACTTTCATTACGCATGCATGTAAGTTTAGTAGATACAGATCAGAATTAACTAAAATATTAATGAAGTGGTACTCTGTTATAGTCAGAGCAGTTTTGGATCAACTAACAAAACCTGTCTGGAGTAAAACACATGAAGATTATCTACAGTCATTTATCTACAGTCATTTCATAAGCCCACAAACACAGAGATAGCAGAGGGAACTGAGCAGGTTTTAAGAGCCTGAATTATAGCGGTGACACGGCCCAGCTGAGGGAGTTGGAGGCTGTGGACAATAAAACCATTGAGGCTTTTTAAGGTCTGTCCTGCTTTGGCATCCCCGCCCTCACAGACACAAACCCACAGGTATTCCCTGGTTTAGAGGCAGAGTTCCCTCCACATGAATAAATGGAAACAGCATAGGAAGAAAAACGCCGTTTTTGGTTACCACCCATTCCACTTCAGGAAGGTTTTGAAAGCTCCTTTTATTCAGTGACGTCACCAAATTTCTTTTGCACCTTTTCAGTTTCTGCAACCGTACAACTGGCAACGCGCTCTTCGGTAGTTCTCTTGTTTTTATTTAATGAGATTTGCTACACTTCTGCGTGCGGGATAGGATAAAAAATTTGAGTCACAGGGACGTGAAAGAGGCTTGTCAGTCATCTAACTCAGCACAAATGATCAAACAAATGATGTAACGCCGCCACACTCGCGCTTGTAAAGAGGAGTTCAAAAAGAAAAGTTGGCAGCTGACGGTAGCGCCTCCAAACATTTTTAAAATATTTTCATGAGCCGAGCTTTCACTTGCCAGACATCTCTGCTTTCCCGCTGAATGACACTCAAGGGAGATTTCTTTATTTCTGATCTTTCGCTTGTGTTGCTGTTCTGTGTTCTGTCACAGTCACAAAGACCTGCTCATCTCTGCTCAGCATGGGGAACATTTCATCCCTGAACACTACCTCCTACATTGAATGAACAAAAGGCACCACTGAGGATTTACTACTGTTGTTGGGAGAGAAAAAAAAACAGAGAAAAAGAGAAGAGGAGAGAAGCGAGAAGGAATCACTGGAGATCAGATTCATTGTGGCAAATGGTGTGACTCCTTTAGACCCGGGTCGACCACTGGCATGAAACATCCTTTCTCCAGTTGGACCATTATCTCGAGCATATGTGTGCACCTATTGCTGAGGGCGAAGCCGCCTCAAGGTAACAGCGTAAACATCAAAGCGTGTGTCTTTGTGTGTAAGTCAGAGTCTGTGTGTTTCTGTTACGCAACGGGAGAGTTCTTTCCATCTGTGCCTCTCTGCAGCCCCCGCATCCCTGACCAATGAAGCGAGAAACGACAGCTCTGCCTTGCACTCTGCCTCCCTCAGTCTTCCTCACAACACATCCCACTCTTCATTATTATCATCAGACACCCACTAAAAACACACTCCCAACTCTTCTACTCTTACTAGCCTCTCTCCCCCGGTCTAGTTGGCCGAGACTTTACACAACCAGGGGCAGCGAAATGACGCAATTTCTCTCTTTGTCATCACCTTTACTATCAGCATCACGCCTGTCTGCCCTCAGCTTAGACCTCAACCAGAAAACAAGAGCACTCTGCAGGGTGTCTAACCAACATTTCACTTCTTATGCTCAAATTCCAGATTATCCCACTAAGTGCATCTCTGTCTGCAACACATCCCCCCACTCTCTAACTCTGTCTCTGCTCTTCCGGCTTGCCTGCCTCCCCACAGGGCTCATTCTTGTGGAAAAGATGCTAAAACAAAGAGAGCAGACAGCGCAGTGATAATCCTAAACATAGCAGCTGGGGAATTAGCTAGCCATTTGCTAAAGACTTGGTATGTGGCTTTAGCAGCTCGCTATGCACAGTCTTAATTGCTGTTAAAGAGAAGCTATTAGCATTGTACCTCATTGTTTGTTGTTAATGGTGTTTGCTTAGTACATGCCATCAAGAAGGGAACGGTACCTTAAGGGGAAGACGCCTTCATGTATGTCCAATGATCCCACTTTTTCAGTCCAGTTCCAGCTGATGGCTGTACACCTACGCTCTCTGGTTATCTTTGGGGTTTCTGTCTGTTAGTAAAAGGTTTCTCAACACCACTAGTGCACAAGATGTCGCTAGGAAAGATGTCTTTCTGCATCTCTCTCTATCTCACTTTTTTTTTCTACGGATGCAGCAGATTATATCCAATATTGCTGCATGATATACCGAAATATCGGTGCTTGAGCTGCACTTTTTTTTCTTGAAGTACAGTAATAAAAGTTCTTGACTCACACAGATCAGACAGTTTAATGTGGCTGTGATGTAAATGACTGAGAAAGCAGCATTCTGTGGACAGAGAGGATGAAAGACTATTACCTAGATCTCCGATAAAGAAGGCATGCCAAACAGTCAGCGCTCAGGAAAAGAAGCACCTGTCCGTCTTTAATGTCTAATCAGCTCCAGCCTCTGCTTCCACTGAGGCCTCTGTCTGAACACGTCCACTATCACTGACAACTGCGAGTCATCTTACTAAATAATCACCCGGTGTTGCCGGACAAAACTGGCTATCACAATCTCATGTGCGGCTACTTGGCCTACAAAACATGGCCGTTCAGCAAGAAGGTTGTTGGTAAGTTGTTTATTAATAATACACATGATGATCATAGTAGTACAGAAGGCTGCCTCATTGTACCCTTAAGCTAAAGTTCTTTAGAGGTCTTATCACAGTGAATAATGAGCTAAAAAAAGCATCAGGCTACTAGCTAGTATTACTTGCTACATCTTCTAACGTGGGTATGTAGCTTTGGAGAACACAGCCAGACACATCCATCTGATCTATCAACATCTGATTACTGATGTGCTAAACTTGGTATTAGTACCTCGGTCAAAAGTTTGTTTTGTTCTGTTTCTGCTCAGAGTTGGTGCCTTCTAAAAGTTTTTGCGCTGCTATCAAATACTTGCTTGTTTGGTCGTTGTGGTGGATAGCTGTCCACTACTATGTCTATTCCTTTTTGAGTTTTCTGCCTTTAAAACCAACTTTTCCTCCAACTGTTGCCAAATACTTATTGTTCGGTAAACATCTTTGGGGAAATAGCTTTGGGTCTCTCCCTGTCTTGTAATCTTCGCCCAGCTACGATGTACAATTGTCCCCTGATGAGTCTAGTCCTGCTTGAGGTTTCTTCCTGTTTAAAAGAAGCTTTTTTTCCCCATTTGTTTTTGTTACTTTTGCGAAAAGCTCTCTTGTTGGGTCAATACATGTTAGGTGTCTGTAAATAATGTTACAAAGAGTACTGTCTAGACTTGCTCTTTATGTTGAGAGTCATGTCATATCGCTTGTTGAGATTGTTTTTTCTGCAAACATGTCTGAGGTGGTTATGGACAGGATGTGATCCTATACTTTGAGGGTTGAATCCTGTCTGGAAAAAACATTTTAGCTGATCCCATGAGGGCCAATGCGTCAGCGGCTCTATTGAAATAAATGAATTATAGATGCACAGATACCTCTGCTCTGCTTGTATGTTTAGGCAAGAGATGTATAGGATTTCAGGCAGTAATGTCTCTACAACCACATGTTTCAACAGTAAAATATTGTGGTATAAAGGACATTTTAAACTTAAATTAGCATCAAATATAATCCCACATGGTTTCCCTCTTTCTATCTTTTATTTTCTTAAACCCTGTATTCCAGTTTAGCCTCCTTTACTTTATATCTGACTACTTCTACCCTGTCTTCCAGTCCATCCTGGCACTGATCCCTACACCCTGCAGCCTGTCTGGTCTAGCCAGGCACTGGTCCCAAATCTGTTAAAATGTATATTGGCGCCAAAACACTCCTCACTTCAACGGTAGAAATCAAAGAGAGACTACACTGCTATCTGTTCGTTCTAACACAGCACTTTAAACAGCACTCTTAATTTTATGTCAAATATTTAAAGTACCAGAGCAGTGTTTTATGAGTTGGCACAGCGTCTGCAATGGGAAATTTACAGAGGAATTACAGCAAACTAAGCCCTCCTAATGTGCCTCTTTGAACCAAACACTCCTCGGTTGTTGGGCTTGAGTCGGTTAGCCAGTTCTTGTGTTTTTAGCTCCAGGCTGCACATCCATCTGCTAGCTGCAGCTCTATTACAGGTGCCATGGCTCCAAGGCTGTAATTTAGTGGTTAGGGATACTGCAGATAATGGTTTGTCAAGATTACAGTGGATTTCTTTTGTCCTGGTGCTAGCTCAAGGTTCAGTGGTAACGTCTCTAGTCTGGCAGCGAGAGAGAGAGAGAGAGAGAGAGTAAAGCAGGCAGACAGATCGACAGCTGTGATTGGAATCCCATACTCCGAGCCGCAGGAGTCATCTGAGTAAGACTAGACCTGCAGTTTCAACCCAGACTGACCACATTTATTGTTCACCCACCCGGCTGACATTCCAGGAATAAGCAGAGGTGGATCTTTCATCCATCTCCCACACAAGGCCACGGAGAGGACACAGAGAGTTCTGAGTGTTGGTGAGCACACACACACTCACACACACTCACAAGCAATTACACACAGACTATTATTCATTGGAACATCTGGATGCTTTGCGGTCTTCAGATTGAAAGATTATTAGTCAAAGACGAGACTCTAAATGTAAAAGAATTGGTGCCAACATAATTTCAGCATGACTGTATTACACTCACTCACCCTGGTCTTCATTCATATTTCCCCCCTCCAAGCCAAACCAACATACTCTGTTTTGGTTTGGGCCCCGAGAAGTCCTTTGCCCACCTACTCTCAGCCACAACAAAGATTTAAGAGCAGCCAGCACTTACCTAGATGGTCTCCATGGAAACTGTTGTCATGGGATGTTCTGCCATGTGGCATGAGGTCATGGTGGGCAGCAGGTGGCCAGATTTGTCCAGTCTTGCGAACACTCACAATAGTGGCCTCAGACATGACCACGTGGCCGCCCTGCTGTCGGTGGTGACGCTTCTGGGACTGTGGCGTAGGAGGGCTGCTGCTGTCGAACGAGTGCTGAGAGTTCTGGGAGTTTTGGGATGGCGAGCGACTCTTCTCCCTAAAAGGCCGTCTGAAAGCAGTGGTGGGACTGGGGGACACATGGCTGGACTGCCCTGAGGAGAAGTCCTCCTCGCTGGATGTCAGGTTCTCATTGGAGCTGCAGTCTGGCGTGTAACCGCCACCTCCGCCGACATCCTCAAAGCTGCCTGGGGAGTAGGAACGGCGTGGCCATGTCAAGAGGTGGTCATCACCTCCCCCAATGTCTCTCATTGTGACACCACTACCACCTACACCACCACTACCTCTCCCATCTCCTCCACCACCTTCGCCCATCATCACGCCACCGACATAGACACTGGAGTACGCCTGGAACTCAGAGGGCTGCCAAGGAGGAGGGGGAGGTTTGCCGCCATTCGCCCTCCCTGAATGCCGTTGGTTTGGTTCTCCATCTTCATATTCTGCGTCATAGCCGCAGGTGCTCTCTGTAGATCGACCTCTGTACACTGGTCTGGCACGGAGCTCTCCTGCTACCGTTGCTAGGTTACCTGGAAGAGAGTGAAGGGATCTTTTTCGCTCCATCTGCATGGCCTGACTGCCCAGAGAGCTGATCTTATCCGAGACCTCACGGTCGTTGACCCTGACCAGACCCCTCTCATGATGAAACTCCATGTTGGTATAGAACGGTGGTGGTGGCGGAGGCAGCTTCTCCTGGCCCTTTGCTACATCACCTGCAGAATGAGAGTTGGCCCGCTTGATCCTCTCAAAGTTGGACCTAAGAGCTGCCACACCAAGTCCCATCCCCAGCTTGTCCTTGGGATCAGAAGGCAGATCCTTGTCTGGGGGTGGAAGGTTGGGCCTGCGTGGGGACACAGTGATACCACTTCTCTGCTTGGATGGCGAGAGGCCGTCAAGGTTGTCACAAGAGGTCGACTCAGCCTGCTGGGGTACCTCAAAAGCTGACTCCAGGCCATCTCCATGGGAGGCTGACTTCCTGGCAGGTGGAGGTCTGGGTTTGGACCTGCCAGCTCCATCCCCAAGAGGCTGATACCTGCTCCTGTCCCCGGGAGCCCCACTTCCTGCACCATACCCTCCACCTCCGACTACCACACCAACTACCCCAGTCTCTTGCATGTGAGGCTGCTGAGATTGGCACTCTGCTCCTTGTGAGGCTGCGGGATCTACCCCCTCATTCAGCGGGGTCTTTCTGAACCCCCAACGCTGCTTGTCGTAGCTCTTCCTCTCTTTGGCCAGGAGGGTCTGTAGGTAGATCATGCGAAAGCGCTCCTTGTTCACCTCCTGCTCCAGGCGCCTGATGGACGCTTTGCACTTTTCCAGCTCCTGCTCAATTCCTCCTACTGATCGCAGCTCCATCTTGGGGGGCTCAGACTCTGGGAATTGCGCTTTCCACGCCTCAATGAAGCCAACCGGCTCCACCATGTTGTGCCTGATTTATTTGTGTGACAGACCCTGGTTCAGACAGGCTGGGTGAATGATGATGATGCCAAGGGGGTCTTTTTAAGTCCTATTCACCAGATAATCCTCAAGGACAGCAATAGCCACTTTTAACTAGAGAGCTGGGCTATGCTTACAACAGTTCTGCAGGTAGAAACACACCGTCTAATTGCTGACACTTGTCGTGGGCTGCACAGACGCAACAATACATCCCATTCTGAACAAGAAAACCCTGCTGTTCAGTCAAAGGGAATGTGAGAGGCATAAAGAGGAATAAAAAGCTGTGACAAAGCCCGTTTTTCTCGTGCATTATTCCCAAAAAGGCCACTTTCAGCCGTGGACTGTTTCTCTTTTTGTAATCTCAGCCTCAACACAATGACAGCATCTGTCCTGGCGGGATGACACTGGCTCCAGGGATAGAGAGAGAGAAAAAAAAGGAAAGTGTTTTAATCCTGCAGCTCACTCTTTCTCTTTACCGTCTTGAATCTGTTCACTCTCACCCATTCATACGGCTGTAATCCCAGGTGGTGCTGCTGCTGCTGCTCCGGACTGATCGCCTTTGTACCAGCAGCGCTCAAGGAGAATGGATAAAAAGCGCAAAATACGAGCGACGACCACATCTGAGTTTCTCTCGAGGGCGCGATCAAGCTGCGATGATCCGGTGTGAGGAAACAAACCGTCTCGTTATCCCATTTTTATTCCACGGCTTGAACGAAGTAGTGTAATGTTTTTGCTGCTCTTTTCCCCCCTCGGTTTATCCCGTTTCTTTGGCCGTGATGGTGCTGCTGTGTGTGCTCCCATCTCAGGCCAGCAACACTGGAGGGGCTGTGAGAATGGGAGGGACCAGAGTGACAGTGAGCCTGCTGGTTAAAGAGACAGAGATGTGGTAGGCTGCTTTTGTAACCTTACAGTTTTGCTCTATAGGTATGAATGTAGTTACAAAACGGAGCTGAAAAGAAGCAGTTTAAGGGTTTCCATCCTGGTATATTTGTCTTTGTCTATTAATGGTCTCGACGCACTTGAGAGGAGCTACCCATAGATACATCCTACAATGTAAACACACTTGAGAGAGCAACCAGAACTGTCTCCACTTCCACTGCCGTTTCCTGGAATATTTATCAAAGTATAATTTAAGATTATTCCAGTATTATATTCCCTCTTGGTTCGTTTAAAAGCTGTACCTGTCAGGCAGGTGTTACAGAACATGTGGGAGTGCTGCTGGTATTGTTAGTAGAACGCTGCCACCTGGTGGTCAAGTGTGGTAATGTTTATAGCGTGCTGATTGCTCATTTTTAAAGACTATTTTTTACAGTCCCAATTCTTAAAAAGTTGGGACCCTTTAATTTAAGCCCTGTATCAGAATCAAAATCTCTTTGTTGTCCCGTAAAGAGAAATTAGTTTTGCAGCAGGGCTCACAAAAGACAAGTACACAATGACAACATAAATTTAAAAAACAGAACAATTAAAAACAACACAATAACACAATACAACATGAGCAGCCTGAGGGTCAACTGCTATTCAATAAACAAATTGCACTGGGGATAAAAGAGACCTGAAATCTTTTAGTCCTCCTCATAGGGGCCCTAAAACGACGGCCTAAGTGGGTGATTGGGACGACCCAGAATGGCATTAGCCTTCCTCAAGACCCGTCTGTTGTAGAGAGACAGAACCGCAGCCTGCTGATTTCCAGAGATCTTACAAGCAGTTTTAACAAGAGAACCAAGACGATTCTTATTGGACAGGTTCAGATTTCCAAACCATGCCACAATATAAGATAAAACAGATTCAATAAAACTTCTGTTAAAGAGAGTCATCATCTTATTAGAAACATGGAATGTTCTCATTTTCCTCAGAAATAACAGTCTCTGTTGGACCGTTTTTGAAGCAACATCAACATGTGGTTCAAAGCACAGTTTGTTATCAAGGACCACACACAGATACTTGTAGCTGTCCACCATCGCAACATCAGCACCATTGATGACGGGTGGTGGAGGAAAAGAGGGAGACTTCCTAAAATCAATAACCATGTCTTTTGTTTTTTAAAAACATTCAATTTAAGAGAAGATGTTGCTGATGGACAGTTTTCATTTTCAATTTAAATTACATCGTAATTTGTCAGATACATCTTCACAGCATGCAAACATTTTTGGAATTGGGGTTTTAAGCTCCAAGTGTCATATTGGACTCATGTTTGTCATGTGTTCTAGATTTATTCGGTTTAAGTGTGGAAGCAGCAGCGCAAATAATGCAAAGAGACAAACTCCAAATACTATATTGTTTATTTACCTGAAACCACAACCTCAGTAATGCATGTACAATCATTATTACTTATCAATAATGATCGACTTTTTACATATGGTTAATATTGTTCTTCGACCATGTGTTGCTGAGGAGACAGCACACACCCCCTTACATTGGATCACAGTTTTACAGCAGTTGTTGAAGATACATAATAATATTAATAATGCAAAGATAAGAAACAGGAGAACATTGTTGTATTGCAGGATTACCATTGAATCAAAGTGTAAGTCCATTGTCCTCATTGCAAAGGATTAATTATTCATAAAGTAAATGCTTAAGTGACCAAAATTAAAGTTTAAAAAAAAATTATCTCAAGTAGAGCACAGTCAAGTTCAGCTCGAGTCATTTCTCTATGTCGTTTATTGTGCAAATTACCCAAACCGTTACCTTAAAAACAGTGATTTCTTAGCATCTTTGATAAATCCATCTTAAAACCATCTTAATATGTCATTTGAGTATAATACATTAGAATCTATAAATACAAATTGCAAAGCCTACATACAGCTGGAACGCATGCATGAATGTTTTTGTACACTGATGTACAGCTAAGACCATTCAACCTCGTGTTTCTAAGATTCTCTACGTGACAAAGCTACCATGGAGGTCGGAAACGAGTTCTTCATGCAAGGAGGGACGTCGAGGGTGTTAAGAACTTCCCTGCACACAAACTGGAATATTATGTTGATAGAGCATCTGCACACAGAGGTATGAGTGTGTTAGGAAATATGTGTGTGGTTCGTGGTTTGTATTGTGGTGCAAAGATGTTCGCACCTTTACGATTTGGTCTCGTTACTGTGAAAGCTCGTCCTCTCTTTGTCTGTGCAATGATATACACACACAATGCTGGTCATGTTGTCTGAGGTGTGGGAAGTTCAGAGTGAGCAAACATGCTGGATAGTGGATAGGTCCAGCCTCTGAGCACACTGTCGTTATGCAGAAGCTTTTACGAGAGCCAACCTAAAGGGAGAGAGAAAAAAAAAGTGTTATAAACCAATGAGAATTTTCAGACTAACTCATGTTAAAACTGTATTTCAACCATCTTCATTTGTAGATACTGGCTTTGTGAATGTAAGCAAGTGTGGGAGAGGTGAAAGGAACAGCACACAGTGGCATTCACACTAGTGGCTTGTGCTCAAAATAGGTTCCCTAAGATAATCTTCATCGCTGAACCTGCAAGCCAGAACTCCTCAAATAGTTATATTTCATACAAGTTACCAGGAGATTTTTTCACTGCATGTGTGCACAAATATTTAATGCACAAAAGTTTATAGTTTTTCCTGCTTTTCTTAACACCTGTCGTATATGTGTTTGTGGTTGAATGCATGCAGTCATGGAGCAGATTTGAAAAAATCGTCACTTAAATCTCTTATTAGGAATTATGTCTCTTCTGTTGTCTTGTTCGATCGCTCACCACTGTAGTGACTTGCATGTGGAATGAAAAAAAGCAAATGAATACTCACTCTAGTGACAGGGGAGCCAGTGGAGGCATTGAGGAAGAAAAGCACACAGTTGTTAAGTGGAACACATACACACAGTGCCAACAAACCAGGCTTCCACCCCAAACACATGCTGAAGATGATTTTTTCCTACTGAACGTGGAAGTTTTCTGCTAAAAAAAACAATGCTTAGGTGGTCAGGAATTAGTGCCATTGACAATATGGGCTCTCTTTTCAATGTTTGTACATCACAAACCAAGACCTCAAAATATTCAAGCCTAGAAAAGTCAAAGATCAAGATCTGTGTGGTGAATTTCTCCTGCCTGTCATGTTGTGCCAAAAAAACTGGAGCATTCATGAGTGAAATGATCTGTATTCAAGTATTAAATACACATACAAATAACACTGGATATGAAAATGTCAACCTCGATGATTTTAATAAATAAAGACAGAAAACACTTTGATTCAAAGGGTTTATGAGTGTATTTTCCTTGGAGTAAAAAAACAACATTTTGGGATTTGCAGTCCAAGTTCATTTGGAGTACGTTCTGAATTAGTATTTTCTTATCATTTTTAATATTACTATCCTTTGAATCAAACGCCCCAGAGACGTAAACCACAAAAGTCATTCCAAGTTAGTTCAGTCTCCAAAGCAAACAAATAAAGTTAAGAATGTCAAAAATCAATACAAACAAAGTATATCCTTAAAAATGGTAGAGGAGGAGGGCGGGGCAAATTTTGTTCTTGGTTTTCTGCACAAGCAAATAGGGGGCACACCTCAGATGTTACACTTCAGCAAGACCATTCTGGAAAAGCATCTAGAGATGAGCAAAAAATAATATCTTTTTTTTTATCATATTGAGGTAGCTGTGCTCTGCCCAGTGCAGAAAAACTGGCTTCTCTTCAAAACATTTGAGTAAAAAAAAAAGAAAACATCCATTAAGTTAATTTGTACTCTAACACGGGGGGGAAAACACCATTAAATTAGAATGAGAAACCACACAGAATTCATGCTTGGTCACAGGACATGCGGCTTATGTTTCGTTTTGCAGGGATTTTTTTTTCTTTTTGTTTAAGGAGAGCATTCGAACGGTCACTCCCAAACCTGTCCCCGTCCTTGTCCACCACACGGAGTCTGTCCTCTCTGTAAGAGTTCTGAGTGTATACTGAAGACACAATGGTAAACATCAGAAAAGAAATCAAGGCGGAATGTTTAAGCCACGCTGGTCCAAAAAAAAATGTACAAATCCATAAAAAATTGCATGGAATTCAATCACTGTACAGCAAAATTAATGTCAAGGTATCTAAATTTTCTGGTCATGAGTTAAACAAAACAAGTTGATGTCACTGTAGTGATATGAGACAAGTGATATCCTCAAAATCATTAAAATTAGAAACCTTAAAGGCAGTAAGGACATTAAAAAAAGTCAGAATAACTCTTTGAAACCAGCGATGAAGTCCACAGCTACAGGAGTGACGGTCTTCTAACACTCACATTAAAGCCTTAATCTTAAATCCTGTCCCAGCTTCAAACCAGCTGACTTCTAAATGTTAACTTCTTATATTATTTGTTATGTCTTATGTGTTAAAGTTGGTCCTTCTCATACACACACGATACGCATCCGTAACTACACGCTAACTCTACAAACGCCCACACACACTAGCTATGCACATGTAGAAAGGCAGAGAGGGAGGAGGGAGAGGGAGGAGGGAAGTGATGGTGGTGGGTGGATGGGTGGAGGTGGGGGTGGGGGTGGGGGGATGGAAAGAGTCAAGGTTGTGCTCAAGTCAGTCAGGACCAGAACATGTCGGCCATGTTAGTGTCGGAGCTGTAGATCCAGAGGACCAGGGGGAGGGAGACGGCCACGAAGGGCCAGGAGATGCCCTCCATGCATGCAGACAGGCAGCAGCCTTTGGAGCTGGCGGGCTTCTCCAGCTCTTTACCCGGCTCCAGGTAGTTCCTGGCTGCAAACTTGAGGAACTCATCCAGGAGGATGACAGGCAGGGAGATCTTTAGCACCATCAGCCACTGGGTCAGGTTCAGAGGGGTGATCTGGAAGATGATCTACACAGAGGCACACAGAACACAAGTCATTGATGGTTAAAAATAATATGAGTAAATATGAGCGATAGCAGATTTTTACTACATAATCAACACAGCAAAAAAAAAAAAAAAATCACAGCAACATTTTTATCCAGATATTTATGGAGAATCTAGAAACTACAGAAGCATTCAGCCAAATCGGGGAAAAGCAGGAAGAGGGAGGAGCAGCACTGCCTTTAAAGATTGACCAAGAAACACCACAAACTGACCCAATGTCATCATCCATTTATAGTGCTGTTTAAAGTTGTGTTATTCATGTCCCCAGCCCTCTTGAACAAACATTCAACATTTTCTTCTCTGTGAGATTATGTATGATATGGTTCCCACAAACACTTGGAGGTTCCCAAAATGTCAAATATACAATTTTTGGTATATTTTAAGTACACATTTTTTATCTAGTATCTCCTCAAACATGCTTTTATTTTGAAAAAAATATACAACTAAATGAAACAGTACTCCCGGAACATTGTGAGTGATGACACTGACTGAAAACAGCTGAAAAGAACAGAGAAAATCTGGAAATGATAAATGTATTAGCATCCTAAAGAGGCATCCACTGTTTCTGGATTAAATTATATTTACTGATGATAGTTTTCTGCCAAAGCTAGCTGGTGAGCAGGTCTTTTCTTATGGCAGCTGGCAACCAGTGTGAAAAACCAACATCCTCTCCTACCATGACCAAATTTGTTCTTCCATATGCTTTCTTTTCGTACAATGTCATACTGCCAGCAGTATACTGCGAGAGCTCTGCATGACAACACGGAGAAGTGTCATATTTTATGTGCTAGAACAAACAAATGTTTCTCACAGGCAGAGGTTCCACATAGAGGATGAGGAAGTGAAGGGACATGGAGAGGCAGATGGCTCCCAGCAGCCAAACGTTCTCCCAAGGAGGCATCCTCAGCAGGGACTGGTTCTCTGACACGCTGAGCAACAAGAGACAAATCGAACTGTTTGTTAAACACTCACTCACTCAGTTGAGAAAGAATACCTAAACATATGAAATGTGTTTATCAACCCACGCAGAGCACAGGATTTTGTAGATCAAAACAAACAGACGACAACAGGGTGTTGAAATACAGACTTTTAAGAGATGAAAAAGGCCTCAAGTTTACAAGAACAGCATAAAATGTGAAGTGCATAGTTGATCATAAACGGCAAGATCTGTTAAAACTGACGATAACTGACATGTTGGACCTGAATACTGACTGGTTATGATTGCTAAGAGGATGCCTCAACTTACCTGTTCAGGGCATTGCACATCTCAATGGTGACAAGCACAGATAAGGCCATGGTCATTGGGTAAGGAGACTCAAAAATCTTACAGTCTAGGTCCGTGAAATCTTCATTCTCAGGACCACACTGCAGGAAATGACTCTGCAACAAGTTGTGTAGAACAATAATCCATTAAAGCCGGTGGTTTATAATGGTTAGTTTATACTGGTGATAGAGAAGACAGCAGTTATCATGTTGGAGTTCATACCAGCTGGTAAAAGGTGATCCTTGGACCATCCTCAGCTGCAACAAACCACCAGGCAGCAGCACCAACAGTGGCAGCACCAACATAACCTGATGAACACGCAAGAAAAGATACGACCTGTTTGAGCAATAACCCCAAATCCAAAACAAACAACAAAGGGAAACATCTCACAACTCCTTCGGTTAATTTGGAAAGGGTTTGTAGCATGACTGGGTATAAAAAGGGAATTCCTGAGAGGCTGAGTCTCTCAGAACTGAAGATGAGAAAAGGTTCATCACTCTGTGAGACGCTGCATGAGAAAACCACTTCACAATGTTAGAAAAAGGCAAAGAAGAAGGAGACTAACTATTTGTAAAGACAGAGAGAATCCAGAGAAATCTACACACAAAAACGACAAGGCTGAAAAATGATTCATGATGGTCATAATCTTCAGGCAGCACTGCTTTAAAAACGGACATGATTCTGTAGTGGAACTCACCACTACTGTCCCACACAAAGATGAAAACATATACATGATCCAGAACCACTATCAGCTGTCATTTTTTCTTTCCCCAAAAATGTTTTTTCTGGTGGGAATTCACTTGGCTGACAAACTATGTGACACACTATTGATGAAGCTGTGCAGCAGTATGACTGCCTGATTTAGACCATTCAAAGCTTCCACTAACATGTTTGTATGAACAACAACAGGAACAGAGGACTATATGAAGGGTACCTATGCCATAAACAACAAAATAACACAGGCGTGTTACATGCAGCAGCCACTTACAACCAATGGCCAGGTATCTGAAAAACAGCCATCCCGAGATGAGGGGCTCGCGGGCATTACGGGGCGGCTTGCTCATGATGTCCAAGTCAGGTGGGTTGAAGCCTAAAGCTGTGGCAGGCAGGCCATCGGTCACCAGGTTGACCCAGAGCAGCTGAACAGGGATAAGGGCTTCAGGGAACCCAAGAGCAGCAGTCAGGAAGATGCTGCAGGCAAGGAAAATAAAAAGGTGAATCCTGTGGGTTTGCTTTAGAGGACTTTGGTTGTACCGCAGTGGTTTGTGTTTGGGTGGGGGACAGTCTTACCAGACGACTTCGCCCACGTTTGAGGAGATGAGGTATCTGATGAACTGTTTCATGTTGTTATAGATGGCCCGGCCTTCCTCGACCGCAGCTACGATGGTGGAAAAGTTGTCATCAGCCAGCACCATTTCAGACGCTGTCTTGGCAACAGCTGTGCCTGAGCCCATGGCGATACCGATTTCAGCTTTCTTTAGCGCAGGGGCATCATTCACTCCGTCACCAGTCTGAGGGAGAAATTAGATTTTTGTTTATCTTTTGCTTCAATGACATTAACTTGAGGTTATCTAATTCTCTTCTGAGTCCTTTAAATATATATTTTTTTATTATTCTAGAGGAAACTGCACTTAGTAGAGGATCCTTCAAAAGAGAAAAATACAACAGATGGTGGTTAGAATTAGTCAGATTTGTCTTACCATAGCTGTGATCTCATCGTAGGACTGCAGATACTCCACAATCTTGGATTTATGTGAAGGCTCGACTCGGGCAAAGCAGCGGGCTTTGACAACAGCTTCTCTCTGAGCAGCAGGTGACAGATCATCAAACTCCCGGCCAGTGAACGCCATGCTGGAGACATCATCTTCCTCTCCAAAAATCCCAATGCGCCTGCATATGGCCACTGCTGTACCTGAGATACAAAGGAGAACATGTTTATTTCTCTGTGTTTAATTCAGGTAAGTTTGCATGTTGGTAGAGCATTTTTTAGCCAGTCAAAATGTTCTCTCCAAGAAGACGTAAATTTGTCTCCATACCTTTGTTGTCTCCAGTGATCATAATCACCCGGATGCCTGCAAGTCGGCAGAGTCTGATAGAGGCTGCCACCTCAGCTCTGGGAGGATCCAACATGCCGACACAGCCGACAAATGTCAGATCAGTCTGTGTGATGATGGAAAAAAGAAGCAACATTCAGGTGATTGAACTTATTATCTGACCATATAGCCGAAATCAAAGGTGAGACAGAGTGATATAAGGATTCAGTGACCACATCAATCCCACCTCATATTCAACGAAGCGGGTGGAGTCCTCTAACACGAGGTCGTCCTTGTTCATGGCGCTGTCTCTGGTGGCTAGAGCTAGGCAGCGCAGAGTGTCCCTGCCAGTTCCATATTCCCTGATCACAGACATGAGTTTTTCTTTGATGCCAGCCGTCAAGGGCACCTTGGCACTGCCTACACGGATGTGTGTGCACCTGTCAATCACTCCCTCGGGGGCACCCTGTGGACGGGCACAGACAGGAGGGTGAGGATCCAAAAGAACAGAAAAAAAAAAGCATCCAAGAGACATTTTGATGAGTACAACATTGGATTATATCACATTTTGGGGAAATGTGTGTACCATGACTCACTTGAGCATCATTTCTGTAATATATCAAGTTAAAAAACATTTTATTTTGATCTAAAATCTGCTCACAATACAAAGAAATTATCATTATTTGTTTGTGCTCCAGAAGTTCTCATAATCACTGCAGTGTTTAAAGGGTCCATTTGTCCTTTACCTTCACAAACATCTTGCCAACTGAGGAGCGAGCTTTGTTAGGAGTGCAATACACAGACATGGACTTCCTGTCCCTGGAAAATTCCAGTGTAAACTCTTTCTTCATCAGCTGTTTGATCACCTACAAAGAAGACCAAACCAGTGTGTTAGTATTCTACATAAGGTCTCAGTGGACATGGTTGTGTTGCAGGAAAATAACTTCAGTGTTACATACTGAGTTACAGGCGTTGGCTCTCTCGATCTTGGACAGGCCTTTGACATCTGTGTCAAACACATTCATCTTCTCCACCAGGCATGTGAGAGCAGTCTCTGTGGCCTCTCCCACCTTCTCATAGACACCTTTAGCCTGGACACACACGCACAGAGATGACGAACAATCAGAGAAAAGGGGGCAGGCAAAAGAATTATGAGCCAGTCTACATGCAAATACATTCACTACCAACCTCATTATAGTCCAACGAGGAGTCATTACAGAGAGCACAGATAGAGGCCAGCTCCACCAGGGCATCATACTGGGAACACTTGACCGGTTTGCTATCACTGAAACTGAGCGGCACAAAGAAAGAAGCAAGAGGTCAGCCACAAGAGGGCGCAAGACTCAGAGCGTATGGATGAAAGAGAAGTAGACTAACTGTTTAGTTTCACCTGGACTCAGAACAACGAAAAGCACTGACTTTTGTCATAGACATACTTTTATACCATGATACTCCAGCACAGGAGTCTAAATACTCACACTTCTCCATCCGGAGCGTAAGTGGAGCCAGAGACGGAGAATTCCTTTAATGAACAGTGCTCCCCCTCTGCCCGATCAACGATGAACATCTGAAAACAAAAACATTGACATGCACACTGTTAATGACCTGATGACTAAAGACTTAAAAATTCATTTTTGCACATTTTAAAAGTTGTCCTTTTCTACATATTATGGACAACAACACAGGCTGTATTTGCAAGATGTATCCAGCAGGTGGCAGGAGACTCCCAACTACATCATCAGTGTATCTGAAAACAGAGTGTAAGAGTAATAAAAATGCTGAGCCAAAGCAGACGCTGAAAACTCGGGTAGGGAGGACCAATAAATGTCATCTTGCAGCAACACAGACACAGAATTCCCATGTGAGTAGTCACGCTACATCAGTACACAGTATCTAAATAAATCGATATAAGGCAGAAATAACTTGACTTGGAGTAGCTAAACCTTTGGGTAAGGAGAGTTGTGCGATGTGGAACTGATTGAGGACTTAATAAATTAATTGTAAGTGGGAGCAGTGCAGTGGCCTGTGTTTCTGAATCATCAAGAAACCACCTTGAAAAGCATCGCCTTTGACCAAAGTCAAAAGAGGGAGGGACAGAGACACGGAGGGGACAAAAATAGAAATATGTGAATGAAATGATGAGCCAGCGTTAATGGCTTCACATCCCACAGGCACTCTCAAGACCACAACGAGAGGTGCAGTCAGTCAGCGGGGGAAAAAGGACTTCAAATGAAAAGACCGTTTCTTAATGCTGTACATTTGAGATGTTTGGGTGCTGCTGATGCTTCAGGCCAAAGCTCCTCTGTCTGTGTTTGTCGAACAGCCAAAAAAAAAAAAAAACAGAATGGTTTTCAAAATGAGGCCAAAATTACTGGGTGTACATTTGATTTGAAATTTATGCTCGAAATGTGAGAGAAGAAGAACAAAAACACAAGAGGGAGGGAATCTTTCGATACAAGGTCAGTTATGCAACTCTACTGCTGGTACTGCTGCAAGTGACTAACTACTGCATACTGATCAGCATGCTGCCTGAACCGGAGGGGGGGGTGGGGAGAGGAGGCAGGGGGGCATCAGGATAAAGGGTAGAGGCAGAGCGCCGTGAAAGATGGAGGGATGGAGCAGAAGAGGGCAAACTTGATGTCATGTGTGAACGGTCTTATGTGAACGAATAATATTAAAAACAGGAAGTACGTATATGTATATAATCAAGTTATTTATGATTGTAAGGGCAAGGAATTTAATCTTAAGACAGCACATACTTTGAATCTTATTTTGTCTAAATTAAATCCCTCATTATCTAGTATTAGCCATTCAGTGTCAGCAGAGCTTAGTGTCAACAAATCTCCAGTGTCAGCAAGCGGCTGTCAGGGCTGCTTTATTGCTCTGTGAGAAGTTTATGCTTGATAGTTCTTCGATGTCAGAAGGGATTCAGCCCCTGCTCTTTCCATATATGGCAACAGTTATTTTTAGACTTTTCTCACATTTTTCTTCCTCTTTGAAAATGACCGGCTGCCTCCACTGCAGACTCTGTCACCACTTACTGGGCTGTCTATTTTGCTCTAGGAAAGATGTCAAGAGCCGTGGTCCCTCCATCATGGGCACAGTGTCCTGTTCAGATTCACTGGACTTTAATAACATATCTAATGACAAACCAAATAATACAGTTAAAGATGAGTGACTTTCAGGGGGAGCTGGATGATTGCTAGCTTCAATTTTAAAAGCCCAATGTCCTCTGTTTAAAATTTATGATGTGCCACTTGAGTCTGTTGTAATGAAATATTACTCTTGCCCAATGTACAATTAACTTTGAATCATAACATTCAGTGGTTACGTCTTTTCACTGAGTGCCCTTGGTCATACAGTACTGGAAGGAATTTCAGCTAGTGTCCCTTTAAGTGGACTAATACGAGCACTGGGGTCAAGTGACCTGAGGAGTCGATACACCATTTACTTGAGTCAAAGATCCTTGGTCTAAAACAGACGTATAACCAAGGATTTCTGTCTAAAAATGTCATCTCACACACACACACACACACACACACACACACACACACACAATTTGCTTTGCTCCTATGTCATGTCAACCCATCAATACTCTATCTAGGCACTCTCTCATGTTGACATACTGAAGGACAAAACAGCTACCCATATAGTTAAGCTGGTTTCTATGAACCCTGAGAAGCCGAGCAACAATGTCAACATTGTTTAAGCGCTGTAAACCAGCTGTTAAAGGTTAATGAGCCCACTTTACATGACAGCTGGGTATGGGAAGTGATGGATTGGGTACATTAGACTTAGAGGGCAAGACCTAGCAAAGTCAAAACAAAATGCATTAGAAAAAAAATTATATATTCTCTGTCTCTTTGTCAAGCAAATGTATGCTCTGACTTCATTTCTTAAATATTTAAATGATCTCATTATCAGAGAAGACATCTGACTGATTATCAAACAGACTAACAGATAAAGCTCAGAGGCAGCCCTTCTCTGAATCTAGAATACTGTTATGATTTTTTAACAAACTTATCTATGAAATACATGGTGATCAAAAAACAATCATCTTTGCATCTGTTGCCAGTAGTAGAGGTTTCTGACTTCCTCTCTCTCTTTGGTTCACTCGTCTCTTACCCTGCACACAGACATCTGATTGGTGGTCAGCGTGCCCGTCTTGTCAGAGCAGATGACAGACGTACAGCCGAGGGTCTCCACAGAGGGCAGACTGCGGACAATAGCGTTTTTCTTGGCCATGCGCCGCGTTCCTAAGGCCAGGCAAGTAGTGATGACAGCAGGGAGACCTGGAGGAAGACGGAAACACAAGAGAATAGAAAGAGATTAAGATGAGAAGGAGATGAGACGATGAAGAGGAGATGAGCAGTTACAGAGAGACTGTCATTCAATAGTATTTTATTTCATCAGGTAATGACAATACAACCATTTGAATCTACTGCATAAGGAATTAAAAACAGCCCATAAAGGAGAATATTTCAATCAACTCTGTGAGCAGTCTAATTTAAGCCCATGGTAATGAAACCTCTGCTTTACGTATGTGTAGTTCTTCCAGCTTACCCTCAGGGATTGCAGCAACTGCTAGAGCCACAGCAATCTTGAAGTAGTAGACAGCACCTCTGATCCAGGAGCCTCCATGGACGGGATCGTTAAAATGTCCAATATTAATGATCCACACAGCGATGCAGATCAGTGAAATCACCTGCAATTACATAAGAAGGGGTCACAACCTAATCGAAAAACCACATCAGCTGCAATCAATGAGATAATTAAGGTTGTTTTTTTTTTTCTAACAGAAGATTGTTAAGAGTGTCTGTAAATAAGAGGATTTAGCTTATTACCTTAGAAAGTTGCTGTCCAAACTCATCCAACTTCTGCTGCAGTGGTGTCCGCTCCTGCTCTGTTGATGCCATCTCATCTCGGATTTTGCCAATCTCTGTGTTTCCAGCTGTGGCCACCACCACCCCTACAGCCTTGCCGGCTGCGATGTTTGTGCCCTGTGGATGAAAGTCACCAGCAGAGATTAAATATATATTGCTCATTTCATTTCTTGGCACAAAGGGGTAAAACTAGTTCAGCAACTACTGTGAGACATCTATCACAAAGACAAGAGAGGATGTTCGACACACAACAAGTATTAACATGCAGCAAGAGTCAACACAGGACAGGAAGAGCAAATACAGGTGTCACGATCCTCCAAACCACTGGATCGTAAGAGATTTTAATCTAAAGTAAATAAATGTAAAATAACCAATATGACCCATTCTCAAGGACACTTTCAACAGCTACAAAATACATTCAGAAAATGAAGTATTTGATGCTGCATGTCAGCAGGAATATCAGCTAAATGTCCTTTTTTCAAAAAACATGTCAGATCACGTAAACAGCGAGAAGAAGGTCAATGAAAAAGGAGAATAATTGTCACAGGTAACTTCAGGGAAGCAGGACAGTTTTTCCTTTTGTGTTTGTTTTTTTTCCAAAAATTTTTCATGTTGATTTTCTGTTGTCTAAAACTACTAAAGACCATGCTGCTGTCTACAAAAGTGCCACTGAGGGACACTGGTAATGAGCTCATAGTGACACAAGACTTAAAATTTTGAACAGCCCTGAAAGCAAAGATAGGCGTCCGTTACTTTCCACTTCAACTATATAAAAAATTATTGGTTTGATTAGAACATTGATAGGAGGCGTAGGAGTAGGATGTTACCTCCAAGAGGACAATTTCAATTCAATTCAACTTTATTTATATGGCACAAGCAGAACACAGAAAAGACTTGATGATGGTGTTGGGTTTTACTCACGGAGAAGAGCATGTTTTTCTTGTCCTGGTTGACTGCCCGAGGGTCGGGCACAGGGTCAGTGTGTTTGATCACAGACACCGACTCTCCTGCACACAGATCAAACAAAAATATATAAGATTTACTTGACATACTTTGTTAACACCTGAGCTAACATGTATGTGTAGGTATGGCTTCATGGCTTACTTAGCAGGCACTGCCTTTAAAGCTATGTATTTGATGTACACCAGCTCTATATTCTCCCATGCATGTAATCAACTGTGCAACGTCTACCACAGGGAACATTAGGCAGGCTGTATAGCCATGAATGGGGAGGAAAGAGAGCAGGAAAAAAAGCTGAAACACCAAAATATCCCAGGGAATTTGCTACCAATTAAGGCAGCAGAGGCAGACAAGAGTCTTAAGGACTTAATTCAGACAGGCCCCTTTTCTCATTCATTTTACATTCCACTATTTACCCCCCCTAAATATATTTTCCACACACATCCACTTTTATCTTCCATTTACAGATTTGTCCATTCTAGTTTTCCTTTCCTCCCCTCCATCTTTCATGTCTTCTGTTTACGTTGATATTGACAGAATAGCCATGGCAACAGTGTAATCAAGCCATTTGTATTAAAAGGACGCACATGCAAAAGAAGAAATGGTTCGTTCTCATTCTGTGTCAGGGTTGACCAAAAGAGGGCTCTCCGTCTCACAAGGAAATGTATTTATGTCATATCCAGAATGTGAGAAATGTACATTGAATCATACAAGTGTAATAGTAAAATACAAGCTAGTACAATGAAAGCTTACACCGTGTTTGAAGTGTTTTTACCTGTAAGGATGGACTGGTCCACCCTCAGTGTGGTTGACTTGATAGAAGTCAGTCTGATGTCTGCAGGCACTTTATCACCAACTGTTGACAGAAACAACAAAACACAGGAGACACTTCAGTACCTCTTCACAGACACCTGTTCACGGATCAGAGTTTGAGTTTGACTCTTGTGCAATGAAAAGGAGATAAACGCTGAAGATCAATTTTGGTGTCTGTCATGAAAAAGGACATGTCTGAAATCAGAGCGTTTTCATGCGATGAGAAAACACTAAAAGATAAAGGCAATAAACACTCAGAGTTACCACACACGCAGATGCTAATGCTCGGAAATGCAATAAACTGTCGTATTATCTCAACTCATGCTCCATGAGGGTAGACAAATAATCAAATTCAAGTTATCTGCTGGGAGAGGCTGAGAGAAAGTCATACATAGTAAAGTTATCAATGCTGCACTCATTCCCCTCACAGGATACAAATAGATCCCTGCTCATTCTTTCCACTAACACGCGGCTTTAGTGATCCCAAGTAAAACAAATGTAAAATGTAAATACACACTGAGTCCAAGCAAGTGTTTCCTCTGCTGACAGCAGATAGTTACCATTAAAACTACGGACATTTATTAACTTTGCATATAAGAATACCAAACTATCTTAGTGAATTTACCATCAGGACAAATGAAGTATCCTGAATCTGACTTCCTTCTATCCTTTCATTTGAAGTTTAGGCTAAACACCAGGGAACGATGATCTACAGGCTGAATGGTTATAGAGGAGGATTGACTCTGACACTCTCAAACTCCTTTAAGTAAGCATTTGACCAACTGTAGATCCCACCATCCTGGAGCAAAGCTGTCATCCCCATTATACCAAAAGAAGATAAGGAGCATTTGTCACAAAGGTTAGATTCATCAGGTTTTGAAGAGGTTCGATACCTTTGTTGCTGGACTAACTGACACAGAAAGTAGGTTTAAACAAGACCGTCGAGCACAAGATAGTTTTAGACATTCTTTCCATGTAATACAAAGAGCATTAAAGAGTCAAAAACTAAAGCTGTATGAGCTCATTTAGATGCGGAGAAAGCATCTGTGTCAGTTGGGAGTGCTTGTTCTTGGTTTTTAAATGATTTGGCTTTGTAGCAAAATCAATTAACATTCTTAAAACCTTATACACATCCCCTACAGCAAGAACCAAGGTAAACGACCGTCACACCAACTGTATACAATTAAAAATATGAGCGTTTCAGAGGCGCCCCTTTCATGCGACAATCAACAGGGTATTATATTCAATGATCAAGAACACAAAGTAGCATCATATACAGATTTAATTCATATTAACAACCCAGAGACCTGCCTTCCTATCCTCTTTGCCCTTCTTGATATATTTGACACATATTCAGGTTACAAACTTAATAAACAAAAAACACTTATTTTGATATTTAATTTTAATCAATTGCCCCAACCCAACAGAGACTTCCTGATGACTGGTCCCAAGGAGATTTAATGACTTTAATTAAAACATTGTCCTCATGAATACTGATAAACAAAATATGAAAATTTCCCAGTAATTAGCCACCCTCTCTAGTCTAGGTGTGTGAATAACTATTCTGAAAATGTCTTGATTACCAAGACTACTTTATCTTTTAATGTCCTTACATTAATGTGCTGACTAGTCGATTTCATGAATGAGACAGGCAAATTTTACACTTTTGTTTGGATTGAGGGCAGTTCATTAACCATAAAGAAGGAGGAGGCTCTTGAAGGACTGTTATTACACAGCCCTGTTAAAAACTATATTTATGTGGAGTAACAATAAGCAAAATGGAAGGGGTTGGAAAGTAAAAAGCAAGGGGCACTCAAATTCAAGCAATGATAGGTGATCGCAAATAAGTAACGATTGATCAGGATGATCTTGATCCCTTTGTCTCTTTTTCGTTACATGTCTGAAGTTATCTCTCTGCTCCTTTTCATTCACATGTTTGAGATTTCTCCTTGTTTGTATTGAAGGTTTTATAAACTAACAGAATGAGATAAAGTATCAACAAAAAGTTATGAAACAATTACATCTCTGTCTGGACCCAGTTAAAACAAATAAGATGGGTGGCTTATGTTTTGATGTCTTGCTGCTGTTTGTTTTGTCATCTTTGTAGCTGTAATCATTCATTCATCGTCTCTGTTTCTATCCTACACTCTGTAGCTCTATTTTGAAAAGTGCTTTATAAAGTTATATGACTTTATAGAGAGTTTTAATGATATTGTAGAGTACAATGTAATGTTAAGACGGTGAATCACTGGTTTCAGCTTACAGTAAGATATCATCCAGCTTGAAAGGATGAAAGCAAAAGCATTACAGAGCAATGACCCAGAGGCTCTCAACAGATCTCTCTGCGGACAGTGGTGACAGACATGTAAACCAACTCTTGGGCCTCTGCGGTGCCCTTCTGAGTGGAGAGGAAGAGAGAGGGGGGTTGTTAGAGAGGAGAGAATGAGAAGAGGGATCAGATGAGTCCTGCAAAACACACGTCCAAAAATGGGAAAACTATTTTGATCAGTTGCAAAACTGGGGGAAGGGAACTGGTTTGGAGGGGAGGGGGGACTGATAGGAACTTCTGTTTTAAGTGAGGAAACCTGTTCTCCGTCATTTCAGTTTAAATAGAAACAGTGGGATGTTTCTTTGCTTACTGACTTTTCATTCATTCCCCAAAATCTGATATAACTAAGCCTCGAACACGGACACTAAGAGGAGGGATTTCTAGGAATTACAGGACCAGCAAAACGAACACATCACTGCATCGTTTCACAAACGATCCAAAGAACAGTTATCAGACTACTGTAAATACACTAACATGTGATAACCCTGAGTTCATGGTGAGTGATAATGCTTCCGTACCGGACCAGCTGCACTTCCAAATTTGGTCCTGTTTCTGACCAGATGCTGTCAGAACCTCTTCATCATCACCTGGCTTGCCTTCAGACTACATCCCTCTTCACTGACAAGAGACAGTGAAGGGGATGAGGATGTAGACCACAGAGGCAAACCCAGGATAGTTGGGGGGGGGGGTCTTAAAAAGTAACCAGTTAGATGACCTCCTCTCTTTAAGTATGTGTAAAACACCCCCTTATTTACCACTTGCTAGTGTATACAGGGAATCAGGTTACAGCTCCAAGTTGCATGAAGAACCATCCTGTTTTACAGACAGAGAGACAGTTGAAAAGAAATACGTAAAGACCTGTTTGTTATTTTACAGGCCCTTAAATTAAACCTTTATGTATTAAGAAAAAAACTAAACAAATACATGTACGATGATGTATCTTGACATCCAAACTTAGGTAGATTGTCTCCTTGGAATATTGAACACACCACTTTAGAGAGAGGAAATCAATCATCTGGTCAATAGTAATGTGACCGTGGAAATCACTCCAACAGTTTGTCTATTATTAATGCTCTTTTTTTGGCAAATGAATACAGTTTTTTTTCCTTTTTCTTTTTTGCTGTCACATTCAGAAATAACCTGCAGTGACGCACAATTTTCAGCTGTTTCAACCCGAGCTAAACCGCTCGGCTCTCTCCCTTCATCTTACATCACACACTTTTTTTTTCGCTCTCATTTTTCCTGAGAAAGGACGGCCTGCAGGACAAGGAACTTTGTTTCTCTCATATGAAAAGTCTTTTATCTGCCGTCTATTCCCTGGAGCAAGGGACACTCTAGGGATTGCTATTTAATCTGCATAAATGTAAAACCATATAAGCTTGTGAAGACATACTGAATAAGTTATTTGCATACCTTTTCTCTGATCTGAATTCCTATTTTTTCTACCCCAAAAGTACAATGATTGACATCCTTTCCCCCTGAGACTGAAAACTAAACTTTGCCTCTTGGGGTGATTCTCACAAATCCCTTTAACACAAACTATTTCTTGGGGGGTCTATGAAACTTTAAAGGCCTTGGAGGATTGTATATTTTTTCTGTCAACGACTGGGACTCCCTGATTTGCTAGCACGTAGGCCTGCAGCCTCATGTGACCCTACACAAGTTCCTACGTGCCTCCAGGGGACTCTTCACTTCCCTCATGAATGGGAAAACGACGAGATCAAATCTTGACATAAAGAGACACACAACTGTGCCAGCAGCCACATCATTTTTGTGTGTGTATGTGCATGTCCACCCTGCCAGCCTTTAAGGTGATATGTGATCCTATTCTACTAAAATACACTTAAACCAACATTTTACCTCCATTTCACTTTTTTTACTACCTCCATCAGCAGACCAGAAGCAGAATGACTTTGCTCCACCATTACACCTCCATGCTTTACACACTGTAGACAAGACATATTGGGAACACAAATCCTGCCTTAGAGCCTAATATCTAAGAGGAGGAGCTGCAGAAAAAGCCAAAGTGGGCGGACTAATGGAACAGGTAGTCAAAAGGACAGGTCAAGTCAAACAGCCAAAGGTGATGATGATAATACACAGGCTTTCTTATGCTAACATACAAAAAAGAGGACATTTGGCCATTTGGCCGCCTGGAGCCCAAATTATTTATGAACTAGACTCTGTAACGTTTCTAAGCCTGACATCCTGTCTTGTCATCTCCTCTCACCTGGGACAGGACAACATTAACGTCACTCACACTCGGATTAAGATAACACCACAGCCTGGGCAGAGCCAAGAAATCAGATATGATCACTGACTCTCACATACAGGTAACATCCAAGTTGCGCAAAAACCGACAGAAAGATTGAATCAGAGCAGAGGAGTAAAGAGGAATGAAAGAACATTTTATTCCTTTCATTCCAGATTTGGCTGCGACAAGGATCAAGGTCATTGCTTTGGAAACAGACTGAGAACCTCTGGTCCAACACAGAATGGCAATAAAAGGTAGGACGAATGATACCGAAGAAACAAAGGCCTGTTAGTGTCGACAGTGGAGTGCTGGCAGTAAATAAAACCAGTAGACTCCTTTTTGGTGTCAAATTCATTTTGGCAATATTCAAAAATCTAAATGGTGTATGAATAGCATGTGAACTGTACAGTAACAATCAGAACTTAACAGTATTACATCATTGTAAAACTATTTATCATTGCCCTGCAGAGAAAGTAAGGGTGGGTGGTGACTGGTTTCAGTACTGTTACCACCAGTGTTATGTCCTGTCACAACACGGATTATGCAATACTGTCATCACCAGATCAAATGTGCGTTTTGTTATTTTGTACCCACACATTTTGACTTTAGTGCACACACAACAGAGATTTACCTCCACAACAGCAATGCAGCCATGGTGAGGGTACAGAAGTAGTGTAATAGAGTCATTTGTGAAGATATTCCTTGTCTCCTGCTTGTTCATGATCACTGACCAAAGGGCACTAGCTTTCCCTGTCAAAGTGGAGTGTCCATGTTGTGATCATGCAAGCTTGTGCTCTTTGCTTTGCAAATTTGATGTCAGCAACTAACAGCACTGCAAGGATTTGCATTTCTTTCACGACAGGTCTACCTGCTTGATGGTATGTTTCACCTGATGACTCATGTCTTAAGTCCAAGAAGAATAAGAGAAGCAGGGCTGTGGCTGTCACCTCTAAACAGACTAGCAACTCTAACATGTTGCAATCGCTGCTAACTGTAGCTCCACTGAGGCTCGGTGAGTTTGCATTTCATTAAAACACTTCTACACGTGACACTCAAAGTCTCCTCCTGTTACGTTGTTGAGATACCCTTAGTATGAAATGGCCATGACAGGGGATACATGTTTTCAGCAGCAGTAACAAAACACAACTCAAACAGTTTAATCGATGTCTTTGAAATCAAACAGGGAGACAGGAGAGAAAAGAAATGATAACATTTTACATCATACTGCCCACCCCTAATGGAAAGGTATGCAAAGTACCTATATCTGGTGTTCTGTTCCCCTGAAAGATTCAATAAAAATAACTTTTATTTTCATACAGTAGGAGGATAGGAAAACTATCTTCCTAAGTTCACAGTTAAGGATATTTGATGTTGACTCAAGGAGTAAATGTAGCAGCTAAAAGTAACCTAAATGGTACAGATTTAAAAATGTCGTATCCTCCACTAATTAACAGGAGCGCTGCTTCCAAATGGGGTTATTATCGATGCTGCCAATCTCAGAAGCGTACATATATTTTTAACTTGTATGTGGGTTACTTCAACTAAAGAAGCCCTCCAGCTGTACTACTTTGGTAGTAATAGAAACCTTGATCATATGATGATCATACGGTTTCATTTGTCCACAAGGGTTCTCTGTGCTCACTTACATTTGAATGAAAGCTTCTGTAAGTTCACCTGATAAGTAAAAAGACAATGAGTTACCAATAGCTTAAACGTAAAATCAAAACAATTTAAAAGTTTGCACAAACACACAGAATCCAACCTCTAAAATGTATCAGGGAATAATGTTAACATTCCTTCAAAATATGTTTTCCTATAAGTGACTCCTGGTCATTTTTTCCTCATCAAGCCATCAGCCCAGGACTGTGTTACTGATGCCAAGAGGATTTAGCATCCTTCTCCAAGGAAAGGGAGAGAAAAGTAAAGGTAAAATGTGGTGAACTATTCTAAATCAACCGTGGAGCCAATGCAGCAGAAGTCAGGCTTTCTTTTGACTATGAAGTAAATATTGTAAATGTCCATTTTTCAGATGAGAGTCATACCTTACTCTACGAGACGGCTGATATGGAATGAAGGGAGGGAGAGTACGCATTTTCTTACGTGTTTCAAAGGAAAGACAGATCACAGCACATTATCAACACAGCGCTAGAGTTATTTAAACAGTCGGTGCACACAGTTCCATGAACCATTTATCTTCTTTCTCTGTAGGAGCATCTGAGCTTGTGATGGCAAAATTATCATAGCTCAAGATCTTCAAGTGCTGGAAATAAACAACATTTCAGATCTGACAAGAAACTTTGTGCCTGGTGTTGCAGCGGTACAGCATACAGCTTTTCGCAGCAGCTTGCTGGCCAAGTAGACGTGTCCCTGTTGCTGTTCGCACAAACACATGCAAACATCGTTTTTTTTGAATAAGTAAACACAGCTCTGTTGGCTTCTGCAGACTCTGCTCATTTAACTTTGTGATAGATCCAATGCTGAACCCTATCCTTGTTACTTAAATGACATCAGAAGCAAATCTATCAGACTCATGAGTATATTTACTGGAACAGCTCGCTGCCAGAAGACAGTAAATCTTGACTGTAGTGTGCACACGAAGAATCAAGACAGCCCGTTTTAATCATCTTCTCTCCAATGAAAACTTGAAGATGGGAATCTGGATGATCTATACGTCGACCACTTTAGCACAATTGCTGACACATCATGTGCAGCGGATCAGCTTGGTGGACAGACCATCCACAGTGTTTTCCCAAAGTCACAAAAATGCAACAGTTCACGCCGAGATCCATCAGTCATCAACAAATACAAATCATCACTGTTAGAGTGGCTTTATTGTGTCTTTCACAACAGATAAATAGATAGATATCTTGCATATGATAGAATACACTGAGGAAGATTCCTCCACTGTGTGGCATGCCAGGATATAATAGAGGTGTCAGTTATGATTTAAACCAGTTGTTGCCTCAAGTCCTTATGTGATGCGCTCTTACCCAATATATTTTCCAAGATTCAAGATTAGCAAACTAATCCTCATTTGCGAACTCTATAACTTTGCCATCGAGTCATTTCAAAGCTCTAAAGTCTCACTGAAATAGTGATTAACTGAAGTACAGATCTATGCCACTGAGTCAAATCCAGTAGTGATGCTTTAAGGCATCACTGAATGAATCCATGACTGTAACTTTTGGATGAGATTGGTAAGAAAAGCTAGATAAATCTTTTCAGCAGGAACGGAGAAGGAAAACAAAAGCTGAGGAAAGACACAAGCCAGTAAGAGGCCACTGAGCGAAAACACAGTCTGTAAGAGGAGCAGTGACGCAAAAGGCATAAACACATGTGGCTCTGTCTAAATTGAGGTTAGCCAAGAAAAGAAAAGGTTCAGGAACAGATTGGCCCTCTGCTCTTATATTACATAACCACTTTACTTACTTGAGACGACCATTATTTTGAAAATGTCAAGGGGCTAGAACAGGATGAGAGATCAGCTGTGTGTTTACGAGTTTCGAACACTGAAGTGAATGTCATAAAACTTTTGAAGATGTTTACAGGAATTATGAGCGGTGTTATCCTCCCTTCTCCTCCAGAAAACAATCACATCTGTGTGTTGGATTTCTGCCTTCAATTTATCACATCTCTCTCTTGTTATAAAAAATACAAATACCATGTAAATGTTCAGCACATCAAAGAAACTAAAAACTAAACTAAATGAACATGACAATCACGAAGGAAGACAGATTGAAAAAATAATTATCTTCTGTTTTACAAGACCACAGACTGTGGACATAAAAATGAGTATTTGACCACCTAAGTTTAATTTCTCTAACTCAATGTCAGAACTTTTCCTTTCCCGTCATAAGGAGTGTGAGATATATTTAATGCTAGCGCCCAAGCTTGTGTTTGACAACCTGATAAATAGCGAAATGACTACAGCTACTACTGGCCATCTTTCACACTTGTCTGAGTCACTTAAAGCTACAAGCCAGGCTACTGTCATTTCGATCAGCCCACAAAACTCAGCCATCTTTCAAACCACCACATGGTTCTGGAGATGGAAACTGTAACTGTAACACTTAGCTAATAACAATTTAACTATAATTGATGTCAGTCATGCTTTCCTATCTTTGGTTTTAGCCGGTGTGAACTGGAATATTAAAAGAAATAGAGGAGGGAAGTTATACTGTGTTGAAAGTTGTCAAAACATTCTGCCTAAAGGACTGATCTTGTTGGCATTTTATAACCTGCAGCGTGTTAAACTTTTATTTTATAGGAGCTTTAGTGATGGTGTTATATTTCTCTGTGACAGCAAACCGTTACCTTTGCTGCATTATATTCTTTTCAAACCAATGTTAAGACAGGCTTTTCAATACTTATGTTACAACAAACATTGTTGAATGATGTCTTTTATTACTTCTAGTCCACTGGAAAATGCAGAGTAATGGACAGCCTGCAAGGGGACTCAATCTTCTTGTTTTTTTGTCAAAATGTAGTCGACAAGACTGACTTAAAGGCCACCAGCTTGTCCCAGCAGCTAAAAAGTTCTTCATTTTTTCTACCTTCAACTTTATGCTCCCTGAAATTAAGAGCTGAAGCAGGTGGCAAGAGTTAAAAAAAAAGAGAGAGAAATGAAAGGTCATCCAAAGCCATCCAAGAAAAGGTAGGCATAGTTTTTCTTTGAATCTTACCTGCCACTTCAACAATGTCCCCAGGCACAATGTCCCTGGCCTTGATTCTCTGGACACTCTTCCTGTCTTGGCGGTACACCTTCCCCATTTCTGGCTCATACTCTTTGAGTGCTTCAATCGCATTTTCTGCATTTCGCTCCTGAAAAGTAGAATTAATTATTAAGCAATACGCCGGACAAGTATAGAATGAAAATAAAGATGAATAAAAATGGCTTCTTGAATGGTGACAGGAGCAGACTTCATGACAAAAGCAGCACACATACTAAGTACATCCGACAAGTGGTCTATGGTAGAGTAAAGAGCAGAGTTATGTAAACACGGCTGTATTTTATAAAAGGCTGAAAGAAATGAAGGAGAACTTTTGCCTTGGTCATGTGTTTTTCTTTTCAGATACTAAAGAATACTCCTCAGGGTTTCCCTCACGATGGGCCTCTTTCTATACCAAAAAAATGTCAGACCGTGAGGGAAAGACAAAAACACCTTCAACACTCCAAGTCTCCCTGTCTTGCCCACACAAGTTTCTTTGTCATCAGTCTTTTCTTGCACTTTTCCGTTAATGCAGACTTCACCCAGCCTGAATGATTGCACTCAGCATGGACAGTTTTAATGGCAGTGCTTATACCATATTTTATCGAGGTACAGACATAAGATACTTCCAGAGGAGAATAAGATTCATCCTCTTCTGCCTCTTTGTCATCGATTATATTTTTTGGCCTGAAAAAAACCCCAGAAAGAACCAGCAACAATTCCTATATAACACAGGTCTCAGCAGGAGCAGTTCAATTACAACTCCCATGTGTCTTCTTTGACCAGGTATAATGTGGGGTGATATATAATGCAGATAAGGGACTACACAAGTTATTAATTAAATCCACCCTGATATCTTTTCGAGCTGCCTAATCTTACACGATGAAATATCAATGTACTCTATATAGATTAGATTGTATAATTGATTGGAATAATACCAGAGAGGAAAAAACAAGCACAATTCATTATGTCAGTCTTTGTTAGGATGAGTGCCCCCATACACAACTATCACTGCCTTTGCTCTAATGCTTTGTGTCTGTAATTAAAGTGTATGTTGACAAATCAATACTGCCTCTTAAAGGAAGTGAAACAGTAACTCCTCAGGGAGAGCTAAGACTTGGCAGGCACATGCAAACACAGAGGAAAATAAATAAGCATTTTCACTTGTGATCTTTCAGATAACTGATTTTGAGAACTAAATGTTGCCCTTCTCAGAGAAAGGTGAGAGGCCAATACATTAGGGTGAGTATACATGAAGTGAGGAGTGAGCAGAGCAGGACAGGTTTCCTGTGTGACTGATACAAGACGACGTGTATGACATTGGCAGATGTTTCACCTTCAGAGTCCAGCAGGATATATGCGGCACCTTTAAGCTTAATGGCGAGGATACAGCATGGACATAATGTTTTTGAAATCTTTGCAAATGTATTTGAAGCTTTTGTGACCACAAATATTCTCATTTAAGTCTTATGAATATTTGGTTTGTGCTCATCTTTGAGACCCCTGTATATTAATTATTGCATCTTAACTCTCTGCTGATTTTGTTCTGTACATCGGTAAGTAGTGAGTTTAACAAAAATATTCATCCACAGTCTTTTGATAGTCAAATGTACCACCCGTTGAAAATGTTTGCTGTGAAAATTGTAAGAGTTAAGGCTATTTGAACTGGGTGCAGTTAATTCTTTTGTCTGACAGCAGTCCTGCTGCAGGGGTTTCACACATGAAAAATGACTTCACAGCGTACAGCACTCTCTATGCTGATAGTCACGTTTGCTTTAATGGGTAATAAAAGGGGATCAATGTTGTTTTTGTCTGTTTCATAACCAGCTAAGACACCTCAGCAGAGAATTTTCCATCTTTAGGACGACTTCTTTTACCTCTAACATTTCCAACAGTTAAGTGGCAAAGAAAATCTTTATAGAGCTGAAATTAGCTTCATTAATATCATGCTATTTGGATGAGTGTTTTAAGTGTTTGAGCAGTATCCTTATCTTCTGCATTTTGAGCATTCAAAGTTAAATAATTTGTGAATCAACTTTTAAGACAGAGTTGGCTAAAATATCACATCATTAGGCAAGTTACACAATCACTCCTTTGTAGCACACCAAGACTTCACCTCATGTGCTACTTTCTACAAAGCAAAGTTCAACTAGCAATTCACTGTGAAGAAATTAATTCAGAGTTATAATAAGGACTACCTTTTTAGCTTTGCAGGAAACTGTTGAAGTATTTCAAGAAATACACAACATTAGCATAACACGACAAGATTTTTAAGACTCAATTATAAGGCACATTGATAAATGACACACATACCTGCCAGACTCCTACAATGGCATTTGCTATGAGAATAAGTAGGATAACGAAAGGCTCCACAAAGGCTGTAACTGTTTCTTCCCCCTCCTCAAACCAGGCCAGCACCTAAACACAGAATAGAGAGAAGGAAATGGGCATTAATGACAAACACAGGATGCACGGAGTTTGTACACACCCTCAATAAATAACATATGTTTGAAAACTTCAGATATGTAAACCTCCGCCAGACGGAATCATGTCATATCTAAATATAATCTAGTAATGAGGCTTGCTACCAATTTGACAGATGAGGATAATTATCAGAGTATTCACCAATGTAAAATTCACTACAACTCCTTCACCAAATCATTTTTTTTTTCACTTGAAGACGCCTTTACACAAAATCTAAATTTTCAACAAACCTGACTCTGATCACTTTTGGGGGGACTTGCACCTAATGACTTGTTTACGTCCACCCCGCCCTTTGAAATTCAAAGTTTGGCATGTCTTAAATATCTTGCAACCATTCAATAATTCATAATAAATATCAAGCAAGGTTCTGCAAGTGTTGCAGAAACTGGGCCAAGTGTGTAAGAGTCATTTCAGAGAGAGTAAGAGAGTAGTAACCACTCTTGCCTCTTTTAGAATCTGTGCCAGGAGTGAAGTGTGTCAAACGATACGCCAACGGCCTCTTTTCTTCTACTCCGACCTATTTAAGCATGGCCAATCACGAATCAAATTAAATTCTGAGAGTCTATAGACAATGCTGCCTCTTTCAGCTGCTATGCAACTGAACACAGAACTTTAAGTTTAAGAATTATTCTGTATAATTGTAATCCAAATGTTCTCCTGTTTCAGTAAATGTATTTACGTGTGCTTCTGTAATTGAGTACAAGCCATGGCCCACAAGCAGTGATTCACAAGCTTTGTTACCATAGCTGGCTGTCATCATTGTGTCTCTATGACTGATGGTATTACAGACAGAAGGCTGACAGCCAATCCAAATAGAAAAGGACCACAGAGTTGCTCTAACACCGAGTCGAACAAACTACACCGCAGATCGACACTCACTGATGACAAGAACACAAGTGGCACAAGTTATTTCTGCGCATCTTTAGACCTGTCATGTTGTTCTTTCATGAACAACAAGTCATCTGTGAGAGCTGTAGTCATAATGAGAGAGTAGTAGCATGTAGCACATACAGATGCCTTAACTTTTGCTTTCAAATTACCAAACATAGAAAACATGCTGCTTATTACAGCAATGTGCCATGCTATCACTTCATCACAATTTCCTTTACAGAATTAGCAACATGTCAGTATTTTGTTTTTAACAACATAATCCTAAAGAAACAAAAGGCAACAAGAGGCTGCAATGATTTATGATCTGCCTCAGTACAACACCCTCCAATACCCTGCGACTGAATTTATATGAAAAAATAAGTCATTTGTTTTGAATCATCAGTCAGACTTTGGCTGCTGTCTCCACTTTGAGCATGCTCCCTAAACTCTGGTATGCACTGGATCAGTCAGGACATACACTTAGTGCAGGGATCCTCGGTGTCGAGACAGTGGATTAAACCCTCAGCACTGGAGCCTCAATGAAACATAGCAATGAAGATGAGCACCAGTGTTGCATAAGCAGAGCGTTGTGTGTGGCTATATAAAAGATGACCATCACAGCATGATTTACCCTCTGACTCTTTAGGAATAAAAATACCCAATCTCATCTCTACTTAATCGGAAGAGATTTGTTAAACACACCTCTTCCATCTAGTGTGACAACATGCTCCAAGCCATTAACTGCTTCTTAGCTTGATAACAAAGCACTTAAGAGGCAGTCAACTCATATGCTATTTGTTTGGTTTTAACACTGAACAGCCATATCATTATGAACACCTGGGCAATGCAATTCAACAAAGACGCTCCACAAATCCTTCTTTCAGGAAGCTTCTACATTTTCAGGTTCTGTTGACACGATCAGATGGGTGATTACTGTTGTTTATATTCATTATACTTATTTATACAACTTAAGATCTAGTGGGTGGTGGCTGTGTATTGGACTATGTAATACTGAAAGTCCTCCTTTACCTTATGTCCGCTTCATTAACAAACATGGGGGCACAAAATATTTGAAATACCTTACAATAATCTTCCTGCTCATTTACAGAGGGTCATTGCCTTGATTTTATTCAAATCGAAGGCTGCTACTCCTTCATCTCATCACCACTGAATTAGGGACATTATGCAGAACCTTAAGATGGAAAAGATCAGATGTAACCTCAACGGATCCATCAACAGATTCCACAAAACCTGGGACCCTCTAATAACTTATGTGAACAATTTACCTGGTCTGGAACTGGAACTTTGAATCATTACATCTACCCTTGAACAAATTCCATAAGAAGTATTAAGTGCACTTGCTGTTTTTTGTTTTGTTTGTCTATTTGTTTGTTTTTTTCCTTTTTGAGCTGTCTCTGTATATTGTCGGGACTGTTTTTTGTAGTTACTTGTAATACAGAGAATATGATTGTTTTATATGTTAACTGAAAATTACAAATAAAGTGTTAAAAAAAGAAGAAATACCTTACAATAAAATGCTAAACCCTCTATAACTTCAATAATTTGTGAGGATGTGAAATAACTGAAAAGTTTTGTGGGAGCAGTATTTATGGGAAAGCTGTTGTTTTGAGTTAGATATGGCTGGTCAGTGTAAAACACAGCTCTCTCTTATTCATTTTTACCTAAAATGTACACTGAATAAATCATATCTACAGTTCAAAGTTTAATTTGTGTCATACTTACAAAGGATATGCAGGCTGCAAGTAAAAGGATCCTCACAAGCAAATCTTCAAACTGTTCAACTACCAGTTCCCATAGAGATTTTCCTAAAAACAAGAGTTATACATAGAGAATACATGAAATTATTTACAGTCAGTTTATCAAAGAGACCGAGACATCTGCACCGACCGGCCTTAACATAGGACTGGGCGATTTGGCCAAAAAGATGACCACAATATACTTTGTCATATTGTCTGATCACGATTATTATCACATTTTTTTTAAACTGCCAGTTTGAAAGCATCTGTACTTAAAACTAAAAATTAAATAGATAAATATTAAACAAGACGTTAAATAACTTCTCAACAATAACATCTTTGGAGGATGACTCAAAGTCATAGCTGAAATCTATTTTACTGCCCTCAGCTCTACAGTTACTCTGTTTTCTTGTCCAGCAACTTACAGACATGCAGAAAAAGCTCGACTCTCATTGGCTGTTGTGATGCACATTTTCCCCAGGTTTGATCAGTAAATAAGCTCACAGCTGATCGGACTGAAATTTATCACGATCATATAATTGCCTAGTCCTACCTTAACATAATGCAGGACTGGGCGATTATATGATCGCGATTAATGATCGTGATAAATTTCAGTCCGATCACGGTGATCAGCTATGATGCACATTATCGCCAAGTTTTATCGGATAAATGAGCTCACAGCTGATCACCGTGATCGGAATGAAACTTATCCCGATCATTAAATCGTCCAGTCCTACCTTAACATAATGCATTAAATTGCCCAGATATGCATGATGTTATGGCTGGTCGGTGTTCACACATTGCTCAACTCACCCTCTTCAGCTGGAAGTTCTGCAGATCCGGGCAGCGAGACCGAAGACAGGAGAGACGAACAAACGGTTAATACAAAAACTTATTTTTAGAGAGAGCATAATAACAATGGACAGATTAACATGGTAAACTACAGGATGTTTTGAGTTTCAGGAGTGACTTTCGAGTATTTCGACATAAAGATCGTGACGTCAACACTTTGTCCGGCATGTCGCCCGTTAAGTCGGGGGCCACGGGCCATGACACCGGCAAAGTGAAGCTACATGTTTCACATCGTACTCATGTCAGCCACCTCCTTACCGTTCGGTCCGAATCGCTCCCGCTGTTTCTTCACTTGCTCCAGACTCAGTCCCGTACTTTCGTTCACGTTAAAAAAGCTGTAAACTTCTTCGACCGTCTTTGTGTGTGCGTTGTCCATGGTGAACGGCCACTTGAGGACGCCGCTGGTTCCGTCCTGCTTTTGGTCCCGACCTCAACCTGTCACGGTTCTCCCTCCCCTCCTTTTTTCCGTCAGTGGTAAATTTCAGGGCGGTGTACACACCTGTGAAGGCTATTACCGGTTAATTAGCTGTACCACAGGCGTGCAGGTGCCTGGTGTGAGTGGAGGGGTTAGCGGCTTCCTAGCTAACGGATGGCTAACAGGCTACCACTAGCTAACTGTTGTGCTCCTTTGGCTCCGCTTGAATTTGCCGGTTGAGCTCCGCTAGCTTTCCAGTAAAATCTTGAACGAGCTAATCATACTAATATCCCGGTCTTCTTTGGATACTTTAATGGCGTCCTCGTCCTTTAAAGCAACAAATTCAGGCATTAGTTGGTCCAATTGGTTAATTTAGACATGTGGCTGAGTTGCAGCTCAGCTCCTTTCACCCGCTCTGCCTCTGTCTGTGTTGCGGAATCACTCGTATCCTCTTCGGCACCAATCGCGTTTGTCCGCTGCAGTTCTCGCGTGCGTCGACTGCGGCGTTCGGTGTCCGCATGTGGAAACAGCTCATTGGTTGGAGAAACCGGAAGTCACACTCCGTCCCTCTCTCTCTTTCTCACTCTACGACGACAACGTAATCCCCCCCATGGACATTATATACGTGGACGCCTCAAAGCCTGACGCTGCCTATTGGAGCTCTCGTATCAGCGCGGCCGCCATCTTGGATGGGTCCCCCATGTGCTTCCGGCGCATTGAGGTAAGTAGGAATGCCCAACCATATTGATGATAACTCTTCGAATCTCAGCCCTATTTTCACACAGTTTGGTTTGTTACAACGGCAGGGATGTGGCAATAATACAGGACAATGTCACACACTAAAAATAGAAAATATATATTTTTCAATCTTATTTGTGAAATGTAATCCTAGGTGATCTGGTTTCAATACTGCATCGTGTTTTCAACCATAGAGTGCAAAAAACGGGCATAGTTGCGCGTTCTCCATTGAACCCGTTTGACTTTTGAGCGAACATGGAGTGGAGAGACCCATCCAATATGGCGGTGACGCTGGATTAGGCTCCAGCATAAAATCAGACGTCCACGTATATGACGTCTATGATCCCCCCTTTGTACAAAGCTAGTCTTATCCTGAATAAATAAATAATAACAATGATCAACTCATCAGTATAAATAAAATTACATTTATTTAAACTAATTGGAAGAACTGAAAAATACAGATGAATCAAGACCAATGCGATTTATATAAAATGTTCTTTTGAATTTAACCTTAAACGGACTATTTTCTTTTTGTTCATTTTGCTAATCGTTTTCTTGTCTTCCTGTTGTGCTCAATAGGCCTAATGAAATGTCAACTAAAACTAAAAAATAATGTGGGGGTGTAAAATCTTTATCAAACTAAACTCATTACATTTAATGTTTATAGTCCCAATAATATTTATATTTAAACCGAGGTTAAGTATGTTCGTATGACAGATGCTGCTTCTTAAAAAGTACTTAAAAATAATTTATTTCATTCCTTAGGAAGAATATTCTTTGCAAAAACTATTCTACACAGAAACAATTGTTGTTGTTGTCATTATTGTTTTGTATTATAAATTGTGAGCCTCACATTGTCATTGTTGATGTAATAGAAGACAAGTTGGAGGTGGAGAAGGTAGAGCAAAAACCCAGCTGTAAGTCATATCTATTCATGTTCATATAAATACTTCAAAAAGAAGTCCCATATACATATAATAATGGCTGACATTAAAAAATAACAAGTCACATAGCCAAATAAGCCAGATATATGAGTAGTAAAATCTGTCAATCTGAAATTCAGTTTGGATCAGTGGCGATTCCACTGGTTTCCCTTTATAGTAACTAAAAAAAATCTCTCTAAAATATATCTCTCAAGTCCTTCAAATACAGCTGTCAGTGGAATGTCTGGTCACAAGTAATGGATATTTGTCTTCTTGTCTCACATTGTCATTATTATTGAGCTGTTTGAGAAGAATTCCTTTTTCTGTCAGACTGATAACTGACAGTGTAGTGCCGAAGTTCTTATCATTTGGTTTTTATCATGTTGTCAGGACAAATTGATCTTCTGGAGCAGACTGTAAATTTGTTTTTGCAGTGGCACAGTAGAGTCAAATTAAACAACTATACATCTGACCTTTTACGTCAAACACTAAAAAGTGAGCAGTCTAAACTGTTGTGTCTTACTCATGTAGAGATCCCTCAGTTTGTAGTAATGCTTACCTCAATTATAACTTTTTAGAGCAGATAGAATCAAAATGCTCCATGTGGCAAAAAAAACATGAGGCAGCTCTGGTGTGAGATGGTTTCTGTCTTTTGCAGCCCACAGTATTTCCTGTCTATCAGAAAGTTATTTTTGGACACTGTGATTAATGTGTGCTCCCACGATCACACTGCTGCCCAATGACAGAGAGACACTTTGTGTTGCTGTAGATGGTTTGGATAAGTGGGGAAAACCTGGTTTAAAATGAAACATAAAAATCTGTAACTTATCAGACACACCAAGGCTTAAGTTTTGAAGCACAGTCAGTGAGAGCAATGCTGTCATTTTTTTCACTCTTTATTTATTGGTTTTCACAATTGGAACTGTAACAGCATATAACCAGAAATGCAGGGACATTTTTTTTCTCCCCTCTCCCTACCCCAGGGGACAAGTAAAAATAAGATTAAAATTTAAATAAATAAATAAAATGAAAAAATTCAAGATTGAAACAAATAAAATTAAATAAAATAAAAAATAAAAAAACACCAACCTGTGGTGTGTGTGAGAGAACAAACATGTAATTTTCAGTAATAATGAAAGGTATTACAGATGAGATATAAAAGAAAGCCTCATGTTTGTTCAAGCAAATATGAGGTTGCCATACCCTGCTGAAATTATTATTAGGATGCCAGTGTGATCTTTTCTTGCCTCAGGAGTTGTTGTATATCCCTAACCCAATATTTGTAGGAGGGCGGGGCAGCCTGTTTCCAATTAAGCAAAATTATTCTTCTTGCTAAGAGGGTGACAAAAGCAATGCAATCAGACTGTGCTCTAGGAAGATGATCATTCTGACATTGGATACCAAATATGGCAGTGAGAGGGTTGGGGTTTATTGGTCTTTTAAATATCTTGGAAAGGAAATCAAATATAGAGGACCAGTAAACCAGAATGTATGAGTTAATGTTGCAGGTGAAAAACTGCATCTATTACTATTCTTGAAAAGATGTCTGACCATTCATTTTATTTGTGATTTGTGAATTTAGATCAGCCTGCCATGCTCCTCTCAATGCATTAAGATGCCAACTGTAAAGATGACAGTTTCATATATATAGTGGATATTATGCCTTTATTAGATGGAAACAGATTATCCATGGGCTGTTGTTCAGGGATTGCAGGAAATGATCGTGTTTGGCTACAAATCCAAATGCTGTCATGGATTTTTAACCTGGCATAAATATAGGTATACTCAGTCATTTGTAATCTGTAGATGGAAATGTTTAATTAAAAAATAATAATAATAAAATAAAAGGCTTGTTTTTAAGGAAAAGTTTTCTTGTTATGACCTTGAGTCATCTACTATGTTATTTATTCCTGTTGTAGTGTGCAGCTCTGTCTCCTCCCCAGCAGAATGTGGCTGTTTCTGTGGGCGTGTGATTGTTTGATCCACTGATTTAGGCGCTGATGTAGGTGTGGTCTCTGATTAGTGGATTCAAGGAAGAGTGCGACTTCTGATTGGATGAAGACAGTCATTGCTGGTTTAAATCCCACCTGCTGCAACAAACCAGCATCAGAGTGTGTTACTGAGAAACACTTCAGATTGGACCTGTTTTGCTGGTTCTCTTGGGTCTGAGGGTCACACATCATGTTAGGTCAAGATTCCCCCAAGGTCAGGATGTAACAGTATGACAATGACACTTTGGCTGTATGATGAACCTGGAATTTGACTATCAGGCTTGATTACAAAATGGATCAAGTTTGAAAGTCAATCATTTGATATAAAGTTTCTCATAGTTCCTCAAATAAAAGATATTGTGTGAAAGTTTCTGTAACGCAGACCAGCAAGCATCTTTAATTAGTTTCTGAAAATCAAAGAAATCATGTACACATTTTAACTTGGATTGACTTTTTTCCACCGAAAAACTCCTGCTCGGGAAAATTTAGATTATGGTGTCTTAAAGAAATATCTAAGTTAATTTAATACTTTGAACTTTGTTTTTAGTCCCTTTTTATTGAAGTCATCAGCAACATATTTAATGACGTCTTTGTGCAACTTCCGCCCCCTAATTTCCTTTTCACATTAAAAAAAAAGATGTGATATTTATTTTGTTTGGTGGATTATATAACTGAGCCAGCAAAGCAAGGGCTGTAGCAGCTGTGGATTTCTTAGCTGACAGTGAGGATGGTTTTAATTCATTATTTTTTTGTGATATGTGGGGGCAGCAGAGGCAGCTAGGCTGAGATTAATCCAAAGAGCTTTGGCTGTTTTCTTGTGAGAAAAATGTGGCTAGCTTGCACTGTGTCAGATTTACTCACAGCAGTTGTTTGTGCTCACCGTGAGGATGATGCACAGTCTTGGGGAACTTAAGAAACCGTTATTGCAGTCTGTTGAAGGTGCTCATTTCTTTCTATCAAGCTAAAAATGAAAGGAGTCTGAGGACCAAATCAATGTTGGCTTTGTTTATGTCTGACCTCAGGGGATGAAAACTTTTTGCTATGTTGTAAAAGATTGATTAGTGTGTCTCCTCTGTCAGGAACAAGAGTTATTTTATGTCACTCACCAAGTTAAGAGCCTCATAAGTCATTTGAACTCTACACTCAGGCTTTTTAGGACAGCTTAATATATTTGTTGGATATGAAAAAGTTCCAGCAATGTTTCACTTGGTTTTTAAACTGAAGTTACATCTCTGAAACCTTTCACCTACAAACTCAGCTGCTGTAAAACTAACCCTGAAGAATCACTGTTTCACATTTAGCATCATGTCCCGAGTAATGAGTGCTTATTGGAAAAATAGGCACATGCTCTGCATGATGTGAGACAGTGGCAACCCCAGGCCTTTTTTTCCAGCATGTCTATGTTTGGGATGGGGTTTTTCAACAGAAAACTAGTCGATCACCTTATACGGGCTTCTGAAAGCGCAAGTGCATCCTGTGGTGACTCCAGGACAAGCATTTTCAGACACCACAAAGTTTACAGTGATCATCCTGTAAACCATTCAGTCTGATTATTAAAATTGTCATATTAAGTTTTTATATAGACAAAAATATGAACAAAGTCTGTCCTTATCATCTCTCCACAACCCAGATTTGTTATCACCTTATACACAATCAAGCTTGAGGTTTTAGTAACTAACTAAAAAAAACTTCATGGCCCAGAAGAAAGGTCTTTCTAAAGTGATCTTTTATTGTCTCTACATGAAAGTGACATTTCAGTAATACAGGATTCAAATGAATAATTTTTAATCAGTCCTTGATTGTCCTGAATATTAAGAGTTTCTGTTATTTATGAGTGATGCTGGCAGTTGAAAAACTCTTGATTTAACTTGACTTTAATTGTAGACAAAACTGGATTTTCTAGTTTCTCGATTTGGATTAATAAATAATTGCTGATGTTTTCCATCTCACAAAATTAGGGACCTGTTTTGTAATGACTAACAAATGCCCAGAGAGGAAAACAGCCTGCTGCCTATACAGCTATAAGCTCTCCAAAGGGTACTTTGTTCCCTATAGATAGCTGGGTAGAACTGATAAAGTTAACATTTTAAGTATATTAAAAATGCAAATTGATTCAGTAGAACTGCATATGGCATTTACACATTTACAACAAAAAGGGAACCATATATTCAACAAAATGTAATTTACAACCTCTTTAAAAGGTTACTGCAGTCAGATGTGATGAGTAAGGAAATTGTACCGACTCTTCATATATCCTTAAATAAGTTTCTGGAGCCAAGTGAACTGTCTTCATCAAACCCAGTACTGGTAGTGTTTAAGAGTTGGAGTTGGAGACAGAGACCTCAGAGATGACTTGTATCCTGCAGGGACAACTGGTACTGCTGAACCAAGATAAATGTTATCTCCTTCTTTACTCGTACCACCTCTAACATTCCCATCATCACTTGGTCCATCAGTGTCCATTGGCCCCCAGAAGGTCATTCCAGGGGCCAGGCTCCTTCGTCTTGGGCCTAAAGGTACCCTGGGTGAGGTAGGGCAGCTTGCAGGGGCAAGAGGAGTGACCACCACAGAGGGCATAGCCACGCTTCGCTCTGCCCGGCCCAGATAAGGGCTGCCTTCTGTTGATAATGTCACTGCAGTGAGCTGCTGGAGCAGCTGCAGCCGTGCCTGTTTCTCTTTGCGACGACGAAACACAAGAATCAAAACTATGAGGATGACAATAAGGAGCAAACAGGCTAACAGCGGCAGGATAATGAGGAGCGGGTCAGAGGAGGGGCGAGGGAGGACCTCTACGTGTACCGGCTGGGTGTCAGGTGGGTTAGCTGGACCATGTTTGTGTGAGACAGAAGGAGTTTTGGGTTGTGTGGCACGGCTGTGACCCCCTCCTGCTCCCTCCACATCATTCTCTGGTCTGCTCACACTACGTGTGTAGTTCCCCCAGCGGTTGTGATTTCTCAGCTTGTGTTGAGTCCTGTTTTGATTCTTCTGCGCTACAGTGTGAGGCGGGACACTCACCCTGACCTCGCCTTGAGTTGTAGAGTCCCCTCGTGCAGCTCCCCTTCCTGCCACAGTAGTTGTTCTATTATGGGACAGGAAGTGGGTTGTTGCAATTTCAGGAGTTGCACTTTCTACTTTATTTGAACCACTCGGACTGTGGTGCATCTGGTGGTGGGGAAATATGGTGAAGTGAAGCTCGCCCTTTGCTGGTTGGACGTTTCCAGCCTTCAGCAGGAAGATGAAGGAATCGTTGAGAGGCGTTGCAGGGGCGTGACCCCGAGCTGTTGTGAGCACTGATTTGTTCTCATGGGGCTGGTAGCCGCTGTCACTGAGATTCTCCTCGATGGCCACTCGACCTTGAACCACATCTCTGAAGGTGAACGACTTAAGGACCTCTGATGCCCGGTTAGGGTCATAGGTGATCTGCATACATGGAAAAATGATGTCTTAATTTTGTTATGGATAACACACTGTGCAAACAGATTCAAAGTGTTTACTGATAGACTGATGCAAACTAAAACTCTAAATAACTCACTCTAACTGAAAATAATGGACACAAGATTTGTAAACTGAACATGCTAAACTTTTTTAACAATGCAAAGGCCCTGTACAGTAAAGGATGATATTTTTAGTTGGTTGAAAGCCCTGGTGAGGAGATTTTGACATTTAAATTCACACTGGTGTCTCTTTTTGAGCCCCAAAGTAAACAAGACAATTAGTAATATGTCTACGATTTGTTGACTGTAATTTTTAGTGCCTGAAACTGCAGACGATTGATGGCAGTCTGAGGATAGGCTACTGCCTTTCTCTACATTATAAATGAGGAATATTTGCAATGAGCAGGATATTTAACAGGTAAAAGAAAGTAGGATGAGATTTTTGGCTTAGAGAACTACTTTGACATGCATAAAACAAGATTAGCAAAGATGTGCGTCTTTGTACAAGAGGCACCAAAATCAGCAAAAACTGGAAGCACCTCACATCAGCCTGTAAACTACCAAATGGCACTGTATGTTAGCTTCACCTTGACCAGTTTTCCATGTTTTGGCGGAGAGAGAACCTCAAAGACCGGGTCTGCTCGGCTGATCCTTGCCAGTTCGGACGCATCCATCATGGCTTTCCCAAGTTTCACAGCTACACCACTGGGCACTCTAACCTGTTCCCGTAGGTGAATCAGAGGCTGCACAGTGACCCTCACCTGTGCTGTTACATTCCCATAGTCAACACCGTGAGACAACGCTGACACTGAGATTTGAAAGCTGTCCTCTGATTCACTGAGTTCAGTCATGTGATAAACAACTCGACCAAACTGTAGATCCTCATGGCAGAAGGTTGTCACCTCCTGGTCATCGATAGCGATGCGTCCGTGCCGTGGGTGTGTGGTGACAGTGTAGGTGATGTTGGCCCGACTACGACCGTTGGTTTGAGCTGCGAGCTGGTTGGTTGTTAAAATCACAGCAGTCTTGCCTTGAACCAACGACAGGCCGGTGTTGTTCACAATGAAGACAGAAGGCTTAATCACCTCCAGACTAAACAGTTTGTAGAGCGGACGATGATGACCGTCCGTTACATTGAAGTAGAAAACACCAGTTAAGGGCTCACCCTGCCAAAGAAACAGTGATAGGATGAAAAATACAAAAGCTGAGTCTCCGCTGTAGGAAACAAGATATAAATCAAGCTCTGGGGACTTTAGCAGCTAGCCTTATACATTAGTAAACTCAGTATCTTAAATTGAAAAGGCATGTACAGGGACAATTACGTTGGAATGGGTGTAATGTTCTGTATGTAAACCTGTGTGAAATACAAATGACTCATTCACATATGAGCAGACCACTTCAAGGATTGTTGTGGTTTTTTTGACCTTGATTAAAACACAGGCAAGATGGGACAGAGCAACCATAGGCTCTCTAAAAGAAGCAGCTGAGACCATAAGTCCTGGGTACATTTGGTTGAAGGATGGCTAAACTTGAGGTAGGAACCAAATGACAGGGCATGCATACAGAGCAGGACATATTTTTTTTACTCCATGACAGTGTCAGCTGAATACTCATTGAGGTAATTTAAAGTAAAAAAGAGCAGGCTGACTTTTATTGATGAGACTGGAAATGGGAACAAAAGAAATAGAGAGAGGGAAAATTTGAGAGCCAGAGTGAAATAAACAATAAAAAAATTCAAAGCTTAAGACTCTCAGAGGTACTAACCAATCAATCTTTATTCTGTTATGGCATCAATCTATGGATTTTACTTTTGACTTTAGTGCCATCTAGTGGTGGATTTTACACACTGTGGCTGACGCCAAAGAACCATAATGAGGTACAAGCAAAACATTTTGGCTTTTTTCCAAGACTCAATAAAAAGCCTAATGCAGGCAATTGAACTGGCATTTTCTAATTTCTATTTTCAGATAGTTGGAAAGGTTGAATCTCTATAAGTGGACTGATGGCTCACCTGCTGTGTAAAGTGCAGCCTGCCACGATTGACGTCATACTGGGTGAAGGAGGTGACTGGCTCCGGTCTCTCCCCCAGTGTCAGATAGCCGTTGTTGGGCTTACTGATCACAAGGTAGTGCAGCTCTTCTGGAGGAGTGTCGTGATCCTCGACCTAAATACAGAATCACAGGAATGTATAAATAAATCTCACACATTATTACTGCTGGTGCAGCAGGTTCCCACCTGTAAAACTATCACAACTATTTTCTCAATCAGAGAGGTAAATGATGTTCAGTTGTCTGCATAATACTCTCCACGATCACAGAAAAGTAAAAGTGAAAGAAAACACATAGAAATGTTCAGCTTTATATGCGCTCTGTGTGGCTAACCTGCAGATATTCTGGTCCAAGCACGACTCTTTCTCCAACTACAACTTTCATCCGAGGGTTTCTCATTCTGATGAGAGGTGGATGGTCGTTGATAGGTGTAACAGTGATGTTAAATGTTTCTGTCACGGCCAGGCTATCCTTGACATGATGAAGAGCAACATCTAATGAGGACAGTGAGGACGATGATGATGATGAATAGAGAGGGGGTAAGGAAGAGGAGGAGGAATCTGAAGAAGACGCAGACAAGGAAGACAAAGAGGATGAGGATAGGAGATCCAGAGGAGCCACCCAGGCCCGGAAAGTAAAGCTGTCGCTTGTTGTCTCTGAGTCGTCATGGATGTAGGTGATGCCGAATTTGTTAAGAGTCATCTGAGAGAAATCAGGTTTGTTGCTGAGAAGAGACAAAGACAAAATAAAAAGTAGCTTTGTGATTTGGGATGTTTGGATTTGTGACTAAAATTTTACAACTCACCATCGTAAGCAGCATATTTTATCTTTTAGTACCTGGTGAGGTTGTGTCCTTGTATGGACAGAACCCCATGGCGTGGCAGGGAAATCACATGGTACATGACATAGTGGTCCTTCTGATTGGGTCCAGGAACTTTTCCGAGGAGATTAGAGGCGTCAAGTTTGGACTTGTCAATCATCACCATGCCTCCCTCAGGAACTACAGCACCTGAATGTCAGATTTAAACACCCCAGCTGCTGTTTTTTTGCACTTATATTCTTCCTCTTTTCTTATGAATGAAAGTACAAAACTAAATTTTTTAATAGCTGAAATATATTTTAGGAATATATATTTTACAATTGATCCATGCAGAACATCTATGAAAGTGGATTAGGCCACATGAAGAGGAAAAAATAATTACAGGAAGGAGGTAAAAGTTAAAATTTTGAGATTTAAAAAAAATCGATATTATGTCAACAAAGTCCAAATTGAAGTTGAAATTTCGAATTTATTCAGATAATTTTGATTTTTTTAATCTTGAAATTTTGACTTAATGTCAAAATTTCATTTTTTTTTTTAATTTAAACTTTTTTGATTTTCGACTTTGATCTCAAAATTTTGACTTCAATCTCAAAAAAGAAATTGAAAAAATCCCCCTCCTGTAATAATTTTTTCTCTTCTTGTGGCCCTAATCCTCTTTTGTAGAACATCAGTAATATTTTGTAGTAGCTGCAATCTTTTTAAACCGTGTCCTTGTTTTTGTACTGAAAGAAAATCGAAGGAGAAAAAACAGTACCTGCATTGTTGAGCAGTCTGGTCCTGAATCCAGTGTGGCTCTGATGTTTGTTGGCCTGGTAGGAGATCAAGATAGTGAAGGTGTGTGGAGGAAGGAAAGCAGGAGGAGAGGACACAGTGAAGGAGAAAGAGTCTGCAGCTGACCATCCCACCGACTGCGGCTTGTTCTGATCATACAAGATGACTCCCTCATTCACCTGAGAGGCACAGACAGAGATATAAAGAGAGACACAGGATTTTGTAACACTACAGTGAACTGAAAAAATCCTAATGGTGCAAAAAGATTTAATAAAGAGCACAACAGTAAGATACACAAAACCTACCATGCTTTGTGTGAAAGTGGAAATGTTGTGCGAGGAGTTGTCAGGCATACGTTGGACCAGGCGGCCAAGTTTAGGAGGAGCGGACACTTCAAACACCACAGAGGGGTTTCTTCCAATGTCACCGGCTTCATTGGTTACAGCTTGAAGCTCTTGTGAAGAGATCGGTGTCACAGAGCCTTTCAAGGTAACAAAGAAACACTCAGTGAGGAGCTTTTTCTTTTTTGAGAGAAAACAAATCCAAGCGCTCGGTAAGGTAATATGATCAGAATCAGATACTTAGGACTCTGACGTGTATTTTACAGAGACTCGTTCGTGCCCCACAGTCACATAAATGTCTTTGTGTTAGTGAACTACTCTTGGTTGGTTTCAGGTTTGTCCAGTGTTACTACAGTGGCAGTTCTATTTCATTTAACAAATGCTTTTTTCCAAATCGGCATAAGTAGAAGTACAAAATCAAGGATGTTGAGAGTGTCAGAACATCATTTTTGGTGTGAAAAGATACCTGGGTAGACTTCCATCTGATGGTTTCTCTGCAGAGTGAGGACCAGAGATTGAGCAGTTGTGCTGAAAATCTGGCGAGGAGCGAAGTTCACACCGTCATTAACCTGAAATTGAAATCCACCTGACAGAGCACCTGTGCAAGAACAGATTCAGGATCATTTTTTAAAATTCATTTTAATAGTCCTCCTTGAGATCTCAAATCTGCCGATAATTTAGTGTTTCTTTGTAAACATATGCCTATAGTTCACCTAGAAAGTCAGACTGAATACCGGTTCACAAACCACAACTATTAAAACGTGCTCACCACTGTGCACAAACACAAGCTGTCCTGTGTGGATATGATTCTGAGTGAAGTTCAGGATCTGCCTAAAGGGGGCGCTCTTCAGGGCCAGATGGCCATTACTGGGTGGTGTGATGATGTACTCCAAGGTCTCAGGTGGAGTGTCTGGGTCTTCTGCACTGAGTTCATCAGGGGTGATCTCTGTCACTGAACTCACCCACACCTGAGGACACAAAACATAAGAAGAAAGGGGTCAGTCAGAAAATATTTTCAATATATAGTAACAACTTAAAGATCATCAGTTTCCACCTCCATTGTGTTTTACATACATGTTTTTTAATGCAGCCTACAGGCATGACAGCAATATTGATCCTCTTAACATCAAGATACGTATCTACATTTAAACTATAAAACATTGGTATGGTTTGTATAATGATGAAAGTGAAGTTATAATAATACCAGAACTAAAGAAGTGAAAATCAATTATTAAAATAAATGAGAAAATAATAAATAAATAATTATTATTATTATTATAAAACATGTAAACTGATATTTGATGTATTTTTTTTTTTTTACGGTCTCAAAAGATTATCCGTTGCATCTTTGTGACTTGTGAACCATTAAACAGAAATGACCTTACCTACTTATTTAAGCTCTTAATAAAAGTCTAACTTACAAAGTAACTTGGACAGAACTTTAGTTTAAATTACGCATCATGTGTTGGTTGAATTTCTTTCAACAAAGTAGTTAGAAGTATGACATTCATCCTCTGTTAATATTAAAAGGATATCTGCTGTGGAGTCTTAAAAGAAGTAAGTAAAATGGATAAATTCATGTCTTCATAACAGCTCTCCCCACCTTCAGGCCTTTGTTGGTTATAACCACAGGAGTCTCGTCATTGACAGGTATGACATGGATGTGAACTGTACAGGGCAGACTGTACTTCCTGATTTTCGTCTGATTGGCCACAATGGTAAAGTTGTCCCTCCGTGTCTCACTGCCATCATGGATGTAGGAGATGTATTTGCGTTCCACCTGGAATCAGTTGTGAGATGGAAAGGATACAAGTTGTAATACAGGAACCAAAACTACAAAGACAAGGAACATTAGTCCTTCTGGGTCAAACCTCTGTGTGAGTGAAGGCAGTGATGGGCATCCCCGGGATACGGCTGTGCTCCAAGTGTCCGTGTCTTGGTGAAACGATAACCTGGTACAGGAAGTTCATCCTTGAAAAGTGAGGATTGGTGATCTTGATGACGTCAGGGGTCAGTGGCGCAGATGAACCTTCATCAAGGACCAGATCAGACACCTGTAAAATCAACCAGCCAATAAAACACTCAGATTGAATTGTTGGCGGGAGGTTGATGAGGCACACAGATCAGTCAATTCCTCCTTTGGGTGGTCTTCTGGTTGAGAAGAATCACTTATTTATGAACATTTTTTTACCTGTAAAGGCAGCAGGATGGGGATGATATCCACCTCCAGTCTGATGGGCCCAACTTTTGTGATCCCATTGGTTGCTTCCAAAAGAATAGAGTCATTGGTGCTTCCTGCAGTCTGATGATTGTAGACTATCAGTCCGTTATTGAGATCCTCCTGGGTAAAGGAGTTTGTTAGCTGCTCTCTGATGCCCTGTGAGGAGGGACGTAGCAGAGAGAAGCAAGCGGTCGGCAACATTCATCTCTCGAGGGGTTGTCTAACTCTGTGTTATTGTGTGTTTGACCATAACTTAATTTTACGCCGGAATATCCCTTTAACTTTTTTACATTTTTACATCTCTTTAACCTTTGGCTGTTACATCTCCCATGCATCAAGACCTTCCAGAAAGGCTTTCATCTTAAACTCTAGCCTTAGACATTTTCTGTAAAGGCATAACTTTGGGTTGTTTCATGACAACAAGGCTCTGAGAAAAGAAATAGAAAAGCAGCTGATTGAAGCATTTCAGGAGACAGCTGAATGATGCTGAAATAAGAGTTTTATCAGATGCTGGTATAAGACAAATGAGCTGCTGTTAATGCAAAGCTACTCTGTAATGAAAGGTAAAAATTATGACTGCAAAGGTGGCTTTACTTGATGGAAACGCTGTTGTCCTCCATTGTAGTTTTGTTGCTTGATGTGAGGAGGAGACCTCTGAAAGCAGCCTTGGGTGGGAGGGCTCAGGACTGTAAACGATATCTCTGAGGGCTGGCTGTCCTCATGAACCACCTGATCAAACGAAACAGCACCAACTTTTAAATATATAACATGTTCATATTTTCTGCTTATCATAACGTGGTGAAGTTATCAGTGAGCCACCTTACCTCTAAGTGCTCCCTGCTCAAGGAGACATTATTTCCCTCTGTCACCACAACAGGGCGGTTACTTTTGACCAGTGGTGGCTTTTGGTGACTCAGCAGGTAGATTTTCACCAGCACTCCTATGTCCAGATGCACCTCCCTCCTCCCTTTCTCCGGTTGCCTCTCTGTCCTCCTCTCCCTCACTCTTGTGGTCACATTAAACCCATCCGATAACTCATGGCTGCCGTCGTGTTGATATGCCAAGCGTCCTTCCACCAAATCTTGCTGAGTGAATATTCTAACTGCATCTTTTTCTGTAACAGTTTCACCCTCTTCACCTCTGAAGTAAAGCACCCCGTGTTTAGGTGGAAGGAAGACCTCAAATGTTATTTCATGCGGTTCTCGGATGTCAAGGTTGCTGACGACACTGAGATTGGCAGCTGTGAAGGCTACAAGCCCACCTTTTTGGACTGTGAGGCCGGTGTTGTTCTCAGCCAGAAGGTAGGGGTCCTGGGCAATCACCTATGTTAGTCAGAGGATTATATTAACAGACAGAGGTGAATTATATGATGCAACAATCATAAAACTGCAACCAACATTACCAGGCTTCTCATTTACACCACAGGTGCTTACTATCCCGAATAACCTGGTAATACTTGACTCTAAAAAATTTAACTAAAATTTGTTGATTCTTTTATGTATTTTGATGTAAAATATATATATAAAAAACACCACATACAAGTATAAAGACATTATAATCACCTCCATCAGTGTTGAAACATAGTGTTTCCCATCTGTTACAAAAAGCACGAATCGCCCGAAACTCACTCCTCTGTGGACAAACAACACCTTTTTCTGAAAAGTGAGAAAGGAAGACTTTGAATCATCATGTCCCATCAGCATCACCAATACACAGTCTTTTCTGGGAGTCCCTGAGCTCAATTTTCTAGAAAAAATTACCTGCTCCAGGTCTTGCTGTGTAAACTCATACAGCTTGTGACTGGGATCACTAGCCAGCACCAGCTCTCCCATTGGAATCCCCCTCCGAGTGTACAGCAACCAATTATCCTCAAAGTCTGAGTCATCATCCCGGTACTGGAGGTCATTAAGTGTAACCAACCTCTGTCCGTAGCGGGCCACATGGAAAACCTTGTCTACAACTCTGACAGGTCTCTGATCGTTGACAAGCTGGACAGAAATATTAAAGGTGTGTTCCCCTGTGTTTCTGTCCTCTTTCTGACTCTGGTGTCTGTTAGGTTTAGAAACCGTTATTTCAAAAGTGAAGGAATCCTGCGTCGTCTCGCTGTCATCATGAACATACATGATCCTCTCTTCGATAATGTCTTGATTTGAGAATGCCACAATGTTGTCATTGATGGCGGTTGAGTTGGACAGGTTGATCCTCTTTATCCTGCCGTGCCTAGGGCTCACAGTGACGCTGTAGTGAACCTCGCGGTTGTTTACTACGTGAGTGAACAGAATATCTTTGCTGATGACTTTACTTCCTCCTTCCAGGATTGACAGACCTTTGTTTAAAACTGTAACTTCTGTTGCCTGTGCTTTAATGTTGATTCTGAAGTCATGAATGGTCGAGTTGGCGTGTGTAGAAAACACCTGAAAACTGAAAGTGTCTCTTGTGTCGTAATGCATCCTGTTGAAGAGCTCGTACTTTACTAAGCCATCTGTGACGTCCTTTTGGCTGAACGTTGACTTCCGTTTTAGAGCTCTGTTGTTCAGATAAAGCTGTCCTTTCTTTGGTAGAGTTATCAGCCTGAAGTAGAGCTCGCTCTCGTTGAGTTTGACACCCTTAGAAATCACATGAAGGTCTTCAGGTGTGACAGCAGCACTCAGGACACCACTGACCTCCATCTTGGTGCGTGTGACCTTGAAGTGGATACAGTGCACCGTGATTGGAAAAACGACCTCCTCAGTGGCCTTATCACTGATATTGATTTTACTCTTGAAGTGATCGGTGATATTGTTATGAGGCTGAAGGCCCTGGGAAGTGCTGACGTATCTTATCCGTTCCTTCTTTAGAAGATTCTGAGAAAAGAAGGTTGTTGGTCTCCACTCACCATTTGAGTGCAACCGCTGGAGCTCACCATGTTGTGGCAGCTCTGTAATATCATAGCGGAGTTCCACTGTCTGACCAGCCGTGATCACTTCTACAGCAAGGTTTATGTTTGTGATGATGGAAGCTTCGCCTTGGTTCAACTCCAGTCCAGTGTTATTAGCCAGTCTATACTTCAGTGGCACTGCCATCACTCTTAGTACAACTGTGTTACTGAACTGTGGGGATGAAGAGATGAGACAAGGTTATTGAATTATAACATTTTATTACTTTAGTCCACAGGTAAAACAGAAACATTTGAAATATGTGAGTGTATATACACGGTAAAACTAGGTGACGTTTATGCATATAGGTGCTTTGAAAGGATATTATAGTGGGTTTGTATGAGATGCTTGTTAATAGCAAGTGTGTTAAATGCTAACAAAACACATTGGCTATCTGACAGAAAAGTACTAAAAGTAACTAAATGTAGAATACACTTCCACTGAAATTAGTGTCTGAGTCAGAGTTAGCTGCGTTTTAACTTTAACAGACTTACAGTTTCATACAAAGATACTGCCAACTTACCTTCTCACCATCGCTGACCCTGAGGGCCAGCCTGGAGGTAGACAAGCCGGTATGGACAAAACTGACCTTACCCTCTTTAAGATCGATGAGAGAGAACAGGTTTATGGCCCTGGAACAAAGATGTATTCATGTGAGCCTCTATGTTTTGTTTACTACTTGGCGTGTTTGTTAAATGCTTTCTGGAGACTTGTGATAATATGTTGAGTTTGATGATTTGGTCATTTCCTATCATGACTAGTGCCACAAATCAGTTACCCAAGTTTCAAAACATATAAGGTAGGGTGTATACAGTTAAACAAGCACTGCTTGAATCTCTCTGATTAATTCTTAGAAGAGTTATGAGTCATTCAAAAAGTCCACAAGCACCATCACAAACCTGCCCGGGTAATCCTGGTGCTCGAGGTGTCCTGCCTCAGTGTTGAGATTTCCCAGGGAGCTGAACATCAGCTCTGCAGGACTACTATCAGGGTCGGACACTCTCAGCATATCTGTTGTCAGCTGGGGATATAAAAGCACTATGAGCTTTCTTTTTCTTAACACATAAACACAACACATGTTACGTTGTCAGTCTGCTTAATCTACCTGTCGTTTTGACTTCTCCAATACAGTGAAAAGGTTTCCTTCTGGTAGACTGAGCTCTGGTGCATCATTGACTGGGCTGATGATGATATCAAACTGATAAAGGTCGTTGCCCTTCAGAAATACAGGAAGCTTCTTCTTATTGCTGGAGAAAACTGAAAACATGAAGAGGTCACGCTGCTCCTCTGACCCGCCGTGGACGTACAACACCCGGCCCTGCCACAGGTCCAACAAACTGAAAGTCTGGTTGGACTCTTTAGTTCCTATTGTGATGTTCCTCTCCTCCTGTGCTTCGCCCAGAATCCCATCAGAGTCTGGAGTGAGATCCACCCTCAACTGGCCGTGAGCAGGCTGCTGCTCAACGCGGAATAACAACTGAGCTGGATGAATACCCATGTTCCGAAGATCCAGATTCACCTAAAAGGAGTTCAAATGGAAAACTGACAGTAAAATCTTAACTGTTATGAGTCAGGTTTAACAATCTATTATTAAGTAGAGCACAAAACAAACTATTTGAAAAACCTGAAAGACCGGGTTAGAAGGAGACAGAAAGTCCTACCTTAATGTGTTTGGGCTCAAGTGGTGCCCTGCTTCCCTCCACTACCTCCAGCCTTCTCAGTGACAAGAACTCTGGGTTCGTCCCATTGCTGGTGGTCGGTTGCATAGTCGTTACATTAACCACATGGTTTACTGTCGGGCTAGCAGTGGTTACTGCATCTGGAGCTTGCTCGGTCATACAACCCACACTGATGTCCTTGGTAATAGTAGCATTGGGCAGGCCTGTTTTTATAGTGTTTGTCCTGATGTTTCTGAGGCAGCCTTTAAAGGATACTCCTCTACCAGCCACTTCTTCTCCAAGTAGATCGGGCATCAACCCTACTCGCCTTGCCTCTGTACGGGCTTCTTTGTTCAGTCCTCCCAGAAATAGAGGTCCTTTCAGGGGGATGACCTGCAGCTCCAGACTAAGGCTGGCCTGGATCAGTTCCTCACCCACCTTCATCTGGATGCTGTGGGGCAGCAGGTGCAGCTTGATGGGGTACCAGGTGTGATTGCTGTGAAGAGCTTTTGTAGAGCACATCTGAATCGTGTCTCCCTTTCCATTTCCTACTGTGGCCACCAGGTGACTGTCTCTAATCTCCACTGCAGCAAACCCTCCTTTGTTTCCAGAGCTGTACAGCACCAGCCCGTCTTCCTCTCTTGCAGAGGGCTGCAATTCACATTCAAACACACCCTCCTCATGTGCTTCCCATGGCGGGAGAGACATGAAGGCTTTGGAGCTGAAAAAGCTGACAGAGTCTTCCACTGTTGCAGAAAACTGCGCACTACAGCCCTGATATACCTCGCGGACAATCCTGTACCCAGAAAAAGGCCTGAGGTTTGACAACAAGTTATGTTTATTGAACACGACTTCATCTATGCATCCTCTAAATCCGGCGGAAATGTTGAGCAGGTTTGGGTGCCTCAGTCTCGCTACACCACCAACAAAAAGTCCATCCACTACATGAAGTCTCAGATCTGGTCCTGGCATTCGGAGGCTGGTATGAGAGTTTTGATCCACTGTCATGTTTACAATATTGTGGTCATGGATCAGCTCAATGTTGTGCCACACCATGTCACTTAGATGCATGCCTTTCTCAGATCGTAATGAGCGTTCACCTGATCCGAGGTCCAGACGTACCTGAGGGGAAAGTGGAGAAAGAGTGCTAATAACCAAAATGTATTGCCTTCTTAATCTCTGATGATGTTTGGTATTCTCTAGCACACTTTGACAAGTAAAACAAGGAGTTTCAATAAAAGACTACACACACAAGAGCCTGTGAATCAAGTCAATAAGTGGTCAAGTGTTTAAATCGTAAGACTGCAGATCAAAGGAGTAGTTCACTAACATGGATGAAACCAAACTCTGTCATAAGGACCTCGTTGCCCTGTACTTATAATTTTCGTTATACCACTGCTGTGTCTTCTCTCTTAACCTGGGTCATGAAGGAACTTGTTCTGAAATGAAGCCAATGCCAAGGGGTTCTTTTTTCACTTTGAAAGTAATCCGACACCCAGTGGTGTGAGTGCAGACTTCTTCGTCTCTCTTCTGGATAGTAAATGCCAATATATATGAGGTAGAAACGGCCCGAGGGCTAAATATTTTCTCTTTATTCGAAGGTATGAGGTATCTTAAGGTACAAGAGAGCATGTGCAGGAGTTTGACTTTGATTCATTTTACATTATTTCTAAATGTTGTTACCCTAACAGAAGATAAAAGTCACAGCATGGTGTTAATACTCATCCATACACCTATTCGAATACTTTTACAAGTGTGTAACTACCCTATAGGATGCTTCAGAATACCTGCAGGCGCCCAGATATCAGCTCCAGCAGCAAGAAGTCGCTACGTCCAGCTGCCAGAAACAGAAGTCCTGTTTGACTGGAGGTTCGAAAACGAACATGTAACACTGTCTGAATGGAGGCCTCCACTGTCCGCAGGTGAATGTAGCCCTCTCCATATAATGACACTGCAACAATGATAAAGGAGACACGTAAGAAGTGAAATCGTTTTACATTACATGTCACATTCACATATTTATACCACTTTCGTACACACAGAGGCTGATATGTAAGGCACCCATCAGTTTTCAACTAATCCCTTTCATGCACCCTGGGTATGAGGGCAGATAATCTTGGGTGAGTAACCCTAACCCTGGGCACAAGGACAGAAAAAACGGATATCAAATGCATTCCAATCGAGACATAACCAACTCTACCACTTGACAGCAATCTTTCTTTTTGGTTTAGGCAAGCAGAAAGATTTGAATGATGTACTTGGTTTGCTACACTGTGAACACCTTTGAAACTCAATGCACTGAGCTGTTAAATCCAACATGCTTACATTTCACTCTGAAGGACAAAAAATACATTTAAGGCCTTTTTTTTCCTGCAGACTGTCAGCTGATCAGCTGATCAATACAGCTCTGCTCCGGGTCTATTCTGCACTTAACACCTGTTTTATAAATTCAATTAATGACAGCTAATGCACTCTGCAGCAGGTCGTCCTGAAATGCTCAGTTGCTAATTAGCCTCCCCTGTTGACCCAAATTATCTTAATGGGGCACCATACAGACACTTGGAAAAGCATGAATCACTCTGTATATAGCTCATTCAGATTGAAATCCAAATAACCAAATGTCATTTACTACAACCACTGCTTAACTTACGGCCAGATAGACCTATTGAATAAGATCAGATGTAATGCTTTTGTAGTGTCTAGCATAGAATAATAACTGACCCTTGGTTTGCAGGTACCTGAACTAGTTAACATTTCAACAATGATCTCTCAGCCATGTGTTTGTTGGGCTGTTTTCAGCCATGAAAGTGTCCGTGGGTAGAATTCTGAACCCCATATTGCTCTCAGGAGGCAGAGCCAGTGGTTAGCAAATAGTAAAAATGGGAGTGATTTATACCAATGGTCGTTTACTTCACATTATCGCCTGGCTTTGTTGGATGAATATGTATGTGAATGAGTGAATTTGACATAAAAGCATTCTAGAGGATAAGGCAAGTACTACAGGGACCTGGGTGAACTTTTAAATGATCCTCATGGCTCTACAACTGACTTTAACACTTGGCTAGTGTGGATTGGAAGCCACTTTAAAATCATTAGGATCCATTATCATGGGATCACAACGGTCTTTAGGTCAGTGCAGAGTGGTTAGATAATTTAACCTACAAAAGAGTGGACCAGGTCACTAACTGTCTGTTTATGGTCCTGCCCTAAGTGGAGCTACTATTTTGGCTATGAATGCATGAAGCAGCTCCAGTATGTAATGCGTTATAGAAAATAGACACCGCATGATCAAAATGTCTTATTTCTAGGATTAAATATTTGGGAGGCTGGCTCATATCCCTACTCACATCTTTGAATTAAAAAAAAGCATAGACTAGATTTTAATTGATTTGACCTAAAAAGCAGAGGCGTTGGAGCACTCTGTCAAAACGGCTGTCAATTTTTGGAAAACGTTACACTGCAAATACAGGTCAGGCGGTAGTGCGTGAATGATTGGGGGTAGCCAAAACACAGAGGGGCAACGCACATATTGTTTCAAATAAGAATGACTGCCCCCCTAAAAAAACGAGATACAGACAAGAGTCTTCTTAAAATATCTTTACAAAAGAGTTAAATGGCATTTAGGGAAGAGGCTTGAAGCCAAGACATAGTAAATCTCACAAAGTGAACCGTGTCATTACATGAGAGTCGACAACTTTGTTCACACATCAAACTGAGTAGACAATCAGCAACAAAGATTAGACCCTTGTAAACAGGAGAGCTATAAAATTTATAGTGTTTTAATGTTATCTTTTTCGTGTAAGTAATAAAAAATATTACTCTGTTTGATTTATTCAAAAAATTAGAAAAAGAGTTGTGTGACTTTACATTTTTTTCAAACATGATTTGATGATTTGAGAATAATGAGAAACAAAAACTTTTTTTATTTTTTTTAATCTGTTATTTATGTTCATTTTTGTTGTCATGTATTTTTCACCCTTTTCACACGTTCACATCCTGTTTGTGTTGGTGTGACTTGTCATGACAGTTGCTGACTTTGTTGCCTTTAAAACTATTTGGGAAAATTTAAAAGATTATAGACATGACTACTATTTGGGTTATGTGATTCCAGAGAGAAGTTCTCAGTCAGCAGGCAAGCACAGCATGCAGCACAAAGCCCATAAGCCCTCGGTGAGTATAGCCTGTGTGTCCATCTCTCTCTAATTTGCCTCCATGATACCGTTGAACATTGGATTATAAGTAATCTCCCGATAGTCACAGACACAGTTTGAATGACACAGGTTTGAATGCTCTGTCATAAGAAGGTGATGGGATTTACCAGCACATGCTGATAGCTTTGAAATGTTATTCATGCACATGCATGACTAATCTTTGTTGGGAAAAGCTGATGTACACACACACAGCGCTTATTCAGATTTGATTAAAAAGTTCACCACTAACATCCCTCCAAAAAAAAAAGTAATTCAGACTCAGTTGAAGACCTTGAGATAACTTGATATTTTTTAAAATTGCTTTATGATATTAACTAGTTCGCTTTACCAAAATATTTATATAGTTATATGTTATGAAGTAGCATTTTAAACCTTAAAAGCATCAGATTGGATTTAATGGCAAGTAAATGTGACATTTATGTGAGAGTTGTTATTACAAGTAAATTTAAGGAAACTGTGCAAACTATCTGTAAAACTCTATTTTTTCATTTTCCACAACTTGATCAAATCCATTGAAATATGTCAGAGTCAGTCTGTCTAAAATGAGCACCAGGAATTTCTCTCCATTTTAACTTTTCTTCAATGAGGAATCTTTTTTTTTTCTTTTCTGCAGTGCCTTACCTCCATAGACTTGTCCTGTGGAAATCAGCAGGAGCAGAAACAGATCAGCTACTAATCTCTCCATTGTTAGTCGGGACCTTCAAATCTAACTTGCTTTCAGTCAAAAGAAACATCTGGATGCTTGACCATGTCGTCCATTGTCTTCAGTTATCTAGTTGCTGCAATGTTCAGCTCTTTGCATTACTGGCTGACTTAGGCTCACAGCTTTGAGTACATGTACCTGTGCTTGTGAACACAAAACAGAGGTAGAGCTCCACCCTCTGACCCGCCCCTTTTTTTCTGCAGTACTAAATATGAACACTAGAGGGCTGTGTTGTAATACTGAAACACAAAGTGGTTTGCATTGAAGATTACAGCAGAATGAATCAAACTTATATTTGTGGCAAAGCTGTGGACACACTACATGTCACTGTCTTGTGAGGCACCTTGAAATAGAATCTATAATAATAATAATAATAATAATAATAATAATATAACAACAACAGCAACAGAAATAATAATAATAATTATTATTATTATTGTTATTATTATTATTATTATTATTATTATTTCTGTTGTTGTTATTATATCATTATTATTATTATTATTATTGTCGAGTTTAAACTTCTCAAAGTACTTATTATTATTATAATTATTATTGTTATTATATTATTTAACATTATATTATAATATTATAATTATTATATAATAGTAATAATAATATATAATAATAATGAAATAATAATTATTATTATTAATTAATTTATTATCATTATTATTATTATTATTATTATTATTATTATTATTATTATTATCATTTTTTAGTTTAAACGTCTAAAATTACTTATTACCTTAAAATCCGTCTTTTAAATGAGACACATCTCTGCTCAAATAAAGACATATTTTCATGGTTATTATTGATGTGATGCTGGTCCGAGTCAATAGTGTCTTCTGTCATAACCCCTTTTTTGATAAGGTATAAAACTCTGTAAAGTTTTGCTGTACTTCATAGTCCTGACCTGAAAAACCACCTCTCAATCAAAACATTTAAACACAGAAATAATAGACTGCAAATAGACTGTACTGTGCAGTCTATTTGCAACATGTCCACAAGTTGCAGCGGTGACAATAACAGTATTTTAAAATGCTTGAGAGTTTAAAGTGAATTTACACCTTCCTCACCAACAGCTATACTTACAAAAGAGTACTGTCTGAAAAAGCTTTTCAGTCAAAGTAATGAGTAGCTTTCTGCCAGAGGCAGTAGTGGTTTGAGTTACATTTGAGCTAAACAGAGGAAAGAAATGAACACATCATTGTAAAGAGTGAAGAAGGACAGAGCGTTCAAGATTTCTAAATCAAAAGAGTGAGAGAGGAGAAGTCAAAGGAAACGAGGGAAATGTCCAGTGGCTGATGAAGGTGAAGTGGAAGCAGCAGCAGGACAAACTCCCTGATCTGTTTCCTGAACCCTGCCCACCCTCCAATGTGCTACCTTAGGTCACACACACACACAAACACACACACACACACACACACACACACACACACACACACACACACACACACACACACACACTGTCTTACGGACTGAAATGTCGCTGCAGCTCTAAAGAGTGTTTGCTCCATTTAACTGTTGAAAAAACACACAAGGGCTTTTATTCAGCTGCTGATTCAAACTTCACTTGGCTGGCTCATGAGAGGAGTGCTGGGTCTAGGGTTAGTTCCCAGGATGTTGAATAATAAACTCTACAGTCTGCTTTCTTTAATGAAAAGGTCACACCCAAAATGGGTCACAGTTCAGCTGCTGAGGGGTCCTCTCATGACGAGGGTGTTGGTGTGTTTTAATGAGCTTGGATCCCACGCTGAGAGGATTACCCTCCTGTCTTTTGGGCTGGAAAAGTCGTTTAAAGTGTTTCTTTAACTCTCCTGAAAACTAGATGGCAGCTGAATGTTTATATTGTGTTCACGTGCACAGAATAAATCACCCCTGTAAATCATTTACCTCCATTCTGATGCTAAATTCTCCACTCATAATAGCAGTTAAATCACATGTAAGCAGATAGTTGTGGCTAAAGTGGATCAGTGAACAGCTCCATAAACTCTAGAAAATATTTTTTTAGCATTGTGTGGGTTTTAATTTGCCATAGAATGCACATTTGTTTTTGCGGACACATAATGTTCACATTTGTCTGCAGCATGTTGATCAGCTGTAAGGCTTCAAAAGTGAAGAAGAAGGACAGCCAAATTTAAAGTTAAATCCTAAAGATCTCACTAAATGTTCTGTTAATGGTGTTTTTCCCAGTGATTTGAGTGCCAGAGGACCTGCTGACATCCTTAACCACGTCAGAGACCCTGCAGACTCCAGTGCCTGCTCCTAGGTCAGTTTCCAGGCCCACTCAAGAACCTGTTCCCAAGTTGGTTTCCAGGCTGACTCCAGTGCCAGCTCCCAGGCAGGCACCCAGGCCAGCAACCCAACTTCCAGTTCCTGCTCCCAGGCTGGACCCCTAGCTCCCAGTGCCAGTGTCAAATTAGAAAACCAGAAGAGCTGGGTGGAGGTGAATCTTTAAAGTAAGTTTTTTGGCTCTTATATTTGTTTTTATTGCATAATGACAAAACAAGGCAATATGTTGATCTTATCAAAATACACTGTGTCAGCTGTTGAGGGGGAGGACTGAAACTCTACAGCCATTACTCTCAGCCACATTATGCTCAGCATTTGTTTCTAAAATTAATGTCATGCTAAGATAAAAAATAAAAACAAAATCCACAGCTTGTAGACCCAATAAGCTGATGAGTGTGCTGCTGGTCGAGCATTTGCTAAAACAAAAGGGCTTTCTGACATGTAATTAAGGCTCTGAAAAGTTATACTCACTTACGCTGTTGTTAGTGTTTGTGTTGTAAATTCTTACTTCTTATCAGCTTTCTTATTAGCTAAATTATGTAGCATAATAGACCCAATCTGCAGCAGTTGATAGTTAAGCTCCTGTTCTTGATCTTCATGTTCTATACACTGACAATTATAAGACATACTCTTTAGATCTACTGGAGATGTTTGGGAAAACCAAAATCATAGATTCATCTTAATCCATGAGTTTGTCCCATTAGTCAGGCCACTACAAATCCCAAATTTAACAAGACTGAGTAGAACATTATGGTAAATGATGGTGGTTAAATTTTCCAAAACACTTAGATGTCAAATATAATTTTACCATCAGAACAAACAGCATTAAATTTGCAAAAGCTTCTGACCCAATCCCAACAGGGCGGAGGTACATTCTTGTTTTACATGAGTCTGTTCCTGCTCAAGGTTTCTGCCTGTTAAAAGGATGTTTCTCTTTGTCACAGTAACTTGCTAAATGCTTTAATTGTAAAACACAGGGTTTGGTCTAGACCTGCTTTTTTATGTAAAAAGTCTTGAAATAGCATTGTGGCAATATGCAAATAAAGATTGATGGATCAATTCAATAGCATACATTTTTTTCACATGCTCTCTGTTGAAAAATATGTACGTCTTGATAGATGCACTTTTAAATGAACATTAAATCTGTCAATGCTAAAAAAATGTGTGTGATGGCATATAATGAGTGACTCTTAAGTTGTTGGTGCCTGTCTGAAATCAGTGGCAAAGCTATAAAAGTTGTCTGAAAGAAAGAACAGGAACCACCTGTCAAGGATGAAGCGAACCGCGTGTACCAGGAAGAGATGTAGGTTTGAGACCGATTTAACTCAGCAGCAGCTAAAACAACAAAAACACTGCAAACAGCTGGATAGACAAGTCTAAAAGGTTCCAGCTTTTACCCTGTCACCTGCACTTTGCTGTGTGTTTGACTACATGTGCAAAGAAAAGAAAACAGAAAGTTAAAACCTGCTTCCCTCTTGGAAAAATAATAAATCATGATGTTTCCCCATCCTTCCTTCCTCACTGTTGCATCCTCTGTGTCGGTACATTTGTACATTTGCCCGCCCATGTGTCACCTCCAGTTACATGTGAGCACAAAACAGACTAAAAAAGACCAAGCAAATTATCCACCTGTGCAAATGGCATGTATGACTCAGTATGTTTTGATGCTTATAAATACAGTTAACAGGAGACAGCTAAAAACCTTGTGTAGGTTTGGGTGTAAAACTTTGCCTGAGCCTTCAGTTCATTTTGAGGATAAACACAGTAATTGAGTGACACATTCATTTTCTATTTATGAACCTGTTGCGTAAGTCGACACAGAGAAAGAGAAAGGCTGTGGAGAAGGCCAGAGCCTCGTCGAGTGAAAGAGATCCAGCTTTAAAAGCTTTAAAGAGAGACTTTCAGAGGGACGTCCATTCAAAGACGATTGATGAAAAAGGACATGGTTCCTGATCGAGATTCTCTGCTGTGGACATTTCAGCATTCGGCTCAAATATCAGGACACTTTTAACAAGACTTAACAAGAAGCAGATCAGGGACTTTGATCTTGCACTGCTTGAGGAGAGTGCGAGTGCGTGTGAACGTGCGTGCCATCTCCAAAGACACCTCTGACAATGTTCAGGGGAACTTTTCAGTTATTTGATATTTCTGTCCTAAAACATGCAATGTGATGCTGGGAGCAGCTGCTACCTTAGCTTGAGGACACCTCCGATTTTCTGTTTGTGTGTATGTGTGTGTGTGTTTGTGCACGCGTGTGTGCACGTGTGTGTTTGCTCACATGTTTGAGTCACACTGAGTCATCACCGTTTTATTTAGGCTACTTGTTGAACAAGAGCAAAAGACAGAGTGAAGAAGAGAAGAGGTGACACAAATCTCGAAGATCAGACAAGAAAGAAAGAGGCGGCTGAAATACTGTCACCAAAGAACTGATATACAAAGATGTAGTAATGTAGTTTATGATTTACTTATTTATGCAAACTGAAGTGTTTTAATACCAAACTAGTGGACTCAGGCTTGCATCTCCATTTACAGAACTTGTGACTCTACTTGGCCTCAAGTCCATGATGACTCAGACATCCTGAATCCTTTGACTGTATGAGAACCAGGGGAAGATGGAGAAGAGGATGAGCACCTCTTCAGAGACTGTTTACATTTTGTGTCCCTTTTTTTGTGTCCCATCTTGATCT